CCACCGCCACCAGGTCTCGCAACGCGGCCGCCAGCAGCGGGTGGCACTCCACGTCCGCAGCGACCGCGACGAGCTGGCCGATTCTATCTCCCACGTCGCCATCCCCGGGACTCCACGCCCCGAGGCGCCGCGCGAGCCGCAGGTCCCGCACTGCGGCCATCGCGCGGCTGAACACCGCCGCCCCGCACGACCCCTGCGCCACCGCCACGCCAGCCCCCCCCTGCACGTACGCCGCGTCGCCCCTCAACGCGTCCTCGACGTGGCGCACCATGCTCAGGCAGCCGCGCGGGCCGGACCGCAGGGCCTCGCGCGAGCAGTGCACCGCCACGTCCTGCGACCGCCTGCCGCTGCGCGCGGCCTCCACCGCGGCATCCACCAGCACGCTGAACAACAGACACTCCTGGTGCTGGTTGTCGAGCTCGCGGTCGAACACGCGACTCTCTTCGGGGAACGCCTCCGCAACCAGCGCCTCCGAGGCCCCGAGCGCTTGCACCGCCCACGCCGGAAGCCCCCCCTCCTCGCCCGCAGCCGCAGCCGCATCGCCGTCAAGGTCGGCTTGTTCCACGCCAGCCACGAACGCCCCGCGCAGCTGCCGGTGCGCCCACGCGTGCACGATCTCCCGGGCTGGCGTCCCGAGGTCGAGCGCAGCTGCCACAACACGCGCCACGGCGCTGCGCAGCAGCGCCTCGGGGTGCGCGTCGCGGGTCGCCGCTGCCCCCGTCGTCCCCGCCGCCTCCGCGAGCGCGTCGAACGGCGCGGCCTCCTGCCCCGAGGACGCCTCCAGCGCTCGCCCCACGGCCTCTGCCGCGATCATGCGCACAGCTTCATCGTCGTCCTCGAGGAGGCGCAGCGCCACGCCCCACGCTCGCAGCGCGAGAACGCGCAGCTGGAGGTGCTCACGTCCGGGCCGGAAGAGCGCGCTCAGCAGCGCCAGAGCCCGCAGCTCTGCCGCCGCGCCCTCGCGGTCCTGCGCGCTCTCCGACGGGCGTGAGGTGCGCTCGAGGCGCGCGACGCACTGCGTCGTGGCCGCGACGTCCCAGCCGCGGACCGTCGCGCTCGCGGCGATCGCGCTAGCGCGCGCGATGAGCGCCGGGGCTCCCACGCACAGGTGCTGCCCTGCGGGGCCGCTGGCCAGGGCCCCGAGACGCTGCGCCCAGGCGGCAGCGGCCTCCTCCTCGTGCGGGCGCGCCGCGCAGGGCAGCGTCCGCAGGGCCTCGCCGACCTCGATCGCGAGCCCAGCGACCTCGTAGTGCGACTGGTCCGTCACCAGCGTCCTCAGATACCGAGACAGGTCTGCCGCGCTGCGAACCAGAGGGAGCGACGGGTCTCGCGCCTCCGGCGCTGCCAGCGTGCGGAGCACCGCGGACAGCGCCCCTGCCTGCGCGTCCTGCGGCACCGGCACCGACGTGGCCACGAACACCACCTCGGATGCATCCACGGGCCAGTAGTGAGCGGCGTTGGATGGTCGCGAGCACCGCAGCAGCATCAGCCGCAGCTCGGGGCCCAGGTACAGCTCCGCCGCCTCGCGCACCATCAGGCCCGCGCCGACGGCGGCGCCGTCCGCCGGCTGCCGCTCCGGAGCCGTGTCGCCCGCACGCACCGCGCTCTGGACGCGGCGTGCTTCGTGCGCGAGCAGCGTGTGCACCGCGGCCCTCGCCGCGTCCGCGACGTCGAGGCAGGCGCCCTCGAGGCCGTCCGGTGCGCCGTCGGGGTCGCGCGCGACCGCCCCGGCGAGGGACCGCAGCACGCGCAGGCCCGCCGCGACGAGCAGCGGCGGGGCGCTCCGAGGGTCGAGCACCCACGCGTTTTGCCCCGACGGCGCGCGCAGCAGCACGGGGCGCAGCACGTCGATCACGGACGCCGCCCCCGCGGCGTCGATGTCGGCGCACAGGCAGTCGAGGATCATCAACGCGGCGTGCGCGGCATTGAGTCCGTTCGGGGCGCCCGGGGCCAGCGCCGCCGCGGCTTCCTCCGTCGTCGCGCGCAGGTCCTTGCGCCCGACGAGCGCCGCGATCGCCATGGCCGCAAGCCTCCGCACGTGCGCGTGCCGCGCGCGCGCAGCGCAGCGCAGCAACGTCTCGCGGAACGCGCGCAGGTCCGCCGTCACCGCGCTCCCGCCGGGCGCCGGTGCGGTGGACGCGTGCGAGGGCCTCAGGCGCGACAGAACGGCCAGGACGGGGAAGAGCGAGGGGTGCACGGACAGCGCCCCGCCCCCGCTCCACGCGGCGGCCGCGCGCAGCTCCCCCAGCATGAACCCGTGCAGAGACGGGTAGCGGGCGAAGAACTCCGCGGCCGTGAGCGTGCGGCGGCCGCCACCCGTTGCGACCTCGGCGCCGTAGATGTACCCCGGCCCGCGCTGCGAGGCCAGGTCGGACGCGTTGTTCCGGAACCCTAAAATCTTGATTGCCAGCGCGGTGAACGAAAGGGACGCCGCGTTGCGCACCTCCCACTGCGGCGCCGCGAGCGCGCGGATCGACGTCGCCAGCGCCCGCGAGTGGTACGCCGCGGTGTCCGCGGTGATCGACGCGCACTGGAAGATCTCCCGCAAACAATTGAAGGCGTGGATCCGCGGCCACGCCCCCGCGGCGCTCCCGCTCCCGTCGTCCTCCGCGACGCCGAGGAGCGCCTCGACGCATCGCGGCAGCGCCGCGCGCGGCACCCCCGGCGGCTCAGACCGCACGAGCGCCAGCGCGGCGTACGGCAGCCCCGCGGAGCGCCGCGTGACGTCGTCGAGGCCCTGGCCCGGCCGCCGAATGTGCGCGAGCGTCGCGCGCTCCCACTCGTCGGGCACGCGCGACAGCGCCGGCGACCGCGACCGCCGAAGCGACGTCGCGACGACCTGCAGCGCCAGGCCGGTCTTCTCGAGCGCGCCGCGGTGCTTCGATTCGCGCATCGTGTGCATCAGCATCTCGCCCACGGACAGCAGGACCTCCGCGGGGAGCAGATCGTCCGGCGCCGCGGGCCGCTTGCGCTGCGGCTCGGACCCCCCCTCCCCTGGGGGGTCTATTGTGCGGTCCTCGGGCGCGGGGAGCTGCCGGGCGACCTCCGCGACCAGCAGCGCGGCCTCCTTGATCGTGAGCCACGATCCGATCACCATCACCTGCGCGCGCGGCCCCAGCGACGCCACGCCGCCGCCGCCGCCGTCCCCGTCGCCGTCCCCGTCCATTTCCACGTCGCTGCCGTCGTCGTCGCCGCCGCCCGCGCCCTGCTGCACCTCCCCCGCATCGATGTTGTACTTCTTCACCTCGGCCGTCGGCGGGAGCGCCACGCGCAGCGCGCCCCTGATCGCGTCCATCATCCGCACCACGAGCGCGCGCCAGTCCGCCCGCACCGGCCCCGCCGCCTTCCCCGCCGCCACCCAGTCCGTCTCCTCCACGCAGTACCGCAGCGCGAGCAGCGAGCCGTGCGCCAGGCACGCGCTGCACGCCGCGTACAGATCATCCTCGGCGCGCGCCACATCAGCCTCCAACCCCCCCACCATCGACGACAGCGCCGCCAGCTGCGCCCGCAAAGGGTCGGCCTGCGACAGCCCGAGCGTGTCGCGCTTCGCGCGCGTCGTCGCCTGCTCTTCCGGGGGCGGTGGCTCGCACTGTTGCGTCGCGGGGTCCGCCCCGGCGCGCATGTCCCAGCCGAGGCCCCGGGCGTAGCACAGGTAGAGCAGGCGCAGCACGCGCGCTCCGGCGTCGCCGTCCTTCGCGCGCGGGCTCCGCAGCAGCGTGCACGCCCACCGCGCCGTCCGCGTGGCGCCGCCGCCCGCCCCGAGGCCCGGCAGCGGCCGCGGGAGCCGGCTCAGCACCGCGAGACTGCAGTCGCGGAACCGGTCCCAGCTGTCGGTCAGCCCGCCCAGCAGCGCGCGGCACGTTGCGGGCTCCAGCGCGCCCTGCGGCAGCGCCTGGAACGCCCGCGCGCCGGCCGCGGCGCTCGCGGTGATCTTCGCGCCACGCGCGCTCGCCTCCGAGATCTTCGTCGGCGGCGCGCCCTGCGGCGGCCACAGGTCGAGGATCGCGCGCAGGACCTCGATGGCAACGATGCGGCGCGTGTAGGGCGCAGAGGGGTACAGCGACGTCAGGCTCGCCGCCGCGAGCCACTGCACGAAGCCCTCGCACTCCCCGACGCCGGCGAGCAGCGCCACGGTCGGCGCCGTCAGCTCCGGCTGCGCGTCGGGGGGTGCTTTCGCCTTCTTGCGCCACGCGCGCTCCTCCCGCGCCGCGCGCCCCAGCGCCCCCTGCGCCGCGACCTGGATGCGCGGGAGCAGCTTGTTGCCGATCAGCGGCAGCCAGCGGTTCCGCGCCGACGTCGCCGGGGACCGCAGCGCGGCGGCCACGCCGCGGCGCAGGAGCGAGAGCTCGAGAGCGCTCGGCAGCTCCGCGGGCTTGGCGTGCACCGCGAGGAGCTCCGTCGCCGAGATCCGCAGGTCCTCGGAGCGGTGGCACAGCGCGGACACCATGACGCCCTCCGGAAGCGGCTTCCCGGGCCCCACAACCTCCTCGAGGCTGGACACCAGTCCCTCGCGCCGCGCAATGCGCAGCGCCGACATCACCGCGCCCACCACGGTCTCGTCCGAGGCGCGCCCGTCCGCGGCGCGTGCGTCGCGCACGAGGTCGCGCAAGAGCAGCGCGAGGATCGTGGGGCCGTCCTTCAGGCGGAAGATTTGGGGGAGCGCGTACTGCGCGACGTTGATGCGGAAGCGGGCGTCGTCGCCGAGCAGCGCCGCGACGACGTGCGGGCGCCACGCGCGCGACCAGCCCTCCACGGCCGCGCGGCGCGCCGGCGCGTCCACCGCGGCGTCCGCGCAGCTCGCGAGGCTCCCGGCGATCGACCCGGACAGCAGCGAGCCCAGGAGGTTGCTCGCCGGCGTCGCCGTCGAGTTGTCCACCATCGCCGCGACGGTGTCCCTGTACAAGGCCGGCTTCAGCTCCAGCACCGTCGTGGCGCCGCACTTCTCGCACAGCGACTTGAGCGGCCAGCAGCGCGCCCGCGCGCCGATCGGCCCGCCGAACCCGCGCTTCCCGCACCGCGCGCCGCCCTCGTCCAGCGACGTCAGGTGCTCCGCGATCCGCAGCCCCCAGCTGCCGGTTGCACACGACGACGGCGCCGTGGCGTCCAGCAGGTCCACGAAGTCCTCGAACGCCAGCTGCGCGTTCTTCGACGGCCCCATCAGCGGGTCCTCGAACGCGGCCCACATCGCCCCCAGCACCGTGTCCACCCCGCTCTCGTCCAGTGCCGGGACCCCCCCCCGCGCGCCCGCGACCTTCCGCGCCTGCGCGATGACCGCCTGCAGCGTCGCCACCGCGTGGTACTTCACCTGCGCCTCCTCCGCCTCCCTCGCGCACGCCGCCCACCGCACGATCAGCGTCGGCCCCAGCACGCCCTCGCGGCCCCCGGCGTCCACCGGCGACGTCACGACCGCGGCCGGGAGCGACGTCACGGCGCCGCGCACCGCGCACGCCATCCCCACCGGCCCGACTCGCGCGAACTCCGCCGCCAGCGACGTCCCGTCGCCCCGCAGCGCCGCGTCGACGATGCTGTCCGGCTCCGGGCTCGCGTCGTCGCCGCCCAGCAGCTGCGGCAGCAGCGCGCTGGCGAGGAGCCGCGCCGTCCGCGCAGGGGGCAGCTGCGGCAGCGCAGCCGCGCCCCACAGCAGCGCCGACGCCGTCAGGCAGGACTCCTGCGGGAGCACGGTGCGCTGCAGCACTGCGAGGGCCGTGCGCGCGGCGGCGGCCACCGCGCGCGCGCCGTCGCGGTCCGCGCACATCGTCTCGCCGTGCGCCTGCACCAAGTAGTACGCCGTCGAGAGGCACTCCTGCAGGTCCTCGATCCACGGCGACGGGCCGCCCCCGCCGCCCGCCGCCGCGCGCGCGACGACGCCCTCGGGGCCGGCGCGGACGCCGGCGTCGACGGCCGCGGCGAAGTACAGCGCGAGGTCCGTCGCGACGGGCGCGAGGTGGGCTTTGAGGTGGCTCGACGCCAGCGACGCCTGCGGCTCCACCAGCAGCGTTCCCGGGGCGACGGCGCCGGCGGAGAGGGCGTGCGCGGCGCGCCGGGCGTGCGAGGACGCGACGGCGCGCACCGCGGCGCCGATCGCGGCCTCGGCGCGCTCCTGCGCGTCGGCATCGCGCAGCTTTGGAAGCAGGGCCTGCTGCAGCAGCGCGCGGTGCAGGGGCTTGCTGTTGCGTTCGAAGAGGAGGCCGACGAGCGGGGCCGCGAGGGCCTGGGCGTCGTCGTGCGCACGCGCGGTCGCGAGGGCCTGCGAGCGGGTCCGGGAGGGTCGGCCGGGCGTTTCGATGACGGCATGGGGGGGCGTGGGCAGGTACGGAGCGGGCGGGTGTTTCGCGGACCTTGTGGAAGGCCGAGGAGAGCGTCTTGATGTCCTCGAGCTCCGCGTAGGTGCTGCCGAGGTCGCAGAAGGAGCGCAGCGCGCGCGCGAGGGCGTCTGCCCCCTCGGGACCGCCGGCGTCTTCTAGCGGCTCAATCTGCGCGGTGCCGGGACGTGGAGTGGTGTCGACGTTGTACGCGCGTGTACGAAGGAGAGGGCTCCGCCACAGGGCGGCCGCGCGGGGAAGCGCGCGCCCCACGCGGCGGGCGACTGTGCCGTGTGCGGGTGCTGCGCGGCGCGCCGCTGCGAGGCGCGAGGGCGCAGCGCGCGGCACGCACCAGCTTCGTGTACTCTAAACTGAACCGCACGCCGGTCTCGGCCCACTTCTTCCGCTTCTGCGTGTTGCGAAAGCGGCTCGTTGACGCCATCTTGCGCAGCACCCTCCGGCGGCCGCTGCGGCCCTCGCACACCCGCGCGCGATAGCGCCGACAGACTCCGCGCGGCCAGCGCGTGCCGCCGCCGATACCGCGCGCGCGCGGGCGCGCGAGGGGCCGCCGCCTGACGGCCTGACACACTCCGTCACACACCCCACGCCCTCGCCGCGGCGAGCGAACGCGCGTCCGATCGCGCGCCCCTGTCCACACACGCGCCCGCACGATGCTCCGTCTCGCGAGGTGCCGCGCGGCCCTCGCGGCCGGCCGTTCGGCGGCGGCGGCGCGGCGTGGGCGCCGCCCCCGCGCCCCCGCCCCGCGCGGGCCCCGCAGGAAGATCTCCGGCGGCCCCGCGCTGCGCTGCAACTCCCAGCGCGAGCACGCATCGTACCTGGAGTCCGTCGCGGCGACGCAGGCGCCGAACAACCTCCCCTGTGTCCTCGCGATGCTGTCGGCGATGGGGTGGCAGGAGTGCGACCCCGCGGCGCGCGCGGGCCTCCACCCGTTCATCGTGCCGCTCGCGGAGAAGGGAGACACGAAGGAGGTGATCGGGGTGCTGGTGTGGCCGCAGCCGAAGCTGCACAAGGACATGACGTCGCCCATCGTGGCGATGGCCCGGGGGGCGCCGAGGGTGCGGCTCTGTGCGCGCTCGGCGGACGAGTGGATCAAGCGGCAGCTGTGCGAGGAGGATGTCAAGGGCGAGAGCACGGCGCTGCAGGTGCGCCGAGGCCCGCCGCGCCCGGACGGCGGCGCTGCGGGGCAGAAGGAGTCGGCGCTGTGTGCGCGCCATCCGGGGCCACGCGGCCTCGCGCGGACGAGCGACGCGGGGCAGAAGGCGCGGCTGCGTGTGTCGTGTGCAGGAGGCGGCGGGGAACATCGGTTTGAGTCTGTACAAGTCCGGAGACTATGCGAAATCAGGACTGAGCCGGTTGGACGCCTTCATGACGCGCAGGCGCGCCCGCGACGCCCCGCGCGCTGCGGCCCGCGCCCGCCTGGCGCCCCTGCCTCGCCTCCATGCCCTCGGCCGGCGACCGAGCGCATTGCGAACGCGCAACCAATGGATCGTATCTTGTCATGAGTCAAACGTGTGGTGTCTTCGCGCCTGCAGCGTGGGACTCTTCCCGGACGTGTGCGAGAACCTCGCGGCGCACCACTTCGCGAACGGCGACCAGATGTCGGGCCTCATCGCCGCCGAATGGTCCGCGTCCGCCCCTCCACCACGCCTCACGCCTCACGCCGCGCCCGCCGCACGCCCCCCGCCTCACGCCGCGGCCGCGCGCCGCGTGCCCGCAGGTACATGAAGAGCGGGGCCAAGTTCCCCGGCTGGGGCCGCCCGTTCGAGTTCAACGCGATGGAGTACCTCCGCCTGGGGCGCGACGACGAGGCGCGCGACACGATGAAGATGGCGCTGAACATGCAGCCGTGGTGGACGCTGCACGGGGACTTCGGGACGTGGATCGAGGTCGCCAAGGTGCGCCGCGTTTTCACCGCGCCTGTCGTGCCGGGCTGGCTGGCACGGGTCTGCATCCTGAGTCAGACACCCAAGGACGGGAAGCAGCCGTAGCGAGCTGAGCGTTGCTCCTCCGAGCGCAGGCCGCCCCGCCCGGTATCTGATGCTCACAGACGGGGCCGGCGCGCGGCGTTTTTCCCGGCGCCCTCAGCCAGTGGCGCACGACGTAGTCGGGCGCACGCCCCCCCGGCCCCTCTCCTTCACCCGCGCGCGGGCCCTCCGCGCGCCAGCCCTCAGTGCGCCGCAGCGGACGGGTCACGGGTGCGCGATCGACCCCAACGACGCCGACGAATAAATAAATCGATTTAATTGTTCGGAGTGGCGCGCAGTTGGCGGGTCCGGGGCCCGCGGACGTGATCAAGCGGCTCAAGGAGGAGAAGGAGGTCGCGGAGATGCGGCAGGGGATGCACAAGGAGCCGCGCACGCCCGAGGAGATCGCGCTGGAGGAGGCGGCGGCGGTGATGAACATCGTGGGGGCGGCGGCGCCCGACAGCGCAGACGCGGACTGGGCGGGCACGGTGCCGGAGCTGGTGCGGCTGTACGGGGCGGCGGGGCTTGCGGAGTTCGCGAGGTTCGTGGAGGGCGCGCGGTGACGGTCCGGGAATTCCCAGGGAACCACTTTCACGGACGGTCGGGGGAGACACTGGCCGTGCTTCTAGCGATGTCCGGGGCGAATCGAGGGGTAGTGGTAGCGGAGGTGTTAGGAGGCCGAACAGCCCCGGGTACTCCACCGCGTCGTTGCTCTCGGCCACCCCTTTCCTTATTGTGACCTCCGGTTTGACGCCTTTTGTCAGACTGGAAGTTCATTACACATTATGCCCCACTTCCCAAGTAAATCATGGTCCCCACTCGCGTCGATCGGCCGAAATTGAGTGGCGCCGCCGCCTCGCCCGCGACTGCGCACACCGGCTTTCCAAGGACCTTGGCAGCGACCCACGCGGTCGCATAGGCCTTGCGTCGGTCCCAGCTGCCCAGGGACGGCACACTCGGCGTGTTCGGGGGCGCCGCCACACAAGCAAGCCTCCGCTCGAACCGCAGACGAAACCTGGTTTGTACTTCGACCTGCAGGCACCCTCACCGCGAGGATGCTTGAAGCGCGACCGACATCGGTTTGCAAGTCGACCGCGCGCGACTCGGGACCTGGCTGTGGGGCCCAATGAGATGCGGGGGGGTGTTGGGAGGGTCCTCCCGGGGGGTTCGAGGCGAGGAGTCGTCGCGTGGGTGTTGGGCGGGCGCCGGGAGACGTTCGGGTAGTGCGCGCGAGGCTGTGTGAGTTCATCTGGTCGCGTTTCTAGCGCGGGCGGTCAAAAATACTTCTCTTGCGAGTCGGTGCCGAGGGTGCCTGCAGTGCTCCACGCACGCGCGTTTCCGGATCGGCGCGTGCGTATTCCGCGGGTTCCGGCCTAGACGGAAGAAGTGACTGTATCTGAGGAGTCGCTCGCGCGATGGCGGCGACGTTCGAGCAATGGTCGGCCCAGTTCAGCGCGCAGGCGAGGGTGCCCCTTCGCACGCGTTTGCGGTCCCCACACGCCGTGTTTCCTGGCCGAACTTGCGACCCTGCGCACCCTCATCATCGACCAATGACGGAACCGATGTCGAGCGGGCGCCTGACGCGCCCTGTTCGGCGTCAGCGCGGCCGTGGTTTGGCAGGCGGTTGAGAGACTTACAGACCGGAGACGTGCCCCGTGCGGCCTGCGGAGGCAGGGGCGGCCGAGCTCCCCCCCCCCGCACTCCCGAACGGCCCGCGAGAGCGCCGACGGTCGCTGCGCTACCGCCGGCTGCCGAAAGCCCAGGGTCGAGGGACCGGCTGCACCGGCGCTGGTCGCCGGGGTGGGAGGGGTGGCCGCTTGCTGGCACTGCGCGTCCGGAGGCGGCGTGTGCAGACGCCGGAACCCCCGCCCATGTGTATCTGGGCACGCAGGTGAATTTCAAGGTCTGCAACGCGGCGGAGCGCCTGTTTGCAAACGATGAGGGCTGTCGCATCTACCTGGCGGACAAGAAGCTGACAGACGGCGACGTGCGAGGCGTTGCGGCCGCGTTGCAGTGCAACAACACGCTGACGAACCTCGACATGGGGGGCGCGTCGTTTGGCCGTCCTGGCGCGCAAGCCCTCGCCGACGCGCTGCGGAGCAACACGTCGCTGCGGGAGCTGCATCTGCGGTACACGGAGACTCTGGCGGACGGGGCGATCCCGTTGGCGGAAGCGCTGCGAGGCGGCGGAGCGCCGATGCTGGAGGTGCTCAACCTCACGGGCTGCGGGCTGGACGGTGAGACGGCATGCGTCGTGGGGGAGTGCCTCGCGGGGTGCAAGCACGTCGTCGAGGTCAGCCTGAGCCAGAACGAGGGGTGCGCACGCAACGCCGTTGCTGGCCCGGGGGGGGCGCCGCCCGTGCCGCGGCGCCCGCTCGCTCGCACGACCACGCTCGCTGGCACGACCACGCTTGTTGTTGTGCTCACAGTCCGCAGCCGCGCCACACTTGGCCGACACCTGGAGTGCGTTCATGCCCGCCGCTGATGACGCACTGCAGTGCCGTCGCACACGTCGTCGTTCCGCAGGTGCGGGGACGGCGCCGCGGCCGGGATCGCGGCCGGAATCGCCGCTGGCGCCACACCGAGACGGGTGAACGTGCACTCGTGCGGTATGACGGACAAGGGCCTCGGTTTGCTCGCGGACGCGCTGCGCCGTGACACGCACATGGAGCAGTTGAACCTGTCCTCCAACAAGTTCAGCGACGTCGGCGCGGAGGCCCTCGCGGAGGCCCTGCGCGCCAACACGACGCTGCGTCGCGTCATGCTCGTGAACAGCCCGGGCATCGGCCAGCGCGGGTGGGCGGCGCTGCAGGCGGCGGTGGAGGCCCGCGGGGGCGCACTCGAGGTGATCGACGCCTAGCGCGGCGCACGGTGCCGGCTTGCGCCCCCCGCGAGGAGCAGCGCGCCGTGTGCGCGTGTAAGCTGCACGGCATCTCGCGGCTGGGCTGGGCTGCGGCGGCGTTCGCAGCGCGACGGGTTTCGCCCGTGTTGCACGCGCCGAGTCTCGCCTGCCGTACCATTTCGGTCGCTCAAGCGTCCTCGCGGCGAGGGTGCTTGTAGGTCAGCGAAGTACTAACCGTACCATTTCGGTCGCTCAGGCATCCTCGCGGTGAGGGTGCTTGTAGGTCAGCGAAGTACAAACAAATCCTCGCGGCGAGGGTGCCAGTAGGTCAGCGAACCAACCACAATCACAGGTCGATCTTGATCACACGCGCTGCGCGCGGATTTGTCCCCTGCTCGCTCACTTGGCCATGCGCCCGTCCGGGATGTTGTACAGCAGCACGGCCTCCCCGGGGCGCGTGGCGGGGGAGTCCACGATGTAGTATCCCTTGCGTTCCAGCTGTATCACGTCGCCCTTGCTCAGCGTGCGCATGTTCGGGTCCCCCAGCGCGGCCACCTCCTTCCAGCTCTCCTTGTTCACCAGCGCCTCGAAGTCGTCGTCCTCCTCTAGCTTGGGCTTCGAAATCAGGTGCCTGCAAGTGTGGCGGGGACGGCGGCGGCGGTGTGGCAAACAACAGGGGTGTTGTATTTGCAGGTGTGCATGCCACACCGTTTTGGACGCCGTGGCAACCACAGCGCGCATGGCACTCGGTAGGCTCGCACCCCAGCTCCACCACGCGCAGCGGGACGAGGTCCGGCACGTCTGCAAGCCAAGTCAGCTTCAGCTTCGTTTGTTTGAAGTTGCCCCCCACGTGTAGCTCGCCAACGAGCCGCACGACCTTCGACTTGGCGTCGTTCGCGTCCTCCCGCACGATCTTCCGCACGAAGCAGTTGCCCCAGTCCATCAGCGTGACCTCCTCGCCCTCCGTGACGACCTGCGCGTCGGCCTGGTCGAGCAAGATCCGCGCCGCCCGGTAGCTCGCCTTGACGCCCGCCGGTGGGTGCTTCTTGTGCCGCGGGACCGTCACGTACTCGACTCCCCCGGGGCCGTTGGTCAGCTCCATCGGCACCGCGTCCGCGGAGACCACCGCGGTGTGCCGCGGGCACACGGGATCGATGATGCGCTTGTTGATCGACCAGATCTTGTCCCATTCCTGAAGCGTGTTATTCTTCGAAGCGCCCTGGCTTATTATGAAATCCCTGCACGCGCGCTCCCGCAGCGACGGAGGCGGAACTTGGTCGGAGGCGGAACACGTGCACGCGGCCGCCGACTCCGCCGCGCCCTCTGGCGCGAGCTCGTGCCCGCCCGCGCGTGTCCAGCACGAGACGCGCGTGACCGACGGCTGGCGCGCGCGCGGAGCGTCCGGCAGCGTCCAGCCGTCTATGTACTCCAGCAGCATGTAGCCGCGTGCTCACCTGAGCGCCTCGACCTGGAGGCCGCGCCGGACGAGGCCCTGCACCGTGGGGAAGCGCGCGTCGAACCAGCTCTGGACGTACCCCTGGTCGCAGAAGTACTGGAGCTTACGCTTCGACAGCACGGTGTACTGGAAGTTGAGCCGCGCGAAGTCCCACATGCACACGTCCGGGAGCCCCGGGGACACGCTCTGGTGCGCCTTGAGGATCCAGTAGTACTGCGGCTCGCGGTCCTTGTACTCGCTCGTGCGCAGCGCGTGCGTCACGCCCTCGAACGCGTCCACGAACGGGCACGCGAAGTCGTACGTCGGGTATGCCTTGTACCGCGTGCCCGTGCGGTGGTGCGGCACGAGGTTGCACCGGTACGCCACGGGGTCGCGCATGCACCCGTTCTCGCTCTTCATGTCGATCTTCAGCCGCATGCAGCACGACTGCCCCTCGGCGCTCCCCGCCAGCATCTCCCGCCACAGCCGCAGGTTCTCCTCCACGCTCTGCCCGCGGCACCGGCTCTCCTTGCACGCGAGCCGCTCCTCGCGCATCACGTCGACCGGCGTCGTGTCGCCGTACATCACCCCGGCGCCGATCAGCCGCCTCGCCGCCTCCTGGAGCCTGTCGAAGTAGTCCGACGTGTACGTGATGCGGTCCCACTCGATGCCCAGCGTCTTGATGTCGCGCAGGATGCTCTCGACGAACTCGTCCTTCTCCTTCGTCGGGTTCGTGTCGTCGAACCGCACGATGAGCTTGCCGTCGTAGATCTTGGCGAAGTAGTGGTTGAGAAGCGCGGCCTTGGCGTGCCCCACGTGCAGGTACCCGGAGGGCTCGGGGGGGAACCGCGTGACCACCTTGCCCGGCGCCGCGCCGGGCAGGTCGAGGTCGAACGTCCCGCCCTCGCCCTTCTTCTTCCCCGTGACCTCCGCCGCGCGTTTCGCGGTCTCGCTGCTCTTGCCTGCGCGCGCGCGGGGGGGGGCGTTTCGGGGGCGTTTCGGGGGCGTTTTTGCGCGTGACGCGGCGCCGCGCGCGAGCGGGCGCCGGTTGGCAACGTCGTCGTCGCGGTTTTATGTCGTATGTGTCATACCTGCGCTCTTGAACTCGGCGGCGGCCCTGGCGCACTCCGCGTGGTCGCCGATGAAGTTGAACCAGCGCGCGAGGTGCACCGCGCCGGGCGACGACTTGACCTTGTCCCACATGGGCGTAGTGGCCAGCTGGGACCATATGGCCAGGTCCGCCAGCGTCAGCGCGTGGCCGACGAGGTACGTGCGCGCCGCGAGGCAGTCGGACAGGGCGTGGCACACGGGCTGGAACGTCGGGCCGGCGACGAGGGTCGCGCACACGTCCAGCCACAGGTCGACCTCGACGGCGGTGCGTGCGTCGCCCGGGGCGCCGTAGAGGGCCGGGGCGTCCGCGCGGGCGGCGGCGGTGCGCGCGATGAAGCGGAGCATCATCGGGACTCCCGAAATCTCGAACCTGCGTGCGGGAAGCGCCGACGCCGGGCCGGTTGCGGCGGGAGGTGGCGTGCGCTGGGAGCGCGGTGGCTGTGCGTGGGCGCAGGCCGCGCGGGCGGCGCGGCGGGGCGACGCGGAGGTGCGCTGGGGTCGGAGGGGAGCGGAGGGGGCGCTGGACGGGGGGGGGGTGCGTGGCCGCGGAGTGTGTGCGCGGAGGCAGAAGGAGGTGGGGAGGGCCGCCGTGGTGGCGCGGTGGGGCGCGGCGGGCCGCGCGCCGATGGCGACGGCGTTGGGTGAGTTGTGGTGACGTTGGCCGGACGCGCGCGGGGCGGCGCGGGCGGCCGGGGACGGAGGGGGCGGCGCGCGGGGGGCTGCTGCTGTGCGCGCGGGCCGCGTGCGCACCCGTCGGGGAGAACCATGACGGGCGGGTCGGTCTTCGGGTACTTGGCGTCGCTCTCGACCTTGACGTCGACGCCGGCCATCCGGGCGCCCGCGATGGCGCCCAGGGCGGGCGCCCGCTCCCAGCACCGGATCACCGCCGGGCTCATTGCGCCCAGAACCGTCGACTGCGCGGGCTCAGGGGTTGTGCGGGCGGCGCCGCAGCGGGGCCGGCACTCCGCCGCGCCGGCGGCTCGCCGGCCCGCGGGCCCCTGGCCGCGCGCGGTCGGACTTCGTTCACTCCCCTTGTCGACGCAGGACATCGCCGCACAGGCCGAGTTACTCAGGTCCGCGGCCCAGAACGCGTCGTTTATTTCCATATCTCGCGATAACTTCCGTACGCTTCGACGCGAAACCCCCCCCGCGTCCACGGGAGCCCGTAGGCACCCTTGGTGCTTCCTGCTGCCATTCTGCGAGCGCGCGGGGGCCGAGCGGGCACGAACCGAACACGACCAGATCCCGCGCACGACCAGGAGGCCCGCCGCGGCGCTCGATCGCGCATCCTCGGACGTGCGGAGGTGACAACGCCGCACCGCTGCCCACACAACACGACGCGGGCGACCGCCGTGCGCCGCGGCCCTACCGGCGCGACCCCGCGCGGGCATGGACGAGGATGAGCTCGCTCTGCTGGGCACGGGCGGAGGGGGTCCGTCACCCCCGTCTTCCGCCCCAGCAGCGGCCCAAGCCCCGGCCAGTCAGCAGCAGCCCGCTAGCGGCGGCCCCGGGCCCGGAGGCGCTCCGCAGCACCCGGGAGCGATGCGTCCAGCGGGCAACCCGTACATTCATCCCGGGCAGCTCGACCACGCGCAGCTCCAGAGGCCTGCCCTGGCCGCTGCCAACCCCGGCGCACCCACCCTGCAGCGCCCGCCGCCGCAGCAGCCGCCGGGCGCGGCCGCGCGACCACCGCAGGCGCAGCAGCAGCAGGCGCAGGGCTTCGCGGAGGCCGAGCAGAAGCCCGTGAACAGGCAGCAGGGGGGGGGCGACAGGGAGAGGAGCGCGGCGGACACGCTGGCGAAGATGGTCACGTTCTGGGTCAGTTTGGCGCAGAAACGACCCGCGCTGAAGGAGCTCGAGCCGCTCATCCCCGGCGTCAAGGCCGGGAGGGTGACGAAGGCTGACCTCGCGGTCAAGCTGCGGGAGCTCTGCCCGGACCTGGGCGACCAGGCCTACCCGGTCCTCGAAAAATACTGCAAAGACTGGGCGCAGCGCAGGAAGGCCCAGATGGCCCAGGCGGCCCCTGCGATGACGGACGACATGAAGGCACAACTGGTGGCCGGCGACGGGCGCCGCTTCGCCGCGAGCGGGTGCGCGCGCCCCCCGCCGCCCCCTCCCTGCGCCCTGCACCGCCGCGCAGCGCACTCGCGGCGAAACCAACCCCCACGAACCCACGCGCCGCCAAACCCTGTGTGCGTGTGCCTCGGTGTTGTTACGCGACGTCGCTGACGGCGCGGCCCAGGACGCTCACCGCCGCGCAGCGCCCCGCGGCCCCGACGCGCGCAGGTACCGGCCGCCCAAGGTGTCGGTGCTCGGCGAGGGCGCGCGGAGCGCCGTGGTGGCGCAGATGCGGGACCGCGGCATGGCCGGGGACCCCGCGGTGAGCGCGCGGACGTTCCTGGACAGCGCGGTCGGGCAGCACGTGGGCGGCGTGCTGCAGCGGCTGGTGGACATGTCGCGCGTGCGGCTGGACCTGGACAAGTGGGGGTGGGAGGTGGAGGTGCGCAGCGAGGCGCGGCGGTACGTGGTCAAGGTCGTGAAGGACGAGCGCGAGGCGGCGTCGAAGCGGAAGGAGCGCAAGGCGGAGATGGAGCTGCTGCTGAAGACGTGAGACCCCGCCCCCGTCAACATATCTGAATATTGAATGTTGATGACAAGTTATGGTTTCTCGATTGAGGATCGTTGAGCGGCGAGGTGTCTCCGGCCCCGTGGCTGGAGTGTGGCCGCCGCTGACGCGCGGCGCGCGCGTGGTCCGCTGCTGGCGTCGGTGGCGGAGCCACGGAGACGTCGTGTCGTTGCTCCTCGCCCCCGCAAGTCGCACGTTCGACGTGTCTTGTACGTGTTTTCGCCGCGATCGTGGCCGGAATCGCTCCGCGAAGGTCCCGACCGCCACCCCTGCCGCAACCCCGACCGTTCCTGCGCCATCACACCCCCTCCTCACGCCCCCCGCCCGCCATCACACCCCTGGGCCCGCCACAGGCCCGCCCGCGCCGCTCCCGCACCCCGCACCACCCTCCGCGCCCGACCGAGCCTGCGCGCGCCCCCCCGCGCCCCGCAGGCGCAAGCGGCGGCAGGCCGACACCGCGGACGCAGGGCCCGCGGACAAGAAGGCGAAGCTCTCGCGGCCCGCCGGGCCCGCGGGCGTGTGGTTCAGCGGGCCCAGCCTGTCGCTGAAGAACACCGGCGCGAAGCCCAAGACCTTCGCGGGCGCACCGAAGCTCAGCAGGTCCACGCCGGGCGCCGGGCCGTCGTCGGGTGCGCAGCCGGCGGCGGGGGCGGCCGCGGAGGCGGAGGAGGCGAAGGCGAAGGAGGACGCGGCGATTATGGCGACGATCGAGGACACGTACGCCGCGGAGGCGGAGCGCAAGCGGCGGATCGTGCTGGAGGATCTGGCGGCGGTGCTGCAGTCGGATCCGCGGTACCGGAGGAGCCAGGTGCTGTACAAGCTGTACGAGAAGATGGCGAAGGAGGAGCGGGAGGCGTACGCGGAGGCGGACTGAGGGGGCGTGGGGTTGTTTGGAGGGGGGTGTGACGCGAGTGTGACTGGTGCGTGTCCGGGGCGGGTGCTTGTGGGTTCGTGGGGCGGGGCCCGCGGTGAGTTGCGGGGGTGCGGCGTTGAGGCTTGGTGGAGCGGGGAGACGCCGTAAGAGATCGAAAGGGAGGTGGTGGTAGTCTTGGGGACGGGTGCTGGAGGGGCGGGGTCGTCGCGATGGGCAAGGCGGAGGAGAAGATCAAGAAGGGGGGCTTCGGGTTCATTTTCGACATCGACGGCGTGCTCATGAAGGTGCGAGCGCCCCCGAGGAGGAGGATGCCTCCCACAGCTCTCTGCACGCTGCCCAGGCGTCTGTACGGCACCCGACGGCGGCAATTTGCTAGATTTCCAATCCTCGCCCCATAGGCATTGCAGCGCGCACCGCAAAGCCAATGTCTCTCTCACAGGCGAGCCCTCAGCACGCTCTCAACCAGCGCGCGGCTTCGCTGCAGGGAAAGGACCCGATTCCCGGCGCCAGGGACGCGATCGAGCTGGTCAACAAGGCCGGCGTGCCCTACTGCGCCATCACCAACAACGGCGCGGAGCTCGAGGCCGGCCGCGCCGCCCGACTGAGCAGGGACCTCCAGCTGCCCTGGCCGCGCGAGCGCATGGTCATGTGTCATACCGCGCTCCAGGACGAGGCGCAGCGCTTCGGGAAGCGCCTCGTGCTCGTCTCGGGCCGCACGCGGGCCAAGGGCGGCGCGAAGGAGATCCTGCGGGAACACGGCTTCCAGAACGTCGCGTCCATGCTCGAGTACACAAAGTGCCGCCCGGAGCTGGTGCGTCGGTGTCCCGCGCGCGAACGACGCGCCGCGCTGGCCACGCGAGGAGTGCGCGGACGTCCGTGTTCGGTGGCTGAGGTCCTTGCAGGTGCCGCACCTGGATCTGGGCCCGCGGCCGCCGTACGCGGCGGTCGGAAAGCAGCCCGTCGCCGCGATCGTCGTGCTCGAGATGCCCGAGGACTGGCATGCGGAGCTGCAGGTCATGGTCGACCTCCTGACGTCGACGGGGACGCCCGGATCGCCCGCGCCGCCGGGCGAGCAGCCCGTGGAGCTCCTCTTCACAAACTTCGACTTCACGTGCGCCCCCTCCGCCCGGCTGCAGCGCGAGCCGTCAACGGCACCGCTCCTGCACGCAGCTGCGCGTGGTGCGATTGGTGTCAACAGCGACGTGCGCGAGGCATCGTGCGTCGCGGCACCCGCGCAAACCACACAGAACCATGCCGCACGCGCGGCCGACGAGCACCGCACACGCGCACAGAGGCACGGCCCGTTTCCCGCACTCACGAGACGCGCGCTCTTTGTCTTGCAGGTTCCCCTCCGCGACCGCGCCGCCCCGCCTCGGCCCCGGCGCCTTCTACGACGCCCTCGCAGCGCTCTTCCGCGCCGTCCGCCCGGGCCAGGAGCTCGCGTGCACGCGCCACGGGAAGCCGCACCCGCAGCCGTACGTGTACGCGATGAAGCTGATGGAGGCGCAGCTGCACGCCGACCTGCACGAGGACCCCGCGCTGCACATGCGGCGCGTGTACGCGGTGGGCGACAACCCCGCGAGCGACGTGCGCGGGGCGCGGGCCGCGGGCGCGGCGTTCGTGCCGATACTGGTGCGCACGGGCGCGTGGCACGGCGGCGAGGGTTGCGATAACGACGAGAGGGACCCGGCGGATCACGTGTGCGGGGATGTGCTCGAGGCGGTGCAGCTGGTGCTGGCGCTCGAGGAGGGCGCGGGGCCGCCGGCGCGGAAGAAGGTGAAGGTGGAGGGGGCGTGATGCAAGGGGTGGGGGGGGGTGTGACGCGGTGCGACGTGGGAGGTGGCGCACGTCCGTATGGCGTCGCGCAGGAGGAGGGCGCATTCATCTCCTTCGTTATTCCTATCATTGTTGCAAATTTCTACTTGATATCATGTTTTTCTTATTCTCATTATTATCTTCTGTGTTGAGTGATTCGGGGCTCACGAGCACCCGCACGGCGGTGCTTCCCCGAGATCGAGCGACGCTCACGCTCATCCGCCGCAGCGCACCGTCGCGGCGCCACACGCAGGCCCCGGCCAGGCTGCACGCACCGCCACCCGCTCACACCGCCGCTCAGCTCTCGCCGAGCCGGGCCGCCTGCGCCTTGATCAGCGGGTGCTCCGCGAGCTCCGGCTGGATCCCGACGATCTTCTCCACCAGCTCCCTATACCCCCCAGAGTCCCCCAGGGCCAGCTTGCACAACGCGTACTGGAACAACACGTCGACGTCCTCCGGCGCGGCCGCCACGGCGCGCTCGTACAGCTCCACCGCCTCCTGCGGCCTCCCACGCGCTTCCTGCACGCAAGCGAGCGCACGGCCGCGAAACGTTCTCTCCGCCCCCGCACACAGCCGCGAGCCCCCCCCTCGCTTAGTATCGATATCAGATCGATATTCTATGTTCGCTCGTCCCGGACGCGTCTGCGCGGGCCGCGAGCGTCGGTGCGGGCTGCGTCAGACCTGCAGGAGCGTGGCGAGGTTGTTGAGGCTGTCGACGTGGTTGGGGTTCAGTGCGATCGCCCGCCGGTAGGACTCCTCCGCCTCGTCGAGCGCGCCGACGGTCTGGTAGAAGTTCGCGAGCTCGAAGTGCGCCAGGTGGCTGTCCGGGGCCTGGGCCACCTGCGCCGCCGCACACAGACCCGGCAGCATCGGGCCGCAAAGCACGCGGCTGCGCGCGGGCGCGGGCGCGGGCCGGGCGGTGCGCGCGGCGGCGATGCTGAATCGCAAGCCCTCGTTGTTGAGCATCAGCGTCGGATCGCTGAGGCTCTTTTGCCGCGCGAACAGGGGCCACGCTGGCGATGAGCTGGCCAGCCCCTGTTCGCGCGGCAAAAGCGCCTCAGCGATCCCACGCTGATGCTGAACAGCGAGGGCTTGCGTCACCTCCTGACGGCGGCTCGAAACAGCACGACGTGGCGCGGTGTCAGCGTGAGAGTGCGCGACCGGCGCCGCGCGGCGGCTCCGTGCGAGGCCGCGGGCCGCACCTGCTTGATGAAGCGCTCCTTCGCGCCGTCGACGAAGACGCGGAAGGCCTTCTCGATGTCGGCAAGCTTCTGCGCGTCACCCTGGGCATTCTGTGCCGCTATCTCCCTCGCCCGCAGCAGCCCCTGCGCGAACGCGGAGCCAAATCCCAGAGATCAGTACAGGTGATCGGAGAAGATGCGAAAAAGCGCGGATCTCGGCGCGGGGTGCCCGTGATCGGGCGCACAGATGCATCGCGCGCACAAAGAGGCCGATTCCCGCGCCGCACGCGCACCTCGAACGTGGTGCCCTTCCCCACGCGCAAGATTTCGAACGGGTTGAACTCGTCCAGCTCCGCCGGGTACTTGATGTTGCCGCCCATGCACGCAACGCCGCGGCGGAGCACTGGCGGGCACATAGCGCGCCGCACGGGCACGGGAGGGGGTCCGCGTCGCCGGCCAGCCCCAAGGCCCTTGCAAACTAGTACGGGGCACCGCGCAGCGTGCGTCTGAGCGCCGATCATCGCGCCTATGGGGCTCCCCGGCCCGCTACCAACAAGCTGCTTTATCGCCGCCGTTCACGCGTCGAACCGCAGTGAGCTTGGCTGGTCTCGCGGTGCGCAGCGGTGCAGCGGCCCTGCCCGCGTCGTCGCGCACCCAAATCTCCGGAGCGCCCCTCTCGCAGCGCGCACGCGCTGGTAGTCCCCCGGGGCCACTCTCGGGCCGCGTTCCGCGCCCGCAGGGGCGCAACGGGGCCGCCGGGGCCGCCCGCGGCAGCACTTGCGTAGCAGGCGGCGTAGAGGTGATCGGAAGCACGGTTTCGCGTTTTCAGAGCTTCGTTGAGGGTTGTCGAGTGCGCGCAATCACCCAGGGGCGCAGGGGCAGCGAGCGGGGCGGCTGAGTGTTGGTTGTGGCGGGAAAAGATGGGGCTGTCACCGGACGAGATCACGATGTGCCGAAAGGCCTTCGCGCAGTTCGACGCCGACGGTACGCGACGCAAGGCGCAGCGAGGGGCCTGCTGCGCTCTCGTGGCACGTGTTTCGTCGCCGCGAGGCAACCGCGCCCGCGGAATTCGGCCGCGTTCGACGGCGTATGATTTTCACCATCCCGAGACCGCGCGGCCCGGGCGCGCGCGCACCCTCCCGCGCGCGGGCGCCCGTTGCCATGCGTCGCTGCCCTCTGGCCCCGGAAAGCAGCGCGTGCTGCCACGAAAATCAACCTTTACGCAGCCCCCGTGCGAGAACACCCCCCGAACTGCCCAGCAGGCCCGTCACGCGCCCCGCCGGGCAACGCAGTGTAACGGCTGCCCGCCCCTCTCTCAGTGTCCTGTGCACCACCGCGAACGCGTTGCGCCCGGCGGCGCGTCTCCGGCAGTTTCCTGAGCCTCGCATACGTCTCCGCGCCGTCCCGTGGCCGCATTCCGCCGCGCGCGGCCGAGCACTCGCGAAATCTCGATATTGCGTTTGCAGGGAGCGGGACGATCGACGTCTCCGAGCTGCGCACTGCGCTCGAGGCCCTGGGGCAGCAGCCCACGGAGGACGAGCTCTTCAACATGATCGCTCAGGCGCGCTCCCCGAAACGCTCCCGCGCCCCTCCCGGGCGCACGCGGGCCGCCCTGCTCGCGGCGCCTGCCTCCGCGCAGCGCCCGGCCAACGCCGCGGCAAACGCCGGGCTCCGCGCCTCCGCCGGGCGCTCGCGTGCGTCTCCATCCTCCGCGCGGCCCCCGCCGCGTCACGTCGCGCCTACGCCGCCGCCCGCGCTCTTTGCCGCACTCGCGACCTCGGCACAGACGCTCGTCGGCCCCCAAGCGCCGCCCACGCCACGCCACGTCCGCCGCAGCGCCGCACCGCGCGCACCCGCGGCCCGCAGCGACGCGCCGCGCCCCTCCCCGCGCAATACGACCCCCCCTGACGCGTCAACACACCCCCCGCGTGCGCCGTGGCAGGTGGACGAGGACAACAGCGGGCAGATCGAGTTCCGGGAATTCCTCAAGGTGATCGAGTCGCAGAAGCAGGCGAACGCGCGGAAGGACGACGAGTCGGAGATCGTGGCGGCCTTCGTGGCCATGGGCGGCGCGGCGGACAAGAGTGGGTCAGTGTCGGCGGCGCGGCTGAAGGAGACGATCAAGGAGTTCGGGCTGACGATCGACATCGAGAAGATGATCCGGGAACTGGACAAGGACGACTCCGGGCTCCTCGAGTACCCCGAGTTTAAGGCGATGCTCATGTAATAATGGTGCATGTGACTGACTCAGTCTGACAAACGCGTCGAACCGGACCGCGGACCTGGGAGGTCGCGTTGAACAAGGAAAAAAAAAGGGGGCGGCCGAGAGCAGCGACGCGGTGGAGGAAGAGCTACCCGCTCGCAGAAAGAGCACGCTGCAGCGGCAGATGGTGGGACCCACCACACCTGCGCCCGCAGCTGTGTTTGTTTGTCCCACCAACAAACAAAGACGAACGGATACTCGTGCGTATCTACGTCTGTGCCGCCGAACAAGACAGGCGGGCGGCAGGGAGCGCATTGACCGGTAACAGGTCCGCAGCAACGGTGGAGGACCCACGTGCGAGACAGCGTGGCCGCAGTCCGCCGAGCGGCCTTCACAGGAGGTTCGCGATGCGCACGGGCCCGTCCCGGAGGCCCGCCGCGCCCTCCACCGCGGCCTGCACGATGGGCGCCAGGTCGCCCTGCTTATCGAGGAAGAACGCTAGACGGTGCGAGTCCACCCCGTGGACCTTCAAACACACCCCCGGGAACCTCTCCACCATCCTGCCCTGGTTCAGGTCGTGCGCCCACGTCCCCGTGTGCACCATCACGCGCCGACTTGCAGCGTCGATCACCACAGACCCCTCCCCGTCGCCGCCGCTCCCCGGCCGCTCGTCCTTGCCCGCCCCCAGCGCGGGGGCCTCGCTCAGTCCCTCCGCGATCACGTCCCGCAGCGCCGCCCACGTCTGCGGCGCCGCAACCGCACGGAGCCTCGTGTTTGCGCCGCACGCGAGCGCCGAGCAACGCACGTCCGCGCGCACTGAAGACGAGAAAGCATTGCGTGCGGAAAGGGGAAGACGGGCGCGGCGAGGAGAGGAGTTTGCTCCCTGGAGCGTACGCGGCCGGTGCGGGGAAACGGCGGGCGTGTTTATGTAGGCGCTGTATATATAGCAGGCAGCGAGGCGACGTACCTCGGGGCTGGAGCCCGGGCGGATCGCCGACTCAGCGAGGTCGACCTGCGGGCAGAACGCCACGGCGCGGGACGCGAGCCCGGCGAACATGAGGCACGCGGACGCCCCCATGGAGTCCCCCAGGAGGACAACGGCGTCGTACCCTGCGGCGGCCTGCGCCAGGCGCGAGCGGTAGGACTTCCAGCCGCCGTCGAGGCCGCCGTACCACGACCGCTGCGAGTCCACGACGAAGAGCGTGTCGAAGTCCGCGACCGGGCTGCTGGACGCCTCCATCCCTGCGGGGGAGTATTGGGGGGGGAGTTTACCGCGGTCACCGCGGCGGCGAGGGGTGAGGAGTTGCGCGGGGGAAAGAGACGGAGAACGCTCGTCTGTGGCGAGAAGAGAGGAGGAAGAGGTGAGGGCAGTCGAGGATTCTCGATTGAACACCTTTCCTGAGATATCAGGGGCTCGCACCGGCGCGCACGCGCTTGAGCAGGCCGCCCCAGTTCGGCTCCCCCGGCGCGCTCCCGAACGCCACGACCAGCACAGCCCCGCGCTCCCCCTCAACACCCCCCCGGACCCTCTTGAAGTACCCGGGGGCGTTTCCCGCGAACGACGTCGACACCTGCACCTGCGCCGGCAGCGGCCCCGGCGCCCCCGCGGCCGCCAGCTGCTCCTCGTCCAGCCCCACGCGCCGCACCCTGCCGCCCCCGCGCTCCGCCGCCGCCCGCAGCCCGTCCAGGAGGCCCAACACCCCCCCCCCTGACAGCGGGTTCCCCTCCAGCCACGCCTGCACCAGCGCCGGCGCGTCCGCGAGCCCCGCGGGCAGGTCGACCAGGCAGTTCCCGTACGCGACGAGCGCCGCGAGGGCCGGCAGCCGCGCGATCCCCGCCGGCAGCGCTCGCAGCGAGTTGTCGGCGACGTTCAACATCTGTAGCGCCGTGAGGCCCGCGACGGTCTCCGGGAGCTCCGTGAGCGCGTTCCCCTGAAGCGACAGCGTGCGGAGGCGCTTCAGGTCGCCGATGGACGCCGGGAGCGTCGACATCGCGTTGCCGTGCGCCTGCAACGCCGACAGGTGCGTGAGCCCCCCGATCGACTCCGGGAGCGCCGTCAGGCGGTTGCCGGCGAGGCCGAGGGCGTCGAGGGCGCGGAGGTTGCCGACGGAGGCCGGGAGGACGGTCAGGCGGTTCCCGGCGGCGTTGAGGGTGTCGAGCTGCGTCAGGTTGCCAATTGAGTCAGGGAGGGCCTCGAGCTGGTTGCCGTGGACCCAGAGGCCCTCGAGCTGCGCGAGCGCGCCGATGTCGTCCGGGAGCGCCGTGAGGCTGTTGCCAGCGAGGCCGAGGCGGCGCAGGGAGGTCAGCGTGCACAGCTCATCCGGCAGCCTTCTGCACAGCGCCGCGACGGTCGAGAAGGGGGGAGGGTGTCAGAACGACACCGCTCGGAGCAGCGGCGCACCGCCAGCGAGCGTGCGCGATCTCACGCTCGGCGCCGCGGACGCCACGCGGCGGGCGAGCGCCACGGCAGCGACGTGCAAGAGAAGCGCGTTGGCGGCTCGGGCGGCGGCGCGCGGTCGCGTCCGGCGGCCACGAGCTCACCGGCGGCGCAGGGCGCGTGCGCAGGCGCGGCGGGCGGCGCTGCGGCGGCCGGCCGGAGGCATCACGCGGGGGTTGAGGGTTGCAGGGACTCACGTGATCCTGTTGCCTGCGAGCGACAGATCTTCGAGACCCTTGATCTCGAGGACCTCCTCCGGGACGTGGGTCAGCCCCAGCTCGCTCAGGTCGAGCTTCCCCGTGGACCGCGCTACAGATACCCGCGCTGCTAGCTCGCCCGCAGAGGGCCCCGGCGCCGCCTCCGCACCCGCCGCGGTGACCCACCCCGCCGACACGTTGTTCGGAGGGCCGTTGTGCACGACGACGTTGTGCGCCGCGCGTCTGCGCGTCGGAGCCGCCAGGAAGCGCCCGGGGGGAGCCAGTGAGGCTCTCCTGCGGGCAGTGTTGCGGCGCCCGAGGGCCGTGCCGGGCGCCTGGCGGCCGCACGCGTGCGTGGCGGTCATTTCCTGAGCCCGCGTCGCGCGCTCTTGAAGACCGCGGCGCTCCAGGTCTGCCGCTGCGCGCCGCCACCGCCCCTGTCACCGCCCCGATCACCTTCGGGCAGGAGCTTCCCCGAGTGCTGGGTCTTGGGCTTCGAGCTGAGGGCGCCCTCGTCCCTGAGGATCTCCTTCGCGACCGCAAGCGTCACTGACGCCACTGCGATGCCCGCGACGACGCCCCACATGAACGGAAGCGGGCGCTGAGACCGGCCGCGCTGCCGCCGCGGATCCGGTGCGTGCTGCGTGCTCCGGCGCGGGAGGGGAGAGTGGCGGCGGCTGCGCACCTGCGCGCGCGAAGACGGCGCCTCGCGGGCCCTGTGCGGCGCCGGGGAGCGACAGACCCCACTGTTGTCAGGCCCCAGCGCGCACCTGCGCGCGAGTTTGGCGCGCGAGCCCGCGCGCGCCGCGCAGGCAAGATCGTGCGAGCACGTCGCGGCAACGTGGTGCGCCGGGTCCGCGGGAACAGCTTCAGAGCAGCTGTCGGTTGACGAGCCAGGAGGCAGCATGGCGCTCCGGAGGGCGGGCGCGCTGCTGAGGGGCGCGCACGGCGCGCAGGTCGAGGGCCTCGGCGCGGCGCTCGGGTCGCGGGGCGGCATGTACGTCGCACCACCCGCCCAGCGCGGCCACAACGCACCGTGCCCCTCTCACCCACCGCGCGGGCCAGCACTGGCGTCCTCGGCCCCGTTTCGCCTCTCCCCGTCATGTCACGCGAACGAGCCGTGCGCACACCGCGGAACAAAGCAAGATAATCGCTGTTGCAGCGCGAACCCGCCGCTCTTCGCCTCGCGGCACTTTCGGCGCGTTGCGGTCGTCCAGGGCGCTCTTTCCGCGGGCCCGCCGCACGCCGCGGTCGACAACCATCAGAGCAACCTCGTCGCACGCGCACGAGGGGCCGCGAGCGCGCGTGCGGCCCACGGAAGGACCTTTCCGCAAACTGCCTCTCCCGGCCCCGGGGCTCACCGCCGCCGCCCGCGCGCGCCTCCGCAGGTTCTCCCACGCTGCGCTGGACCGCCCGGACGCGGTGCGTCCGTACACGGGCGGCACGGAGTTCCTCGGCACGCCAGCGAACCAGGACGAGCTCAACAAGAAGCGACCCATCTCTCCGCACGTTTTCGACATCGGCAGCCTCAAGCCGCACTACAAGATGCCGGCCTCCGCCATCTCCTCCATCACGAACCGCGTCACAGGTGCTCCCCGCGGACGCACGCCCCGCCACGGCCGCGTTTGCGCACCGCCGCACCCGTCCCACCGCTCTCGCGGCCTGTCCTGCGCAGGCGTGGCGCTCTACGGCCTCCTCGCGGGCGTGGGGGCCGCGAACCTGGCCGGAATGGACGTCAACGGCATGATTGAGGGCTTCCGGGCCGCGGCGCCCGTCCTGGTCTTTCCCACTAAGTTCGTTCTCGCGTATCCGATCGTCTACCACTGGATGGCCGGCGTCCGCCACCTCTACTGGGACCACGCGAAGTACGACAACCAGGTGCGCGCGAAACCCTCCGACGCGCCCGCGCACACGGCGCGTCCCGGCCCCTCGTCTGCTCCAGCCTTGCGCCGCCCCACGGCCGTCCCGTGAGGCTCCGTGCCCGCAGGCGCAGCACAACTCGCCCCTGGAGAAGTCGACGATCTCGCGGAACTCCAACATGCTGATGGCGGCGAGCGTGCTCGCCACCGCAGGCATGGCAGTCGTGAGCATCTAACAGCGCCGCGGGGGCCGCGTAGCCGCCCCGCGCAACGCGCACGACCGCGCCGAGACTCCCCGCACACCGCGGCGCCAGCTGCGCACGTCGCCTGTGACACGCCGCGCCCTCACGCGCAACGCACGCAACATTTCGTTTCGTTTGTTGCCAAAGCAGTAATCAATGAACAGACCACCCGCGCAAATGAAGTAATCGACCGTCCGCGCAAGAGAGACCACCAGCGCAGTACGAAGAAACGAAATGCCGGTGTGCTACCTTCCGCGGGTGGTCAGTGAACTCTTTTGCAACACTGGCATTCAGCGCTCCTCCACCGCCTCCCGCGCTCGTTTCAACATGCGTTCCGGCGCGCGGCAGCCGCGAGGGAGCGAGACTGGCGGCTGCGCGGGGGTTCAGGGGCTCACAGGCTGCTTACAGGCCGGAGCGGCCCCACACAACCAGCGACAGGGAGAACGTGAAGATTGCGCACGTCGCCGCCCAGCCGACCTGGACGATCGCGGGCTCACCCTGCGCGCAGATCGGAGCGGGGCGCGTCCGGGCGTCGGGGAGGGGCAATCGCGGCGGAGGCGGGCGGGGCGGCGACGCGGAGAGGCAGCGCGAGGGGTCCGGGGCGGCGGGGGCGCACCTCAGCGACGGCCATGGCCTCGGTGGCGGCCTGGGCGGCGGGGGCCAGGGCCACGGAGGCGGCGGCCAGGGCGGCGCCGACGGCGGCCTGCGGGAAGGGGAGACACGGAGGGGTGGGTGAACATCATGACAGCAATATCTTCTGATAACGGCTACGTTCTTGGGTGAAAGCGCTGGGAGCTGTGGTTGCAGGGAGGATTCGGGACGGAACAGGCGCGTGGCGGCGTTGAATTGCGGGCGCGGGCCGGGGCTGCGGCGGGCCGGGCGGGCGGGAAGAGGCAGCGGCCTGCGTGGGCGTGGTAGGTGACGTTTCCGCGCGCGGGCGCGGCGTTGGCCGGTGAGCGGGGGTGGGGCTGCTGGCAACGCGCGCGAGGAGGCGGCTGGCGGGGCCGGGGCGTGTGTGCGCTGCGCGCACGCGGCGCGATGCTCGCGCCTGCTGTGGAGGGCAGCAGGCGCGGCGTGTGCGGGACGGCTGCCAGTGTCCGCGGCGGCCCGCAGAGCTCGATATACGACGAAACGCGTGGCGTGGAGATCGGGGGCGCTCGCGCGGCGTCGGCGCAGCAATCGCTGCTGCTCTCTCGAGCACCCTACAGGCTGGCCCTGGCGACGACGGTCGACCGGGCGCGCACGCGGGCGCGTGGCGGCTCCGGACGGTCGAGCTCGCTGCAACATACCTTCTTCTCGGCGCTCGCCATCACGCGGACCGCCGAGCGCGCCGCGCGGCGCGACCCGGCCTTGCCGGCAACCAGCTTGGGGGCAGCGAAGGTGGAGGTGGCGGCGATCATCTTTCCCTGAACTCCCGAACGCAAGAAAGCAAGACGCGCGCATCGCCGCGCCCGCACGCCCTTCACGCCCCCCGACGCGCCCGCTCGGCCGGTCTGTCCTACCACCGACCAGACTGCCCCGCCACCGCGGCCCCCGCGCCGCACACGCCGCGGGACGCCGCGCCCGCGTCGCACCCGGTCGTTCAGGCCCGGGATTTCAACACGGCGCCGATCGAGCCCCGCGCTCGCACGCACAAACCCCCCTACCCCCACCACGCACCACAATGCCATGCCGCCGCGCCCTCCGCCGCGGCGTCCCGCCGCAGACCCCCCCGGCGCGCCAGCGCCCAGCCGGCGCCAGCCGCCGGCCTCGACGCCGCGCCTCGCCCCCGCCGCCGGCGTTGCCGGCCAACACGCTCCGACGGCACGTCGCGGCACCGTCGCCGCGCCAGAGCATCCGAAGAGCCGCCTGCCGCCGGCTCAGGCGTCGCGCCCGCACAGGGAGCCAGTCGCCCAGCGTGCCGCGCCGTCCTCGCTCCATCGCACCGTCGGCACGTGCGCGGATCGGGGAAACAGGATGTACTCTCAGTCATACTTGAGTCAACTCGTCAGTGCTGGCGGGGCGGCCGCGCGACGCGTGTGCGCCGACGGGCTTCGCATCGGAGGGCCCGCTTGGCTGGGCAGGTCGCCTGACATCACGTCCGCTGGGGTCCTGCCTGTGGCTGAGGGTCTGCGCTCTTGCTGCCCCCCGTGTGAAGTACCGTCCACGTGTGCGCCGTGGGAGCGCCCCGCGCGTGTGCGGGGCCGGCCGAGGCGGTGTCGCGGCCGAGTCGGCGTTTCGAGCTTTCGGCGGGCGTGGTACAAGGCTGCGTGCGGGCGGAGGTCGAGTCTGACTGCACTGACCGCGCTTGGCGCGCTGTGAAGCACGGGAAGGCGATTGCGCTCGGCCTGGAGTGCCCGGCGTACTTCTCGGGATCAGACAGCGAAGGAGCGCGTCTCTGCTTTGCCAGCGGTCGACTGCAGGGGCTGTGAGGAGACTGGTGCACAGAGCCGCGGGAGGCCGCAGCGGGTGGTCGCGCCGCTGCCGCAAGCATGAAGTGGTGCCCTCGCTCTGCGCGGCTCCGCGCTCTCAGCGGAAACTTGCCCACCTCGCAGCGGTGTGCGGCGCGCGGAAGCACGCAGCCGCACCTCGGCCCCGCCCGGCGTGCTCCAGGACGCATTCTCCCGCAGCAAGGTCGCGCGCGGGTCTCCAGTTACAGCCAAGCCCAGCCACGCGCCAACCGCTCCGCAGCAGCCCGCGCACCCGCGTCAGCGGACAGCCAAGCGCCCTCCAGCTCCCTAGGCATCACGCCCGTCACCGTCCTCAGCGGCTTCGTCGGCGCCGGCAAGACCGCTGTCCTCCAGCATCTCATCTCGAATCCGGGGCCCAAGCGTCTCGGGGTCGTCGTTCGCGACACGTCCGCCGTGAGCATGGCCCTCCCCGCCGGGACCCCCCACGTCGCCGCGCCGGCCGTCGCGGCGCTCGGCCGCGGCTGCACGTGCTGCGAGAAGCGCGCGGACCTCGTGCGCGAGGTCGCGCGCCTCGCGGCCCGGCCTGACGTGGACTACGTGCTTGTGGAGGCTGCGGGCTCGGCGTACCCTCAGGAGGTTGCGGAGGCGCTCGTGGGCGACGGCCACGGCGACGGCGACGCAGGAGCGGGGCGCGCGGGGGCTGGGGACGGAGTCGCGATCGACACGATGGTCACGGTGGTGGACGCGGGGGTGTTTTTGGAACACCTCGCGGGGGACTTGGAAGTCGGTGAGGTGGTGGGGGGAGTAAACGCGGACGCGGACGCGGACGCGGACGCGGACGCGGGCGGCCGCACGGTCGCGGAGGTGCTCGCTGCGCAGGTGCGCGGCGCCCGCCCGCCCCCCCGCGGACGCCGCGTCGCTGCGTGCCTGCGTCAAGCAGCGCCTGCGTGCCGTCCGCCGCGATACGGAGCAAGCCTGCCGCTCCCGTGCGTCGCAGGTGGAGTTCTGCGACGTCGTCGTCGTGAACAAGATTGACACGGTCCCGGGCGGAGGCGACAGTGTCACGGCACAGCAGGTGCTCGCGGTGCTGCGCAAACTCAACCCGACCGCCAGAATCGTCCTCGCGACGCACGGCCACGTCGACCCGACCGCCGTCGTCGGCACGGGCCTCTTCGACATGGACCGCGCGGCCCACAGCGCGGGATGGATGCACGAACTGTCCGCGGCCGCGCCCACGCCCGAACCAAGCAGCGCCGACGCCGGCCGCGCTCGGCCCGCCCGCGTGGACGGCCGCGGCGGCGTCGAGAGCTTCGTGTACCGCGCTCGCCGGCCGTTCTCGGCGGCGCGGCTCGCGGACGCGCTGGAGCTGCCGTGGGACGGGCTGCTGCGGTCGAAGGGCTACTTCTGGCTCGCGACGCGCGGCAGGATCTCGGGGCTGTGGCAGACCGCGGGGAAGGCGTGGTCCGGCGAGCCCGTCGCGCCGTGGCAGGCGACGCTGCCGCCGGACGCGCGGGAGCCGGGGGTCGAGCTCGAGGGCGACTGGGACGCGGTGTGGGGCGACAGGCAGACGGAGGTGGTGTTCGTGGGCGTGGGGATGGACGAGGCGGGGTTCCGGGCGCGCCTCGACGGGTGCCTGTTGTCAGACGCAGAGATGAGTCAGGGGGAGGGGTGCTGGGCGCAGATGGAAGACCCCCTGCCGCCGTGGGAGGTCGCTGGCGGCGTGCACTGAGGCGGCGGGCGTCGCGTGCGGCGTCGCGCGCGGCGCCGGCCGCAACCGTCAACGTGTTATACTGGGGTCATGAGAGGGTGCCTGACGCAGGAGGCCGCGTCACGACAGGCTCGTGCCGCCCGGGTATCGTAGGGCTGTCGCCCCTGCGTGACCGGCCACGCAGGACGGGGTCGGGACGTCGCGTGGTGCCTCGAAACCGTCGTTTGCGCACTGTGCGCCATGCAAAGGAGCTGAATTGCTGCTCGTGCAGCTGCGGAACCGGGCGTGTAGGAGGGCGCAGAGGCGTATAGGTATACAGACATGACGGCGATGGCGGCCCGATCGTCGGACGTGGCTCCTCTGGAGGGTCCCGCGGTGCTGGAACCCTCGGAGGAGTATTTGCGCGCGCTGTGGAAGCTGGACGAGGCCAAGCTGCAACTCCACGAGCTCATCGCGCAGGAGGTGCGTGGCTAGCTGCCTGCGGCCCCGGCGGCGCCTCGCGTGCCGCTCAGCTGCGCGTTCCTGGGCTGCAATTTGATGCGCTGTGGCCGCGGAACGGGCGCGTTCCGCGCAACGGGTGCCGACGAGCGCCGGTGCCTGCGACGGCTGCGATCACGCAGGAGGCGCGAATCGCGTCGCACGGCTGGCAGGACGCGGCGGGGGGCGCCGCGGTGATCGCGGGCGCGGTGCTACGCTCGCGGCTCCCGGACACGCCCGCGCTGTCCCTCCGCTCGGCGTTCCCGACGGCGCAGCGCGACCGTCAGTCGATCGAGGCGGACCTGCCGCGGCTCGACATCACGGACAGCCCGCAGGCGGCCCGTCGCAGGGCCCCGGAGGACCTCCGCCACAGCCACCGCCACCCTCGCGCGCGCTCCTCCTCCCGCGACCCCGCACTTTCCGCGAGCGTAGACACCCTAGCATCCACCGGCTTCACGCGCCAGCCGCCGGGCGCGGTTTCCCCGGCCACCAGCGCCGCGCCCCACCCCGCGACACGTCTCGACGAACCCTGCGGGCAACGCCGACGCATCGTCCGCGCACGCCCGGCCACGCGCGACGTCGGCCTGCAAGCCGCGCTCGCCGACGCCGCCGTCCAGGTCTCCCTCAGCACCCTGCGCGTCAGCGCCCCGCGGCCCACGCCGCCGGACGCCGCCGTGGAAACCTCCGTCGCCCTCCACGCGGACGCCCCCGCACGGCCCGCCCACGCGGACCACCCCACTACCACGCCTTCGGTCGCAACTGCGGCGCCCCGCGCCGCTCAGGAGCGCGAGCCCACGGCGCGACGTGCTGCAATGGCGTCGCCGTCGTCGCTGCACGCGTCGCGCGGCGGGGGCGCGGCGCGGGCGCGGATTCTGCGGCGGGCGCGCGCGTGGGGCCGCGCGTCGCACCTGTACGTCGGGGCGCCGCTCGACGCCGACGGGGTGCTGCGGCGGAGAGGCCGGGGGGGTGTGGCGGTGGCGTTCCGCGAGTGGCGGGTCGCGGCGGCGTGCTTCGTGCGCTGGGCGGAGGCGGTGTGCGCGGGGGGCGTCGCGGACGACGGAGGTGGGGAGCTGAGCGACCGCAGGAGCGAGTCGGGGGGGGAGTGTGTGGCGGTGGCGGAGGTCGCCGTTCCGACGCTGCAGCGTGCGCGGAGCGCGTCGAGCGACAGCAGCTCCGGCGGGAGCTTGCCTGGCTCGGCGTTCGACGCGTGGCTGGCGCGGCGGCGGCGGCGGCTGCGAGGGCGGTGACGTTGGAGCCACCACGTGCAATCGGTCCGCCGTGCTGCAACGCATGCAACTGCAATAGCGCTCCCTGCCTGTTGAAACGCATGAAACGCGTACGCGTGTAACGAGGTGATCACAACGCCGCCGCCCGTGGCCACCACGGCGTCGCGATGCACGCACGCGCAACTCGCCACGAAACCTGCCGACGGCTCCTCATCCGTCCCACGGGTCGTCGGGGTAGAACGTGCGCACGCCCGCCTCGCTGTGGTCGTGCTCCAGCAGCGCGCGCCGGTACCCCTCCGCACGCACCCCCCCCACCCTCATGTCGTCCGTCAGCTCCGGGTGCACGGGGCCGCCGACGAGCCCCCTGTTCGCCTCGAGCACCTCCACGACGCCCTCCAGCCGCCGCACGTGCTCCGCGTGCTCGCGCTCCGCCCGCGACGCCCCCGCACGCGCCGCCGGCACCTCCCACGGCCGCGCAGCCGCCGCGACGCTCTCAGCAGGCGTTCCCGCGCGCCGGGCCTGCTCGAGGCGGAACGCCGCGTCCTCGAGCGCGCTCACGCCGTCCGGACCCGGCTCGGCCGGGTCCGCGCCCGCCGCGACCAGCTCGCGCACGACATCCGCGTCGCCGCTCGCACACGCAAGTGCCAGCGCAGCGGCGCCCGCGCGGCCCGTCGCGGCGACGCCCGCCGTGAGCAGCATGCGCGCGAGGTCCGCGCGCCCGCTCCGCAGCGCCGCGACCAGCAGCCCGCCGGACCCGCGCGTCGCGCTGCCGGCGCGTAGCAACAACTCCACCGTCCGTTCCGGACAGGCGCCGACCGATAGCGCGAGCTCGAGCGGCGTGCGGCCCTGCGCGTCGCGCCGCGCCGGGTGCGCGCCGTGGCTCAGCAGCGCCGCGACGACCCCGGGCGGCGCGTGTGCCGCCGCATAGTGCAGCGGCGTCCGCCGCCCCGCGTCCTCCGTCTCGATCTCCGCGCCGTGCTCGATCAGCAGCATCGCGAGCGGGACGTTCGCCTGCCGGCACGCGATGTGCAGCGGCGTCTGCAGCTCCGCGTCGCGCGCGTTCGGTCCGCAGCCCGCGCCGAGGAGCAGCGCCACCTCGCCCGTGAGCGCGCGCGAGGCCGCCCAGACCAGCGGCTGCGTGCCGCCGGTCCAGCCCATCCCGCGCGCCTTCGCGCCGCTCTGCAGCAGCGCCGCGAGGATCGCCTCGCGCTGCCGCACCACAGTCGCCTCCACGAGGTCCATTTCGCCGAGAAGCTCGCCGTACGCGCCGAGCGGGTCGCTCACGGTGCGGTACATCTCGTCCTCGAGGCTGTGCGGCGCGGCGTCCGCGGACGCCGCGCCCCAGCGCCGCGCGGTGACCTCCGCGAGGTGCGCGAGCGCGTGGGACTCGGCGGGCGACGACAGGGGCGCGGGGCGCTCCGGCGGCGGCGTGGCGCTCGCGGGAGGCGGCCCGTTGGTCGAGAAGGCGTATCCGCTCGACGGGCCGGCGCCGCCGCTGGATGCTTCCCCCCAGGGATAGAGATACATGATGGGCGGGACGGAGTGTGCGTCTTTGCCATTCGGATTGGCTCCGTGCTGGAGGAGGAGCTGCGTGAGGTCGACGGAGCGCATGAGGATGGCCATGTGCAGCGCGGTCGTGCGCCGCGCCTCCCAGTGCTGCGGGGAACCGGCGCGGGCGCGGAGACGTGAGTTGGTGCGCGGCGTGGAGTCGAGATACGAAGAGTCGTGGCGGGCCGAGGAGGGGTCGACTGGCGCGAAGGGCCCGTGCGGGGGCGGGCGCGGGGGAGAGGCGCGCGGATCGGCGGGCCGCGACGGCGCCGGCGCGGTGTCGTGCCGGAAATGGGGAGCAAGAGGCGGGGTGGTAGGATGCGGGAGAGGTGGGCTTGCCTTGGGCCAGCCCTCGGGCTGCTTGCCGTTCACGAGCACGCCGTGGTGCTCGAGGAGCTCCTTGACGAGCCCCCGGTCGCCGGCGAGGACCGCGCGCATCTGCATCGCGCCGTGGGGCCGCGTGCGAGGTGCTGAGGGGGCAGGGAGACAGGGGCCCGGCGCGCGCGTTTCCGGGCGTGCCAGCCGCGTCGCGCCGCGCGTGCGTGCAGTCTGCCATCTACCGGACAGGGAAACGGCGTGGGCGCGGCGAGCGGGCCCCGTACCAGCGGGGTGTTGCCGTTGTGGTCCGGCGCGTCAACATCGCGCGACACAGCGTCCACGAACTGCCGCTGGTAGCCGAAGAGCGCCGGATCGACGGCCCTTTGATCCGCCAACCCGCGCCGCCGGTCGCCGGGCGCGTGCGTCTGCCCCTCGCGCGCCTTCGCGCTGCTGCTGTGCGCCGCATGACGGTACTTCCGCCGGCGCGGGCGCGCGTGCGTCGCCACGGACGCCCTCTTCGCCGGGCGCTCCGCGCACGCGTCTGCATCGGTGTGCACGACCGGCGGAGGCGCTCGGGCCGTGCAGAGCGGCGGCGGGAGCGCGCCGCGGCGCATCGGAGGCGTGGCCTGGCGCAACACGGCCGGTGCGCCCGCGCACTGGCGCACGCGGACGCCGTCCATGGCGGGCCTCGCGCGTGCGACACGCAAGACCGTCGCGCTCCGGCGGAGATTCGCGAAGTTTCCACCTCGCACGGAACCTCCTACGTCAATGTGAGGTGTGCAACCAACCTAGGCCGCGAACGGGCGGGCGGTGGGCGCTGTGGGGGGCTGCGTGCTGTGCGCGGCGCCTACAGATGCCGGGCGTCCGTCTCTGCGCCGCACACACGCCAGCCGTGGCCCGTAAGCGCGCGCGCGGAGCGTGGGGGTCTCCTGGCCTCTCAACAAGCACGACTCCCCCCCCCCCACGTGCGGCGCGCGAGGCGACGTTGCCGGCTGCAGGCGCGGCGGCGCCGCGCCGGGCCTGCGCGCGGCGCACGCGCGACCCCGGGGAGCCGTGTCGCCGCCGCCGTGCCTCTGAGAGCATACAGAGCACAACTCGCGAGATCGATCGGCCATGTGGCAACTCTTCGCACAGGAGGAGCAGTGCAAGCAGGCCGACTTCTGGACCTTCGTAAACAAGTACAAGACGAGTGTGGCGGTCTGTGCGCCCGCGGACGCGTGGGCACGAGAGGAGACGGAGAAGTGCGCCGATATGGAGGGCGCTGTAGCAGGCGCGGTGTGCACGCGGAGAAGCAGGGCCAACTCGCGAAGATCGAGGTGGCGGCGCGCAAAGCCATCCTGTATTTCTTGTACGGGTACGACAACGACACACTTCTTGACGCTACTCTGATGAGCTGCCTGACATTGCACCCTCGGACACGTCGCCGAGGATGTCGCGAGACACCCGTCCCCACCACCCGCGCAGGTGCGCGTCTGACATCGCGAGGGGGCGCATCAAGTGTCTCTGTCTCGCGACATCCTCGGCGACGTGTCCGAGGGTGCAATGTCAGGCAGCTCATCAGAGTAGCGTCAAGAAGTGTGTCGTTGTCGTACCCGTACAAGAAATACAGGATGGCTTTGCGCGCCGCCACCTCGATCTTCGCGAGTTGGCCCTGCTTCTCCGCGCCCTCCTTATCGGCGCACTTCTCCGTCTCCTCTCGTGCCCACGCGTCCGCGGGCGCACAGACCGCCACACTCGTCTTGTACTTGTTTACGAAGGTCCAGAAGTCGGCCTGCTTGCACTGCTCCTCCTGCGCGAAGAGGACGACGAGTGGCCATTGTCGGACTCTGACGACGAAGCGAGCGGCGACGCACGTCGTCTCCCGTTCACACGAGACCCGCGCCGACTGTCGTATGTACACACGCGCTGCAGCGACGCGCCCTCGCCGCACGCGCCCTCCCCGGGCCCGCAGGCCACGCACGCATCACTCCCCCGCTCCACCCTCTAACTCCCCCCTCCTGGCTTCTTCCTGGCCAGCTCCAGCAGCCGCGCTCGCCACTCCCGAACCACCCGCGTCGCCGCCTCCGCGACGCGCCCGTCCGCGTGGCTCCGCAGCCCTTTCACCCCCCGCGACACCCCCCCCGCCAGCCCGTCGGCCTGCAGCACCGCCACCGACAACTCCGCGCCCGCCATCGCGCTCAGCTCCCCCACCGCCTCCTCCACCGCCCCGCCCGCCAGCTTCATCTGCACCCGCGCCCACGCCCCGCACAGCGCCCGCGCAATCCCCCGCTCCCGCTCCCCGTCGCCCCCCGCGCGCGCCGTCGCCTCCGCCGGCGCCCCGCTCGGCCCCTTCCGGAGCTTCCCGTGCAGGATCGCGCGCATCCGCTCGCGCCCGCTGAGCTTGCTCGCGTCCGGCGGCGGCGGCCGGCGCTGCTCGAACGCCCTCTCCTGTTCTATGAGAATATCAAGCATCACCATTGGGTCGCCCTTCGCCGCGCGTTTCGCGCCCGCGAAGTCCAGGACGGGCTCGTCGTCGGCCGGCGCGGCTGTCCTGACGCCGGGCGGGTCGACGCGGTGGCGGACGTTGTCGTCGTCGGAGGAGCCGGAGTCGTCGCCGCGGCGGCGCCGCGCGGGGCTGCGCGCGACGCGGATCCTGTCCGCGCCGCGGGGGGCGCGGTGGAGGGAGCTGGCGAGAGCGCGGGCGCGGGTGCCGGCGGGGTCGGCGCAGAGGTCGCAGCAGCGCGCGAGGGCGGCGGGCGGCCGCGCGTGGGGGTGTTCGCCGAAGTACCCCAGCAGGGCGGCGCGGCGGCAGCCCGAGGCGCGCGTGCACCAGTCGAGGACGGACTGCAGCGCCGTGGCCGGGTCGCGCCCGGCTGCGTGCGGGGCCTTGGCGCGGCTCTGCATTCGCGTGCACAGGCGGGCGCGGAGATGTCCACATCGGGCGGCACGCAGAGGCAGCAGTGGGACGCTGAGCAAGCGCTTCAAGCCATCGCGCAGCAACAACGCGGTGTCCCTGTGCCTGGGCCTCCACGCGGGGGCGCACAAACGCTTGTTCGCACACATATAAAACATAAAACACACGAAAGCGCACCTTGTTCTTGTTCTTCCTCTTCCTCTCTTCGACGGATATGATGTACTGCCACCGCTGCGCGTCCTCCGAGTCGTAGAACACGACGTGCTCCGCCGGCGCCCCGTCGCGCCCCGCCCTCCCGCCCTCCTGATAGAGCGCCTCCACCGACGGCGGCACCGTCATGTGCACCACGATCCTCACGTCCGGCTTGTCGATCCCCATCCCGAACGCAACCGTGGCGACGATCACCGGCACCTCGCCCGCCATCCACCGCGCCTGCGTCGCCGCGCGCTCGCCGTCGCGCAGGCCCGCGTGGTACGCCGCGGCGGGCACGCCGAACAGCCGCAGCTCCGCCGCGATCTCCTCGGTGCGCAGCCTCTGCCGCACATACACAATCGCCGCCCCGCCAGGCGGGGCCGCAGCGCCCGACGGACCCGCGTCGGCCGTTGGCGGCGCTGCGGCGGCCTGCGACGCGTCGGCGGCGGCCGCGGCGGCCTGCGGGGTGGTGCGGAAGCGGTCCAGGCGCTTGACGAGCTCCGGAACGGCGCCGTCGGGGCCCAGATCGTCCGCGTAGACGACAGAGTATCGGATATTGGGCCGGTCGAAGGGCGCGCGCACGACGAGGGGGCGCGTCAGGCCGAGGTGCGTCGTGACGTCCTGGCGGACGCGCTCCGTCGCCGTGGCCGTCAGCGCCATCATCGGCACGCCCGGGAACTCCCCCTTCAGCCGCGACACCTGCAACGGCACGGGGGGAGTATTGTTTGTTGGTGTCGCGCGCCGTCCGCGCACCGACACAGAGCGCTCGACCGCGCACCGCTGCACGGGCGAGGTGCGGCGGGGGCAGCGCGCCGATGCGGACGGTACGCGTGCGGGAACGGTCCGTGGCGCGCTTGCGTTGCGCTGCGGGCGCGCGCGGGCCGCGGGGCGCGCCTTGAGGTACGCGGGGCGGAAGTCGTGGCCCCACTGCGAGACGCAGTGCGCCTCGTCCACGGCCAGGAGCGACAGCCCCTGTTGCGTGTGGTATTCCTGGAGGGCCTGCAGGAGGGGGCCGTCGTGGTCCAGGGCCTCCGGAGCCGCGAACAGGAGGCTCGTCGGGCAGGCCGGGTCTGCGCGCGCGCCGGGGCGCAGGGGCGTCGCGTTGGGCCCCGAACGTGCATCTCGTTGGGAGCGCGATGTGTGTTGTGGTGGCTGGCGGGCGCGTGGAGCGTCGGCGGTGGCCCGGCGGGGGTGTGAGGTCTGTGGCGTCGCTCGCGGTCGGTGCGAGCGAGGGGGTTCGCCGGGAGCGTGCCGGGGCGGGGCGCGGGGCTGACGTGAGCACGGGGAGAAGTTTGCCGCACCTTTGAGCGATTGCAGGATCGCCTCGCGCTCCGCGACCGGTCGCGTCGAGGAGATGTATTCCGCGGCCACGCCGCGAGCCGCGAGATTGCGGACCTGGTCGGCCATGAGCGCGACGAGCGGCGATACCACGAGCGCCATCTTGTGCGACGCCAGCGCCGGCATCGTGTAGCAGAGCGTCTTTCCGCCGCCGGTCGGGGCGATAACGAACACATCTCGGTCCTGGAGGGCGCCCTGCACGGCAGCCAGCTGCGGGCCGCGGAAGTCCTGGTACCCAAGCCTCGCTCTGAGGACCTCCCGCAGCCTGACGTCGGACGCCATCCCCGCTGGGTCCATCCCGGGACGCTCACGCGATCATGCGACCGGTCCTGACCGGAGCGACGCGCTCAGCGCCCCCTGGCGCAGCGCCGGAGCACAGAGACGCCTTCCGCTCTCCCGGGAACGACGCCTGAGGCCTGCTTGTGCGTGCGCACCGCGCTGCGAGTCAGCCTTGATGCGAGGAGTGCGGCGGGCGTCCGAGCCGCGCCGCCGTTGCGCCACCACGCGCTGCGGAGCGCCAGACAGACAACGAGGCCCACTCTCCCCCGCGCGACGTGCAACCGTCGCTTGGCGCGTCCAATGCCGCGCTGGACGCCCCCGGTGCGCCACGGCCGCTGCGGCGACACGCGGAGGCAAGACCCGCGACATTCGCGGCCGCAGCGCACATCTAGCGTGCGTCACCACACACATACGTCGAGCGGGTCTCGTCGTGACGCCGGCGTGTCGCACGGCGGTCAGCAGCCCCCGTGGACGTTCCCGCAGTCCGTCCCGTGCCGCCAGCCCCGCGGAAGTCGAGATTCGGAGTCTGATCGGCGCACGGGCGATCGAGAGTGTTGCGCAGCGGGCCTCCCGGTCGCCGCAGGAGTGGCGGGCGCGCCGAGGGGCGTCATGGCTGGCCGGGCTGCGTCAGGGGCCGCGCCTGCGGCGCGGACCCGCGCGTCCGGCGGCTGTGCGCCGCGCTGCGCGGCCGGTACGCGCCGCCCGCTCTCCTCGACAGCAGCGCGCGCCCCGCCACGCCGCGCGCGTGCGGCCAGGCGCGGGCCCAGCGCCCGCCGCGTGCTCTTCCACGAAAACCACGGCGCGCAGCCCGTTCTCCTCGGCCTCGACCCCGCCGACGCGGCCGCAGCCGGGCCTGAACCACGACAGCTCCTCCAGGTGCGCGCCTCCTGGAACCAAAACCAACCGCTCCCCCGCCGCCGCTACTCCGCCCCGTTCCCGCCCGACGGCCCCCCCGCGTCGCACCGCCCGTCTCCATGCCCCTCCGCCCGCCCCGCCCCCCGCGCGACCCCCCCGCTCGCCACCGCACCCGCCACAACACCGAACATGATGCATCGCCAGCAGGAGCACGGCGCGTGCGGCTCGCCCCGCGCGCCTCGCGCCCCGAACCCGACCGTCCCGGCTCCCCCACCTCCCCACCATGCGCAGGTCCGCGGCGGACGGCCCCTCGCGGGCCACGCGACGATTTCCGGGGCGAAAAACTCGGCGCTGGCTCTCATGGCAGCTGCGCTCCTCGCGCGCGGGCCCGTCGACCTCCACAACGTCCCGAACCTCGCGGACGTCGAGGTCATGGCGCGCATCCTCCGCAGCCTCGGCGCGCGGGCCTCGTACGCCCCGGCGCGGTCCCCCACAGCCAGCGGCTGCCTCTCTGTCGACGCCACGGCTCTCGCGTCCGCCGCGCCGCCCGCGCACGAAGCCGCGCGCCTCCGCGCGTCGTTCCTCGTCATCGGGCCGCTCCTCGCGCGCCTCGGCGAAGCGCGCGTGCCGCTCCCCGGCGGCTGCGACATCGGGTCGCGGCCTGTCGACCTCCACGTCGCCTCCCTGCGCGCTCTCGGCGCGCACGTCGACGTGGACCTCGTGGGCCGCGAGGTCCGCGCGCGGCTGCCCGCCGGCGGCCTCCGCGGCGCGCGCGTCGCGCTGCGGTACCCGTCCGTCGGCGCCACGGAGACGACAATGATGGCGGCGGCGGCGGCGCGCGGAACGACGGTGATCGCGAACGCGGCGCGGGAGCCCGAGATCGAGGACCTCGCGCGGCTGCTGACCGCGATGGGCGCGCGCGTGGCCGGCGCGGGCACGCGCACGGTCACCGTGGACGGCGTCGCGGGCGGGCCCACCACCGACGCGCACCGCGGGCTCTCTTCCGCGGAGCTGCGCATCATCCCGGACCGCATCGAGGCCGGGACGTTCCTCGTCGCCGCGGCCGCGACGGGCTCGCCGCGCCTGGACGTCTCGCCCGTCGTCCGCGGCCACATCCGGCCGTTGACGGACGCGTTGGAGCGCATGGGGTGTATTGTGGCCATGCGGGGGGAGTCGGTCGTGGGGATCCGGTGCCCGCGGGACCCTGCGCGGCTGCGCGGCGTCGAGATCGACACGGGGCCGTTCCCTGGGTTCCCGACGGACATGCAGCCCCAGGTGATGGCGTTGATGGCGCTGGCGGGGTCGCCGTCGGTGCTGCGTGAGACGGTGTTCGAGGCGCGGATGCGGCACGCGGCGGAGCTGGTGCGGATGGGCGCGGAGATCGCGGTGGAGGCGGAGGGCGTGGCGCGGATCGCGGGCGGGGCGCGGCTGAGGGGGGGGTGTGTTGCCGCGGGGGACCTGAGGGCCGGCGCGGGGCTGGTGATCGCGGGGATGGCGGCGGAGGGCGAGACGCTGGTCGGGGGCGTCGAGCACATCGACCGCGGGTACGAGCGGCTCGACGCGAAGCTCGCGGCGCTGGGGGTGGACGTGCGGCGCGTCACGGTGCAGTAGCCTCGACGCGCGGGATGTATCGTTGTTTCTGCCCGGTAGAACTACACACACACATATATATGAATATAAATATCAATCAACACGCACGCGAACGTGTGATTGCGACTCGGGCTGTTCACATTCACCGACTTTGTGTGCAGCGCGGCCCCGTCAGCCCTCCGACTCCCCCCCACCGTCACGCAAGCTGCCCGGGTGTCTCTGGCCATCGAGCCTGCACTCCGCCTTCCCGGCGCGCGCGCGGAGACTCCACCGCTGCCCGGGCGCGCCGCTCCCCGGCCGACACACCTGATCTATGTTGTGCAGAGCCAGCGCGAACACACCTCGCTCGTTTGATGGATCGCCCCGCGCTGCGCCCCGCTGCGCTGCTCTTCCGGAATGACACAACCTCATGTGTGCGAGCACCTCCTTCCTGTATGTCGTTGCATGCAGCGGCAGCGCACACAAACCTCGTTCGATAGATCGCCCCGCGCTACGCCCCGCTGCGCTGCTCTTCCGGAATGATCGCCTCCTCGATCGGGATCCCCAGCCGGCTGCGCAGCTGCATTCCGTCCATCAGCGCCTGCGCGCGCAGCTCCACCACGTCGCGCTCCGTGAGGCCGTCGCCGGCCCACGCCTGCGCGCCGGGGCCCGCCGTGGCGCTGCGCTCGCTGCCGCTGCCGCTGTCGCCGCCCGCGGAGGACACGGCGCCGGACCCGGGCAGCTGGTCGACGTCGCGGAGGCGGAAGGACTGGAGGTTGGCGCGTGGCTGCTCGTCGATGACGCTGCCGTCCCACCAGTGGTACTGGACCTGCGGCGGGGGCGCACGGGGCGGGCGCGGTCGGGGAACGAGGCGGTGCGCGAGGGGAGGAAGGAAGCGCTACGCTGTGCGTTCAGAGGTGGTGCCAGTGTGGTCTTATGTGCTCGTTGACAATTTGAGAGAGATGGTGTCGGATAGATAGTCATGATTGATCGTCGTTCGACTGATGCGTCGTTCATATGGATGGGTGCACGAATACGACCATAACTGATACTTGATACGTGCGTGAGTAATAGTAAGATAGGAAGTAGGATGGTGCGTGGAGAACACGCAGTCGCGGAGCAAAGAGCGAGGGCGAGACCGACCAGGCGGGCGACGTGCACTTCGCTCGCAGGGGCGCGCACCGTCTTGAACAGCCGCAGGTCGAACACCGTCATGTCGATGATCGGGTGCGACTGCAGGAGGTGCCGCGTCCGATTCGACAGCTGCCCCGTCAGGCGCGACGACCACTGCCCCGACGGCACCGTCGTGCTGCGCCCGACCGCCCCCGCCGGCGCCACGCTCGTGTACGCGTCGCGCGGCAGCGCCGCGAGGCCCCCCGGCGTCGCGAGCGGCGGCAGCGGCGGCCGCTGCGGGGGCCGCGCCGGCGGCGCCGCGCCAGGCAGCGTCACCGGCCGAACCGGCCGCGGCTCGCCTGCCCCCGCCGGCGTCGCGGCAGCCGGGACCTCGACCGCGATGTCCTCGACATTCGCGCCTGTCATCGACGCTTGCGCCCCGCCGCCGGTGATCGACGCTTGCGCCCCGCCGCCTGTGATCGACGCTTGCGCCCCGCCGCCGGTGATCGACGCTTGCGCACCGCCGCCGGTGATCGACGCTTGCGCCCCGCCGCCCGTCATCGACGCCTGCGCACCGCCGCCGGTCATAGACGCCTGCGCCCCGCTGCCGGTCACCGGCGCCTGCGCACCGCTCCCACCCAGCGACACCGGCGCCCCGCCGCCCTCCAGCGACGCCGGCGCCCCGCTGCCGGTCACCGGCGCCTGCGCACCGCTCCCACCCAGCGACACCGGCGCCCCGCCGCCCTCCAGCGACACCAGCGCCACCTCGCCGGTCACCGGCGCCGGGACCGGCTCCGCCGAGGAGCCCCGCGGCGCGCGGTCCTCCGCATCGCCCTCCCCGTCCTCGCTGCCGACCGTGTTCGACGCCGTGGCCACCGCGGTCGTCGCCGGCGTCTCCTCCGGCAGCGCAGCCTCCGACGCGCGCTCGCGCACCGTCCCGAGCACCGCCGCGCGCGCCCGGCGCAGCTCCGCGTCCGGGTCGTCCTCCGCCGCGTCGTCCTCCGCCGCAGCCGCGTCCTCCGCGGTCGACACCGGCACCGACTGCATCGTAGCGTTGCGGGTGATAGCGTCGCCCACCAGCGGCCCGCCCGTGCCGTCCGCGGTCGAGTACGCCTCCGACATCTCGGACACGAGGTTCGACGGCCGCGCGTCCGCCCCGGCGCCGCTCCGGGCCGCGTCCGCGACCGGCACGATCTCTCCCTGCTGCGGAGCGGTCGCGGGACGCTCCGGGGTGGCATCGAAGGCCACCTCGGGCGCAGGCGCGTTGTCGGTGTCGGGCGCGGGGCCGGGGACATGCGCGGGCGCGTTGTCGGTGTCGGGCACGGGGAGGGGGTGTGTTTCCGGGACGACGTCGAGGGGGGTGTCGTCGACGGCGGCGGGCGGGGGTGCGGGCGGGAAGGCCGCGGCGATGTCGGCGCCGGTCGGGCTGAGGCTGTGGCGGCTGCTGAGGACCGCGCTCGGGTTGGAAGTGATTTGGAGAGTCGGGGAGCGGAGCTCCGGCTCCGCGATCGACGCCGCGAGAGGGGAGGGGACGCCGCCCGCGTTGTCCGCGTCCTGTGGACGGGCGAGGTGCGGCGTGCGGGGGTGTGCGAGATGTGGTGGTGGCGTGGCGCTGGAGAGCGTGGTCGTGGGGGCCCGGGCGCGGCGGCACGGAGGGTTGAAAGGGAGCGTGGGGGTGGTTCGGGGTTCGCACGTGCTGTGGGCGCGCGTTCGAGGTTGGCGGGCGAGGCGTGGTGACGGACCTGGACGGAAGCGACTCGCACGTGGCCGCTCGCGACGCCTGCCTCGCTGACCGCCCCTCCCGGACCCGTCCGCTGCGGGCGTAGCTCGGACGCCTCGCGGGGGCTCGCCTTGGACTTGGGGCTGTTGACTTCGGACTGCATCCGCTCCCTCTTGGGCGAGTGCAGCTTCCCCGCGTGGATCTCCGAGCGGAGCGCCAGCGAAGGCGGCTGGGCAGCGGACACGTCACCCGACGCGTAAGTCGCGGCGTTCGTGCTCGTCCGCGGCTGCGCGGACGCGTCCGCCGCGTCGGCCCTCACCACCGAGCTGCCCACCTCCGCCGCGGCATCCCGCGCCGCGCTCGCCTGCGCAGCAGGCGGAACCGCCTGCGGCCGTTGCTCTGTAGCCTGCCCTTTGCTCGCCTTCCTGCTGGCGCGCTTGCCCGGCTTGGGACCTGAAAGGCAGACACCGTGGCCCAGAATGAGACTGCGCCGCCGCGGCGGATCGCGGCGCCGAGCTGCGCGCAGGATCTCCGTGGGTCGTTGCGCTGTTCCTCTGGCAGCGCAAGACTGCCTCGTTCGCGCGCATGCGGGGCAGTTTCAGCGAGGGACGCTCACTCTTGGCCCTCTTGGGCTTCGAAGACTTCGATCCCATCGTGCCGCAGGCAGGCCCCCGCGCGTTCGCGCCCCAGCGACCTCCTCTGGTGCCACTATACTGCGCACACGCAAGCCAGGGCCCCGTCACGCTCGCCTGGCTGCGCGAAACGGGCGCAGCGCACGAAGTCTGCGGCCCGCGCCGCTGCGCGCCCCATCGTGCGCCGCGCGGCCCCTCGGAGAGAACGCAGGGGGGCTGTTGTTGCAGTCAGTCTGTCTCACCGGCTATTCCGGCCCTCGCGGCGCGCGCCAGTCCGACGCACGCGCAGCAGAGGCGACGCGTGCCAGGCACGGGCGGCAGCGACCGCGAAACGGGGTGGCCGAGCGGTCTCTACGCACCAACAACAGTGGGACAGTACCACGTGGTACACGCGTGCACACACATCCATTCGCCCGCACTGGCAGTGAATCAGGTCGCAGCGAATCAGAGGGAAAACGTGCGGACTGAAACTGGCGGTGTCCGCTGACAAGGCAACCGGTCCGGGCGACCGCGGGCAACGGCAGCTTGCTTCTTGAACACGCACTGGCCTCTTCGGTGCAGTTTCATATTCATTTCAATACTCGATGCCTGCCCCCTCTCTCCTGTCCTCCCCCCCGCCCAACGCACACCCCCCCGGCCCCGCCTTCGCCGCACGCGCCCCCTCGACACATCCACCGCACCCACGACCGCTCACGGCATCACACCGCGCGCACACACGCACACACACAACACCGCGCTCTACGCCCCCTTACGCCGCAGCAGGCGTCTTCGAGTACACCGCCTTGAGCCGGTCGATCGCCTCGAGCACGTTCTCGCGGTGCCCGAACGCGGACGCGCGCACGAAGCCCTCCCCGGCGTTCCCGAACCCGGACCCGGGCGTCACCACGATGTTGCACTTCGACAGAATGTCCTGGAACGTGTCCCACGACTTCATGCCGGGGAACCGCACCCAGACGTACGGCGCGTCCGTCCCGCCGTACACCTCGAAGCCCATGTCCAGGAACGCCTGGCGCAGCAGTTTGGCGTTCTCCTTGTAAAACGCCACCATGCTGAGGACCTCCGCCCAGCCGTCGTCCGACAGCGCGGCGAGCCCGCCGGCCTGCACGACGTTCGACGCGCCGTTGAACATCGTCGTCATGACGCGCGTCCAGTCCTGCTGCACGGGCGTGCCGTCGGCGAACTTGAGCGCCTCCGGCACGACGGTCCAACCGAGGCGAACGCCGGTGAAGCCGGCGTACTTGGAGAAGGAGCACGTCTCGATCGCGACCTCCTCGGCGCCGGGGATCTCGTAGATGGACTTGGGGCACTCGGGGTTGTCGATGTAGAGCGCGTAGGCGGCGTCGTAGATGATGATGCTGCCGTTGGCCTTGGCGAAGTCGACGAGGCGCGTGAGCTGCTCGCGCGTGGCGGCCGCGCCCGTGGGGTTGTTCGGCGAGCAGAAGAAGATGAGGTCCGCCTGCGGGGGCGGGTGGGGAAGCGGGGGGGTTGGCACGCGCGGCGAGGAGCGCAGCGACGGGGACGCACTCCCGTCGAGGAAAGCACTCAACACGACAGCGGCGACGATTCAAGAACAGGGCATCGTGCTGCAACGAACAGGACAGTTGCCTGTGGTCCACGAAACAGTTTGCAGACAAGCAAACCAGCAACCAAGCAAACCAGCAACCAAGCAAACAAACAAACAAACAAACAAACAAACAAACAAACAAACAAACAAACAAACAAACAAACAAACAAACAAACAAACAAACAAACAAACAAACATGCAACCAAGCAACCAAGCAAATCAGCAAGCCAGCAAACGAGCAAGCAAACAAGCAATCGAGCCACGAGCACTCACGTCCTCGGCGCCCGCCAGGTCCGGGAAGAAGTCGTTCTCCGGCGTGCAGTCCATGTACACGATGCCGTCGAAGCCCGCGCCGTTGTAGTCCCCCGTGTTCCCGAACATCACCGAAGTGTCGACGTACACGGGGTACGCAGGGTCCTGCACAGCCGCCTTGTGGCCGGGGCCAAACATCATCTGGAGGCGCCCGATGTCGCACTTCGAGCCGTCCGACACGAAGATCTCCGTCGGCTTGCGCATGCCCTCGTAGATGCGGCTCGCGATCGCCTCGCGGATCTCGGGGCGGCCCTGCTCGATGCCGTAGCCCGAGTAGCCCTCGCGCGTGCCGAGGCCCTTCGCGGCGTTCGAGAGGCCCTGCGCGGAGGACGCGGGCGGGCGGGCACTCGTGGGTGGGCGGTGGGGCGCGGGGGGGGGATGAGGGAGGAGGGCGGTGTTTGAGAAAAGGAGGGGGGGGGTATTACGTCGACGATGGGGCCGGGGATGGGCTCGGTGGTGTCGCCGATGCCGAGGGAGATGATCTTCGCGTCGGGGTTCTGCTCCATGTGCTCGTTCCTGCGGAACACGCGCACGGCCGGCCGCCATGACACGCCACCGTGCGCCGCGTGCTGCATGCAGCGCGCCACGACTGTCCCGCGCCGCTGGGCCGCGGCACGGCCGCCTCCCGGGCCTCCTTGACCGCGCCCATCGACGGGCGCGGCAACGGGGGCGCGCGGGCGCAGCAGGGCGTCACGAAGCCCCCGCGCCGCCCTGCTATGCAAGCCAGGCAACAGCTGGACCGCGAACACGCCGCCTCTTCCGCCGCATCGATTCGATTTCGCCGCGCAGCGCGCTCGCAAGCAGCCGATGTAGCCGCTCAGCCGCCTGGCAACGCGCACGCCGCCGCGAAAGCCCCGGAGCGCGGTCTCAGACCACGCGAGCTCCCTCGCGTCGCACGCACGCCACACGGCGCGCTATTTGGCGGAAAATGCACCGCGGGGCCGCGGCAGGAGCTCCCAGGGCGCACGCGCGCGGATCGGGGTCCTGTGCGCCGGCCGTACCTGCGCCGGGCGATCTCTGGGAACAGGTAGCCAGCTTGCAGCTTGCCGAAGTTTGCGTTGCGCTTGACGCCCGTGGCGCCCGCGGCGACGTTGCGCGCGGGCGCAGCGCTCATGGAGAAGGCGGCGGCGTGCATCTCGGGACCCTGCGGGGCGCGGCGGGGGCTGTGATGCCGGCGGATGAAGCGGGCCGCAGGTGCGGCGGCCGGCGGCGGAACGGGCGCGGATTGCGGCTCGCGTGGACGCGGTTGGTGCGGGGAGGGCGCAGCGCGGGCGGAATGGGCGGCGTGGACCGCGACGGTGCGCGCGCGCGGGCGGGGCAGTGGCGGGTGCTGTTGTAGCATATGGGCGGTACGGGGGCTCGCCTGAGTCAGTTTCGAACCAGCGACCGCAGTGCTGTGCTTCTGCCGTGCGCGTGGATCCGCGCGGCGGATCTCGGCCGGGGCCGGCGCGCCCGCGGTCCCCGGGGGCGTTGGCGGGCCTGTCGGTGTCTGCCTGAGGCTTGACGCAGGCTAGGGGCCGGCAGACGCGGCCGCGAGCGCGGCACAGGTGGCCGGCGCGGCGCGGTGTGCGTGTAGCTTCTGGAATTCGGTGTGAGGCGGCGGGCGACCGCACACCGGCGCGTGTGGCTGCTGGTAGGTTTTGTGCACTTGGCCGTGCGTTTGCGCCGGCTGGGAGCTGCAGCGTCGGCTCTGGCGCGGCGAGTCTGCTCTGGCAAGCTCGCCCTCGCTCTGCGAGGCGCGGGGAATGCAGGCTGCGCCCGGGGGCGCCGGCAGCGAGGCGTCCTCTTCCCACGGGTCATTGCCGGACTCTGCTGTTGACGAGGCGAGGTGCGTTCTCCCGCGGCAGGCAGACGCTCTGCGACTGTAGCGGGCTCGCGAGCGGTCCCGCGGCGCTCACGGCGCGCCGTGCTGCGGGGCGCGGCTCCTCCTGCCCTGCACCTCCTTGGAGGTCCCCCCGGCGCGCCCCCCCCGCGGTGATCGGCCGCGAACGTCGTCCGTCTCGCATGATCTCGTCGACGGACGTCCCGCGGCGCGACTGTTCCGCTTCGTCTCGCGCGTGGTTCGCGTCGTGGCGTGCCCGGGGCCGTGCGCCAGAGCGACCTGCCCCCGCGCCGCGCGCAGGAGGGAGCGCAACCGCGCACGCCGCCAGCGGAACCGCGCTGCGAGGAAGGCCCGTCTCGAGGCCGAACGCATGCAGGACGAGCAGGCCCTGGCAGCGCTCACGCCGGAGGAAAGAGCCCAGCACGAAGAGGCGAGCGACGCCGCGCGCCAGCAGCGCGTCGCAGCCCACCTCGCGCAGCAGGACAAGGTCCAGCGCGCGCTCAAGGTACGCCGCACCCGCCACGGCGTCCCCGGCCCCGCCGCCGCCTGCACCGGCCACGCACCCACACCCGCGTCACCTCACGTCGCTCGCCGCGCAGGACGGCGTGATGATCGCGATCGAGTGCTCCCTGAACGAGGGCGCCTCCGACCGCGAAATGCGGTCCCTCGGCCGCCAAATCGAGCTCTCCATGGTCGCCAACCGCCGCGCTTCCGTCCCAGCAGCGCTCACAGTCACAGGCACGCCGCAGCCGCCCCCGCCCCGCCCCTGCGCCAGCGCGCTGCCCCGCGCCCCGGCCACGCGTTCTCACGGCTTTGCTTCCACCCCCCGCAATACTCCCCCGCAGGCTGCCGGGGGGCCCTGGGGGAGTATTTGCCGCAGATCGGCGCCGCGACCTGGCCGTGCAACTTCGCGGCGGCGACCGTGGTCGAGCACGTCCTCTCCGACGCGCGCCCGGACATCGCCCGCCTCGTCGTGCTGTCCCCCGACGCCCCCGACGAGCTCGCGGGCGCCCTGGACCCCGCGACGTGCTACGTCGTCGGCGGGATGGCCGATCGCTCCGTGCGGTCCGGCACGACGCTCAAGTGGGCCGAGGAGGTCGCGGCGACGTCGCCCGTGCCCGTGGAGACGCGCCGGCTGCCCACGGCCGCGGCGCTCGGCAAAGACGCGACCGTGGTGCTCAACGTCAACACCGTCGTCGAGATTCTCCTCGCGCGGCTCGCGGGGGAGCCCTGGGACGCCGCGGTGCGCGCCGCGCTGCCGCCGCGCAAGGTCGCGCAGGCCGGCACCGCCAAGCCGCCCGGGTGGCGCACCGACGGCTCCGCGGACGACGCCGCGCTCGCCGCACTGCCCGGGCTCGCAGACGCGCTCGCGAACCTCGACAGGCGCCTCGCGCAGGAGCGGGCCCCAGCGGACCCGGCCGCGCGCGTCGGCGCGCCCGAGAAGGTCCCGGGGGGCCCCGACCCGCTGCTGGCCCTGATTCGGGAGGTGGAGCAGGGGGTGTCCGCGGGGGGGTCTCAAGCCGCGGCCACGGCCGGGCCGGGGGCGTCGTCCGGGGCCGGGCCGAGCGGCGGCGTCGCCGGGCTCGGCGGCGGGAAGGGCTTGCCCCAGCGCAAGGGGCGGTCCAAACGCGTGTCGCGGGCGGGGCCTGGGGCGCCGGAGAGGCCCGAAATCGTCCCCGTTGCGCGAGGCGGGGGTCGGAGGGGCGGCGACGGCGCGGGCGGCGGCGGCGCGGGCGGCGAGGACGAGGAGGGGTGGACGGCGGGGGACGCGGCGGTGCTGGGTGTCGTGGTGGCGGTGGTGGGCGGCGCGGCGGCGGCGGTGGCGTGGCGGAACAGGGAGGCGATCGGGGAGTGGTGGCGCGGGCTGGCGCTGCCGAGCTGGGTGCCGGGGAGCGCGAAGCGCGCGTGAGCGCGTCGGTGCGAGCGCGTGTATGCGCGCAAGCGCTGTGACTTGTTGCGCGGCGGTGGGGGCGGTTCGGAGCGCGTGATCCGCGCGCGGCGGTCGCGGGTCACATGTCCGACGAGATAGTCGAACGACGATGATGCTAGTCTGCTATACTTGGCCGGGCGCGGCTTCTTGAAGATAATAATGACTTGAAGATAATAACTTCATATATCCATATTCATAACTTCTTTAAGATAATAACTTCATGTCTTCAAACATGACGTGTCTCGGCGCGTCCCGGCCGCGCAGGGCGGCGCGGCGCGGCGCGGGACGCGGGGCCCGGGTGAGCGAATCGGCGGGAACGAATGTCTACGGCGGGAGAGCACGCTGCGGATCGCCACGTCGCACAGTGCGCAGCTTGCACCGTAATGCATCCACGGGACCTGCGCCGTGTAGCCGGTCGATACACTCCTCGGCGCGCTACACGAGCTCGACGCCCGCAGCCGGCTGCACGACCTCGGGCGTGCGCCGCGCGTTTTCGCCCCGTCGGGCGTCGAGGACACGCACGAGAACCACCCCAAGCACAACACCCACGACATCCGCGACGCCGTCGCGGATCGACGCTCGCCCGGGCCACCACTGCGCCGACACAGTCGATTCGGAGCTCGTCGACGCCCGGACGCGGCAGGGGAGGACAGGGCGCCCTGCCAATTCCACTTGCAAGGCTGCGCGCGCACGCACCTGCAAACCGTCACCCAGCTCCTTCAGCGCGCCGACCGCGGCGCCGGCGGCGGCCCCGAGCCACGCGGGGGGGCACCGCAGCGCCCACGCCGGGAGCCGCGCGCGCACGGGCTTGTACGACCGGCACGCCAGCGCGGTTACTGCTGTGACCAGTACGCACGACAACACGTGCTCGACTTTGTCCCGCGCGAGCCACGGGTCGGCCATCGCGGTCTCGACCAAAACTGCGCGAGGTTCCGCGCGGAACCAACTTGGGCGGCGCGCAGACGTCCCGGTGCGCGCGTGATTCCCTTGATGAATTGTTCGTTTCACGGCAGGGCGTCGAGAGAGGGTGTGCGCGACGTCGAGCGCCTCGGATGCGCGCTGCGTTTACGTGTCTCGCGATTGCGGCGAAGGAGATCTCGTGAACGGGCGGGACCGGGGCAGAAAGGCCGTGGTGCGGTCTGGAATGATGTGTAAAGCCCTCGCGCGGGGCGCCCCGGGCGGCGTCGCGGCCTGGGGAGGCGCTGTGGGCAGGAGTGTGCAATGAGCGGGCGGCGCGGGGGGCGGTGCGGGCTCGCATGACTCATGGCACGCGCCATGAGCTCGGGTTCTACCTCCCCTGGTAATGCTACAACGCTGTGTGGAGATGAAGGCCGGCCCGGCGCGTGCGAGGCGGGCAGAGATCGCGCATCGCTTCGTTCCGGTCGACTGTTTTGAGAGATCGTCGACCACCATGCCGCAGAAGGCTCAGCGCGATGACGCGAGCCGGTTCCACTGCCCGTTCCCGGGCTGCACGCGCTCGTTCGCCGAGCTGTGGCGTCTGAAGGTCCACTTCAGGTACGCGCGCCCTGGCGGCCCTCCGAACGTTCGGCCCGCCGCGGCGCCGCGGCGGGCCCCGGGCGATCGCGGCCGGTCCGGCCGATCGGGCCCAGCTGGCACCCACGAGCCCCCGCGCCGGCGCAGCGGGGGCGCGTCGCAGCCCGCTTTGGGCCTGAAATTCCACGCCTCGTCGCTCCTGTCGCGCCGCAGGGCCCCGCCGGACGTCCGCGGCTCCGGTAAGGAGCGAGGCCACGGCCGCGAGCTCGACCGGTGCCCCAAGTGCGCTGAGGAGCTCAAGCCGGGCAAGCACCACATCGGATGCTCGGCGTCTCGCAAGAACAACAAGCGGAAGGTGCGCGCGCATCCCCCCCGGCCCCGCGCGCAGCGCGCCGTTGTCGCGGCAGCCTAGGTCGCCCGCGTGCGACCTCGACGCGCCGCCTCGCGCACGCGCACCACGCAATTCAGCGTCTCCCGACTCCCAGCCACGCATTCCGCGCGCCATATTCCCCGGATTCGCGCCAGCCGCACCGGCGCGGGCCGCTGCGCCCCATTTGGGAGGGTCACGTCGCCCGAACCCGCGCGCACGGTCCCCGCCGCGCCGCGCACCCGCCGCGCGACGCCCCAATTCCTCACCCTCCGCGCTTCCAACGGCGTCGAATCCGCTCGTGCAGGCCGAGGCCGCCGCGCCGCAGCCACTGGCCACCTCCCAGGAGCGATCGGGCTCCGCGGGCTCCACGGCGCGCCACGACGAGATCAACGACGCCCAGCTGCCGCACTTCAACCTCGACACCGTCCCGGAGCCCCTCATCCTCGACGCCGCGGCCCACCCGCCCCGCGTCACCAACGCAGCCCCCGCCCCAAGGGACTGGTCCCTCCACCCGAACGCCGAGGGCGGCTTCACCGCCATCGGCTACCCGCTCTCCTCCCTCACGCACGAGGAGCTCGAACGCCTCGAGGGCTGCGCGCCGGGCCGCCCCAGCGCTGCGCGGCCGGCCTACGACACACCCCACCACCTCCTGCACGGCCCGGACGACCACGCGCACGCGCACGGCCACGAGCGCGCCCCGAAGCGCCACTGCCCCGCGCCGTACGTGCCGCGCGCGACGAGCGGGTACGACTACGCCGCGGCGCACCTGCACGCGCCCGCGACGGCGGGCCCCTCAGTGCTGCCGGCGCCGGCGGCGGCCGCGCACGCGGAGCACGACGACGACCCGCTCGGGTTCGGGATCGAGAGCCTCGACGACCACACGCTCGGCGGGCTCCTGGAGCGCTACGCCGAGCCGCTGGACAAGCAGGACAAGAGCCTGCCGCGCCCGTCGTCGTTCGGGCAGCTGCTCGACCTCATCCACCTGCAGCCGTGCGAGTGAGCGCCGCGGAGCTGCGGAGCGATCGCAGCTGTGCGGCGCTTGGTGTTTTTGTTTTGGCAACACCGACTTTCCCCCCCCCCCTCCCCGACCCCCCCGTTTTCTGCCTCGTTCCGCCCGACCGCGCAGCTCTCGTGAGCACCACCGCTGTGCGTTTTTGCACCGTTACGAGGGCGCGGCGGGCTCCCCGTCTCTGGAGGAGCCCTGCGATTCCACCTCCACGTTTTTGCGCCTTGTTCCCCCGTCACCGACCACTCTCCGTCCGTCCGTCCGTCCCGCCTCATTCCACGCCGCACGGGCCGCCGGCCGGCCGCTGCCCCCAGCGCCGCACTGCGCGCCCGTAGCATCCCGCGGAGGTCCCTTGCCGACCACGCAACTACAGCAACAACATCCCGCCTCTGAGTGTTTCCGTTCGCATCCGATTCCCGCTCATCCCGATCACGTTTGCGCACCGGCCGGCCGGTCCGGTTTGTCACACCTCCAACCGCCGCCGCCACGTCAGGCTCAGCCTCAACCACTCCCGGGGGGTCCAATCCAAGCGGCGAGCAACCGCAAGCAGCGGCAGCCGACAGGCTGTCCTGCTGCGAAGCGCTCGCCGCGCACCAGGGCATGTTTGCGATGCCATGCGACACCCCGACCCCTACTCCCCGCCCCGACTGACACCCCCCTTGCCTTTAGATCCCGTCCTCTACGTCTTTTTCTACTTCTCGAACGAGCGGGCAGCTCCACCGTGCAGCGCTGTCGTCGACGCGCGATCCCCCCAGCACACGGAGCGCGTCAGTGCAGCTTCACCCCGCACGGCCGCCCTCGGCCGATGGCGGCGGTTTTTCGCCACGCACGCTCGCTCCGGGCGCACTCAAGACTCCAGAGCAGTAGCTGGCCGGTGACGCCGAAGAAGGCGCTCTGTGACCACGGCAGCAAAGTCTCCCGGTGTTGCAAACGAGTCTCTCCCTTCTGCCGTTGTGCAGCCGTCCAGCGTCCCCTGCCTCGAGTGTCATTCGTCGGAACGAGGAGCGACTCGCGGGTCGCCCCGTCCGTTTCCGAGTTGTTGCAGAGCATGCCACGGGATATATATATATAGGAGCAGCAAGCAAGCAAGCAGCATGTTGGCCACGGAGCCGGCGAGCCACGGAGCGGCGCACCTCGACCACCCCCTCGCGCGTACCACGCACGCGCCCCCGTGGCCCTGCTGCGCCGCTCTCTCGAACACGCACAACGTCACGCCGTCACCGTCACCACCACATAGCACTCAAAGTAGTAGTAAGCACTCAAACGCCACCCCACGCCCGCGCAGCACGGAACAAGCGCCTCCGAGCGTCGATCTCACACGCCCACACACGCCCACGCGCACACCGCCCACGCGCACACCGCCCACCCTCAACCCCAAGACACCCCCAACATCCCCCCTCACCGCCACCGCGGCCCGTCGTCCTCCGGGTCCTCCAGCTGCGCCATGCCGTCCGCCTCGCGCGTGTGCCGCGCCCGCGCAATGCGCAGCACGTACTCCGGCACCCCCGTCGTCACCGGCTTGAACGTGCACCCCGCTGTCTCCTCCCTATACTTGCGCAACGCAGCCTCGTCACGCGCGCGCTCCTCCGCGCGGATCTTCGCCGTCGCGCGCTCCAGATACGCCGTCGGGTCCTCGTTGATCCGCAGCCGCCCCGACACGTGCTTGTGCTGCCGGCTCTGGATGAGCCGCGGCGAGAACGTAACCCCCGCCATCTGCTCGGCCTCCCTGTGCGCGCGCTGCAGCTCCCGCTTGTGCTCGAGCCGCTTCCGCTGCTCGTACAGCTCCTGGTGCGACCGCCCGGGCAGCCGCTGCGACCGCGCGTTGATCTTCGGCTTGAACGTCGGCTCGTCCGGCGCCGTCTTCCGGCCGGGGCTGCGCGCGCGCCCCGGCGACGGCTCGAACCGCGCGAGCCCGAGCGGAACGCCGCGCGGCGCCGGCGTGACCGCGTCCTCGTCGATGATGTTCTGCAGCTGCTCGAGCGTCGTGCGCCCGGCCTCGGCCTCGCCGCCGCCCACGCCGCCCTGCGGCGTCGACGTCGGCCGCCCGGGCGACACCGTCCGGCGCTGCAGGATCCGCTTCGTGCCGGGCGCGAGCTCCACGCCCTCGCGCTGCTCCGCCTCGGCCTCCCGCTGCTTCCGCCGCGACGACGTCTGGTCCAGGTAGTGATACTGCCGCTGCAGGAAGCCCCGGAACACGTCCTCGCGGCCGGGGCTCACGGCGGTGCCGCGCGGCGTGCGCATGACGCTGCCGGGCACGGTCGGGTCGCCGTTGCCGTTCCGGCGCTCCGGCGGCGCGCCCGACGACATCCCCGACAGATCCAAGTCGCCGAGGTTGCGCGACACGAGGTCGATGCCGTCCATGCCGGCCTGCTTGCGCTGCAACCGGTCCCACGAGCGCTGCGAGGTGGACACGTCCGGGCGGAACGGCGGCGGCGCGGGCGCGGACGTCGGGCGCATGGGCGACGCGTTGCCGCCCTGCGAGGCGACGGTGGGCTGCCGCCACCGCGACGGCACGGCGCGCAGCTGCCGCGTCGACTGCTGCACGAGCTCGTCGTGCTCGCGCTGCAGCGCCGCCTCCTCGGCCGCGTGCAGCCGCTCCGCGCGCTCCTTGATCCGCCGATCGCGGTCCTGCGCGTAGGCGTACAGGCGCAGGCACGCCTCCGTGGCGACGTCGTCCGGGGGCTCGAGCTCGCGGCGCGGGGAGTGCGCGGCGCGGCTGAACTGCCCGCCGAGGTTCCGCGCCCGCGTCGGCGTCGCGCGCTGCGGCGGCGGCCGCGGCTTGGGCGGCGTCGTCACCGGCGCCTTGCGCGACCATTTCTCGGCGGGGTACGACACCCCCGTCTTCGCGATCGCCTTGCTCTTCCGGTTGATGCTCGGCGAGAACGTGCAGTCCGTCATCTCGCCGCGCTGCCGCTCCTGGCGTTTCTGGTCGTATCCAACCTCCCTCAGCTTCTGCCACTCCACCGACCGCCGGTACAGCATCGCGCCCGCGTTGCTGCCGTCGCCGTACCCCGGCCCGGCGTCGTACTCGACCTCGCCGTACATGTCCGCGCCGCTGCCCTCGCCCTCGAGCGCCCGCTCGTCGTGCGCGCCGAGCTCGTGCGCGGGGAGCGTCGCGGCCGTCACGGGCGCCTGCCCGTAGCGGTCCGCGCTGCCGACGTAGCCCGCCTGGTAGCCCTCCGCGGCGACGGCGCCGGGGCCGTGCTTGAGCGGGGAGACGGCCGGGGACGGCCCGCCGGCGCGCAGCGTGGGGCCGACGCTGGCGTCGGCGTCGGCGGCGGCGGCGGCGGGCGGCTCCGACACGGGGACGGTCGTGCGGTAGACCGCGCCGTCGGCGTCGACGGAGACCGAGGTGTACCCGGTCGCCGGCGGCGTGCTCGGCGGCGGGGCGGCCGCGCGCGGGGCAGCGGGCGGCGGGGGCGTCGGCGGGCGCGGGCGCGGGGCGGCGGGGCGCGGCCGGCGCGGGCTCCTCCGGGACGCCGCCGCGGATGCCGAGCGCGGTCTTCGCGGCCGCGGTGGCTGCACGGCACGACGCGCACGCGCGGGGCACGGTGAGCATCGACACACAACAACCAGCCACGTGCGGCGCGCAGGCAGCGCGACGCAAGCGCCGCGAGCGCCCGCACGCGCCGGGACACACCCGCGCGGCGGCCCGGCGCCCGCGCAGGAAGCGGCCGAAACGCGCACGTGGACGCGGGAGGTTTTTCTCACGCACGGCGCGCGCACGCACCTTCTGCGCGGTCCTGGAGGATCTGTTTGACGTCCTCCGGGACGTCCTTGCCCGAGCGGTCGTAGCCCATGAGCTCTGCTTCGAGCGCGCGCTCCTGGCTGACCATGTCGGCGAACCCGGAGTCGCGCGGCGATGACGACGAGCGCGCGCGCTGGACGCTCCGCTCCGAGACCTGCCGCTGCAGGGCGGCGCGGTTGCCGCGCCCGGGCGTCGCGGGCGCGGTCGCCGCGGCCGGCGCGGGCGCCCCGCGGGCTGCGGGGCCGGCGCGGCCTGCGGGGACGACGCAGAGACCCAGCAGCCAGGATGTTAGCAGGTGGCGCCTGCAAGCCGTTTCGTCGCGGCGCGGCGGCCGCGGGGCGCGCCGCGAGGATCGCGCAGGAGTGCGCAGCGCGGTGGGCGCGGAACGAGGGCGGTCCGGGGCGGCGCGCGCGCCGCAGGCGGGGCGGCCGGCAGCGCAGCGGGGGAGGCGCGGGGGCGCGCGCGGGGCCGGGAACGCACCGCCTGGCTGTCCTGGCGCTGGGCGAGCAGGCCCTGGACGCGGTCGAGCAGGAGCTGGCTCTCCTTCTTCGCCTGTTCGATCATACTTTGCAGGTCTTGGGGATTCACTGCTGCCACGTCTCCGCCTGCGCGCGCGGAGCACCGTGCGGCTGCGTCGGCCGCGGCGGCACGGCAGCGCTGGGAGCCGCCAAGGCTGCCCGCGGGCGGCCTTCGGCGGCGCCGGAGCGGCGCGGGAGAGCCTTGGGCGCGTCCTTGTGCAAGGGAGCTGGCGGGCGAACGCGGCGCGTAGAGGCCGAGCGGGACCGGCACGGGCCGGTGGGTGGCTGGGGGGGATCTAGTGCGGGGCGGGGGCGGCCGGCGCGGCGCGCTGGGGCCGCGGGGGGCCGGCGCGGAGGCTTGGGCAGGGGTGCAGTGCGGCTGAGTGGGGCTGCGCTTGCCTGCGCCCTTGGGAGGGTCCCCGGGCGGGCCCGCGCGGTCCGTCGGGACGCCGTCCTCCCCAGCCATGTCGTAGTCCGCGCGGCCGGCAGCAGAGCCGTTCATGGGCGAGCGGAGGTGGGGCCGAGCTGCGGTGGGTGCGTGTCGCACGATTGCGGCGGTGCGCCGCCCGTTCGCGCCGTCCGGGCTGGCTGGTAGTAGATGAGTTAGCGTCCTTCGCCTGCAACGATCAGGTCGCGGGCGGAGCGGCGACGTCAACGCGGACGAGCGGTGGACGTTCGTGTGCGCTGCCCGCGCGCCGCCTGGCCGCTACGCAGCGCGCGAATGCGGCGCGGACGGAGAGTGGGACGCAGAGCGTCGCGCGGGCGGGCCGGCCGCAGGTGCGAAATTGTCGCGCGAATTTGCTGGCCGTTACCGAGCGCAAATGCCCGGCACCGCGCGGTATGAGCGCGCGCGCGGCGTCCCGGGCAGCCGCCGACGCAGCGGGCGATCCTTCGCGCGATTTCCTCGCGCGGGGGCGCGCAGCGGCGCGCCCGGGGCCCCCGGGAGGAGCACGCCGGGCGGGGGCCCTGCTGCTGCTCCGATGGGCCGTGCACGCCGCGCGAGCGGCCTTCCGCGCCGGCGGCGGAGGCACGGGGAATTCATACGCTGCGCAGGCGCTGCGATGCGACGCGCAAGGCTGCTCCGCACCTGTCTGAAGCGAGCTGCCGAGCCCTATTTGGAGCGCGAGAGCGCCTCCGTGCGCCCCCTACGCCGCCCAGCCCTATGTGACTGCAGTGGCCGAGAGCTGAGTGCGCGGGCGGCTTGCCAAGGTGGTGCGGACGCTGCGCAACGCCCGCATTTGCCCTCAGCACAACGTCTCAGCTTTTTCCCCCCAGGCTTCGGTCAGGTCCGTCTAGGCGGTCAGCGCGGGCCCCAGAAATGTTGCCCCGCCGCGGGCGCCATGCACGCGACTCTGTGCATGCAGCGAGCGTCCGGAAACCCGACTTGGCCGACGATCCCGGGGACGCGAGCGTGAGAGCACCACCGCAAGCGTGCTTCCGATCCCGTTGCCGCCGAGCCAGCGTCTCCCACGCTGTCGGGCCGCGTTCACGGATACACGGCACGAAGAGCTCCACGGACGCGCGCGGCGCGGGCCAGCTGCCCCAGCAGGCGGGCGCGGCCGGGCCTCTAGGAGTCTGTCCCTCCCGCGCGGCGCCACCCATGGTCGCAACCAGCGCTGCAGGCAGCGCTCCGGCAAGAACACTGACGTGAAATGGCCCCGCGCCCGAGCGCGTCGCTGCTGACGGCCTTCCTGCGCGGCACGAGCTCGCTGCTTTCTGCGCGGGCCGCCAGCCACTGCGCCCCGGGCGCTGCCGCCGCGGCGATGCCGCTCGGCCTGGCCAGCTGGCGTCACGTCCCGACCGCTCCCGTCCGCGCGGCCTTCGCACCGGCCACACCGCGCTGGGTGTGCCGATTCGGCAGCACCGCACTGCGTGGCGAAACCTTCGTCGCGGCCGCCAAGAAGCGGCGACGCCGGCCGCAGGCGCCCCGCGACGACTGGGACACGTTCATCCACGCCGACGTCGTCCAGCTGCCGCGGCGGCACGGTCCGCAGCCCCATGCGGGCGGCGCAAGGCGCGGCCGGCGCCGGACGGCGTCGCCGGGCCGCGGACGGCCGCCGCCGACGCGCGAGTACTCCCAGGACGCGGCCGCCGCGCCCGCGCGCCGCCGCCGGCCCTCGAACCCTCGGAAGTCCGGCAAACAACACAAGAGCGACGAGCGGAAGAAGAAGATTGTTGTGGTCGAACCTGTCGCTGTGCGCAAGTCCACGCTCGCGCGGTGGAGCGACGACGACAGCGGCGACGAGGCCGAGCGGCGCCGCGCGCCGCGCGGCGACCCGCCGCCCGCGCTGCCGCTGCCGGCGCTGGAGGCGGCGGGGGCGCCGCACGCGTGGTTCGCGCGGCGGGTGCGGCACGAGGTCCCGGGGCCCGTGCTGACGCTCCTGGACGTTCTGCTGGCCGAGGGCATCGACGCGTGGCTCGTCGGGGGCTGCCTGAGGGACATCGCGCTCGGGGCGAGACCGCGCGACTTTGACGTCGTGGCGTCCGCGCGGCCCGCGCGGGTGAAGGCGATTCTGCGGCGCAAGGAGCACAACTACGCCGTGATGACGTGGGGCCGCAGGATCCCGCTCGCGAACATCAAGCTGCCGTCGGGAGAGACCGTGGAGTTGACGCAGCTGCGCAAACTGGAGCACGCGCAAACCGGAAACGGCTCCGGGGGGCAGCCCGCGCTGCTTGGGGGCCGCGGCGGACCGAGGGAGGCGCGGGAGCGCGCGGAGTGGGAGGCGCGGTGGCTGCGGGCCATCGCCGCGGACTTGGCTGCGCGCGACATGACGTGCAACGCGGTGGTGTACAATCGGCACATCGGCGGGCGGGACGGGCTGGTGCTGGACCCGATGGGCGGGCTGCGGGACATGCAGGTGCGGGCGGCGCGGGCCCGCCGCTGCGCGCTGTGTCCGAGGCGGGCGCGGGCTCGCGGCACAACAACAACAGCGCGACGCTTTGTTGTGGCGCTCTTGTGCAGGAGGGGCGGCTGCGGATGTGCGGCGACGCGGCCGTGAGGATCGAAGAGGACCCGGTCCGCGCGCTGCGTGTCGCGCGCATGTGGGCGCGGTTCCCGGGGTTGTCGCCGTCGGAGGAGCTGGTGGACCTGATCGCGGCGTGTCGGCCGCTGGTGCCGCGGGTGTCTCCGGACCGCGTCCGGCTCGAGGTGGTGCGGATGCTGCAGGGCTCGGCGAGGCAGGGAATCGCCAGACTGTCGAAGTGCGCGCCCCGCCCCCGCAGCACGTGGCGGCGCGCCGTCGCCGCGCCGCAGCGCCTGCGGGCAGCCGGCCCAGCGAACGCGCGGCGTTCGGCCATGACTCAAGATGTTTGTGTGCTCATCGGTGTTGCGTTCTAATAATATAATAATATAGTCACTTCTCAACAGAAACGTATCCTGTATATGGCCCCGCTGCCACGCAGGCTCCAGCTGCTCGACGTGATGTACCCGTTCATGGCGGAATGCGTCGGGGCGACCCCGAGCGCGATGCAGAGCGCCCTCCTGGCGTCGTACGACCACGCCTTTGCCCACGGCCAGGACCCCGACGACATCAGCGGCATATTCCCGGCATTCGCCGCCATCTGCTTCGTCTGGAAGGACGTCCACGACGTCGAGGAGGCCGCGCAGCGCCTGAAGGAGCTCGTCGCGGACAAGGAGGTGCGCAAGGACCTGGTGCACAGGGGCCAGATGTGCGGCGCCAAGCTGAGCTCGTGTGTGATGGGCGCGGGGCGCGGGCCGCGCGTGCAAAGCGCGCTCACGGCGCTGAACAGGCGGTGGGACGACGAGTGCGAGAAGCGCGAGGGCGAGGCTTCGGCGGAGTCGCTGGCGGCGGCGCTGCGGGGGGGGCCTGACTCGCGGACGTTCAACGCTCTGCGGGCGGTTCTGCTCGGGACGCTCTGGAGGGCGGCCGCGAGCAAGGAGGGCGACGCGGCGCGCGACGAGCTGCACGAGGCCGCGTAGGGACTCGGAGGGGGGGTGTAATTTGCGGGATACCCCCTGACGGCAGCGACTGTGAGGCCGCAGTCGGCGACCGAGGCGCGTGACGCACCGGGGGAGCGTAGGGCGCGCGCGGGCTGGCTGTCGGCCGGCCGTTGATGGCCACGACGTCCCAGGGTGGTTGGTCGATGTCGTCCTGCAGACGCTGTTGCGGCGCCCGCAACGGTGCGGCGTCGTGCTGGGAGCCGGCCTGTACTCGCGCGCAGTGTGTCGAGGTGGAGTGATCAGGCCCCTTCAGCGGGAGTGATGACATGCTCACGTGGCATTTCGCGCGAGTACTCCTAGCACGCTGCTGCCTTGATCGGGACGATCGCACACCCGCATTTCGTTTCGTGCGCGGGTGGGCAATTACTACTTTGAGTGCGCAAGTAGGTCACATCGGGGTTGACACGTTGCGTCGCGACGCCTGGGCGTCCGGTGCGATGAGAGACCAGGCGCGCACGAGGCCAACAGTACTCGGAGCCTTTCTAGTTGACTCACGGACCTCGAGCGCACCAGAACGTTCGCATTATCCGTGATGACGGATCGGGGGGAGGTGAAATCCCAAAAACGCCTCATGCAGCAGGCTGCTGCCTGAGGCAAGGCCAGAGGCCCAGCCCCAGTGGGCGGCCGGCGACAGCGCGGGCGATCCTGAGAGGAGGCAGCTGCTTCATCCTCGCGGGGCTCGTCACGCGCACGCCAGTGCGGCAGGGCCGCAGGTGCGACGCACCATGTGCGTGCATGCATTTCGTGCATGCGGTGCGTGCGGATGGAAAGGCTGTCAAGCGACCAGAGGACCAGAGGGTCCTGGCGTAGAGTGGCGCTTCGGCATACGTCCACGCCCCCGTGCTGCCACTGTCATATCAGTGACAGTGGCAGCAGTTATGTTCCAAACAGGTAGCGAGTATATTTGAGGGGGGAGTTGTTTGCGACCAGCATGTAGTAGAAGAGCGGGGGGGTTAGGGAGAGGGGGGCGGGGGGGCGGGGGAGGGGAGGGGTTGTGCGCGCGCTCGGTGGCCCTGCGTCGCCCGCAGCGGACGCTGCGTTGCGGCGACCGGTGCTCCGTTGATCTCGGGCTGGCCTGGCGAGGCCTTGGCGAGTTGGCCTCTGTGGCTCAGCGGGCAGGGAAGACAGGGGACGACGCAGCAATGCGTCGACGGCGCGTGAAAGAGTCGGTAGAACAACTGGGGGGGAGGGGGGGGTGCCGTTGCACCGAGGTGCACGCCTGGGCGTACGACGCGGTCCTGGAGAGCAAGGAGATGACGGAAAAAAACGTGTCGACGGCTCAACAGTTGCGCAACCGTGCCGTTGCGTCAAGAGGGGGAGGGGGCGTCAAGAGGGGGGTAAAGGAGCAAAATCCAGAAGAACAACAACAGGTGGGGGGGGGGGGTGTTGCGCCGCTGCACCAAGGTGCACGCCCGGGCGCACGAAGCGATCCCGGGAGAGAGCGGCACATGCGCAGCGAGCCAGCTGACTGTCTCGGTCCAAGGCTGGCAGCCCAGACCGTCCGTCCTCCGCCGGGCGCGCGCGCGCTGCGTTGCGCTGCTGCGCACCGCCGCGTCAGGCCAGGCGCGTGTGCTGGCTGTCGCGCATCGCGCGCGTGAGCGAGTCGTCCATGAAGATCGCGCTCGACGCCTTCCGGCGCTGCTGCACGGTCGGCACTGGAGGCGTCGCGCCGCCACTGTCCTCCATCTTCGCGAGCAGGCCCCGCAGCTCCTGCGAGCCCGGCTTCGTCAGCGCGTGCACCTCCTCCGTGCTCAGCGGCCGCTCCGAGATCCGGTTCACGCTGACGAACCAGTCCGCCCACGCCTCCAGGTCAAACGCGCCGCTGCCGAGGTGTCGCTGGTCGACGGTCCGCAGCTGCTGCCGCACGAGCGTGCCGACGGCGGAGTTCTCGGCCGTGTCCGGCGCTATCGCGCACACGAGCGCCTCGACGCGCTTCAGCGGCAGCAGCCCGCTGGCGTTCTTGTTGATGAGGAAGAACAGCGCGCGCACCGCCTTCCAGTCCTCGGCGTCGAACCCGCGCGGCACGCGCCCGTCCGTCGCGACCGTCTGCGCCTCGCGCGCGAGCTGCGTGACCTCGTCCGCGCGCGCGTAGGGGTACGCCGCCCCTATGATCTCCGCCAGCGTCACCAGGTTCGACGTCGCGCGGTCCGCGAGGCGCCGCAGGAGCTCGCGCAGGACGTCGCCGCTGCGGAAGCCGAGGCGGTCCGGGCCCTGCGCGTTCGCGACCTTGGCGACGTCGGACCGCAGGATGTGGCCCGCACCCGACTCCTGCGCGGCCTTGCGCCACAGGACGGTGATGCCGCGGAGGTCCGCGAGGTACACGCGGTGCTTCGAACGCAGCACGAAGTACCCGCCCTTGGTGCCGTACGCCGCCGTCGCGTCGCCGTGCCCGAGAGGCACCTCGAAGTCAGTCAGTGCTGGTTCTGGGGGGGGGGTGTTTTGGGGCGGCTTGGTCGGCGTGCGGCGCTCCGGGGCCGGCGGCGGCTTGCTGTCGCCGCCGCTGCTCTTCGTCCGCGCGCTCGGCACGGTGCCGAGCTTCCGCGGGCCGGCTCCGGCTCCGGCTGCGGCTGCGGCTGCGGGGGTGTCCTCGCGGACGTCCCCGAGCATGCTGGTCGCCCGCCGCTGCGGCGCCTGGTCTGCACCGCACGCACGCGCCGCGGCGCGCGTCTGTCAGCGACCGCCGCGCCTGCACGCGCGCGCAAACAGGCACACAGACAGCACAAGCGACAGCGGCGCAGGAAGTTCCAGCAGGGCGGTCGAGGGCCGGGGCGCACCGAGGTCGAGACGCTGGCGCGACATCGTGCGCAGCCGCGCGAGCGTGAGCTTGCCAGCGCCGTCGCGGTCGTGTGTCGTTCCGGCCTCACTCGCACGCTGCGTGCCGGGCGCCGCCGTCGAGCCCGTCCCCGAGACCGACCCGCGCTTGTTCGCGCCAATGCTCTGCCCGCTGTCTGACTCCAAAAAGTTCATTCTCCCCGCGCGCCGCACAGTCGACTGCGCCAGATGGTCCTGCAGGTCCTTCAGCGTAGGCAGCACGCCGGCCGGCTGGCCCGCCTCGGAGACCGTCAACGCGCGCTCCGCGCCGGCTCGCGCCCCCGCCGGTGACGACGGGCCGTCGTCCACGGCGGACGACGACGCGTGGCCGAGGCGCGACGCCGGCGGGGCGGCAGGCGCTCCCGTGAAGGTGCTGCGCCGGGCGTGCGCGCGGTCGCCGCCGCCGCCGCCGCCGCCGTGTCCGAACGCGCTCGCGAGCGCGGCCTGCGCGACGCCGCCCAGCTGGGGCTTGCCGTGGCTGCTGGTGTGCGCGGAGGTGTGGCCCGAGGAGTGGGCGCCGTGCGCCGAGGTCTGCGCACTCGACCCCGCGGCGCTGCGGCGGCCCGCGACGGCGCCGGCGTTCTTGGGCCGACCGAGCGTCTTCGAGCGCAGAATGCCGTTGGACGCGGGCGGCGCCGCACACGACGACGCTGGGCCCGCATCGCCCCCGTCCTGGGGGCGCGCCATGAGCGGCGCGGGCGGCATGTCGTTGGAGGTGTGGCAGAAGTCTATCCGGAAGCGAGGGGTCCTGCGGAAAATTCGCGAACCGCGCGCCGTGAGGACGGACACAGTGCGCAGGAATCAGAGCATGGGCGGGCGTGTGCGAGGTGCGGGTGCAGGCGGAGTCGCGGGCGCGCGAAGGGGGAGAGCGCCGCAGTGAGCTCGCTGTGTCGGTCATCGGCTGCCTCCGGCCCGGATTGCGCGCGCCCGCAGCCGTGCCTGTCTCACTGCAGCACGCCTCCGCGTGGGCGGAACTGCCGCGTGCTCTCGCCGAGACGCGCGCAGCGCATCGCGATGATACGGAAGAATCAGGGTTTCGGAGAGAAGCGCGGTTTCGCGCCGGCCCGGGTGCGCTACGTCACACCTAGACGCGGCGTGACCCCAGGGCCCGGGAGGCTGCGGCGTGAGACCGTTCCGGCCGCGCCAGCGTCGCACGAGGCCCTCGTGCACGGATGAGCACCGCACGCACAGCCAGAGCAGGTCCCCGCGCACCTTCAATGCAGCATTGCCGGCGTGCCCCTGTGTGTGGTGTCCCCTGCGCAGCGGGGCGAAGAGATGCGCGAATAGCTCCTTGGCTGGTCCGCAATGTATTGAACGGTGCACGGACGAGCCAAAGGAGGCCGGGCCGGCGGCGCGCGGGGGCGGAGGAGTCGGGAAACGCCCCCTGAAAACAGGGGCCTCGTATGCTGGTCACCGACGGATCTCCAATCGAGGGACAGTGTGTGTGTTTCTACACTTTCACGGCCGCGCCCTCCCTCCCGCGCGCCGGGCGCCGCTGGGGCGCGGCCACGACCACGCACGTCCCGTCGGACGTCACTCGCTGCCATGCGTGTCCGATGCAGTCCACGGACGCGACTGAACGGGTCTGGCAGCACGACGTCTCCACATGTTAGATAACAGAGAATATCGATGTTCGTTATGGCTTTTGTACTTCGCTGACCTACAGGCACCCTCGCCGCGAGGATGCCTGAGCGACCGAAATGGTGCGGCAGGCGAGACGCACACAGTAGACAGGGTTGACAAAGTGAGCATGCTCAGAGAAGTTGTGCAGCAAGTTTTGAAGTCACACGCCGTGCACGCGCATGGCGCGCGAGTCTCCTCGTCTGCTCCACCTACAGCGCGAGCCGCAGGACCGCGCGGTCCACGCGGCGCGCGCGGCCAGGCCAATGTCGGAATGACAGCTCCCAGGGCCGCATCGCGGTCCCTCGCCCGGGGCCGGGCGCCGGCGAGCCGGGGCAGCATCCGCGCCCCGAGCACCGCGCCCCCGGATGCACATTCCCCGACGCGGACAGCGACGGCGCGCTGCCGGCCGCTGCTGGTGAAGTGAAGTGAAGTGAAGTGAAGTGAAGTGAAGTGAAGTGGTGATGATGCACACATGCTGCGACTAGTGTAATCTTGGATCCATGCACTGCAGCCGCCGCAGCGCGGCCCGTCCTCGCGCGCCCCGCGGCGGCGCGGGGCCCGCCCAGCCCGCGCGCACACACACACGCCGCCACGCCGTGCTTCCGGCCCCGCCACAGGCGCGGAACCGCACCCGCGCGGCCCGGCCCGGCCTCCGTCACGTCAGGTACGTCGGGTTCTGCATCTCGCGGATCCGGCGGTCCAGGCGCTGCTGCGCAAACTTCTTCGCTTTGGCGCGCGCGGCCTGGCGCGCGGCCTGGTCCTCGGGGCTGCCCGCCGCGAACACGTCCATGCGCTGCAGGACGGTGCGCATCGCGGAGGATCCCGGCTTGATCAGCTCCTGGATGGTGTTGATCGAGATGGGGTTGGCGTCCAGCGCGTTGACGTCGCGCCACCACTCCATGAGGCCCTCGATGCCGAGCAGGCCGCCTTGCTGCGCGCGGGGACGGGCGCACGGCGCGGGGGTCGGGCGGGCTGCCGCGGACTGAGGCGCGGTGGGCTGCGTGGTGCGTTTGGCGGGCGCGGGCGCGGGCGGGCGGCGCGCAGACGACGAAATGCATGTCCGGGCGAGACGGCGATCGAGGAAGAGATGAACGAGCGAGCACGTGCGAACGAAGAAACGCAAACGTGACGAGACGGCGAGCAAAGCACAACGGCGACGTCGTGTCGACGCACCCCGTATCGCGCGTTGAGCGTCTCGAGGCGCGTGCGCAGCAGCGGCTGGTTGACCTGGTCCAGCCCCTTGACGGCGAGGACGAAGTTCTCGATTATCGTCGGCGTCAGGAATCCTGTGCCCTGACGGTCCAACACACCAAAGAGCTGCTTCATCGCATGGTGCTCGAGCGGGGACATGCCCTGCGGGACGCTCGAGGCGCCGCGCGTCTCGTTCATCAGCTCGAGCGTCTCCTCCTTGGTCGCGAAGGGGTAGGCGGCCTCGATCATGTCGCGCAGGCCCACGGTGGTGTGGTTGCTGCCGCCGTACTGCCACAGGTTGCGCACCATCACCTGCATCGGGTTGTACTCTGCGGCGCGGAGGGACGCACGAACGCGCGCACGGAGGTCACGTTGCGGCGCGCGGTGCGGGCGCCGTAAGCGCGGGAACACAGGAGACGCACTGCGCCCCCCCCGCGCGCGACGACGTCGTCGCCGGCCCGCGGAAAGGCAGGCGGCTGGAGACGCTGCGCGCGGACAAGCGGTGCCGGCGCCAGTGGCGAAAGCAGCTACACTCCGAGCACCGCGGCGGGGCGACGAGGCTCGCGGCGATCAGTCACCATCCTCAGCGCAGCGGGCGCGGTCGCGCGCGCGGCGCGGCCGGGGTGCGGAGCGCGCCTGTCATGCCGAAGGAGCTCGGTCCCGTAGACGTAGCCAGCTTCACGAGGTCGGCTCGGAGGACGTTGCCGCTGAGGCCGAACCGCATCGTGGCCTCCTTCCAGCAGTCCACGAGGCCGCGGAGGTCCGCGAGGTACACGCGGTGGCGCGACTTCATCATGAAGTAGGCGCCCTTGACGTTGAAGGTCTCGCCGGCGTTACCGAACTTGACCTCGACGCCCGTGGTGGACCCGCGCGTGGCCTCCGCGCCTGCGGGGCGGGACACGGCCGGGACAACGACGATACAACATGATACAACATCGTAAAAGTAAGAATGTATTGTAAATAAATAAATAAATAATGTAATATATATAATAATCAAAAGGAGAACGTGAAGGTCAGCGGTGCGAGCAGAGCAACACAGCCCGTTCGACGGCACGAAGGAGGGCGCGGGCGCGAGGTGCCGCAGCGCCCCCGCAGCACGGCGCGCTGCAGCACCGTCGCCACCGCAGCGCAGCGCACCTGCCGTGCCGGGCCGCTTGTCCTTCGCGTCGCCGCTCGTGCGCGCGCCGGCCGACGTCGCGGGCCGCGCCGCGCCGAGCACGCCCGCCGTCGACATCCGCCGCCTGTGCGCGGCAGTCTCGATATCCGTGTATCTCTTTTCATGCAGCATACCAATGACGTTCTTCGCCGCCCCGTCCCCGATCCCCGCGAGCGTCTTCCGCCGCCCCTTCCGCGCCTCCTTCGGCAGCCCGTCGTCCAGCCCCGGCACCACCACCCCCGCCGCCCCCAGCGCCGCCGACGCCCGCCGCGCACCGTCCGGCAACGTCGGCCGCATCGCCCCCTCGTCCGCGAGCGCCGCCTCGCGCTCCGACAGCGCGGTGTTCCCGTACACCACCGCGGACTTCCGCCGCGCGCGCCCGCCCTCCACCGCGCCGGTCACCGCCTGCGCCAGCGCCTGCGACCGAACGAGCATCTCCTGCACCGTCGCGGGGCGCGCATTTGGCACCCGGGTCGGGTCCGGCACCTCCGGCGTCAGCTTCGCCGGCAGCGCCTCCGCGGGCCGCGTCTTGCGCCGCCGCCGCGGCCCCTGCAGCGTGAACGTCGTCCCCGTCGACGCCACCACCTCGGGCGCCGCCGTGCCGCTCGCGTCCGCCTGGTCGCGCGGCGGCGACCCCGGCTCCGTGCCGTCGCTGTCCTTCCCGCTCCCGCGCTCCGCGGCCGGCGTCCGCGGGGTCGCATCGTGCACGTTCTTGACACCCCCTCCCAAGGGGGGGCCAAACAGTGGGCCGTCGTCCGAGTCGGCGGCGCTCGCCTGGCTGGCCGCGACGCTCCGCACGACCGCGGCGGCCGCCGTGCGCGGCCGCCGCGCGTTCCACTCCTCCGTGCTCGCGCGGAAGATCGGATTCGGTGCCCCCGCGGGCGGCGCAACCCCGCTGGTGATGCCAGACAGCGGGGTTGACTTTGCGGTCTCCAGGGGCCCGGAGAGGGCGTCGGCGGCCTGCTCGGCGCCCGCGGAGGACTTCCTGCGGTGCCGCGCGAGCGCGGCGGCGAGGGGGTTGGCCGTGCTGGGCCGCTGCTCGTCGGTGGTGGCGCTGTTGCCGGTGTCACTCGCGCGGGAGGGCGCGGTGCCGGTCGAGTCGAAGGAGACGCCGCGGGTGCGGGCGGCGTGGAAGCCCACGCGGCGCGCGCCGGGGCTGAGCGGGACCGCGGTGGAGGGGCGCGAGAGGGCGGCGTGGGCGCGGGCTGCGGGGCTGACGGGCGCTGCGAGGCCGCCGGGGCTCCGGAACGCGTAGATCTGCGCGGTCGTGGATTTTCCGGGGCTCGGGGAGGTCCCGGCGACGGCCGCGGCGGGCTCGCTGGCGCTGGCGGTGCGCGGACGGTCCCCGAAGACCCTATTGAGGCGCTCGCGCCGCTGCTCCTGCGCCTCCCGCCTGCGCGCGCGGGGAGTTTCGGTGTGGTACAGCGTTGGAGCGTCCCGGTGCGGCGGTTCTAGGGATTTTCGCCGCGAGGAGCGCCCAGGAAGCAGCGGTCACTAAGCAAGCTGGCACGGTCAAGGGGCGCGGGTACGCTCGACGCAGCGCCTTGTGCGCGCCCGCGCGGGGCGTTCGGGGCCTCGCCGTACGAGGGAGCCCGTGCACGGCGAATGCGGGCCCGGAAAGCGCTGATATGCGCCCCGGTGCGACGGAAAGCGCTGCTGGTAGAGCCCTCACCTCGCGCGGAAGATGTCCCCCATCGGCATGGTCGCCCCCGCGCAGGAAATCAGGAGACAGTCCGCATGCGCATTCGGCGCCCGACTGCGAGCCAGCCGTCCCGGCGAATTAGCGCGTGGTCCCTTGAGTGCAACCAACTAGGGCCGCACGCTGGCGCGGTCCGCCGCGCAGCCTCCGCGAAACGCCGCGCCGCAGCCGTAGCTGTCGACGTTCAAGCCGACACGACGCTCTCAGGCGTCGCGAACGCCGGCGCGCGCGCAGGGCGTGTGCTACAGCACACAGCAGCTCCTTGCTGCTACGCTCGCGGCCCCGAGACGCAGCTCCGCTGCGTACGAGGGCGCGCTCCGAGGTCCTGAGTCTCGGTCACTGCCCGCGCCGCCGCGCACGGGCCGCCAAACCCCGCCGCGCGCTGCCGCGACACTCCTCCCTGTGGTCGCCACGGTAGCACAGGACACCATGTGGGGTGTGGCCGCTGTCAGGCGGCGTCCAGCGGCCCTCGCGCGCTCGCACGATCCCCGCAGCGCGCCCTCCGCGCCCGCCGCAGTCGCGGCGCCGCCTATTGCGATGGTGCGACGCAGTCTATTTTTTGGTATATGATTTCGAGTCTTTGTTTCGGCTTCACAGGAACTTGATGCCCTCGTCCCCGGTGACGTCGCTGGCGAAGACGGCGGCGCGGCCGCGCCGCTCGAGGACGCCCGCCACGATGCGCAGCGCGTCGTGGTGCATGCCATGCAGGTCTGCAGCTCACCAAAAGGGAAAACAAGTCTCAAAAACAAGTCTCAAAAACAAGTCTCCAAAACAAGTCTTGAAATCGCAACTCACGGCCATCGTGTGTGCTTCCGCGTGCACGGCGCCGCAGCGGCGCGTGCGGGCGCGTGCGGTGCAGCGGCGCGTGCAGGGACGACACAACGCACGCACCTGTGTGGCTCGTTTCCGGGCCGGAGGAGATCTCGTCGAAGGTCACGACGCTGCCGCTGTACCCCATGTCGCGCGCCCACTTCTCCAGGTCGTCCGCGAGCTCCTCCAGCGGGCGGAAGAACACGGCGCAGCGCCTCTTGTGTTTGTCGAGCTGCAGGGCCGCACGCGCGACGCGGTCGGGAGGCGCGCTCCTCGGGCAACGATACGGTCCGTGCGGACCGTGCGCGGGCGGAATGCGTGCGTTTCGCGCGCGCTGCTGTCGTGGGCGAGGGGAGGAAGAGCCGTGCACGTACCCAGTGCGCTTGCCCGCGGGCGGCGAGGCTGTCGAGGACCGCCACGCGGCCCGACGCCGGGAGCTTCCTGTTGATCGCCTCGTTCTGGAACAGCGGGCCGTCGTCCGATTCGTCCGTGGTGAGCACGAAGAGGCGCGCGGCCCTGCACGTTCGCAATCGTCTCGGCCGCGCGCTCAGACGTCCGCGACCGCGCACGAAAACAGCTCCCGCGAGATGTTCTACCCGGCAGCGACCCCTCCAGCGACCGCCAGGCCGTCAGTGCGACGCACAGGGCCGTGGAGGGGTCCCACGCTTGCAAACACGGCAACACGGGGCGCGAATCACCTGCAGAACCGCACCACGAGGTCCCGCCACACAGCCAGCTGCCGCTCCCGCGTCTGTTCCACGGGCTGGATCGTGTAGAAGGGCGGAAACGAGCGGAACTCAGGCCACACGAACCCCTCCGGCGCCCCACTCTCCCCCCCGGGCGCCTCCCCCGCCCCCGCCCGCGCCGCCATCCTCGCGCCCCCGCCGCCCCCGCGCCCACCTACCTCGCCGCGCCTACCACCGCCTCCGCGCCGGCCCGCCGACGACCACGCGCACCCACAGCAGCTGCTTTACTCTTACTTCCCACCACCCCGACTGGACCCGTTACGCTGCCGTTGCTGCGGCTCCCGGACGCTGGTGCGGTGCGTGACCGCGGCGCGGCGCGGCGCTGCGTGCAAGTGTGGTATCGGCTTCACACGGGGGGTAGCAAAGAGCCCTGACCCCCCGTCACTGGTAGAACGCTAGTGGGCCTGACGTCAGGCGACCTGCACCAGCCCAAACGGGCCCTCCGTTGCCACGCCCGTCGAAATGCGCGCCGCGTGCAAGTGCCGCGCCCCTCGCGCACGCCGCGGCCAACACCCCCCCCACGTGGCGCGCGCATGTGCACAACACACCTGCGTCAGACGCACGCTGTCACGTGAGTGTGTACGCGCGACGGCCGGGCGGCAACCTCGCGCGGAAAATGATCTGCACCGGGAGGTTCAGAGGCCGTCGCGCAGCCGCGCGAACGCGAACGCGCGTGCCGGGCGTTCGCGGCGCCCCACGCACCGCGCAGTGGACTGTGTGTGTGTGGCGTCGCACCTGCGGTGGGGCAGCGGGGTGGCGCCCGCGGGCCTCGGCAGCGGTGCCGGCAGTGCCTGTGGAGCGCGTGCGGCGTGGAGGCGCGCCGGGCGTTCACGCGTGACTAGGGGTGTTGGAGGGGCGCCCGTTGCGCGCCGGACGGAGCTCGGAAGGGTCGCTCGTCGTATCTTTGCGGTATTATGATATTGAAGGAACGCGTTCGCGCCGTTTGATGGGCGCTGGCGCGCCGCACGTGCCGCAGGAGGGTCCGACCGACGGTTGCTCGGGCTGACACCCCGGCGGGGCGTCGCCGACAAGGCCGCAGCGCGCGCGTCGCCGCGCGCACACGTTCCCCTGACAGCGAAGGCTCCCCTCGTAGCGCAGACGACCCATCGCGGGGCGTGTTCTACTCGCAGCCGCGTGTGCCCGGACGCTCGGGCAGGCTCCTGCCCCGCGCTCGCTTCGCGATTCCCTCCCACCTCGAAGCGCGCGAGAAACACGCACCTCGGACATTTCCCTCCCACCTCGCGCGGCGCAGGCTCCCCGTCCGACGCGCACGCGCCGTTCCCGGCGACCACCCTCCGGTGTTGCACAGCGTCCACTCTCCGCGCCGCGGCCCCCGCCGGCCCACCCGCGTTCCGTCCCGCCTTCCGGGGCCTCCGTAGCCCGCACATCTCCGCGCGCCGGCCCAGTCGCGACGCGGCTGCGGCACTTTTGAACGCGCGAGCCGAGCGCCGCCCACGTTGCACCTCCCGCACCGCCGCGGGCCGCAGCCGGCGGGACGCGCGGCGCCGACATGGCGACGGGACAGCGTGAGCTCACGCAGAAGTTCAAGGTCCAGAAGTTCCTCGGGAAAGGCAGCTATGGCAGCGTATACCGGTGCGGTCCTCGCCAGCAGCGTCGCGCCACGCCTCGCCCCGCCGCGCCGCGCCCCCGCGCGCCCGCGGCCCCTGCGCGCGCCGGCAGCCGCGCACGGCCCCCCTGCGGCCCCCACGCGGCCCCGCCCCCTTGTAGCGGCCCCACGCAGCGCGGGCGGCCCCGCATGCCCCCGCGCACCGTACCAGCCTCCCCACCGCTCCCGCCGCGCCGGCCGCCCCACGCGCCCCCCGCAGGGTCAAGAGGATCTCCGACGGCAAGGTCTACGCCCTCAAAGAGACCGACGTCAAGCACATGAACCAAACGGCACGCGCCCGCCCGTTGCCTCCCCGCATCACCCGCACCCGCTCGTCCCCGCCGCAACACCCCCCCACGCGCCCCGCCCGCCCGCGCCCCGCTCCCTCGCCCCTCGAACCACGCCCTCCGCCGCACCGCCCCTCGCAAGCCCCCCCCCCGCCCCGCCCGCTTCACGCTCCCCGAGCCCCTCCCGCGGCCTCACCGCGCGCTTTCCCGCGCGCCGCCGGTCGCAGGAGCGCGCGGAAGCCGTCAACGAGATCCGCCTCATGGCCTCCGTGATGCACCCGAACGTCGTGTCCTACCACGAGGCCTTCATAGACGGCAACAAGCTGTGCATCGTAATGGAGTTCGCGCCCTACGGCGACCTCGCGCGCGCCATCCGCAAGGGCCAGGCGATGAAGAAGCCCTTCCCCGAGGACATGATCTGGTCCTTCTTCATCCAGGCGTGCGAGGGCGTCTACGCGCTGCACCACGCCCGCATCCTCCACCGCGACGTCAAGGCCGCCAACCTCCTCATCACGGCCGCGGACGCCGTGAAGATCGGCGACCTCGGCATCGCGAAGTTCATGAAGACCGGCATGACGAAGACGCAGATCGGCACGCCGCACTACATGCCGCCCGAGGTCTGGAAGAACCGCGCGTACGGCTACTCGTCCGACGTGTGGGCGCTCGGGTGCCTGCTCTACGAGATGGCCACCTTCACCGTGCCGTTCGAGGCCCGCTCGATGTCCGAGCTGCGCTACAAGGTCCGCCCCGCCCCGCAGCGCCGCGCCGCGCCGCGCCGTGATGGCGACGGACGCCGACGCTTTGCATGTGCGCGCGTCGCTGCGTGCGTTGCGCGGCCGACCCGTCGTGCTGCCCCCTGGCGCGTGCGCGCGCAGGTCATGCGCGGGCGGTACACCCCCGTCCCGCGGCTGTACTCGGCGGACCTGTCGAACCTCGTGTCCGCGCTGCTCGACCCGTCGCCGGACGCGCGGCCGACGCTGGAGCAGATCCTGAGCTCCGAGGCGGTGCAGCGGCGGCGGCACCTGCTCCCCGGGCACCTGCAGGAGGGCGGCCTCGCGCCCGCGATGGTCGCGGAGAAGGGGGGACTATTGGACACCATCCAGGTTCCGCGCAACCTCAAGCTGCTCCAGAACCGGCTGCCGGCGCCGCAGTACCCGGACGAGGCGGAGGCGGGCGAGGGGAAGGCGGGCGGGGACGCGAACGGGGACGCGCAGACGTGGGCCGGGCCGCAGGAGCCCGCGCGGATGCCGGCGGCGCACCAGGGGCCGCGCAGCGCAGGTGAGAGCGGGGGGGGGTGTTTTTTGGGGGCGTGTTGCGCGTGCGCGGTTGTTGTTGGCTGGGCGACCCGCGTGCCGCGTGCGGGGACGTGCGCGTGATGATGCTGTCGTTGTATCTTGTGTGTTTGGGGGTGTGTTGTGTGCAGTGTCGGACCCGCCGGTGCAGGCGCGCCCGAGCCCCGGCCGCGCGGGCTGGGACCGCTCGCCGGAGTCGGTGTCCTCGCGGCCCGAGGGCCGCCAGCCCGCGGCGTACGGGCGCGGGGCGGTGATGAACACCCCCACGCCGCGCGCGGGGGGCGCGCTCGCGGCGGTGGACAACGCGCCGGGCTACGCGCACGGCGCGATGCGGCCGTCGGAGTTCAACAAGCCCGGCGCGCGCCGCGTCGGCCCCGCCGCCGCCGCGGCGTCGCGCGTGGGGTCGCGCGCGGGCACCAACGCGTCGCAGGGCAGCTACAACACGCCGCGCGGCGGGAACGTGTCGAACCGCGGCAACGGCGGGAGCGCGTACTCGCGGAACTATGGCCCCGCGCGGGGCGCGCAGCCCGGCCGTGCGGCGGGCAACGGTCACATGGGAGGCGGCGGGCACCTGCCACGGATCAGCGAGGCCGCGGCGGGGCTGCCGAGCATCCCGTCGGCGCGCGGGGCCGCGGGCGCGCGCCGCCGGTACTACTGAGCGACGCGCGGGCGAAGGCCGCGTGCGCCGACGCCGCTGGCGGGTGAGAGAGCACATAACGTGGCAGGATGGCCGCGGTCGGGGGGCGCGGTGTGCGCGCGTGCGGCCGCTGTGACAGAGTAATTGAGAGACGACCGCGCGCGGCAGTGACGCCTCCAAGTGATGGAGCAACACTTGAAATAAGTGAGGTGTTACAGGTGAGGTGTTACATTGACACAGCGGAGGGCACCGCGACATCGTCGAGCGCGGACATCGTCGTCATTCTTCGCGTCGTCAGCCATAAGGCCATGTACCACCTCACCTCATCCCGCGAGTATCCGCTAGAGCGGGAACGAGTCCGTGGGCAGTCCTTCAGTGCGACCATGTCTCCAGCTGCCCGGGCGAGATGCCGGGGGGCAGGCGCTGCACCGAGCTGCCGCGCGACGAGAGCTTGCGCAGCATGCCGCAGCTCGCCGCGTCGATCCAGTCGTCCTGATCCAGACACGCGCAACCACTGACGTCAAGCTCCACCAGCTCCGTCATGCTCTTCGGCAGCCGCGTCAGGTCCGTGGAGCCCACGTCAAGCTTCCGCAGCTTGCCGCAGCTCGCCGCATCGATCCAGCTGTCCTTGTCCAGGCACGCGCATCCATTGACGTCAAGCTCCAGCAGGTCCGTCATGTTCGTTGGCAGCCGCGTCAGGTCCGTGGAGCCCACTTTAAGCCCGCGCAGCTTCGCGCAGCTCGCCGCGTCGATCCAGCTGTCCTTGTCCAGGCACGCGCAACGACTGACGTCAAGACTCACCAGCTTCGTCATGTTCGTTGGCAGCCGCGTCAGGTTCGTGATGCTCGCCTCGAGGATGAAGAGCTTCGGGCAGCCCGACGGGTCGAGCCAGTCGCTCTCGTTGAGGTGCATGCAGCCGCTGGCGACCAGCATTTGCAGCTCCGGCATGCTCCTCGGCAGCCGCGTGAGGTTCGTGTTGGCCACGCACAGGTAGTACAGCTTCGCGCAGCACGACGCGTCGAGCCAATCGCTCTCGTTGAGGTGCACGCAGCGGTCGACGATCAGCACCCCCAGCTCCGGCATGCTCCTCGGCAGCCGCGTCACTGCGGTGCTGCTCACGTTGAGGTATTTGAGCTTCTCGAAGGCCAGCGTCTCCGGCAGCTCCTCACCGAAGCTGAAATTCCAGCAGTAGCTGACGTTCAGATGCTCCAGCACCCGCATCCCCGACGGGAACGTCGCCACCTCGGAAAGTCGCCAAGCAGCGTCGAGGACTCGCAGCGTCCCGCCCAGGGACGCGATGACAGCCATCAGGTCGGCTTCGTCCACGCCTGAGACGCCACTGGCGGTGAACCCGAAGCTCACGTCGAGCTGCTCCAAAGCCCGCAGCCCACGCGGCAGCCTCCGAAAATGCTTCCTTTCGACGTTCAGGATGCGCAGCCCCTTGGCGACTGACTCCGGCACGAAGTCGTCAGGGACGGGACGACGGTACCAGTCGTCCTCCGGGACATCGCGGTCGGCCTGTTCAGTTGTGACGTCAAGCTCCTGCAGCGCCACGAGCGTCGCCGGCACGCTGGGCAGGTTGATCGCGCCCGCGCGCAGGACGCGCACCGCGGCGGCGCTCGACGCCGGCAGCCAGTCCTCCGCGAGGCCCCTGCACCCGGTGACGTCGAGCTCCTCCAGCGCGCCCATCCCCCCCGGCAGGCGCTGCAGAGACGACCGCTCGGCCACGAGCCTGCGCAGGCGCGCGGCGCTCGACGCAGGCAGCCAGTCCTCCGCGAGCTCGACGCACGCCTTCACGACGACCTCCTCCAGCGCGCCCATCCCCTCCGGAAGCCGCTCCAGACGCGTCGCCGCGGCAGCGAGCTTCCGCAGCTGCCGCGCGCTCGACGCAGGCAGCCACTCCCCCGCAAGCTCGCGGCACCCCGAGACGTCCAGCTCGCGCAGCGACTCCAGGCCCGGCATGATCGCCGACAAAATGCTGTGCCGGTGCGAAGTCATGCCGCCGACCCGCAGCACCTCGAGGCCCCGGGCGACGGGTTCCGGGATCCACGCGGGCCCGAGCTCCTCCTCAATGTCCCACTTGTCCACCACGAAGTCGATCTCGCGCAGGCCCGTCATGCCCGGGCGAATCGGCGCCACCACCGCAGCGCCGGCGTCCCGAGGGTTGATGATGATGGCGAGGGCAACGATCTTGACGACCGACGAGTCCTGGTCGGGGTCGGCGCCCGCCGGCACGTAGAACAGGAAGCGCCCGTCGGGCGCCGTCTCCCACCCGACCAGCGACGGCTGGGCGGGCAGCGGGCCCGCGCGCGCTGCGTGCAGGCGACGCGCAACCGTCCTTCCTGTCGAGAGCGGCGGCCCGGGGGGCGCCCGGGTCGCGGCGACCGGCCACACCGCGCCGGACAGGGCCGTGAGCACGCTCGCGAGCATCTGCTGGGAGGTTGCGGCCACGCTGGCCCTGTTTTTTGGTGTGAGCCTCCCCAAGATGGCTTGCAGCGCGTTCAGCGGGAGACTGCTCAGGGGATCCGTGGCTGACGTCTCCGGAGAGGCGGCGTTCGGCGCTTCCATGGCGCCTCGGCGCGCCGTCGAGCGATCCTGCGGAGAGGCAGAGAGGAGGGCAAGACTGGGGAGTGGAATATCGAGCGCCGGGAAGCCGTCAGGGATGATCGTCGATGAATGACGCCTTCAGCTGCTCGACAGTGATGGATTGTGCGTGGCCGTATCGCAGCTCAGGGTCGATCGTGCAGCAGGAGGCGCAAACTGACGCCTTCGTAGTTCCTAGGAATTCACGGTTCGCGCCGTTTGCCGGCTTTTCTAAGCGAAGATTCTGAGCATTCCACTATATACGTATGCCTTGTGTATTCGTGTGTCCGAAAAACTCACCTCAAACACCGTTCGTGCGGCCTCGAGACGCGACCAACTGTCCACACCAGCCCGCTCGCTCCGTGAACCTCTTTCGGGCGATTTCCTGTTGCCAACAGGCGCAACGTGATCGAAACGACCATTGGACCGCGCTAACGGGCCCGAACATCGCCAAAACGGGCGCTGCGGCAGATCCCCAGGGCCCTCTCACCTGAGCACAACACTGGGGGGCGAAATCCCGTGACACGCGCGCACCACGCAGCCCCGCGACGCGACGCGCGGCTGCCAGTACCGTTCCGCGCCACCCGCTCCGCCCACTTGCACTCGCCTCTCGAACACTTCCGTCCCCGCTCCTGATTCACCTCCGACGTCATGCTCCTGACGACGTGGCGCCGCAAGGGCGGCTTGGTTGCCCACGCCAGCGCGTGCGGCGCGCAGCGGTACGTGCGCGTAGCGCCTGCGCGACGGCTCGTCGCGCCGCGGGCTCGCTTCGACCCGGCACACCAGCCAGCAGCTCTGTGCGTACGTATACACAACACGGCGCCCGGCGAGCTGCTCCTCCGTCCAAAAGCTGTCAAAGATCTCGCGGCACTCCTCCTCCGTGATCGCGCGAGCTCGCGCGGGCCCGCGACGCCTCAGCACGCCCGCCCGCCTGCGCAACTGCCAGCTCTCACGTCCCGCTGCACAACCCGCTCCGCCGCCCACGCCGCGCTCCGCCACCCCCCACGCACACGGCCACCGCACAACCACTCCCGCCACCGCTCCGCAACCCCAACACGCACAACACCCCCCCCCCCAAACGCACACAAAAACACAAACACTCCAGTCAGTCCCGGCGCGCCTCACACGCCGCGTCACCACCCCGCGCCGCCGGCGTTGCGCACCTCGTAGCTGTCCACGCGCGCCACCTGCGTCAGGCTGTGCTTCAGCGCCTCCCCCGTGTCCCCCGCCACCACCGCCGCCACGCCCACGCCGCTCACGATCCCGCGGCACTCGAACGCCACCGCGATCGGGTAGATCCCGTCCGGGTCCGCGCCCGGCAGCGTCACCTCCATGCACCCCGACGCGTTGCTCGCGTCCACGTGCTCGACAATCCAATGCAAGACTCCGTTTCGCGACTCCCAGCGCGTCTCGCCGTCCGCGTGCGCCACGACCGGCTGCTGGTCCGTGTGCGCCGGGATCGACACCGTGAGGTTGTGCAGGTCGACGAGGCCGCGCGACTCGTACTCGAGCGTCACGACGGCGCCGCTGGGCGACTGCGAGGGCCAGCACGACACCACCACCGGGAGCATGGCCTCGTCGGTCCCGCCGTAGCGCCACTTGAGCACGCCGAGCGGCGTGCCCTTGGGGAACGGCCGGTTCGGGTCGCGCAGCTGCAGGGCGTTCTCCGCGGCGTACGCCTGCTTGTCGATGTTGGGGTGGGTCTTGAACTGCACCCCCGCGGCCCCGGCGTTGCCCGCCATCTGCGCGGAACGGCGGGGAACGCGGACGAGCACGTGAGCTCACGCCACGCCCAGCACACTGGACGCCAAACGCAATCAGACGGCCGTTCGCGCACACTTGCGCGCGCACACGTCTCACGTTCCCCGCGTTCGGACGGCGCGCTGCGGCGGGCCTCACCTGCACCTTGACGCGCGCGGCCGAGTCCGCGTGCACCACCAGCGACAGCTGCCCCTGGATCTCCACGCTCTCGACGCTGCCGTCGTTGGCGACCACCGCGCTCAACCGCTCCTCCAGCGCCAGCGTCACCGGCTCCGACGCCGGCGCGACGTGCGCCGCGGGCGCCGCGGCGCCCGCGCGCCGCGCGGGGCCCGTCTCGAGCACCTCGCCCTCCGCGCGCAGCGAATCCAGCATAGTCTTGCCCGCGCCCTTCTTCAGAGACATCCCGGTGCGGGATGTCGCCGGGCCGCCGCCGAGGGCCGGCTCGCCGCCGGACGCGCGCGACTGCGGCCCGAGGCCGATCCCGAGGCTGATCCCGCCCGCCCCGGCGTCCCCGGCCGCGCCGTACGCTGGCGACGGCGTGGCGGCCGCGGGGCCCACGCCGGCCATCCCGGGCGCGCCGGCGGCGCGCCGCTCGATCTTCTGCTTGTCGATCTCGACGGCGCGCTTCTTCATCTGCTCCTTCGTGTCCTGGATCTTCGACTGCATGATCATGCGGTGCAGCTTCTCCTCATGGGAGTCCATGTCCGTGTTTTGCTTGACCTGCTGCGCGGTGATGTTCTCCTTGTGGCCCATGGAGATGACCTCGTCGAACGCGAAGATGAGGTCGAACGCGCTCGCGGTCACGGCGTCCTCCGAGAGCGCGGGCGCGTAGTCAGGCACGACCTTGGCCAACAGGCGGAGCGTATCGATATCCTCGAGGATGTTGGACTGTTTCGTCGTGATGAGGACGAGGTACATTCCCTGGAGGAACGGGGGGGCGCGGGAGCGGCGCGGTCGGGCGGCGGGCGGCGGCGGGGAGCGGCGGGGAGAGACCCCGCGTGGGAGCACGCACCTCGAGCGGCTGGTAGACGTAGCGGACGGACTCGGTCTCGACGAAGGTGTGCTGCTTGTCCGAGGAGATGAGCTTGGGGAAGGCCGCGAGGAGGCCCTCGATGCGCACGCGTGCCATGTCGGTGTATTGCCGTGAGACGAGGGCTGCGGGTGGGGGGGGTGTGGGGGGAGGTGAAGGCCGTGCGGCGCGCGAAGGGGATGGCGGGGTCGGTGTGTGCGCGGCGGGCGCGGGGAACGGGTCGCTCGGGGGGCGGCGGGGGCGGTGCGGGACTGGGAAGCTGGTGACGGTGTTGGGGGGCGCGGAGCGGCGGGTGGTGGGGGCTGGGGCGCGGTTCGGAGCGCGCGGGTGCGGGATCGTGCGGGAGAGTGCGTGGGGGCGTACCGCGACCGCCCTTGGTCACCACGGAGGCTGCCACGCACACCATGGTGGCAGGTGGGTGCTTTTCCTAGGCCGTGCTCTCCCCCGCGCGTCCGGGAGGGCGCCCTGGCGGCCAGGTTCGGCGCGAAAAAACACAAAGGTCGCCGTGGGCTGCAGGCTAGGCCCGGCGTCGCCACACGTGCCGAGCGCGCGGGCGTCTCGACACTTGCGCCCGACAGATCTCTTCGTGCACCGCCCGACGTGCTCGGATCTCCGTCCCGTCCCGACACCCACGCGCGAAACATCCGTGCCGGCGGAGCGGGGCGCGCGGATGTCCCCGGCCGGAGAGCCACGCGGCCAGAGGCCCCAAGTATGAGGGAGGGATGAAAATGCTCGCTCCACCGCCGGGCAAACGTTGCGCTCCGGTGCCCGGCGCCCTCTCCCTCTTCAAACCACACCGTAGCAAGATGGCGAGCAGACCCACTGCGACCGTGCAGTCGCTGGACGGCAAGAAGGCCGGGCAGGTGGCCCTGCCGGCCGTCTTCACGGCCCCCATCCGCGCGGACATCATCGCGCAGGTCCACACGAACATGGCCAAGAACCACCGCCAGCCGTACGCCGTGTCCATGCGCGCGGGCCACCAGACGGCTGCCGAGTCGTGGGGCACCGGCCGTGCCGTGTCCCGTATCCCCCGCGTCCCGGGCGGCGGCACTCACCGCGCAGGTACGCACGTTCGCCCGCCCCTCGCGATCCGCGCCGGCGGCGCGGCCGCCGCGAGCCCCCGCTGCGGGGCAACCGATGGCTCGGCGGCTTGCCGCTCGAACCCCCGCGTCCGCCGCCCGCCCGCGCGCGCCCGCATTCCCCCGCCGCGATTTCCCCCGCCACCCTCCCGCACGCCGCGCCGCGCGCCCCGCCGCGGCCCCACGACGCCACTACGCCCCACCCACCCCGCCCGCCCCCGCCTCCGCACTCCCCACCCAACCGCGCCCCGCGCGCCCCCCCCCCTCTCCGACCCTCCCCCACCACCCCACCGCCCCACACCCTCCCTCCCGCCCCTCCCGCCCCGCACTCACCACCCTCCTCCCTCCACCCCTTCCCCCGCGCAGGCCAGGCCGCGTTCGGCAACATGTGCCGCGGCGGCCACATGTTCGCGCCCACCAAGGTCTGGCGCCGCTGGCACCGCAAGGTCAACCTCAAGATGAAGCGCTACGCCGTCTGCAGCGCCATTGCCGCCTCGGCCGTCCCGGCGCTCGTGATGGCGCGCGGCCACCGCATCGACAAGATCCCCGAGGTCCCCCTCGTCGTCGACGACGCCCTCGAGACCATCTCGAAGACCAAGGCCGCCGTCGCCGCGCTCCGCGCCGTCGGCGCCGGCGCCGACCTGGACAAGTGCGCGGCCACCAAGCAGATCCGTACGGGCAAGGGCAAGTGGCGGAACCGCCGCTACGTCACGCGCAAGGGCCCGCTCGTCATCACCTCGGGCGCCGCGCCGGCCTCGAAGGCCCTGCGCAACATCCCGGGCGTCGAGGTGGCCTGCGTGGAGTCGCTCAACCTCCTGCAGCTCGCGCCGGGCGGCCACATGGGCCGGTTCTGCGTCTGGACCAAGTCCGCGGTCGAGAAGCTCGACGACGTCTTCGGCACGCAGACCGTCGCGTCGAAGCAGAAGAAGGGCTGGAAGGTGCCGGCCGCGCCCATGGTCAACTCAGACCTCGGGCGACTGATCAACGACGACGCGATCCAGTCGGTCGTGAACCCGGCGAAGGACGGCCAGGCGCCCGCGGAGCAGAAGCTGAACCCGCTGCGGAACCGCGCGGCGATGGTGCGGCTGAACCCTGCGTGGGAGAAGGCGGCGGCGGCGGAGCGGGCGGCGAAGAAGCAGAGGAAGGCGAAGAAGGGCGGCGACGCCAAGGTGAGCAAGGCGTTCTACAAGCAGATGATCGCGGACTCGGACTACCAGGGCGACAAGTTCGACGCGTTCGCGGGATGGCTGGAGAAGCACCTGACGGAGGAGAAGGACAACGCCCCCGCCGAGTAGGATGGAAAGTAGGGGGTGCGTGCGCGTGCGTGCGTGCCACGGCTCCGGGGGGGCGTGGTGGGGCGCGGTGCGGCCCGATAGGTGCCGCGCCGGGCTGCGCTGTGACGGTGTCTCGCCGCTGACGTGGGAAGTAGGGTGCGCGTGCGCGTGCGCGTGTGTGTGCGCGTGCGCGTGCGCGTGTGTGTGCGCGTGCGCGTGCGCGCCAGGGCTCCGGGGGGGTGCGGTGTGTCGCGGTGGGGCGCGGTGGGGCCCGATAGGCGCCGCGCCGGGCTGTGCTGTGACGGGTGTCTCGCTGTGACGTTGGAAGTAGGGTGCGCGTGCGCGTGCGCGTGCGCGCCACGGCTCCGGGGGGGGTGCGGTGTGTCGGGGTGGGGCGCGGTGCGGCCCGATAGGTGCCGCGCCGGGCTGCGCTGTGACGGGTGTCTCGCCGTGACATGGGCTGCCATGATCAGGACGACAGCACGCCCGCGTTTCGTTTCGTGCGCGGGTGGTCGATGAATACTTTGTGGGTTGCGCTGCGATGCGGGGGGGGGGGTGAGGGGGGTTGTTTTGTGTGCTGTTGTTCGGGGCGCCCGTTGTCAGTGTGCGTGCGTGCGGCGTGCCGGTCTGGTTGGCGTGGGGACTCGCGGTGCGTGGTGGGGCGCGCGTGTGTGCGCGCTGGTGTCGTTTCGACGCGCGACGTTGCGCTGTGCCGGCGCCCGCTTACACGCCGTATGTCGCTCGCGTAACACTCCCAGAGCACGGCGCTGCGTAGCACACCCGCGGTTCGTGTCTCGCGCGGGCGTGTGACGTGCTACTCTACCGTCAGCAGCCCGTGCGTGTTTGCTGGAGGGGGGGGTGTTAGGTCGTGGTTCCTGCTGTTCGGGGCGCGGGGGGGGGTTGGGGCGTGCCAGGGCCCGCAGCACGGCGATCGCGCCCTGCGTGGGCGGGCCGGCGGGTCACGGCGTCACACTGCTCCGTTACTGCACTCACACACACCGGGGCCGCCGATCGACGTGCGCCGCTGTCCTGAGCTCCTGCAGCTCCACGGCGGCATGCGGTTCGCGGCTCCGCCGGCGCGCGGCAGGGACCGTTGCGGTCGTTCCGCGCGCCGTCTGCGCCGCCGGCGCTCCGCCCACGTCAGCAGCGCGTCACATGATGTGTGTCGGTCGCCACTCCCCCTGTCCAGTGGTGCGGTTTAGTAATAACAGTGACCCTCGGCGGACGCGCTCAGTTGGAACGAAAGCTACTACTGTGCGCGCGTTACAGGCTGACTCTGTCACAGCTGCCGAACCTGTCGCTACCACAACGGTGGGGGGTCACCATGACTCGCCACCTAGTCGAATGATCTTTTGAGGTCCCAAAGCCTTATGGCTGACGACGCGAAGAATGCGACACCTCACCTCAGGCCGGACGATGCGCACCCTCGACAACCTCTCCCCCCCCCCCGCCCCCTCAGCGCGGTGCCGACGACGGCATGGAGGCAGCTGTTTGCTCCCGGCGCACCTGCTCACCAGCGAGGGCGACAAACGCGTCCTGCGCCGCGCGCAGGCGGCCGCGCGCGCCCGCGGTCCGCGCGCCCAGCTGCCGCGACAGCTCCTGCGGCCACCGAGCGCGACGCACGCCCATGAGTGTCGAATCAAAAGAGTGTCAAAAGGGAAGAGGGCGTTTCGGAGGCGCCGAACAGCGCGGCTGTCGTGTCCCACGCGTTCCCTCGCGGCAGCGCGCGCGGGGCGCGCCCGGAGCGCGGCGGCAGGCCCCCCGGGGGGGTCGGAATCGGTGCTTGCCTGGTCCTGACTCAGGAGGGCGCGCAGGTCAGACATCTGGGCGTCCTCGGTGGTCGCGTCGTCGGGGAGCTGCGCGATGAGTTCCTCGAGGCGCGCGTGCGCTTGCAGGATCTCCCCCGACCCCTGCGGCGCGGCGAGGGCTGTTGGCGCAAAGTTGACTGGAAACACGCAGCGTGGCGGAGGATTCGGCGCGAAACGCGATGTGTTCCGGCGTGGACGCGCCTTGGCCGGATCTAGGCCGGACGCTCCGCTGGGCTGCGCGCCGTCCGGGAGGCCGAGCTGCTCCAGCGGCACGCAGGCTTCCCCGCAGGAGGCCAGCGACGACGCGTACAGGTAGCAGATGCGGTTGACTTGCTCCTGGATGGCCGTGATGAGGTCCATCTCGGGCTCCCCGGCCTCCTGGGGCGGACCAGCGTCCGTCTCGGGCCCCTGCGCCGCCTGCGCGCCCCCCTCCACCCCCTGCTGCGCCGCACCGTCGGCCGCTGGCGTCGCCTCCATCGCCGAGCGTTCCGGCGCGCCCTACGGCGCGACTCTCTGGCCAGTCACCGACCTCCAGCGGCCGTCGCGCCCTCCCGCGCGGTCGGGAAGCGGGCCGGCGAGGGCGGAGTGGCCCCGTGGTTGAGCGCTGGTCTGATTGAGGAGCGCTGCGGGCGCGAGACGTCGAGTCCGCTCGCGATGGTGCTCTCGGTGTCGCGGACATGCGTGCGCGGCGCCGCGCTTGTGCGCCGGGGAGCGGTGCAGCGCGTGGCGTGGTGCTGAGGGGTCTGGGCGGAAGTACCCCTCCCGTGGCCGCGCGAGGCCGCATGGCCGCGGGGCCGCGCTGGGCGCGCGCACAGTGCGGGCGTGCTGCTGCTTGGTTAGGTCGCAACGCAGGGAGGCGCTGTGTTTGGCGACGCGCGGGCCGCTTCACATAGGTGGCCTCTCCTGCGTGCTGACGCGGCTGGGCTCGACGATCGCGGCCAACAGCCGCCCCGATAGCCAGAACTAGATCCTGACGTAGCGTTCCGGCGCCAGGAGGGCTGGAAAGGTGCGTATCCTGCAGCGCGCGGCGCTGTAAGGGGCCACAGCAGCACTCGCCGCGCGCAGGCAGCGCGCACGGGGCCCGCCACGGCGCTTCCCGCCCCGCACGCAAGGCCCCACTGTCCCTCGTGATCGTGGAGCGGCGCCCGACCGTTGTGCCGCCGCACACAGCGCGCCCGGACGGAATACCCACTTCCTGCTTCTCAGAGAGCCCCCGCGCAGCGCCCCTGGGCGACACGCGCGCCGAGCGGGGCGCCGTGCGCGTTCTCCTCTACACCGCCTCCCTCTCAGCCGCGCCGAAACGCATCGCGGCGCTGCGCGCAGGACGGGCGCGGCACCGGCTTGGGACGCGAGGAGCAGTCGGGCAGGATGGGCGTGTGGTTTTCGTCCCTGCTGTCGATGTTCCGGGACAAGGAGGCGCGGATCCTCGTCCTCGGGCTCGACAACGCGGGCAAAACCACGATCCTGTACCGCATGCAGGTCGGAGAGGTTGTCTCCACCATCCCAACCATCGGTGTGCGCCCGCGCCCCACGCCCCTGCCCGCCACACCGCCCGACCGCCTCCCTGCGCACCCCGCCCGCGCCCCCACGCCCGCCCGCGCCGCTGCCAGCGCGTTGCCGGGCCGGGAGCCGCCGCGTTCCGTCCCGCGCAGCACGTTCCCGCCGCTCACGCGGCGCTGGCGCGGTCTCCGCGCGCAGGGTTCAACGTGGAGACCGTGACGTACAAGAACATCAAGTTCTCGGTGTGGGACCTCGGCGGGCAGACGAGCATTCGGCCGTATTGGCGGTGCTATTACCCAAACACTCAAGCCATCATATTCGTCGTGGATTCGACGGACGTCGAGCGGCTCCCGACGTCGCGCGAGGAGCTCCACGCGATCCTGGACGAGGAGGAGCTGCGCAGCGCCCTCATCCTCGTCCTTGCGAACAAGCAGGACCTGCCGGGGGCGCTGTCGGATGCGCAGGTGGCGGAGGGGCTCGGGCTCGGGGACGTGCGGAGCCGGGAGTGGGCGATCTTCAAGACGTCGGCGATCCGCGGGCAGGGGATCTTCGAGGGCATGGACTGGCTCGCGGCGACGCTCAAGAGCCGGTGAGCGCGTGTGGGGCGTACGCAGCATACACGGCGGGGCGTGGCCGTAGCAGACGGCGCAGTTGTGAGAGAGGTGGCGCGGAGCGGACGCAGGTACTCTCGGAGCGTGCGTGCGTGCGTGCGGCGGTGGGCGCCTTGACACATGATGGCGTTTCGCGCGAGTACTGCTCCTAGCACGCTGCCGCCTCGACCAGGGCGATCCCGCACCCGCATTTCGTTTCGTGCGCGGGTGGTGAGTTACTTTACGGTGGGCGCTGCGGTGCCTGTGCTTAGCGTGTGTCCATGTCCTCGCACTACTTTCGCACCGCATTGCTGCGCGCGTCCCGTCCGCTGGCGCGAGCAGGTGGGCAGCGACCACGGAAGGGCGCTGGCGCGCCGCGGTGCGCGGGCCGGAGGCGGAACGGACGTCACGCGGTCCAGAAGGCTGCGTGCGAACGCCGCGTGTTGAGGCTATTAGCTATTAGCTATTATATTATCAATAATATAATAATATTAATAATATGCGGCCGCGGCTGCCGACAGCCCGGGCGATGGCTGCACGCGCTGCGCGGACGGCACGGCCTCCGGTCACGCGGCGGCCGCGAGCCGCACGGGCGGGACGGACGCACGTCGGCGTGGCGAGCCTGCACGACCACACAGAGTAGTAATTGATCACACCGCGACGCGGCGTGGAGCGAACCGTGACCGAACGGACTGTGGACGCCGCGGCGCAGTCAGGCGGGCGTTGCGAGGGAGAAGAGGGAGTTGATCGGAATTGATATGACACGATTTGATTAGATTTGGTTTGATTTGAGTGGTTGGGAGGTGTCACAGCATGATATGATCTGCTGGTGAAATATGACGAGCGTCCTCTCGCGGCGATCCCGCGCGGACGCGGCGCCGTCGACCTCTGCGACGGCGGGAAAAAATCACCGCTCGGACGACGGGGAGCGCCGCGCAGCACTCCCCGGGGCGTGCTGACGGAACAGAATGGTGACGACGACGATCAAGATAGAGGCGCGAGGGGTGGGTGGGCGGGTGGGAATCGAGTCCCGGCGCCTCGACAGCCGGCGTCCCCTCCCAGCGCCACTCGGGGCGGCGCTGCGCCGCCCCGGCGCCGCGGCGGCCGGCGCCTACCGCGCTCGCGAGTGCGACCGGCGCCCCGCGCGCCCCGGGGCGGCCGCGTTCGACTCCGCCTCCATCCCCGCGATCTCCGCGAGGCCGTCGAGGCCGGACAGCAGCGCGGACGCCACCTCCGTGCTCCGGCGGCCCGTCGCCGACCGCCGCCCGGCGCCCATCGACCGCCGCCCCTGCGGCTTGTTCGCGCCGCCGCCGGCCATCAGCCCCGGCGCGTGCCCCTCGCTCTCCTTCTTCTCCTCGCCCTTCATCGCCTGCGCGACCTCCATCTTCACGAACTGCCCCCGGATCCGCGGCCGCTGCTCCGCGAGCTTCCGCCGACTCTCGTACCGCACAACCTTCCCAAACTGACGGTTGCGCCGCTTCTCACGGAACCGCGCGAGCGCGGCCGCGCGGTGCGCGGCCGCGGCCGAGTTCTGCCCGGCCGTGCGCTGCGAGGACGCTGCCATCGGCAGCGCGACGACGCCGCCGTTGCGCAGGGCGTCGTGGAACGCTGCGTACAGCGCGCCGGGGTCGACGTGCGGCGCGCCGGGCTGCTGCTGCTGCGCGAGGGCCGGGGACTGCGCCGCGTTCCACCCGAACGGGTCGCTCGCGGTGGCGGGCCCGCGCACGGCGCTTTCAGAGCGGCGCCCCGCGCCGGCCGCGATGCCGTTGGAGAGCCGCGTCGTGGGGCCGGTGGTGCGGCCGGAGGGCGGGGCGTCGGGCTTGGCGTGCGGCGGCTGCTGCGGGGGCAGCGGCGGCGGCTGGTGCGGCGCGGGGGCCGCGGAGGGCGGCGGGGGGGTGTGTTGGTGCTGCCGCGCGGTCGAGTTGCGGAGCGACAGCTCGAGGAGCGCGGAGGGGAGGGACTCGTCGCCGTCGCCCTGGCTGCGCGGCTGCGGCGGCGGCGTGGCCGCCGCGGGCGCAGGGCTGGTGGTTGCGGCTGCGGTTTGGAAGAGGGGGAGTGCCGCGGACGCCGGGGGCGACGGGGCGTTGACCGCGGTGCCGTCCTCTGCGCACACAGGCGGCGGGAGCGGGCGCGGGTCGGTGTCGGCACGACACTGTTGCAAAACCACATACAAACAAACAAACAAACACGATTCCATATCTTCAAACGCGTGCAAGCGGCTCGATCGACGCGGGACCGCCCGGAGAGCCCGCGCACGCACGCATGCGTCGTCGTCGTCGGGCGCGCGAGCACAGCGGCACCGCGCGGCGCCCCCCGCGCTGCTTCTGCGACAGTCATTACGTGCGTGCGCCACACCTCCCGAGGCTTCCGTGGAGCGGTCCTGGTCCGGCCCGAGCACCGAGGGCCAGATGTTGTCGATGTCGTCCCGGCAGACGGGCTTGGAGAGGAAGCCGCGCGCGCCCGCGAGCAGACCCCTGTCGCGCAGTTCCTGGTCCTCAGACGACGACATGAGCACGACCGGAATCGGCGCGTACCGGGGCTCCTGGAGCACGGAGATGAGCAGGTCGAAGCCTGCGCGGAGCGTGGGCGCGGCGCGGTGGGCGCGGGGCGCGGGGCGGGGCCGGGCGCGCCGGCGCTGGGAGGCAGTCGGGTGTTTCCGTTGCGCGGCAGTTGGGGTTGCTCGAGTGCCGCGCGCACCGGTTCGTTGGTGGGCAACGGCCAGCACGTGCGGGGCGGCGGGCGCGCGGGGGCGCGCCGGCGGTCGGCCGGCGCGCGGCAGGCGGCGAGCGCAGGGCACGGAGCGCACCGTTGGCCTCCGGCATGAGCACGTCGGTGAGAATGAGGTCCACAGAGTCGCCGTGCTCGTGCAGGGCCCTCATGGCCTCGTTCCCGTTCATCGCGACGATGACCTCGTACTGCGCGCGCGCCAGCGTGGCCTGGAGCACGCGCAGCGTCAGCGGGTCGTCCTCCACGAGCAGCACCTGCGCGGAAAGGCCGGGAAAACGCGGCGTCACCACCCGCACGCAAGCTCGCGCCTTTTACGCGCGCCGCGCGCCGGGCCGCGCAGGCCGCCCGGGCGCGCGCCCCCCGCGGCCAGCCCGCCGTCCGCCGGCGCGCCGCGCCGCGAATATAGCCGGACCGCGCGCCGCCGGCGCACCACCGCGCGCCCACGCTCGCGCGCGCAATCCCAGGCTGCCGTGCCCCGGGCGCGCGCGCGCGCCCCCGCCGCCCCGCGCGCGCGCCGCCGCGCGCACCGCGCAGCCTGCGCGTTCCCCGCGCCCGCAGCGGCCGCGCGGGGCCGCCAGGCCCCGCGCCGCGCCTGGCGCGCATCCCATGAAATCATAGGCCCAAGGGCAGCAGTGCAGCTTGCAGGAGCGGCAGCGGCCCGCGCGGCGGCGCTCGGGCGGTCTCCGCGCGGCTGCGGGCTCTGTGTGCGAGGGCGGGCGCCGGGCGGGGCGCAGGGCGTGCGTACCTTGAGCGGAGTGCCGTCAGCGCGGACAGGGTGGTCCGGGGCCGCAGGCTGTGTATGTCCGTGTGCGGGCCCGTGCGCCGCGGAGGCGGCGCTGGGGAGGACTTGCATGGCGCGTGGGCGGTGTAGGGGGTGGTGCGGGGGGTTTGCGGGGAGAAGGCGGCCGGGGGGCGCCGGGAGCGGACTCGAGGGACGTGCGGGCGCCAGAGGCGCCTGAGGCCTGGTTTTCGTGGCCACAGGGAGCAGGGGGTCCGGCGCGGCGCGCTGGGGGCCGCTGGGGTGGCGCCGCGGGCGGCTGCGGGCCGTGGGGGATTAATGGAGGCGGGGGCGGCCGGGCGCGACGGGGAATGCTCCGCGGCGCGCGCACGCGACGGCCCTGTGGAGGCAACGGGTGCCGATTGGCCCGGCGCGCGCTGGCGGCGTCGTGCGGGGATTCGGCGAATATTCCGGAGCCGCGGCCGCGTCGGGTGTGCGCGAGACGCGCGCGCGCGGGCGCCCTCGAGGCGCAGGCGGCCCCGGCCGCAGGCCACGCTTGTACTTGAGTCGTACTGAGGATCCCTCCGTGGCGTTCCGACCGGCCGCCGCCGAGCCGCGTTATACCACGCCGCGTCTCGCCCTCTGCGGAAACACGCGAAATATGAAGGAATTCGCCTATCAGGTGCTGTCTAGACGTCCGTGGCGCCTCCCGAGTGAATTCCTGGCGCGTAACAGCCCGTCGCGAGTGCGGTCCAGCGGGCCGCCGCCTCCGCGCCTCGTCCGCCGCGCCCGCGATCTCACAACCCAACGAACGCCCCGCCGCAGCCCGCCGCGCGCGCCGGCGCGCCAGCCGCCCGCATTCGCATCGCCTGGCCTACTTCACCCCTGTTCAATCGCCGCGGTCCCCCGCGCCGCGCCGCCGCCCCGCGGCCGCTACCCCCCGCCGTCCGACATCCCCCACGCCGCCGCCGGCCGCGCCCTCGCCGCCGCGACCCGGTCCATCACCCGTGCATGCTCCTCCGTCGCTCGCGCACCGTCACCGCCCGCCAGCGCCCCCCGCTCCTCCCCCGCAACCTCCCCCGGCGGCCCCGCGCCCCCCGCAACGCGCTCCTCCTCCGCCGCCGCCCGCGTCGCAACAACACTCCCCTCCGCGTCCTCCAGGGACTCCCCCCGGCCCGTCGCCGCCCACCCGTCCTCCCTCCCCCGCCCGCGCGCGCCGGGGCGCTCCTGCGGGCCCATCGCCTTCTCGCGCCACGCGACGTGCGGGTTCAGCCGCGACGGCCCCGGCAGGCGCTCCTCCGCGCGCTGCAGCTCTGCAACGCGCGCGCGCAGCCCCTCGGTACCGTTCAGCGCCGCGAGGCCCGTGAGCTTCGCGTCGAACGCGTCCGCCTTGCGGTCGTGCCAGCAGACCTCGACGTACGGCCCCGAGTCCTCCGGCCGCGAAGCGTCCCCCCAGTAGTAGGATAGTTCTGTCATACCTTCGAGCTCGGGCGCCGAGTCCTTCTTCTGCCCGAACCGGTCGAAGTACTTCGGGTTGAACGACCAGAAGGGCTGCTTGCCGTCCCCGGACGTCCACGCCCCGCGCGGCGCCGGCTTCTGCCCGCCGACCCACGACCACGCGCGCGAGAGCAGCCTGCACGGACGCGGCGCAACGCGGGCGGTCGCGTCGCGGAGCGCGCGGGAACGGCGCGCGCGGCCCGAGCACGGCGCGCACGCTCCGTCGCAGCGAGCGCGAGCTCGCGACGTCGCGGGGGCGGGGGGGAGTGTGTTGGCGGCGTGCAAAGGGCGGTGTTTCGTTCCGGGGGGGGGGTTCGTTGCGGGGGCGCACCCCTGCGGCGGCGCGGTGCGTCCGGCGCTCCGCTCCTGCGCTGCGTGCATCTTTTGCATCAACAGCTTCTGCACGACGTTGTCCCTTTCCTGAACCTGCTTCTTCAGCCGCTCGACCGCGGCGTCGTACGACTTCCGCAGCGCCGTGCTCGTCGACACCCCGAACACCTCCATCTCCACGTCCAGCCCGCGCAGCGTCTCGCACGGCGTGCACGTGTGGAGCCAATCGGGGCTATGCATGCACTTGGGCGCGCGCGACCACGTGCCGAGCTTGAACGTGAGCCACACGACCGAGTCCGACTTGATGTCGCGCGCTGCGCCGGCGAAGTGGACGATGAACGGCCAGTTGCGGTGCCACGGCACCTTGTGCCCGGAATTGACGATGTCGTGCCACTCGGGCGACTGCAGGAAGTCGCTGCCGAAGTGGTTGAGCGTGTCGGGCGGGACGACCGCGAAGTGGCGCCGGAAGGTCTTGCGGAAGTCGTCGCGGAAGGTCAGCGTAGCGTGCTGCTGCCACCACGGATGGTACACCGAGTCGGGGTAGAAGTTGTACACGTGCGTCAGGTAGTCCTGCGTATCGCGGAGCGAACCGCGGCGTGAACGGGCGGCGGAGCGCGCGGTGAACAGTGAACGGTGACGGTGACGCGTGCTGCAGCTTCGCGCCCGCGGGCCCAACGCCCGCGCTGGCCGCGCAGCTAGGCCGAGTACGGCACGAAACCGCTAGCTGCGCGACCAGACGGGCCGTGCGGCAGCTTACGCACGCCACTGCGGCCTCTCGACTGCGTGCGCGCAATCGCTGTCCGAGCACGCACGAGCGCGGCGCACCAGCACGAAGTCCGTCGGCCGCAGCACGTGCACGCCCTCGTTGATCGTGTCGTACTCCAGCGGCTCCTTCCGCGGCCGCTCGAAGTAGTCGTGGGTATAAAAGATCTCCGGGTCCTCGGTATAACCCGCGTCGGGGAACTTCTCCTTCGCCCGGCGCGCCTGCGGCTTCACGTGCCGCTTCAGCTCCTTCGCCAGCAGGTCCTCGACCTTCTTGTCGATGTTCACGATGATCGCGTCCGTATCAATCACCATCAGCCACTTCAGGTCAGGAACCGCGTTGGCGACCACGATCTCCCACGCGAGCTTGTTCCAGCTCTCGGGCCGCGTCGCGTCGATCGGCTGCTGGAAGATGCACACCTTGACGGCCTGCGCCCCGTCGTGCGCGTGCCGGACCATGTAATGCACGCGGTTGAGCAGCATGCTGTGGTGCGTCGTCGTGTCGTAGCCGTGCGAGTAGGAGAGGAGGTAGATCTTCGCGTCCTTCGGGCCGAAGCACATGTTCGAGTACCTGCGAACCGGGGGGGGCTGTTGGTCGGTCGGTGTGAGGGGTGCGGGGGCGTGAGCAGCCTGCTTGGCGGGAGGAGGGGGGTCGCGAACGGTATGTGTGTGTGTGTGCGGCTGGCTGCGTGCGGAGGGAGTGCGGGGGCGTTGCAACCGATGTTCGAGCTCTCGCGCTGCCGCGTCAGTCCACGCGCCGCACACTGAGACTGACACAGTGACGCGGCGCGGCGCGGCGACGTTGCCAGCGGCGCGCGAGTCGACTCCGGCACCGCGCGCGCACGGCGGGTGCGCAGGCGGTGGGCGGCCGGCGGCGGGGGGAGTATTAATTAATTAATTAATATAAATATTATTCAATAAATTGATTGATTGATTGATTAATTAATTAATACGCACCAGTCGAAGAACGTGCCCCAGTTCTTCCGGTACGCGCCCGCGGTGGTGTGCCAGCCGCAGTCGAACGTGTGCGACGACGCGAGGTGCGCGCGCGAGCACGGCCGCGACATGTCGAGCACCTCGCCGCCCGCGCCCTGCTGCCGCCAGTGCACCTCCGCCCGCTGTTTCACCTCCTTGCTGCCCCCGCGGTCCTGCGCGGCACTCGATTCGCGCGGACCAGTCAGCCAATCAATCGCGAAACAACCAACCAGCCAACCGAACCGTGCGCTGCCGGTCGCGAATCGCTGCGTCGCGGCCCTCAACTCGACCATCGACTTTGGCCCGGCACCGGCCGCGCTGGGCACGCATTGCAGCGCGGAACGGACGGCGCACGCGCGCACCATGATTCCGTTCATGATCTTGTGCAAAAGACCCCCGCCCGCGCCCTCCTCCTGTTCCAGGAGACTCGATCTCTCGTATGCGTTCAGGTGATGTTCGTGCTCGACTTTCCGGCCGAGGCGATTCTCGACGCCGCTGCGCGGCGCGCTCTGCGCCACGTGCGGCTGCGCGCGGTGCGGGTCGCCCTGGCCGAGCAGCAGCGGCCCCTTGCGTGCGTCCTTGTCTGCTGGTTCAACAGGGCTCTTCTTCCGGTGAAAGGCGTAGCGCCCCGCGTCGGGCACGTCGAACGTGGCGGACGTGAAGTTCGCGCCGCGGTATATCACCGTCTGCGACGGGTTGCGGGCGGAGAACGGCGCGTGAGGCGCGCGGGGGGCGGGAAACGTGCGGAATCGAACCGCGGTGACGGACCGGGCTTTTTTGGAGCGTGGGGGGGGTCGCGGCGGGGGCCTGGCGGTCCGCGGTGCGCTCGTTGAGGGAGGCGGCGTGCAGGCTGGCTGGGGGGCTCGCGAGGGGCGCGGTGCGGCGCGGAGAGGGCGCGTGTGTGCTGTGCGGCTGGACGGGCGGTTCGTTCGCCCGCGTGGGCGCGTGGCGCGCACCTGCATGACGATGATGAGCAGCGGAACGGCCAGCACGGCTGCCAGGGCGTAGCGCGCGGCCTTCTGGCGCGACGGCCGCGCGCGGTGCCCTCGACTGAAGGCTCCGGCCACCATCGAGCCTGCTCCCCGGTCCGCCCTCGCTGGTCCCGCCAGATGTTTCTAGTTCGACCGAATGATATGCATAAAGGCTATCTCTTACGAACGGAATTCCCGCACAAGACCCGCCCGCAAACGCTGCGTCGCGCGATGCTATCAGCGTGCTCAACTCCACTGCGCGCGGACGCTCATGGTGGGACGCTCGTCAGGGAATTCCGCAAGCCACGCCCTCCGCCGCATCTGCGGCGCTGCTGCGCGGACCGAGCGCCTCAGCGACGACCGGGGCTGGCCGTCCGGCCCATCTGGACACACCCCTCACCACCCCTGCGCCCTCGAGGGCGGCCCGTACCACGCGGCTGCCCCCAGTTCGCCCGCGCGCGGCGGTGCAGCGTCCCAGGTCTCTCTCTTCGCGCAGCCGTCGAAGTCATACCTCTGCGGGGGGCTCGTGTAGGTCCAGTATGGTACCCTGTCCAACGGGGCGGGGCGCGGCGTGGCCGTGCCGCGCCGCGCACGGGCCGGCCGTGCGCGCGCACCGCGCGAGCTTCGGCCACACTCTCGCGTGCGGGCGCCGGTGGAGGACGGACGTCGCGGCGCAGGCGCAGGTGCGGGCCCGGGACGGGGGCCGTGTGGTTGGGCGCCGCGCAGCGCTCGCACGCTCGCGTCGTGCGGCCGTGCGCGCAGGCGCCGCGCAGCCCCTGGAGCGCTGGAGCTCCGCGCGCGCACATCGGCCCGTGCGCGGCCGGTACATGGCCGGCGCTGGGAACCATAGCTGCGTCACTCCCGCCCAGTCGCGAGGCCCTGGCGCGCTTCCGGGGGCGCGGCGCGCGCGCCCCGCGCTCGTACGCGCACCAACAGGCGCCGCACGCGCGCCTGGCCGCGAATTACGCCGCGTGCAGCTCCCAGCGGCCGCCCACAGAGCCCCGCGACGCGCACTGCGCCCGGGGCCGCGAAACCACCGCCCGCGCCGCACCGCCCCCGCCGCCCCGCCGCTCCGCCGCACCCGCACTCTCCCCCGCCCTCACACCCCCTCCCCGCCACACCCCCCCCGCGTGACGCCCGCACTCATCACGCGCGCCCGCCCCGCGCTCCCGCGCAGACACCCGACGCCGGCAACGCGTCGCCGGACGCCCCCGCGGCCCCGCCGTCGACCACCGCGAACGGCGCCGCCTCCACCTCCACCCTACCCGCCCCCACCCCCCCCCCGCACCCCGACCCCGACGTCCTGATCGAAGTCCGCAACGTCCACAAGTCCTTCGGCACGAAAAACATCCTGCGCGGCTGCTCGTTCAAGGTGCGCCGCGGCGAGGCCGTCGGCATCATCGGCTCGTCAGGCACTGGCAAGTCGACGACCCTCCGAATCATGGCCGGGCTGCTCAACCCGGACGCGGGGGAGGTCTACATCAAAGGAATTCCGCGAAAGGGCCTCATCGCGGACGACCCCGAGTCCACGGAGCGCCTACACGTCGGAATGGTCTTCCAGAGCGCAGCGCTTTTCGACTCGCTCACCGTCGGGGAGAACGTCGGCTTCCTGCTGTACGAGCACACCGACATGCCGCACCCCGAGATCGAGCGGCGCGTCGAGGCCGCGCTCGGCATGGTCGGCATCACGGCCGACGTGGCGCAGAACTACCCCGCGTCGCTGTCGGGCGGGATGAGGAAGCGCGTCGCGCTGGCGCGCGCCGTCGCCGCGCAGGGCCTCGACGAGCAGGAGACCGTGCTCATGTACGACGAGCCGACCGCGGGGCTCGACCCCGTCGCGTCGACCGTCGTCGAGGACCTCATGCGGGACCTGCACAAGACGAGCGGCGCGAAGGGGATTTCGAGCTATATCGTCGTGACGCACCAGCACTCGACGATCCGGCGCGCGTGCGACCGGATTATCTTCCTGCACCGCGGGCGCGTGGTGTGGGAGGGGAGCGCGGCGGAGTTTGACACCACGGACGAGCCTATTGTCAGGCAGTTTGCCACGGGTAGTCTTGACGGGCCGATCAAGTACCAGTGAGCGGCGAGCTGCGCGCGCGCGGAAGGGGGGGGGAGAGGGGGGTGACTGGGGACGCTTGGCCGGGGGGGGAGGGGTCTTGTTGCGCGCGTAGCTCGTGGGGTGCGCCGGGCGGGGTGTTGGGGGTGTGATGGAAGACTTCGAGGTTGGGGGGGGGGTGCGAGTGGGGTGTCGTGGGCGGCGTGCGGCGGGCGTGGTGGGGAGGTGGAGGCGGGATGGTGGCGGTTTTGACGTTCGATGATTGATATTTATAAATATATGTTTCCTGCTGTTGTCCGCCACGGTCTGGTGCTACGTGCTGTGCACGACGACGACGCTTCGCTTCCGCACGCGGCGAGCGCCTCCCGCGGACCAGGAATTAGCCTTCGCGTTCGCTGGCTCGTCCGCTGTTGGCGATCTGCTCCGTATTTGTTCGATCGATCGGCAAATAGTTTGTCAATTCATATATTGATGATAGCACGTCATGACATGAGTGCAGCTCACCGCGAGGACGGGCGCAGCTCCAAGACCGCGCCAGCCCGGCAGACGGGTCTCGCACGACAAACCGAGCGACAGGCGACGCAAGCAGGCCAAGCGCGTCAGCCACGCACCCGCCGCCCGTCACCACGCAGGTTTGCTTGCTTGCGGCGCGCATCCCTCACACGCCTCCAATCCCGTTCCGTCCGAACCCAAAACACCCCCCCCGCGCCTCCAACACACCCCCTACAGCTCGCGCATGGCGATCGCTGCCCTCTCGTCCGTCACCTCGACCCGCGCGGGCGCGGGCTTCCCGCCCGCCGCCGCCGTCGACGCGCGCGACGCCCGCCGCCGCGCCGCGTCCGCCTCGCGCTCCGCCGCCCGCCGCCGCCGCGCCGCCTCGTCCCGCCCGCCGGCAGCGCCCGCACCCCCCGCGTCCCCAATGGGGTCCGCCAGCATCGACCGCACCGTCCGCGCCGCCGCGCGCGACGCCGCGCGCCGCAACACATCCATCGGCAGCCGCAGCGCCGCCTGCCGCGCCGCCGGCGTCAGCGCCGCCGCCTCCACACTCACCCACTCCAAGATCCCCGCGGCCTGCACAATCGGCCCCCGCAGCGACCGCCGCAGCCTCCCGCCGCTCGCGCTCCCGTTCCCCGCGCCGCCGCCGCCCGCAACGGAGATCTCCGCGAGCGCCGTCGCCAGCCGCTGGATCCCGCGCAGCTGCGCGACGTCGTCCTCCTCCGCCAGCGACGGCACCGCCTCGCGCAGCGCGACGGCGAGGCGGCGGCCCGGGAGCAGCGGCACGCCCGTGCCGTCGGCGCCGAGCGCGAGCGCGGCGTCCCCGGCGCGCGTGAGCGGGTCGCGGATCGAGGAGTCGACTGCGCTGTCGATGACGACGCGCCAGGCCGCGTCGACGCCCTTCGCGAGCTCTTCGACGAGGATGTCGCGGACGTAGCGGCCCTCGTCGGAGAGGAGCAGGAGGAGCGCGTCGCCGGACGCGGACGTGCGCGGCGCGGCGACGCGGGTGTCGTGGTCGGTGAATCCCGCGCGCCCCGGGCGGAGCACGGCTTGCTCGAGGAGGGACTCGAGGCGGTCGAACTGGAAGGAGCCGTTGCGGTAGAGGAGCTTGTCGAGCGTGGCGCGGAGCTCGGGCGAGGTGTCGGTGAGGAGCCGGCGCGCGACCCAGGGGTAGGCAGCGGCGATGACCTGCGGGCTCGTGCGTGGGGGGGGGTGTGCGCGGCGTCGGTGGACAGAACACGAGGAAACGGATTGCGTGGGTTTTTTTGTTTTTTTGTGTCTGGAAAAGTGCGCCGAGGCGGTCGATGGCGATACAGAGGGAGCGTCGTTGCTGCGTGTGGCAAAAAAAGTGCATTGTTTTGTTTCATTTTGTTTGGCTTTGGCTCGGTTTGGTTCCGCTGCGTGTGGCTGTTCCGGCTAGCTGCGGGAACTGTCCGTCCCGGCGCGTCGCGGCGCAGCGCGCACCTTGTAATCAGGGTCAGACGTGATGGCGATGCCCTCGAGCACCGCGAGCGAGCGGATCAGTAGCGTGTAGAACGGCGGGATGCGGAACTGGAAGTCGTACATCGTCGCGCCGAGCCGCGCCGTGAGCTCCGTGAACGACACCGACACCACGCCGTCGCTCGTCGCCTCTGCAGCCCAACACACACACACACACGCTCTTTCATTCACGCTCGCGGGGCCCGCGCGCAGCCACCCACGACCGACGAAAACACAAGCGAGAGCAAGAGCAAGCCATCCAAGACCATCCAAGACCATCCAAGCGCCGGCGCGCGCGCACCTTCGAGCAGCCGCGTCAGCACTGGCACGAGCGCCTTTTGGTCCGACCCGGGCGGCAGCAGCCCGAGCTCCTCCATGTCGCGCCCGAGCTGCTCGAAGTCCCCGTTCACCATGTGCAGCGTCGCGCGGATCAGCCCCTGCCGCAGCGGCCGCTCAATCGTCCCCATCATGCCGAAATCCAGGTACGCCAGCTCGCCGCTCTCCGTGCGCAGCAAATTCCCGGCGTGCGGGTCCGCGTGGTAGAACCCGCGGTCCACGACCTGCTCGAGCGAGAGCTGCACGCCGACCTCGACCAGCGCGAGGTCCTCCGCCCGCCCTCGCTCGCCCGGGGCACTGCGCAGCTTGGTGCCGTTGACCCACTCCATGACAAGCACGCGCCGCGAGGTGAGCTCGGGGTACATGTGCGGCACGTACACGCCCTCCTGGTGCCCGTAGAGGTCCCGGAACCGCCGCCCGTTCGCGGCCTCGACGCGGTAGTCGAGCTCGACGACGAGGTTGGCGCACCATTCGTCGAGGATGGCAGGGAGGTCGGAATTGAGCTTGCGGAAGGAGCGGAACCAGGAGGCGCCCGCGCGGAGGATGTACGCGTCGAGGCAGATCGCGCGGAGCACGCCCGGGCGCTGCACCTTGACCGCGACCTCCTCCCCGGTGCCCCTGTGTGGGACGGGAGGCGGGCGCGTGGTGAGGGGGGCGCGTGGTGAGGCGGCGCGGGCGCGAGGGGGGGCGTGCGCGGCGCGCTGCGGCGCCGGGCGGCGCGGGCGAGCAAGCAACGAGCAGCGCAGCGAACGCACGAACCCGGTCTGTGCGTATCAGTCTCGAAAAACAGAAACTAAGGAAAAAGAAATATGAAAAGAAGACGTTTGTTTCGTTTTTCTTCTTTCGTTCGTTTGCGGCTCGGGAGGCCGCGCGCTGCGGCTCGGGAGGCCGCGTGCGGTGGCGCGGAGGGGCGTGGGTCGGTGCGCCGGGGCCGGCAGGTGACGAGCAAAGAGCTCTGCGTGCTGTGCTGGAGGACATCATGAGCGAGCACGACGTGATCTCGGGCGACGGCGACATCACGTTCGACATGTTTCTAACTGTTCAGGTCAGGAAGATGAAAGACAGCGACTTCGAAGAACCGGGGCCGCTGCGCACCTCAATGTAGCCTTGTAGACCTGCCCCAGCGACGCCGCAGCTACGGGGGAGGTCGATAGGCCCGAAAAGTACTCCGCGGCCGGCGCGCCGAGCTCGTCGTGGATCACCTTCATCGCGGCGTCGTCGGAGAACGCGGGAATCCTGCACGGCGGGCCGCGGGCGCGCGTGAGGCGCACCGCGGCGCGGCGCGGGCGGGCGCTGCGGCGCTGCGGGGCGCGCGACGGGCGCACCGGTCCTGAAGCTTCTCGAGCTCCTTGACGTAGGTCGCGGGCAGGATGTCCGGCCGCGCCGCGAGCGCTTGGCCGATTTTGACGAAACTGGGGCCGAGAGCAGTGAGGGCCTCTCGGAGCTCCGCGCCCCCAGGGACGCCGCGCGTGCGTTTCCGGTCCTGCATTCCCTGCAGCTGCGCGCAGAAGATCCACCAGCCGAGCCTCGCGCCTGCGCGCCGACGCGGCGGGGCGGGGCGCGGCGGAGCGTGTGAGCGGCCAGGGGCGCAAGGGGGGCGGGGGTCGGCTAGACGCGCTGCATGTCTGACAGCACCGGCGCAGGGGCTGGGAAGGTGGTAGGAGCGGCGAGCGGGGTAGGGGAGGCGGCGACGGAGGCGCGGGGGGGGGGGAATTGTCCGTGCGCGGCGCGAGGGCGCGGAGTGACCCGAAGAGCGATCGCGGCCCCGTTCTGACGTTGTGCGCGCCAGACACGGCGAAAGACTGCCGCCGTGGGGGGGCTATGAGTCGTGGTACGCAGGGGGACGGGTTATATAGACGGAGATACGCAGGAGCGGCGCGGAGCGCCCTTGGATACGATGCGCCAGGCACTCTGCGCGGCCGCGCGCGGCGCGAGGCGCGAGTTATGGCCGAGCGACGGCCCGACGCGCCGCCCCGCACCTATCTCAGCTCCCCGCACGGCCACGGCGAGCGGCCGCTTCGCCCAGTACTCCCCGTTCGCCCTGGCATCAAAGCGACCGTTCACCAGAGGCGAGCTCCGCGCCGCCTTCGCGCGCTTCTGCGCCCGAACCGCCACCGCCCGCCCGCCCTCCCTCGCGCGAGAGCCCGCGTCGCGCCGGCCCGCGGGCCCAGGCCGCGCAGACGCAGCCTGCCCAGTAGGCTGCATCTGGTGCCTGACCCGTGCGCCGCCGTGTGGCGTTCGCGACTTGCAAAGCTCGCCTCGCCACGACGCTACCTATTCAGCTACCTACGCCGCGGCGCGCCACAATGCCCACGGCGCGCGCACGCGGCCCCGAAACCGCCGCTGCGAACAACACCGCCCTGCGCCGCCACGTCAGGGGCCCCCTCGCCGCGCCACGCCCCTCGCGCCCCCGGACGACCACCGGGCCGCCGCCGGGCACCGCGGCCGTCGTTCCCCGCTTCGGAGTGCCCTCCGAGCGTCACCGCCGCCGTCCCACGCACCATTTTTGACAATTTCACCTTGACAGCAACAACAGACACCCCCGACACCCCCCAGCCGCCCCACGCAGAGTAGTAATTGACCACCCGCGCACGAAACGAAATGCGGGTGTGCTATCGTCCTGATCAAGGCGGCAGCGTGCTAGGAGTACTCGCGCGAAATGCCATGTGAGCGTGCCATCATGTGCCAAGGGAAGGCTCTGACCTGCAATCAGTTAGAGTGAGTGGCGGGCGTCGTCAGCAACAACGCGGCGAGCCGCGCGAGTACTGGACGACGCCCGCCAGCCGACACGCCGAAGTGCTGGTCGACGTCCTAGGCTGCTTGTACCAGGGGGTGTCGGCAGCCGGCTGGGTGACAGCGGTGACTGAGTCTGCGGCATTGTCCGCGTTGTGTGGCGACGCGCCGACGGCTACTCAGCTCTCCTCGTCATCGCCGTCCCCCGCGCGTGGCCTGTCATGCGAAAAGGGATCATACCTCGGTCTAGCGGCCACGGAATACGCGCATGGCCAACATGTCAAGATCGGGGGGGTAACAGAGTGCGTCATGTGTGCGGGCATGGCTGGATAGTTCCGAGCCAGCTTCGCAGCGCCGGGATCATGTATGAGGGTGACGAGTTGCAGGGCGCCGGGCACGCCCTGTCCGCAGGTTGGCCAGTATGGTCTGCAAACTGCACGTGGCGACGCACGAGGTCAGCCAGGCCCGCCGGCGTGGCAGGGCCAAAATGCGGGCTCGGGTGCGTCCCCACGCACACCCCACGACCCGCATCAACGGCGCCCCCCGATCCCTCCAACACCCCCCCTCCACGCACCCATCACGCACAATTACACCCCCGCACGCGCGTCCGTACACCAACACCCCCCCGCCCCGACGCCCCCCACGATCGAGCTCCCCCGCCCGCTCCTACACCCTATCAACCCCCCTCCATCCCGCCGTCACCGCAAGAACTCCCGCACCCGGCGCGCCTGCGCCCCCGCGTTGCCGACGTACGTCGCGGGCGTGAGCTCCGCGAGCGCCCGCTTCGCGTCCTCGGGCATCTCCAGCGCGGCCACGAACTCCTGCAGCTTCTCGCGGCTGATGCCCTGCCCGCGCGTCAGCGCTTTGAGCTTCTCGTACGGCTCCGGGATGCCGTAGCGCCGCATCACCGTCTGCACGGGCTCGGCGAGGACCTCCCACGTGGCGTCGAGGTCCCGCGCGAGCGCGGCCTCGTTGATCTGGAGCTTCCCGATGCCGCGCATGGTCGAGGAGTAGGCCAGCAGGGAGTGCCCGAGGCCGACGCCGAGGTTGCGCAGCACGGTCGAGTCCGTGAGGTCGCGCTGCCACCTGCGAGGGGGCGTTCGGGTGGAGTGGGGTGGTGGGGGGCGGAGCAAGGGGGGCGTGGGGACAAACAACAACTTGTGTTGTGTTGCGAAGGGGGGGTGTGTGGCGACGGGTCGTATCCCTGGACGCTCAGCGCCGCTGTCCGAGGTCGACGCACTCCGACATGTGCACGGGCCGCGCACGTGGACGAGGGACAGGCGATCCGGCGGGAGCGACCGGTCGCGCGTCCACGTTAGGGCCACCGAACACATGGCGGGACGCGTCGAGCTCGGACAGCGGCGCCGGGCGCAACGGGCGTTTCTAGGAGGTCAGGGTCGAGGGGGGAAAGGGGGGCAGGGCGGTGCGCGCGGCGACCGGAAAAAAGGGGGGGGGGGTGAGTTGCGTTGCGCGTGTGTCTTTTTGCAACACACCCCCCGCGAACCTCCAACGCCGCTGTCCGACGTCGAAATTGGTTACAATATGCCAGGGCAGCTACGGTCCTGGGCGAGTGATTAGGCGCAGCATGCTAGCTGCCCAATCACTCGCCCAGGACCGAGGCCATGGCACATTGCAGCCAATTTCCACGTCGGACAGCGGCGTTGGAGGCAGCGGGGTCAACGAGGCGGTCGAGCTGGGCGCGCGGAGAGGCCACGGGGGTCGAACCGCGCAGGGAAAGACGGCGTGGAGGCGGCGGCGGCGCGGGGCGCGGTGCGTCGGCTTCGATTGCGGTCTCATGAGCAGCCGGGAGCGCGTCCCGGGGCTTCCGAAGGTGTCCTAAGATTTTGAATCGTCATCCGCAACCGCGCCGCGCGCGAAGGGGCCGTGTTTGGCAAGTGCAGTGCGCGTTGGGTAAAGTGTGCGTGGTCGTTCAAGGGCCGCTCAGAATCGTGTATCCAGCGTTGTCCGCACCGCGCGAGAGCGCTCAGTAGCAGAACTGGCGTAACTGGGTTGGATCTTCCCCGCGGCCCGAGCGAACCAGCGCACGGCGCGGACGGCGCCGCCGCTCAGCGCGTCCCTCCCAGAGACAACGACGCGCCTGAAAGGGCGCGTCGCTGGCGTCCAGGGGAGCTCGGAGCTTGCTAGGAAGCGACGCCAGCGCGTCGCTGGCGTTCCGCATGCCCGGGCAGAGGAGCCGCGGTGCGCGTCGGAAGGCCGGGCACACTGGCTTGAGGGGAGGGGGGGGGGGCTAACAGCGGCAAACGCAGGGGGCGGCCGTGGAGACGGTTGGCCGGTGCCTGCCGAGGGTGTGTGCGTGGCCAGACGCGCAACGCACACAACCTGAAGCCGTGCTGTGTCGTGGCACGCAGCACGCACCTGGAGATGGGCAGCTTGTTCGAGAGGTGGTCCATGATGGCGTTCGCGATGCCCAGGTTGCCCTCGGAGTTCTCAAAGTCGATCGGATTCACCTTGTGTGGCATCGTCGACGACCCCACCTGAACAACAACACACCCGGACCGACGCGCGACGGGTCACGACCACGCACGCACGCGCGCTCGCACGCACGCTCGCACGTACTACAGACCGCGCCCGGCCGGGACGGCGGGCGCAGGGGCGACGCAACTCGGCCAACGCCACACCCGTGCTGCTCGCATCGCAGCCAGCCAGGGCGCAGCAGGAGCGTGCGCGGAGAGGGGCTGTCGCGTGCGGGCGCCGCGTGGCTCGCAACGGCGAGCGCCTCGCGCGAGGGGGGTGTGTTCGTGGCCGTATCGGGTCCAGGCGGGGGAGTATTGAGCCCGCGAGGTCCCATCCCACAACCACGGGGGTGTTTTCGGAGCCGAGCCATTTGATCTCTTGCCACGGGCGGCCAGGAGGACTCGCGTCCTTCCAACCGGGCAGGAAATTGGTAAACGGTCCTTGCAAGTCGCAAACAAATACAAAAGCACAGACACCCGCGCGCAGCTCGGTCCGGTCGCGCGCCGCACCTCGCCCGCGACCGTCTTCTGCTTGAAGTACCCGAGCGAGATGTACCCCCACACGTCCCGGTCAAAGTCCAGCAGCACATTGTTGAACCGCGCCACGGCGCCAAACAGCTCCGCCATGTAGTCGTGCGGCTCGATCTGCGTGACGTACGGGTTGAACTGCAGCCCGAGCGTGCCCGTCACGAAGTCCTCCGCGCACTGCTGCCAGTCGACCTCCGGGTATGCCGACATGTGCGCATTGTAGTTGCCGACCGCGCCAGCCATCTTGCCGTAGAGGGGCACCGCGGCGACCTGCTGGCGCTGCCGGTGGAGCCTGCGCGCGGGCGGGGTGCGCGGGGCGGTTGGCTGGCCGCGGGAGCGCGGCGGCGGGGCGGGGAGGGGGCTGAAGAGAGAGAGGGGGGTGTTGGGGGTGTGTTGCGGTGCTCAGACAAGGCTGAAATATGTGGATCAGCAGGGGATCGCTCCCTAAGACGCACAAAGTCTTTGGATGGTCATATTTCTATCCTCACTGCACCGCAACAACACTTGCGCCCATCGCATGCACACGCGCAGGGCGCGGCACTCGGTCCGCCGCGAACGGCGCGCCCGGCGACGGATCGGACACGCAGAGGACACGGCCGCGGTGCCGGACGGCGCGGCGACACGCGCCGGACGCAGCGAGGAAGCGGAGCGGCGCCGCCAAAGCTGCGCGCTGTACAACAGGCACGTGGCGGCGCGGCAGGCCGCGGCGACGGCGGCACGACGCGGCCCGGGCCTAGATCGGTCCGGGGCGGGGCGTGTTGGACGCCGAGGACGCCGCACCTGTACGCCACGTTGGCCATTTCCTTGCCCATGGTGGAGGGCGAGGCGGCCTGGCCGTGCGTGCGCGAGAGCAGGGGGACGTCCGCGAAGTCCTCGGCCATGCCCGCGATGGCGTCGATGATTTTGTCCATGGCCGGGAGGACGTGCTCCTGGACCGCCTCGCGCAGCATGAGCGCGTGCGACAGGTTGTTGATGTCCTCCGACGTGCACGCGAAGTGCGTGAACTCGCTCGCGGCCTTCAGCTCCGGCACCGCCTCGAACCTCTTTTTCAACACGTACTCGACGGCCTGCGCGCGGCGCGGACGGCGGCGGCGCGGTGGCGCGGCGGCGCAGAGTCGAAGGCAACGAAACACACGCCGTGCGGGCGCTCCTGGCCGCTTGAGAGCGCGTTCTGGCGCCGGAGCGCACTGACGAGGGAAATTGGTGCGAGGCGGGCGCGGCGGATGCGGCGCGCGGGGACGCGGGCGGCCGTGCGCGACGCAAACGGAACGGGACGAGCCAAGCACGGCCGATTGTGCACCGGCGGCGGCGCGGTGGGGCCGCGGCGGGCGGTCGGCGGCGAGCGGGCACCTTGACGTCGTGGTTGGTCGTCTTCTCCACGTCCTTGACGTCCTGTGCGTCCGCGACGGTGAAGTTGTTCGCCAGCTCATCCAGCAGCGCCGTAGCCTCCGGGCCGAACGCGGGCACCTCCGTGATCTGCGGCGCAGGCATGTCGCAAACCCTGTGAGCGCGGTCGGCGGCAGCGACGGCCGCGAGGGCCGCTGCGGGCGCGGAACGGCGCAGGACGGCACCCACACCACACCCTGCGTCGATGCGCGACGCCCAGATCGCCGGTGCGCGATTTTCTGCGGCGAATCAGGAGTTCAGGCATATCCCTATGCGATGCGCGCAACTTCGGGCGGAGTGCGGCCGCACCTCGGGCATCGTGGAGAGCTTTTGCAGCCACCGGCACTCCACTGCTACCCGGAACCGAATGAGGCCGTATTCCGAAAAGATGTTGCGGAATACGGCCGTCGCCCGGCCGTAGCGTCCATCGAGCGGTCCCACGGCGGTCAGAGCGGACAGCTCCGGCACCTCCCCCGCCGCGGAGGCGGCCACCAGCCGAGCCTGGGCAGACGGCGGGCGCGGCACAGGCGCCGCGAGGCCGCGGCGGGCAGCGGGGCACCGCGGAACCGGCGCATCTCTATTCCTAGCGACGACCGGGGCGCAGCGCGACCCCGCTGAGAGCGCCTGCATCGCGACGCCACCGCCTCGATGCACTCTCGCTTCCTCGATCCACGCGCCGCGCTCGCTGCCCGAATACACCTCACGCGCACGCAGCAGCTCCTCCGTACACAGCCCTCCGTCCAGGCGCGCGTCTGCGCGCCGCCCGCGCCCCGCTGGCCCGAAATCACGCCCGGAGGGCCCCTGCCACGCTCGCCCACCGCTGTCAACGTCCCACGGCGCCCGCCGGCCGCGCGCGCGGCCCCGCGCCCGAAGGGCCGCCCCGCCGCGCGCCCACGGCGAACGTGCGCCCGGCCACGCGCAAAACACTCGCTCCCCCGCGCCCGTGAGCCCGCCACAGCCCCTGCCCACACGCCGCCCCCCAGGCCCGCGCTCCCACAGCCCCTGAGTCAGGGCCAAGCGGTTTCCCCTGCACCGGAGCCTCGTTCACACCCGCGAGCATCACCCGCGAGCGTTTTCCCGGGACGGTCCGGTCGCTGCGCGCCGCTAGGGCGGGCGGAGGGCTGCGCGGGGCGCGGTAGCTGTCCGGCGGGGCTGGCGCGGGATGCCGCCGAGGCGGACGAATGCGGCCCCCGGGGGCACCCCGCAGAGGCAGCCGCTGGCGCGGCAGGGCAGCGGGCTGCTGCGGCAGGACAGCGCGCTGCTCGGGATGACGTTCTCTGAGATTGAGCGTCAAGTGGGGCCGCTGCACGCGTCAAGCGGGGGACTGGGGAGCATGAACCTGGACGAGTTCCTGTCGTCGATCACCGAGATGGACATGCAGGCGCTGATGAGCGGCTCGATGAACCTCGGCATGACGAAGTTTCCGGACCCAGCGCCAGCGGGCGCAGCTCCCGCGGCGCCCCCGGAGGAGTACCCCCCGCGGCTCACGCGGCAGCGCAGCCTGGCGCGAGCGAACAGTCTCGGCTTGCGGCAGGCACGTCGCGCGCCCCTCCTCGCCGCGCAACGCGCCCCCGGGGCCGCGCGAGAGCGCCCGCGCAACTGCTAGCGCCCCCCGCGCGCCGTACGTGCCGCCTCCAGCCACGCAAACCCCCCCTCGCGGCGTGTGTGTACTTGAACGGTGACGACGCGTCCGAAACTGGGACGTGCGCGGCCGCAGGAGCACGTGGGAAGGACGGTGCAGGACGTTTGGAACGCGGCGCACCCGAAGGGGCCGGTGCCGCTGGAGGAGCAGACGCTGGACGCGTTCCTGCAGGCCACGGACATCCGCCTGACGCCCGGCGCGGACGGCCTGGCCTCTCCGGGGGCCGGGCCGGCGTTGGCCAGCATCAACGTCAGCGACCTCGCAGCGCAGCCCATCTCGGTGCGCGACGTTCCCAGCGCGCTGCCCCACACGACGTCGTTGTTCGCGGCCCGGACGCCGCGGGCGGGCCGCGCGCCGGTGTCTGCGGCGCGCAGCGTGCTTGTGTGTAGGCTGGCGGCGTGAGAGGAGCGGCGCCGCGGCGGCATGGTGCGCAGCTTCGTGTTTTGTGCGTGCGGGACGCTGATGCGCATGTGCCCGTGCTGCGTGCAGCCGCTCGGGGAGGCTGGAGCGGCCGCGGCGACCCCGCGCCCTTCGCGGGCGAAAGCGACGTCGAGCGCGTCGCCGGCGCCGAGCCCACAACCCAAGGAGCGCCAGGTGCGAGCTCAGCCCCTGAGCGTCACCCTCCGACCCGTTTCCCCCACGCCGCCGCGCGCACTGGCCCCGAACGCAGCGCAGTGAGGGCTTCTGCCCTTGTCTCGGCGCAGCTCCGCGTCCTGACGTTGCTGCGTTGCCTGCCACCCCACCGTCGCACCGTGCCCCGCGCGCGCCCGCAGCGCCAGGCGCGGCAGCGGAAGCGGAAGAACCCGCCCGCAGTCGACGAGAAGGCTCTCAAGGCGCAGAAGCGCGCGATGAAGAACCGGGAGAGCGCAGCGCGGTCGCGACAGAAGAAGCAGCAGTACATCGAGTCCTTGGAGGAGAAAATCAAGGTGCGCGCGGCCGCGGCCGGCGCAGCTGCGCCCCTGCCACGACGTTGCTGCGTGGGCCGTCCGCCTGCCGCACGCGGCGCAGCTCCGCCCTGGGCACAGCTGAGCTCGCGCGGCGTCGTGCTGTGTGCGTCGCAGGAGCTGGAGGACAAGAACAGGAGGCTGGCGGAGCAGTTGCAGCGCGGCGGAGGTGCAGGCGGGGACGCGGGCGCGGGCGCGGGCGCGGGGGCCGCAGCTGCGCCCGCTGCGAACGGCGGGGCGGCGGACAGCGCGAAGAAGGCCGCGCCGCGGCGCGGGGGGCTGCGGCGCACCACGACACTGCCTGCTGGCATGGGTTGATGCCAGCTGCACTGGCATCACGTCGCGTGCACGATACAAGAAATAGAAAGGGTGCACACGCCGCAGCTTGCTGAGATAGGAGAGGCGCTGGACCCCGCAGGACGACAGTTGCCGCCACCGGCCGAGACAAGCAGCGGGCGCACACGCGGCACCCACCGCCGCGAACGCCGCGCTCGCCCGGCCCGGACCGCCGATCTGTGATTTCGACGATTCAAGGCGCGCCCGTCCGCGAGAGTTCCCAAGCACACCTCACATCCGACAGCGCCAGCCCCGCCGCAGCCACCACGTCTCCGCTGGCCAGCGCCCCCCCCCCGCAGCGCCGCGCCCACGTCCCCCCACGCAGCTCCCTGCGCCGCCCCGCGTCACTTCTGGTGGTAGTTCAGGTCGTGCTCGATGCCCATCGCCAGCACGTCGCCCTGGCGCACGTGCTGCGCCTCCACGCCCTCATACTCCACGACGCCCCCCCCCTTGATCTCGTACGGCACGGCCACCGCCGCACACATAGGGCTCTTGGCCACGCGGACCCACCGCGCCCCCGCAGTGTGCTCCAGCACCAGCCGCGTGTTGACTGCGTGCGCCCACTGCGCCCCGAGCGCTGCAGTGAGGCGCCCGCCCGCCTGCGCGGCGTCCGGCACGACCCCGCTCGCGACGCCGTGCGTCGCTGACGGACCTATCGCGGTCGTCACCTGGTTCGTGACCAGCACCGGGATCCGGAAGGACTCTGCAAGTATAAAAATCAACATAAGGAGTCAGACAGAGGGTGGGGGGGTCGCCACGCCCGCAGCGAGGCGGCGAGGCTCGCACGGTCCTCCGTGCGCGTGTCCGGCGCGGCGGCTGCGGGCGAGACCGGCGACGCGACGTCAGCTGCGGGCGCTCTACTGGCGCTGCGCCAGCACGCGAGCCGGGCGCGGTGGCCGGTCGCGACGACAGCAACGGCGTGTGCCGTTCGCGAGCCATGCTGAAACCCCTCGTGCGCAATCCCGCTGGCCCGGCAGATGGCGCGGCGCGTGCTAGCTGCACCGTTGCGCCGCGGGCCGCAGCGGAGGGCCGAGAGGGCGCGTGGCGGACCTGCGAGGTGCTTGAGCGCCGCGGCCTGCTGCCCGAGGTTCCGTTGCCGCTCCTGCACGCTGTCGCGGCCGTACTCGGTGCGCGCGAAGATCGCCACGCTGTCGAGGATGATCAGCTTGACGTCGCGGTCGATGATCGTGCCCTGCGGTCGCACGCGCCACGCGGACCGCGCGCCGTCGCGACCAGCGCCGGCGTGTCCTCGCACCACCACCACCAAATGGGCAGTGCGCGCAGACACTTCCACAGCAACGCACGAACGATCGGGTGGGTTTCCGGGGCCGACGGGGCGGCGCGCGGCGGGCGCGGGCTGTCCTGAGCCGCTGCGGGGTCGCAGGCAGCCGGACGGCGCGCGGCGCGACGGGGAAGGGCCGAGAAGAACACGAGGGGAGCAGGGGTAGGTGGTCTTAATAATAACATGATTAGCAATTAGTGATATGATTGATTAATTAATTGATATGAGGAAACGGTGGTTGCGCGCCTGCAGGTCCTCGATGCGCCTGAGGAGGTCCCGCGAGTTGGCCGGGTTGGCCACCAGGATCCTCTGCATCACCTCCTCCAGCGCCGCGTCCCGTCCCGGCCCGAACCGCCCCGGGAACCGCTCCAGAGCCATTTGCTTGAGCCTCGCGGACGAGAACTTCCGCTCCGTGTCGAAATACACCACCGCGCCGCCCAGCCCGCCTAGACTGTCCGGCACCGCGGCGAGCAGCGCCGCTTGCAGGCACAGCTGCGTCTTGCCCATGCCGGCCGGGCCGACCAACTCTGTGATGCCGCCCGCGGGCACGCCTCCGCGCATCGCCTGCTCCAGCGCGGGCATCCCGATGCGCAGGAACCGCGACCGCTGGGCGGCTTCGTCGAGGAGGTCGAGCGTGGTGCGCGGCGCGGGCGTCATCGCGGCCGCTACTGACGCCCGGATGGCTCGCACGCGCGGCAGGTGGAGGTCCAGGAGGTCGAGGAGCTCCGTGTCGGTCCGCTTGAAGAGGTCGGCCGCCATGTAGATGTTGCGGAGCTCGAGGAGGCGGACCGTGTCGGGGTCGCCGGGGAGAAGGCGCGAAATGCGCGCCGTGGCGGCCATGGCTCGCGAAATACGGGCCGTGGCGGGAGGGCGGGTGGGGCGCGCTCACGCGCCGCGCGGGGCGGCGCTGCGGCTAGAACGCCATGATCGGGCGAGGGGAAATGGCGGGCTAGGCGTCGGTGCGGGGCGCCGGTGGGAGCGCCGCCGACGCGCGCGGCGTCGCGCGTCGACGCGTTGGTGCCAAGTACGGACGCGCGCGCGGCGAGTACGGACGCTCGCGGACGAAATTAGTCGGTACGTTCGCAGTCCGAACGCCACAGCTACGGCGCGTGCGGTTCTTTCGCGGACACGTCGCCCCGCGAGGCAGTGAATCGAGCGACGATAAAACAAAACACCACCAGAGAAGAAGTATCACGGCCTGAGCCGTCAGACAAAGCATGAATGGACCACCCGCGCACGAAACGACATGCGGGTGCGATCTATCTATCGTCCCGATCGAGGCGGCGGAGATCGCCTCGCTCACACGCAGCCCGCGCTCACCGAATACGAATGTCCCCGCCCACGCCCGCAAAGTGCCCCTTCAGCGCCTTCGGGTTCGCCCACGCCGAGTTCGTGTACTGGTCGTCGTCGTCCTCCGCCAGCGCCTGCACCGCACACGCCACACCGACACAAACACGTCAGCCGCGCACACACGCCAGCCCGGCGCCCCGCTCGCGCGGCTCCCCGCACCGCGCACCGGCGCCGACCGCGTCCTCGAGGCCGCCACGGACCGCGCGTCGACCGCGCGCGCTCGTGATCGCCGCGCGCGACCGTCGCACCGCACCCGCAGCCACGCGCCGCCGTCGCCCGCGCACCTGCTGCTCCTGCTGCTTCTTCGAGTACCACGACAGCATGTTCTTGTGCGTCTCCTGGTCGATCACGGGCTCCCGCGACGGCGCCCCGGCCCCCTTCTTCGTCACCTTCACCACCACTTTACTTTTCTCGTTTCGGCCCACGTGCTCCGCCAGCTTCTTCCCCGCCTGCATCTGCTTCCCGCAAAACCACAGCGCCGCGGCCTCCGCGTCGATCGGGTCCGCCGCGTAGCTCGTGCCCGCCAGGTCCTCACTCCCCTCCAGCATCCCCCGCACGGGGTCCCACTCAGGAAGGCCCTCCGGGTGACAAATCATGACAGCGCCGCGCACGTTGTCGATCGCGGCGTCGAGCGCCTGCTTCGTGAGCGGGACCTTCTTCGCCGCGTTGTCCTTGCTGGCGGCCGCCGCGGCCTCGTCGAGCGTTTTGCGGAGGACGGCGACGACCTGGGGCGCGGCGGGGTTGCCCGTGCGCCGGCCGGTGGGGTCCTTGGCGTAGTGCGGCCCGGGCTCGACCTTGTAGCCGTTGAGGTCCTCGGCGTAGTCGTCCAGGCCCTGCGCGGCGACGAGCGGGGGGAGTGCGAGGCGTGGAAGAGAGTCGAGGTTGAAGAATAAGAATAATGATGATAATAAGAATAATAACAGGTTTTTTGTTTTTTTGCGTCAAAGAGCGCTGCTTTGCGAGTCGGGGCGATGCGCGGCGGCGGCGGCGGGGCAGGGTCGGTCGTGCGCGCGCGGCGCCGCCGGCGCCGGAGCGAGCGATGCGGCGGCGGGCGAGGTTGCTGCCTGCTTGGAGGTGCGGCGCGGGGTGGGGGCGGACCTGCTTGTCGAGGGGCTTGCAGGGGCCGTGCTTCGCGAGCTCCTCGCCCTCGATCTTCAGCCGGCCGATCAGCATTCGGAGGTTGTGGATGGTGCAAAGGTCCTTGAGAGTGTCATCGACCGTGGCCTCGACCGTCGTCTCGTACAGGAACTGCTTGTCGTCCGCGTTCTGCGCGCACGGAGGGACCGCGGCGCGGACGCGTGGGGCGGGAGGCCGCGCCGCCGGGCCGGGAGCTCGTCGCGAGTGCCCCGCAGGCAAGACGCGGCCCCGCCGGCGCCGGAATACGGCGCGTAGCGCGTCGCGCGGGCGAAATTCGATGAATTTGGCGAAGGTGGGGTGCAGTGCGGGCCGGAAACGGGCGGGAACGGCGCGCAGGCGCGCGGGCGGGGCGCATGCAGGAGCACAGCGCGCGCGCTCAAGACTGGCGTGGGGCCGCGGGCGCGCCCGGGCGCGTCTTGGGCGCGCGCGGTCCGCGGCCGCGAGCTCGTGGGCTGGTCGATGCGCGGGCGGGCTCGCGGGGCGCGCGCACCGCCGGCGTTCGCGCGGGGCGGGCGCGGGGCAGGTTGCGCGTTGCCCGAGTTGCGCGTCGCGGCTCGCGCGGTCCGCGCCGAGCGACGGCCGCGCGGCGTGCGCGGCGCTCGAATTGAGGCGTGCCGCGTCCCCGCGCGGCGCCGCTCGTCACGCCGCGTGCGGAGCGCACCTTGAAGTGCAGAAGAACCATCGTAAGACCGTCCGCGCTCCACAGCGCTCTGTCTTGCTATACACCCTCCGCAATCAATCCCAGAAGCGACCCCTTCGCCGCGCCGCGCGTTTCTCGCCCACGCGCGCGCCGCAGCGGCCCCGTGAGCGCGCTGCGAGCCGTCCAACACACACCACCGTCATGGGCGCGGGGGACTTCCCCTCCCGCGCGCGCGTGCGCGCTCGAGGCCGCGAGCCGCGCGCACGCAACCGCCGTCTCACCGCGCTGATGCCCGCGAGCGCGCGCATCCCCGCCACGGACGGCGCCATGGCGAGCGCAGGCGCCCAGACGAGCTCCGCGGGCGCGCCGGACCAGGAACCTCCCGCCAGCGGCCCGCCAGCAGCGTCTCCGGCGCCCGAGGCGCGCGCGGCCGGCGCACCGGCGCGCAAGGACGCCGCGCCCTTCGAGCAGCTCGTGCCTCCTGCCGAGCGCGCGCACATCTGGGCCTCCGCTGATGGCCATTTCTGGTGCTCCCTCTGCCTAGCGCCCTTGCAACGCGACACAATCCAGCAGCACCTCGACGGAGAGGCGCACAGGACCGCGAGCCGCAAGCCCGTGCTGCCTGGGGAGCCCGGCGCGGCCCCTGGGGCGGCGCGCGCCAGGCCGGGGGCTGCACCGTCGACGCTCGCGGCCGCGCCCGGCCCCGCCGGGAGCGCGCAGGCGCCGGGCGGCGAGAGCCGCGTGCCGTACTGCGACGTGTGCGGCGTGTACGTGCCGGGGCGGCCCGAGGCGGAGGCGATGCAGCGGCACACGGAGGGAAAGCGGCATCAGCGTGCGTTGCGGGAGAGCGGCGGGGCGGGGACGGGCGACGCGCCGGCGCCGCGCGCGCCCGCGACGCCGCAGGCCACGCCGGACGCGTCCGCGGCGCGCCAGCCCTCCGGTGCGCCGGACGCGCCGCCTCGGCCGGCTATTTCTCAAACGTGGCTCAGGGCTGCCGTCGAGGGCGCGGCGGGCGGGAAGGCGCGGCGCGTGCTCGCGTGCGTGCTCTGCGGGGTGCCCGTGGCGCAGACGGCGCTCGCGAACCGATCGGAGGCGGGCGGCGCGCTCCGCGCCACGGAAGTGGCGCAGGTGCGCACACAACGCGACGCGGGGCGGGGCGCGGGGCGCTGCTGCTGGAACCGCGCGGGATGGGCTCGCGGGAGATGGATCGCGTGCGCTGTCCTGCCTCGAATGTCAGTTGGAAGAGCGGGGGCGCGGATTCGCGGGTGTGTGTGTGCTGCAGGTTCGGGCGCACGCAGGGCAGCCGGAGCACCGCGCGGCGTGCGTGCGCGCGGTGGAGGAGCGGATCGACGCGATGGTGGTGCCGGGGGCGGCGCGGGCGCGGCACCCGAGCGGCAAGACGTTCGAGCGCGTGCAGGGCGACACGGATCTGATGTTCGAGGTGACTCGCCGCACGCGCAACCACGAATCCATATCTGCCAGTGCACCGGTCCAACCACGCGCGGCGCCCCGCGCCCAGACCGCCCGCGCACCCTCGCCCGCCGCACCCGACCTCGTTCCGACCACGTTCCGGCGCCCCAAACGTTCACGCACACCGACTGCACGCACACAAGCAAGGTTTTCTCCAGTGCCGCGTAACGGCTCTGATCTTGAACTCGGAATCGCCGCCGCCGCCGCCGCCGCCGCCGCCTGTACCTGCATTACGACCTCGACGCCAGCGCCGCCACGGCTGTCCTCACGCTACAGTCGGACCGCCGTCGCCCGCTTCAATCATACCACTCACACGCAACACACCCCCCCCCTCGGCCCCTCCGTACCGCGCAGTACTACGCGCGCCGCAGGGCCGCGGACGACGACGCGGCGCCGCAGCCGTGGTCCCGCGCGCGGTGCGTCGCGTGCGGCGTCATCGTCGACCGCACCGACCTCGACGCCCACAAGGCGACGCCGCGCCACGCGCTGCACGCGATGGACCCGCGCATCGCGGCGCTCCTCGACGAGTACTACTCCGTCGCGGGCACCACGGGCCCGCTGCCGTGCTGCGCCGCGGGCGTGTGCACGGCGAAGCCCAAGCGCGGTTCTGCGAAAGGACAGCGACAGCAACAGCAACAGCAGCGCCAGGCGGCGGGCGCGGGGCAGAAGCGGCGCCGCGGCGACGAGACGGGCGCTGAGGACGAGGGCGAGGGCGAGGAGGTTGCGAGGAAGCGGGCGCGGGCGGAGCCGGAGGGGGCGGCGTCGGGCGCGGTGGTGGTGTCGCAGTCGGTGAGGGCGCCGCCGGCGGTGTCGGCGGGGCACGCGGCGTGGGCGGTGGCGCGGCTGGAGCAGCAGGTGCTGGCGCTGCGGTCGTGGTCGGGCGCGCTGGCGGCGCGGCTGGCGGCGGCCGAGGCGGGGTTTGGGCGGCGCGTGGCGGCGCTGGAGGAGGGGGACCGGCGCGCGCGGCAGGCGGCGCGCGAGGCGGCGGCGCCCGTGCAGGTGACGATCCGCGTGGACGGCGCCGCGGAGGCGGGCGGCGGCAGGAGGGGGGTTGCGGCGGCGGCGGAGGGGGGGGCTGGCGGCGGCGAAGAGAAGCAGGAGTAGGAGCGCGGGGCGAGCGAACGGGCTGGCTGTTCGATATTTGTAAACGGATCGACCAATACCATGTCGTCGATAGATCTTATGTATAAATCATTTGTCAAGCGCACGCACGTGACTGGACGTGCCTCACATCATAACGGTGGGGGGTTGCATGCATGAGTCGCCAACTAGTCGGAGGATCTTTTCAGGTGCCAAAGCCTCATGGCTGTCGACGCGAAGAATGTAACACCTCACCTCACCTCACCGCGGCGATCGTGCACGCGAGGGCGGCTGCGATCGCCACCATCGTGCACAGGGCCGGCTGCGCCGCCGAGCTCGTCGGCGGCGCCATCGTCGTAGCCCCGTCGGGCAGCTGCACGTTGACGGCGGTGACGGTGACGCTCTCGACGGCCACAGGGACGCCGCGGTCCGCCAGGGCGCGGCCGAGCGCCGCGGGCGACGCGGAGGACCTCAGGCGCCGCGCCGCGGCCTTCGCGGACTCCTCGGACCCGGTCGACATCTGCAGATGAGCGGAGAAACCCGGAACTATGGTTTTGTGGTTGTTTTTGGTTTTTTTTTTCTTCTCGTTTCGTTCCGGCCCCGCTGACGTCGAGCTCGCCTGCCGCCGCGGCTCCTACACCAACGGCTAGACTGCGCCCCGCGGGGGGGTGTTTCGTGCGGTCGCGCGACGGGGGACGGCACCTCAACGGCGACGGTGTTGCGGCTCGGGTCGGCAGCGCCGCCTGCCTCCGCCGCCGCCGCCACGGCCCAGGCGCTCGGCGTGTTTTTCGGGAGCTCCGCGAGCGCGAGGAGCTCGTCGGCGATCCGCTGCACGTCGGCCCGCGTCAGGTTGGCCTGCAGTCGCACAACGAGCGTCGCGGCGACGCCTGGCGCGGTACTCGGCCCCACGACGGCCGGCAGCGGCGCTCCGGGCGTCGGAACGACGCCGGCGTCCGCGAGCTGCGCGGCCTCGGTGGCCGCGGGTGCCGGCTCCTCGGCACGACCACTCGAGCCAGCCCAGTCGGCCTGCGCCTCCGCACCGTCGTCGTTTGCGCCTCCATCGTCGCCCGCCGGCGTGGTTGCATTAAAAATCGCGGCAGACGTCGCGTTCGCGGGCAACACGGGCGCTGCGACGGCCGTCGGGGTCGGCAACACGACGGAGTCGTTTCCCGTCGCCCCGAACGCGCGCACCGCCGCGTCCGCGCCGCTGCCGACCTCGAGCAGCAGCGCCTCGCACGACAGCCGCGATCCCGCCAGCTGACACGTCGCGTGGTTGCGCTCCAGCGCCGCAGACGCCGCCTCGTCCGCCCTGCCAGCGTCTGCAACCACTCCGAGCGTGCACCGCCCCAGGTACCACGCGCAGCCCACCGACGCCGCGCACGCTCCCTCATCCGCCGCCCTGCACGACGGCACGTCCGTCGGCACCTGCCCGGGCGGAACGGAGGCCAGGTAGGGCTCCAGTGCCAGTGCAGCTGCACAGGAGCCAAACGCGGTGGAGTAGGCGCCGGGGTCGCCGGCCTCGCCCCGCATGAGCGCCACGCCGTAGCTGACGACGAGGGCCGTGTCCGTGGGCTCCAGGGGCTCCTGCGTCAGGAGCAGGTAGAACAACGCAAGGAATACACGACACGATAGTTTATACTGTTTGAAAACAACGCGGTTTTTTCATACCGGCGCCGGCCAGGCCCGCCTGGCGCGGTCGCGCGGGGCGCACCAGGAACGTGCAGCGCCCGCCGAGGCCCTTCCGGCAGAACCTCTGCAAACACCCCCCCCCTGTTGAAACACCCCCGCCGCTGTCCCTGCACATCCTGTCGCCGAGGAACCGCCGGGCGGGCGACCCGGGGCACGTGAGCGCGACGGGCGACGCAGAGCACCCGCGCGGACCGTCCGCGACGTCCCACGCGCACGTCAGCGCCTGCCCCGCGCCAGCGCTCTCGCACGCCTCTCGCGACGTCACCGCACGACACACAGCGTCCTGCACCGTCCGGTCCCACGCGAACGCCGCGGCCGCCGCCGCGGGCCGGCGCGTGCCCGCGAGCGCCACCTCGGAGCCGATGCAGCTGCCGGACGCGGCCGCAAACTCGCACGCTGCCACGTGGGTCGGCGCCGCCAGCGCGCGAGTGCTGTGACCGGCCGCGTGGGCCGCCGCGGCGCAGCTCAGCCAGACCTGCGCGCGGGTGGGGCAGGGGGCGCGATGGCGGGTGCGTGCGCGCGGCGAGAGCGGGAACGGAGGGGGTCGAAGGGCGCGGCGCGGCGGTGGTGTGCGGGTTGTTGTGTCGGGGTGGAGGCGACGTACCGCTGCGAGGAGAGCCGGGGCGCGACGGAGGCGCATGGCGGCGCGGAGAGCGTGGCGGGGAGCGCGTGCTGCGGGGCTGCGGGGGGCCGGGGGACGCGGAGGACGTCGGCGTTCGCGGTGTTCGTGGCGGTGTGTTTGGGCGTTGAACAGCGGGTTTTTTTCCGCGCGATGGCGCGGGCGTGGAGTGCGGGGCGGCGGGATCGCGGGTCCGCGGCGAAGTGGAGGTGCGGGGCGGGCGGCGGCGCGATCCGCGCGGCGCGTGGCGGCCGCGGGCGCGTTCGGTGTGTCCAAGGGCCAAGTCACACAAGGGGGGTCCGCGGCGGAAGACTGGGAGACAGGCAACGTTGCACCGGGCTCGTGTGCCGCGCGCGGCGCTCCGCGTGCGCGGAACGCCGCGTCGGCTGGACAGGTACGTTCGCAGGACGCTCTCTCGCACGGCGCGCGGCAGTTGGCGCAACGGCGCGGCACGAGAGCGGCTGGGAAAGGAGCTGCGAGGTGGAGGCACCCGCCGGCGCGTACTGCGGGGCTCCCGGCCGCGCGGGCGCGTGGATCTCGCAGCATGGATCTAGCGAGTAGATATGAGAAGGTATCTCTAATCGGGAAAGGGAGTTTCGGCGACGTATGGAAGGGGTGCGTCCACCCGGCCGCACAACGCCCGCCCTCCACGCCCCGCACGGCCCTTCCCGACGAAAACTCAGCACCTACCGGCATCCCCCGTCCCTCCTCGCACCGCCCGCGGCCCCCTTCCGGCCGCGCGGCCCACACCGGCGGCGCGCGAGCGCCCCCCCCTCCACCAAACCACTACGCCCCACGCGGCCACAGGCCGCGCGTTCCGCGCCCTCCCCCGCCCAGGCGCACGCCACGGACGCACACACCCGGGCGGCCGCGCCCTGCGCGCCAACACCCCCCCCTGCGCGCCAACAGCCCCCAACGTGCTGTCTGTTGTGCCGATGCCCTCCAGGATCGACCAGGAGACGGGCGCGGAGGTCGCGATCAAGATCATCGACATGGAGGACGTGGAGGACGATCTCGAGGACCTGATGAAGGAGATCGACATTCTCGCGCGCTCCAAGTCGAAGAACATCACCGAGTACATGCACTCCTTCAATGTGCCCGGGACGTCGCAGCTGTGGATCATCATGCAGCTCATGGCGTGCTCCGCGCTCGACATGATCCAGGAGGAGCCCCTCGACGAGCCCGCCATCGCGTTCGTCGTCCGGGAGGTCCTCAACGCCCTGGACTACCTGCACAGCCAGCATCGCATACACCGAGACATCAAGGCCGCGAACGTCCTCCTCACGCCCTCCGGAGAGGTACGCACTGCTCTTCCCCGCCCTCTCCGCGCGCCCGCGCCCCCGGAGCCCGCGCCACCCCGTCGCGCGCGCCCCCTCCGCTGCCCACCCCCCGCCCGCTCCCCGCGCGCCCGCGCGCCCTCCCCGCCCGCTCCGCCCCCGCACGCCCACATTCAACGTCGCCTCCCAGCCCCCGCGCCCCCGCGCGGTTCCCCCCCCCCGCCCTCCCGCCCACCCCTCACTCCACCGCTGCCCTTCTCCGCCCCGTACAGGTGAAAATCACGGACTTCGGCGTCAGCGGCACGCTCACCAACACGCTGTCGTACAAGCGCAAGACCTTCGTCGGCACGCCGTTCTGGATGGCGCCCGAGGTCATTCAGGCGGCCAACGGCGAGGCCGAAGGCTACACGGAAGCAGCCGACATCTGGTCGCTAGGTATCACGGCGTACGAGCTCGCGACGGGGCAGCCGCCGCACGCCTCGCTGCACCCGATGCGCGCGCTCTTCCTGATCCCGAAGGGCGACCCGCCCCAACTCTCCGGGCCCTACTCGGATGGTTTTAAGGACTTCATGAAACAGTGTCTGCAAAAGGAGGCCGAGAAGCGGCCGAGCGCGCAGGACCTCCTGCAGCACCGGTTCCTCCTGAAAGCGTCGTGCCCGCCGTCGCTCGTCCGGCGCGTCGTGGAGACGCAGCAGGCGATGGCGAAGCGGCCGCGGCTGTTGCAGCCGGTGACGAGCACGGTGGCGGCGGGGAGCAAGGGGACGCTGCCGCAGTGGCAGTTCGAGACGCCCGCGCTCGCGACGCAGCAGGCGGAGCCCGCCGGCGCCGCGGCGTCGGGCCCGTCGGTCGCGGACGGGCGCGCGTCGCACCAGGAGGCCGGGAGTCGGGGGGGGACGTCGGTGGGCGAGGAGGACGCGGTGAGCGACAAGTACGGCCGGACGCTCGACGACCTGCGCGCGCGCGCGGAGCAGGGCTCGCTGACGTCGCGGCAGACCGGGAGCGTGACGGGCGGGCAGTCGTCTGGGCGCGGCGGCGGCGGCGGCGGCGGCGGCGGGGGGGGGTTCGTCGGGTTCGTCGGCAGCGCGTTCAAGTCGGTGATGGGCGCGGTCGGCGGCGGCGGGCGCGGCGGCGGCGACGGCGGCGACGGCGGCGCGAACCCCGGCGCGGTGTGGCGGGCGTACGAGAACGCCGGGCGGCGCACGGTGCACGAGTTCCCGGCGACCGCGGCGCCGATCGACGCGATCCTTGGGGCGTTCGCGGACATGGAGGACGACATTCCCGGGGCGTGCGAGTGCTTCGCGGTGGCTCTGCTGGAACAGAGCGTGACGCTGGGGCACGGTTCGGCGATGCGCGCGACGCTGGACCGGATCCTGGAGCAGCAGGGCGCGGGGCGGAGCGGGAGGGACGCCGGGAGCGCGCGCGGCGGCGAGCTGAGCTCGGGCGGCTCGGACGGGCCGCCGGGCGCGTCGGCGCGCGGCGAGGTGCCGGACCTGGGGGCGCTGGGGCGGTATCTGCTGACGCGGTGGGGGGAGGAGTTGGGGAAGGACCCTGACGAGGAGGATTGACGGGGCGGAGGCGGGCGCGGTGGGCGGCGGAGCGCGTGAGGCCCGGTGTGTGGAGTGGTGAGGTTGTGGTTGTGGGGGCGCGCGCAGTCGGGGATTGGTGGGTGTGGATCGCTCGGTGGCGCCGAGTGTGCGTGGCGCGCGCGCGGCCGGCCGGGGGTGTGACGGTGGGCGGTGACGTTGTGCAGGCCGGTCGGCGTCGTGTCGATTAATACTTTTTGTCGCTCACGGCGCCTGCGCGTGGCCTCCTCGCGCTGCTGCTCGCGCAGGTGTGCGGGATCGACAGGGTTTGCACCCTACACACGGGAGCGGGTGACTCCGCCGCCGTCGTTACGACAGTCGCCCTTGGCCGCCCGATCCTGGCCGTTCCCGGCCCCAGCAAGCGCTCGCGCGTCGCTCAACGCCGCTCCATCGGCACATCCGTCTCACAGACACGCGACATGTAGCGCGCACAGCTCTCTTCACTTCATTCAAGCTGCGTGCGCAGGTGTTGGGACCCCGACACTTGCCGCTGCAGCTTGCTCATCCCGCGTGCGTGCGGGTACTCCACCGCGTCGTTGCTCTCGGCCACGCCTTTCCTGGTTAACGTGACCTCCGGTGTTGAATTCATTACTTCAGCGGCTCTTCGCGGGGGGGCGTCGGGAGCTCGGTCTCCGACACGACGATGCCGTCGCCGTCCGCGTACAGCCAGTGTCCCGGCACGAACTGCACGCCGCAGAACGACACCGGCACGTCCCGGAGACCCGCGTCGCGCTTGCTGCTCTTCAGCGGGTGCGTGCCCCACGCCTTGACGCCGAGGTCCATCTGCGCCACGTCCTCGGAGTCGCGGATCATGCCGTTGATCACGAGCCCGCTCCAGCCGTTGCGCACCGCCATCGCCGCGAGGTTGTCGCCCAGGAGCGCGCAGCGGCGGGAGGCGCCGCCGTCGACGACGAGGACGCGGCCGTTCCCGGGCTCCTCGAGGGCCTTGCGGACGAGCGGGTTGTTCTCGAAGCAGCGCACTGCGGAGCACAGGGCGCCGCCACCATGGTTGATGCCGTGAACAACCGATTATAAAACCATATCATTTCGTCTTCAGATAGCACGAAACGACACGGTTTCCTCGAGTGAGGAAACCGCGCTCGCGGCAGCAAGGAGGAGCTCGTGCTGCACCAGCCCGCGGGAACAGCGGCGCAGGAGCAGGCGTCCCATATTGCTCCGCGCTACTGCGAGTGGCGCTCTATGACAAGGGCTGTGCTGGCAGGGGCTGACGCCCGGGTCGGCGCGGCTGGCGGCCCCTTCCGCGGGCGCTGGCGATGCGGGCCGTGCGCGGCTCGTGCGCGTCGCGCGGGCGCCCACTCGCCTGTGCTGATCATCCCATGAAACCTGACCTTGCCCCCCAGGTCCCGCAGGCCCGGCTCCGCGATCTTGATGCCGTCCGTGCCGACGACGTCGACGTTACGCGGGTGGTGCACGTCGCACAGGTCTGCGCGGGGACACGGGGCGCACGGAACGTGAACGTGAACGTGAACGCGGCAGTGAGCCCTAGTGCAGGGTACGAGGCGGTGCGTCGCTGGGGGGCGCTGCGGGACGGGTGTCCGTCTGGGGTGCATGAACGGAGGGTTGTCGGCACGGTGGCTCCGCGGGCGCGGACCTGCGGTGCCCATGCGGTCCAGCTGCGGGGGGGGATGCGGGGTGGTAGCGGTACCCGTCGTTGCGTCGCGCACGAACGCGGAGAGCCGCGGCGCGAGCGCTGCGCGCCGGAGACCGCTCCGTGCTTGAGCGAGCATGGGGGCGGACGGCGGGAAGGGGACTGTAGCGCCGCGGGCGGCCTCGCACAAGGTATACAAGGTGGTATGAGGCGGTTGGCGCGGTTTTGCGGGCTTGTTTGTGCTCGTGATGGCGAGGGCAGGGCACGCGCGACGCCCTTGGCGTGCGCTGCGGTGCCCGCTGAGTCAGGCGGATCCCGGACGCCCCTCCCTGATGCCAGGGGGGGTGTTTGCGGCCACATCGTGCGCGGCCCGCCGCTGGTGCGCGCAGATCCGCACTCGCCGTGCTTGGAGCTCGCATCGCAGCACTCTTCGCGGACAACACACCCCGGTGCATGCGGGCCTTCGCCCTTGGATACCACACTTGCAACATCCTCGCCACACGGGCTTCGTTTACGCGAAGCGGGCATTTTATGACACCAATAACATAGACGCATCATCACAGAATGCATATAGCTGGATTCCATGCACGTTGCGCGCACACATAGGCTGTATTCCCGGCAGGAAGCGCCCAGGGCCTTCGCGCCTCGCCCTCCCGCGCCCGGCTCCCCGCGCGCCCCGTGAACCCATCCGCCCCACCACCCTCCCAACCATGACACCCCCTCCCCCCCACCGCGCCCACAAAGCGCCCCGCGCGCCGCACACCCCCCTCCTCCCCACCTCCCCGCAACGCCACCCGCGCTCCGCGCTCCCGCCCCGCGCCACACCCCTCCCACGCACCACGCCCCCCCCGCCCGCACGCCCGTCGCGGCCCGCGGAGGCGCCGCGCGCAGCGCGTCCCAGGAGGAGCCGCCCCGCACATCACATGCGCCGGGGCCGGTCCGCGCCGCGCGCAAACCCGGCGTGGGCGGACGCCGCCGTCGCGTGGATCCAGGGCGCGCATCCCGCGACGTACCTCGCGTATTTCTGGGGCGCCGGCGTCGGGCTGCCTTTCTCAGAGGACGCTATGGTGGCGTGGATCGGCGCGCGAGTCCTGGCGGGGGAGTACGGCGGGCTCGCGTCCGCGGCGCTCACGGTGCTGATAACGTTCGTGGGCGTCGTGAGCAGCGACATGATCACGTTCTGGCTCGGCGCGATGCTGCGGAAGGGCGCGGCGGCGCCGTGGGCGGCCAAGTGGCTGCCGGCCGCGGACGCGACGGGCGACAAGTCGCAGATGCAGGTGCGTGCGCGCCGCGGAGAGCGCGCGCTGCGCCGCGGGCGCGGCACGCGAAATCGCGGCGAATGATGTCTTTTCTGCTGTCGTGTATGTTGTCGATCGCATCGCACATATGATCTCATATCTATTTATTTATTTATTTTCTTGAGTGTATCTGGACGTGCGTTGTCGGGTCCGCCGCTCGCAGAAGGCCGCGGGGCTCGTGCGGCGCTGGGGGCGCGCGATCGGCGCGGTGCAGCGCTTCTCCGTGGGCTTCCGCGGGCCCATCTGCCTCGCCGCGGGGCTCGCGGGGGTGTCGGGCACGACGTTCTGCGCGGGCGTGTGTCTCGGCGCGCTGGGCACGATGGCCGCGCAGTTCGCGCTCGGCGGCGTCCTCGCGACGCGCGTGGACTCGGTGTACGTCGCGGTGCTCGCGCTCGTGGCCGGGCCGAACGCCGTTGGGCACCTGCTGGCCCCCGCAGCGGCAGCGGCAGGGGCGGTGTGGGCGGCGGCGACGCGGTGGACGCGCCGCGGCGGCGGCGGCGGCGGCAGCGCAGGGCAGACGCCTGCCGTGCCGAGCGCGTAGCGCCGGGCCGCAGCAGATGGAGCATGACGAGCGTGGCTGACGGTACGCGACCGTTTGGCATACGTCGCCGCCGTGTAGACATTCGCCCGCGTCGGGGCGAGTGAGTGAGGTGTTACATGCTTCGCGTCGTCAGCCATAAGGCTTTGGGACCTGAAAAGATCATTCGACCAGGTGGCGAGTCATGCTAACCTCCACCGTTATGGTGGCGACAGGTTCGGTGCGACAAGCAGAAGGAGCGCCGTCGTCGGGACGACAGGCGAGGTGCTACGAGCCCACACACAAATTGTCGTTGCAGCAGGCAGAGAGAGAGAGAGAGTTGTCATCCTGTTGTCACACGCCCGCCCCCTAGCTGCTTCGCGCCCGCCTCGCGCCCCCCGCCGCCTCCGCGTCCCCGCCCTCCTCGACGTCCTCGAACTCCTCCGCCAGCGTCGGCGCGACGCCCCCCCCCTCCGTGATCCCCTCCAGCTCCCCCACCGACTCCACCATCCGCCCAAGCGCCCGCGCAAAGTCCTCCGTCTCGAGCGCGACGCCGCTCGCCGGCAGCTGCTTCGCGCCGTCCGTCGGCGTGTGCTCGTCCTGCACCTTGAGCGCCAACCCCTCGATCGTCCGCGGGTCCACCGCGCGCCCCGACAGCGTGATCAGATCCCACATCTCATCCTCCGTCCAGTCCTGCTTCGGGTACTCCTCGCGGTACCCCTCCAGGCGCACGTCCTTGGCGTACAGGTCGACCGTGGGAATGTACGTCCCGACCTCGTCGCGGCGCCGGTCGAAGGCGGCTTGGTACTTGGCGTACATGCGACGCTTCTCGGCGCGCGCGCGGAGCTGCCACGGCGAGAGCGGGCCCTCGGGGCGCCGGTCGAGGTCCGGCCCGCCGATCGCCGCGTCGAGGTTGTCCTGCGAGCGCGGCGCGAGCGCGGGGCGAGGTGGTGTTGTGCCGCGCGTGCCAGGGCGGCGACCGGGGCGATCGGCGGAGCGGGCGAACCGCGCCGGCTCTGCGCGCGCCGCGCTCGCGCGCGCATGTCGCGCAGCGGGCGTGACGCGGCCCAGCAGCAGGAACAAAACAAGCTCAGCAACACCACAAGAAATTTAATTAATAATTATTAATGAATTAATTAATAATTATGAATGATAAATTCAAGTTCAGCAACAACAGACCACAACGCGTCTCCGCGACGGCCCCGCGGCGCCCGTGGGCCGCTCCGCGGGCGCGCCCGCGCGCCTCCGCACCTGGACGTCGTTCAGCCGCGCCTCCCAGTCGTCCGGGAGGAGCTTCGTGAAGTCGTCGCGCGACTGCATCTCCTCAAAAGCGCGGCCGAGCAGCTTGGCCTCCTCGTCGGGGGACCGCCGCAGCTCGACGGTCTCGCCGTCTGCGTTCGTGATTTGCTTGTACATGACGCGCCGCACGCCCGGGGACGCGTCCTGGCCGGCCGCGCGGACGTACTCGACCAAGTCGGACTCGTAAAACGCGCCCCAGTCCACGGCCTCGTCCTCCCCGAACAGCGCGACGGCCTCGTCGAAGTCCGCGACTTCGCCTTCGAGGTCTTCGTCGTCCTCGTCGTCCTCGTCGTCGTCCTCCTCCTCGTCGAGCCCTGCGTCGTCCTCAGCGGTGACGTCGGGCCCCGCGCCGGTCGCCTCGGGGTCGTCGCCGGCGCTGTCGTCCTCCACGATGTCGTCGATCTGGATCTCGCCCTCGAACTCCTCGTCGAGCGTGTCTGCGGCGCGCACGGCGCACGGAAGAGCCGGGTGAGCGCACCGGTGGGCGCCTGGGCCGCGCTGCTGGGCCGCGGCCGCGATTTCCAGGCCGAATTTTCATACGACGTGAATGTGTGACACACGATGAATGTGTGGCGGACGTGTTCAAGGGCGGAAAATCCAGGCTCGGCCCCGCATGGGTGCCAATCAATCCAGAGTGGAGAGACAGCGACTTCCAGCACAGTGTAGGGGCAGGGAAGCCCGGAACGCCGCACCTTCGTCGTCCTCGTCGTCCTCCAGGCCCGCCTTCGCGCCTCCCCTGCCCGCTGCCGCCCTCACGTCCCCCCCGCGAGCGAGTAGACGCAAGCTACACCGTCGCCCGCAGCGCGGCGCCGTGCGCCCGCCATCCCCCGCGAAACTCCCCCGGAGCAGCGCGCTAGTTCTCTTCGTGCGACGGGACGGAACGGAGGCGCGCGCAGGCGCCGCGCTGGCCGCGACGCAGCCGCGACACGCCGTCGGCATCGCGCCAGGCCCCGCTCACAGCTCGCGAAGCCGTATCGGTAGACGCGAACCGTCAACCAACGTCATTCACGCGCGCCGCCGTCGCGCACGGAGCAATGTGCCGCGGCTCGCGGCCCCAGGGGGAGTCCCAGCACAGTACCTCCCCACAGGCCCCCTCCGAGCAGCTCTCCGCCCCGGACCCCGCGCCGCGACCGCCAAGATCCCTCCCGACGCGCAGACCGCGAATCACACCATCGCAAGTCCCCAGCGCCCCCGCAACAACATAACATACTGCAGTAACATACATGCACATACACCCACGGCCATCGCCGGGAATGCCCAGGTGCTGCAGGACGGCGGCCGCGCGGCGCACCGCGGAGACACCGCGTCCGCGAAGACGATCGTGCGGCCGGAGTGCGCGGAGAGGAGGTAGGCCAGGCACGCGTCGCATTCGCCTGTCCAATGCGTACCGCGTAACGTCGCGTCGCTAGCGTCGCGTCGCCCGGCGCTACAGGCTCTCGAACGGGTTGTACTCGAGCACGTCCGGGTCGCTGGCCCTCAGGATGGCCGCCGCGTCGACGCGCTGCCCGCCGACGAAGCGGTCCAGGCACGCCACGACGCTCACGTTGCGCGCCTGAGTCAGCGTCGACCAGTACTCGGGGGGGTTCAGCTCGATGTGCGCCCCGCTGTTCCAGACGACCGGCGACGCCTCGAACCTGCGGCCGAGGCGCACGCGGCGGCCAGGACGGTCAAACCAACCAATGCAACTCAATTCACCAATTGATATGTAAACACATATCAAAGGAGACCCGCCAGGGACCCGCTGTGTCAGGGCGCACAGGCAGCACTGCGGCCCCGGCCGCAGCACCGCCCGGTGGCCCCTGCGGCAGATCCCCGCGATCTCCCCCCCTGACTCAGCACGCCCCCCCTCGGCACACACACACATGCGTGTGCCCGCAGCAGCAGGGCACAGGGGGCAGAGGGCATCCAAAATCGGCGGAAAAACCCCGGGACGAAAGCGGGGAAACAAGAGACCGGGGTCGCACCACCGGCAGGTTTCCCACGCCGACGCCTGTACGTGCGACTGGCACGGCGCGGTTTGGGCGAAGTAGAAGCGGTCGCCGTCGTAGAACACGGGCTCGGCGTTGTACGCGGCGATGCCCTGGGCGAGGAGCGAGAGGCAGGCGCCGGTGACCGCGGCGGGGACGCGGCCGTCGAGGCCCTCCACGAGGAGCAGGAAGAGCGCGGCGATGACGTAGTGGTGGAAGTGCGCGCGGACGCTGTACTCGGACGGGTCCGCCTCGGTCGCCACTGCACGCGCGCGGGCTCGGGCGTGGATATGAGAGAGGGGAAGAGAGAGAGGGGGGGGGGAGAAAGCGAGAGAGAGAAAGAAAGGTAGATAGGGAGAGACAGAGAGAGAGAGAGAGAGAGAGGGGGTAAGTGCGTGAGTTGCAGGGCTGGCGTTGATTTGTTTTGTTTGATCGTTTGTTGTTGCGTCGTTCGTGCAGAGCGCTTGCTGTCGGAACGCAAGGCATCGACGCCGCATCGCGCCGCCGCGGACGCCGCGCGACCCGGGCCGTCTGCGGGCGCGCACGGCGCCGGAGGGGACCCTGCGCCGGCGGCGCGGATCCGGCACGCCGGGGCCCGGCCGGCTCCGGGACGCGGCAGCGCGTCGTGCGGGCGGCGCGAGCGGGGCCGGAAACGCACCGAGGAAGATCGTGGTCGGGATGAGGTAGAACAGCGCCGCGCAGACGACGCGCGGGACGTAGAAGCGCCAGAAGTGCGCGCGCGGCAGCGTGCGGTGCGCCCGCCAGATCAGGTACGCGCCGACGCCCGCTGCGGCCGCGATGCCCACGCCGAAGATGGCAGCGGTCTCCGCGGACCACTGGTGGCTGTCGGCGACGCTGTGGCGCAGCGTGGGGACGTTGCCGAGGAACGACAGCGCCACGCCCGCGCAGAGGTACGCCGGCCAGAACCACGCCCTGCAGCGCGGCGGGCGGCGGCGGCGTGGCGGCGTCGGTGCCGCGTGGGCGGTGGGGCGACGTACGGCGTGCAAGAGGAGCGCGCTGCGGAGGTCGCCGCGGGAGTGCGGACACGCAGAACAGCGCGGGGCGTCCAGAGTGCGCTGTTTGTGCGTTGTTTGTGCAGAAATGCTACGTAATAATAATAATGCAATAATAATAATGCAATGTAATGTAATGTTCGTCATAATGTAATGTCACGTCGGCGCAGGGATCGCGCGCTCGGTGGGCCGGGGCCGGGCGCGCGCCTCTTCGTCCACACGAGGTACCACGCGCGTTTCTCCGCCGCGACGCCCGTCATCACCACCATGACAAACGTCCACCGCAGCAGCGCCGACAACGCGTCGAACGCCTCGCCCAGCTTCCACGCCTGCAGCCCGTCGTACGGAAACCCGGCCATCGAGACGCCCCGCAGCGCGAAGAAGTACAGCGCCTGCAGCGCCATCCACGCCGCGGCCACCAGCTGCATCGACAGATGCGGGTGTGCCATGCACTGACTCAGGGCGTCCGCGGCCCACGGCGGAACCCAGGCGGGCATCGGCCGCGGCGCGGCCCCCGCGGCAACGTCGCCGTCCTTCCGCGCGTCGGCGCCGCGCGAGCTCGGCGCGCCGACGTCGCTGTCGGTGCTGGAGTCGTCGCCGCGGGGGAGTTTTGGTGGCTCCGGGGGGGAGTCCGCGCCGCGTCCGCTCGCGGCGCCGAAGCGCGCGTGCGTGACGGGGGAGACGCACGCGGTGCGGCGGCCGCTGCTGTGGAGCGTGCCGGCGGCGTCGAACGGCGGGACGGCGACGGTGCGCGGCGGGGGAGTCATCGCGGGGGGAGTCCGGGGGGGAGTCTCGCGCCCCGGGGACGCGTCCGGCGTCGCGTCCTCGCGCGGTGCGGCGCCGTTGTCGGGTCGCGCGACTGCGGGGGCGTCGTGGCGGGGCGGGGCGTGCGTTGGGACAGTCGGGGGGGACGGAGGTGCGGGGAGACGAGAAATTGTGGTTGTTGGCTCGTGGGTTCAGTCGGGGGCCGAGCGGTTGCTGTGTGGATGGGCCGGGAGGGCGTGCTCCGCAGCGGCGGGTCGACCCGGCGCGCGAACGCGTCCTCCGCGCGGCGCACGATCAGCAGCGGCGCTGCGTCGTGCTTCCACGGTACTAAGCGCGCTGCCGCGCTGCCACTCGCGCTGCGCGTGCGTGGCCGGGTGCACCCCTCACGCGCTGCGTTCCGTCGCGCTGCGGCGCCTCAGGCCGCGAACGTCGGCGAATCTACATGCCTAGTAGCGTGAGCGGCCACGAGGCGCGCGTTCGGGGGCGCGTACGCGACGGGGGGGAGTGTGCGGGCTGGAGGTGGTTGATGGCCAAGCGTGCGAGTTGTGGCTGAGTCAGGGGCTCGGATTGCGATGCGCGGGCGGCGGAGAGCGATTGGGGGAGGCGGTAGGCGGGGTTTCGCGCACCTGGGGGGTCGATGCGAGGCATCGCGCCATCCATTGAGCCCGAGCCCGGCACGAGGTGCGGTTCCCGCGACGTCGACGACTCGCGAGCCTGCGGGGCGCGCAGGAAGTGATGTTTGGTGATTGATTTCGCCGTTCGGCCGGAGAGCGTCCGAAGAAGCGCGCGCGTCGCGGCGGTAGACCGAGGTGCCCAGCAGCGATGGGTGCACTGGCCCCGCCCAGTGGTCGCGGCACAGAACCCGCGCGGTCGCTACGGCGGAACCCACTAGTTTTATTCCCGGAATGCGCGTTCGCGCACCTGGAGCTCCGCCTCCGCAGCTCGCGGGCACGTTCGGGACGGACGGAAGCTGGTGCAGGAACAGGTGGCGGTGCCGAGCTGTGCGGCCACGAATTAATCCGTTCAATCGCCCTCGAGGAACGTCAATACAGCGGCAAGCGGCCACGCCGCCCGGCAACGCAGCGCCGCGCGTCAGCAGGCCGTGCGGATCCCCCGAGGGTACTCTCACACCTCCCGGGCCACAGAGGGGCGCTTTCGGCGGCAACCCGGACTTCAATGGCACGGCGAACCGCCCTCACTTCGAAACCTGTTCCAGGGATCGCCTGTTCGTAGCGGATTGAGGACCGTTCCGCTCTCTCAGAGACCCCCCGCGCTCGTTTGGGGCAACCACTGCACTAGGCAGTGGTTACCGGGCCCTGGGGACACCGGTCCGAGCCTTCCGCCGCGTTCCGCGGCGTGGAGGCCCGCAGAACGACGATGCCGTCTCGGAGGAAGGCCAAGCGGGGGCGGGAGGCCGCGGCCGCCCCCGGGCAGAGCCCCTCCCGGCAGAAGGCTCAACCGAGCCTCCCGTACCGCACGCAGCTGACTCAGTTCTGCGACCTGGCCGCCAAGTACGCAGGTAGATCTCGGAACACCCCGCGCGCGTTTCCGGCCTGAAAGGCCGCGGGTATGACGCGCTGCGCGCTCGTTTGATGCCTACGTGACAGGGAAAGGTCGTTTGCTGGCTGCAGCGCACGGGGAGGCGGAGCAGCCGCTGCAGGTGCGGTTCGAGGACGTGGAGGCCGCGGAGAAGGAGCCGGCGCACGTCGTCTGCCGCGTCCCGGCCGCGCGGCTCGCGCTCGAGCTGCCCCACCCAGTGGCGGGGTGCACGGAGACTGAAACGCTCGAGTTCCAAATCGACGGAGTCGAGGAGCACGGTGAGCGCGTACGCACCGCCGCTCGCACGTCGAGGACCGGCTCGCGCGCACGCTGGACGCGCTCGTGACGCCTCACACGGCGGCCACGACGACGACGCTTTTTACATAATTGATTAATTGCATAATTAATTAATTAGCACGCGCCGGCCCAATATGCAAAAGGGCGAGGTGTCGCCATGGCGAGAAGCCTCTTGTTGCCGTGCGACGCGCCGGGAGCGCGCACCGTCTCACGCGCGCTACCTCCGCGGCTCCTCGCACGCGAGAGACTGCCCCCGCGAAAGACGGAGTGTTGTCACCACCATGTTATTATGGTCACCATATTATGGTCCATATTGATAATAATATGTCGTGTGGCGTTGCGCGCAGGGCACGGGGAGTCGCGGAACGCGGCGGTGGAGGCGGCGTGTGCTCTCGGGGTGCAGGCGCTGCTCCGGTCGCCGGCGCTGGCGGGCCGGCCGGCCGTGAGCGTGCGCGAGGCCCTCGCACAGCTGGTCGAGCCGTACTGCAGGTGAGACCGCACGGCACGTGCACGACACACCCGGAAGGGGGGTGTTCGAGCAGCTCTGAGCACGCCGGGGGGACTCAAAGACAGGCCCCCCCTGACGTCCGATCGGTGCCACGGGCGGGAGACGCCGGGCGCGTGGTGCGGCACGCGGTGCTGGTGACGCCCGCGCTGGCTCGCACAGCCCAGCGCGCTCGTCGCGGTCACAGCGCGACCGCACCTGGGCCACACAGTCGTGGCCGCGATCGGGCAACAGGCACCTGTGTGTAGCAGTCTGCGTGCTGCGCGGTGGGGCGACGGCACAGCGAGCCGCGGTCTCCGCCCCACGCACGCGGCGCCTTGCTCAAACACGCGCTTGCGTCTCCGGGGGTGTCCTGGCGGAGCACGCCTGGCGGAGCACGGGCGCGTGTCGAGGGTCAGTTGACCATGTACGCAACGCGCACGAAGCCCTCGTTCCTCCTCGCCCGCCGCAACAGCCGCCGACGCTCGCTTTCGTGGTGCAGGGCCGTGAGTGCTGTCGACCTGTGCTACCTCCTGTGCGGCGCCGCGGTGGGCGCGCCCGGGGCGCCCCGCCAGTGGCGCTGCGAGACCCTGCGCGCCTGCATCGCCGACGGCACGGTGCGCGCCCACCCGCCGCCGCCTACACACCTTGAACTCCCCCCCTGCGCACAGACAACACGCCCGACGCCGCACCCCGCCGCCGCGCAGGCGCACTTCTCCGACTCGGACGACGCCGCTCCGACCCGGCGAGCCGTCTTCCCGATCGCGGCCTTCGCCTGGACTAAGGACGGCATCTCCTCGAAAGCGGTGCACCGATATTTATACGACCGGGCCGGGGGGGGGGGTCAAGCGCGCCCGGCCCCGCACGTCGTCGCCGCGCGCCTCGCGCGCACCCTCGCCGCCGAGCTCGCCGCGCCGCGGTTGTCCCCGGGGGGACTCGCGCTGCAGCGCCACCTCAACCTTCGGTTTTTATACGAAGAGACCCCCCCCGCGGCGACGCAGCCCGGATCCGTCGACCCCGCGTCGATCTACTGCGCGCTCGACCTCCCCGCCGCGTCGCCGCTCGTGGCCGAGGCCGCGGCGGGGGGGAGTGTGGAGACGTGCACCGCTGTGGTGGTGCCGTCCGACGCGCGGAGGGGGTGTGAGGAGGTGGCGGTGCGCGCGGGCCACGGGTGGACGTGGTGCGCGAGCGTGCTGTGCCAGGGCCGCGCGGTGCCCACGGACGTTGCGGCGCTTGGTCGGGCGGACCGGGGGGGGGGTGTCCGGATGCCGGAATGGGCGGACCTGACGTCGGTGGCGGGGGGGAGTGAGGGCGGCGGCGGCGCGGCGGGGGCGGCGGAGATGGAGTCGGATGCGCCGGGGGAGGGCGCGCGGGCGCGGCTGGCGACGGAGGCGGAGGGGGGGGTGTTGCGGGGGGTGTTGGGGGAGAGTGGGGCGCAGCGGGTCGGGACGGTGGGCGGGCCGAGCTTGTTCGTGTACGGCCGGCTGAGCGATGGGCTGGCGGCGGGAGCCGAGGGCGGCGGTCGGCGGGGGTATAACGCACGTGCGTCGCTGCTGATGCAGAGGGAGGTGTTTGGGGACGTCTTGGTGGCAGGTGCGGGGGGTGTTTTCGAGCAAACACGCTGCGCGCGCGGAAGGGATGCGCTGGCGGATCGAGACGCGTGCGTGCGCTCGCCGACCTGGTTATTCTGACAAGAGTGAATACAGTGACAGATATGGATTCTCGAATGAACTTGTGCAGGAATCGGGTACAAGAACTACGCGCAGGCGGCCGCGGACAGCCAGACCGCGGTCCTCGCGTCGAGCCCCGTCGCGGCGGCGAGCGTCCGGCTGCCGCACGTCCGCCTCGCGAGCCTCGCCGCGACGCCCGCGGCCGTCCTCAACAACGCGCGCGGGGGGGGGTGTTTCCTCCTCAGTCTGCCGGGCAAATACAACCCCCGCACGTGGGAGGGCCCCGCGCCGTCGGCCCTCCTCGACACGCTCCGCCGGTCCGGCCTCGCGCCCCCCACCGGCGATCCGTCCGACGGCGCCCAAGACTCCCCCCCCGACAAAGCAACGCTGACCGCCATGCAGGTCCTGAGCCTCCAGGCGCTGCACACCGCGGAGACCACCGTCGCGGCGACGCTGTCGTCCCTCATCGCCGGCGACGCAGTCGCGCACGCGTCGCAGACCGCCGCCGCCGCCGCCGCTGCGGACGCGCTGTGCGGGCTGACCGTCAACGACGACGCCGGCGGCGCCGCGGAGCACGCCGAGAGCGAGACCGTCCGCGACGGCGACCTCGTGCAGCTCGCGTACGTCGTCGCGGCCCCGCGGCGCACCGCGCAGCATCTCGCGCACCTGCTAGGGCTAGAGGAGCCGGCAGGGGACGCCGGCGGCGGGCTGGTCGTGCTGGAGCGCCGCGGGGAGGGCGTGGCGGTGCGCGCAGTGCTGTCGGCGCGCGACGCGGACGGCGCGGTGCCGGCGGAGGTCGCGGCGGCGCTCGTTGGACAGCGCGTGGGCAGCGTGGTGACGGCGGACCTGCCCGGGGCGGCCGTGGTGCTGGGGACGCCGCTCGCGGTGCCGGGGGGGTGTGTTGTGGCTGCGAAGGTGGTCGGCGTGGTGCGGCGCGGGGCGGCGCGCGAGGACGGCCCGCGGGCGCTGTTTGTGCCGCCGCTGGGGCAGCAGCGGTTGGCGATGGTGGCGGAGCGCGCGGCGGCGCGGGCGCGGGCGCACGTGGAGGCGGGGCGCGCGGGGGAGGAGTTCGTGGTCGTGGACGTGGGGTGCCGCGACGGCGGGCTCCTGGTGGTGCGCTTTGCTGCTTTCGCGCCGCGCGTGTTCACGCGCGCACAAGATCTCTGTTGTTTGTGCGTGACGTGCGGCGATGTGCTTGCCAGTACGCACGGCAGCTCGCTCGAGCTGTTTGAAGTCAGAAACGAAACCAGAGCTGCGTGATTTCTGTCCAAGAAAGCACCTGTTTGATTGATTTCCCGTACCTTCGCCTCGCAGGAGCTCCTCGAGCGCACCGCGGCCGTTCCCGGCCTCCGCCTGCGCTACCTCGGCGTCGACTCCAGCGCGCGCGGCCTCGCCGGCCTCCGCAAGCGCGTCGCCCGCCTCGCCGCGCAACAAAACACCCCCCTTACAGACCTCCCGCCCGACGCCGCAGCGCCCCCCGGCGCGCCGTGCTGGCACCTCGAGCTCCCAGCGCTCCGCGTCGCCGTCCTCGCGCTGCACGCGGACCTCCGGGACCCCGCGCTGCGCCACATGACGTGGCGCACACACCCCCCCCACTTCGGCGCCATGGTCGAGGTGATCGAGCACGTGCCGCCGCGGGACCTGCGCGTGGTCGAGGAGGTGCTCTTCGGGGCGCGGGGGCTGCGGCCGAGCGAGCTCGTGGTCACGACGCCCAACCAAGAGTACAACGCTACGCTGTGGGGGGGTGAAGAGGCGGCGCGGGGCCGCCGCCGCGACGACGGGCACTTCTTCGAATGGACGCGCGCGGAGTGCGCGGCGTGGGCGGCGCGCGCCGCGGCGCGCTGGGGGCGCGCCGTAGCGGAGCACGGCACCGTCGGCCGCGTGCAGGAGGCTGGCGGGTCGACGCCGGGCGGCGGGGGGGGCGGTGACGTCGGGGGCGCCTCGCAGTACGTCGTGTTCCGGCACGGCGAGCGCGGAGACGCGGCTGCGCTCGCCGCGAGCGACACTGCGTAGTTGTGCGTCCTGCGCTTTGGGCCCCGCAGCCACGCGGTTAGAGAGCGAGCACCGGCGCAGCTAGGCTTCCTGACGGTCGTCCTGTGGCAGGCAGGGACGTGCGCCACGAGGGGGAGCTGCGGGCGCGGCAGGGCCGCCGTGTTCGCGGCCTGTGAGGACGTGCGGTGCGCGACGCTCGCTGCGCGTGTTGGACCTGGCGCAGCTAGGGCGCAGGGCGCGCGCCCTGGTCCACAAGTGTAACGAACATTCAAACCGGAGGTCGCAGTGACCGAGGAAACGGGCGCCCGAGAGCAACGACGCGGTGGAGCACCCGCACGCAGGACGAGCAAGCCGCAGCGGCAGACGTCGGGGTGAGCCGCGGCCACTCTCAGACGTACACGGGTCAGATAACAGCACGGCGCACGTCAGGCTGCGCCCGACTCCCTGCGGCGTCTCCTTCATGAGGGTATAGCGCTAAAGAGGATTCCCGCCAGAGGGATCCCGCCCCCGGCGTCGCGTGGCTTTCGCGCGGACGTTGCGCCTAGAACGCCGCCACCTCGGGCGCCGAAGCCGCGCGGCCGCGCGCCGCGCGCCGCCCCGCAGCGACCGCGCCGACGACGACGTTCTCCTCCGCCTTCGCGTCCGACGACGGCACGTCGTCCGAGCTCGTCGACACGCGCGGCGGCGTCTCGCCCTCCGGCGCCTCGTCCGCCGCGGCTGCGCCCGCATCCAAGTCCGCCTCGCGCGCCCTGCGGCGTGCCATCCGGCTGATCGTCTGCGACACGAACGACTCCAGGGCCTGGTAGTTGCGCTCGAACTGCTTCACGAAGCCGTTCATCGCGGTGTTCGCCCGCTGCGCCACCTCCTGCTGCATGTCCCCCCGCATCATCTTTCCTGCCAGCTCCTCGCCGCCGCGCGCCTGCGAAGCAAACCGCCGCGAAACCGCCGCAGCTAAGCGCCCCGCGCCCTCGCAGACACCGCAGCAGCCTAGCTGCGGCCACCGCGGCCCGCCAACGCACGCACCGCGGCGTGCAAAAAGGAAAAACAAAAGCACCAACAACCACCGTTTCGCGACTCAGGGCGCACCATCTTGTTCATGTTCGCGAGGATGCCGTTCCGCATGGCCTCGAGGCGCGTGCCCACGAGCCGCTGCTGCTCCCGGACATGCCTCGACAGCTGACGTACGTTCTCGGAGGCCTGCAGCCTCTTCTCCCTGCTCCACGACACGTTCAGGTCAGACCGAGAGTACCCCCTCTTGAGGTTGCGCATGACGTAGTCGTTGTAGTCCCGCACGATGCGCAGGATCAGGTCCGACGTGGAGACGCCCTCCGTGCGCTGCGTTTCGTAGAAGCGTCCCATCTTGCGAAGCGGTTCGTACACGTCGCCCCCGCCGGCCTGCCCCGACGCGTCCGCGTACGGCAGCGCGTCGTGGGCGACGTAGTCGATGTTGTACTTGTCGAGGAAGTCGTTGTTGATCACCCACGGCACCTCGGACGGCTCCACGACCTCGTCCACCCACCGGCAGTGACGCACGCTTTCCAGCCTGCACAGACGGACAGGTGCCGAGGTCGGTGCTGCGCCGGGATGGTTCGAGGAAGGGCTTGCCGTGCGGGGGGTCGCGGCGGCGTGGGGCGCGGCGGCCGGGCGCGGAGCGGGCGTTTTGGCCAGGCGCTGTGAGGCCCGCGGCGGCGCCGCGGGCGGCGTGTTGTCGGCGGCGGGCGGCGCGGGCGGCGCACCGCTCGGCCTCGTTCATGACGGACTTGCCCTTGTACGCGCGCGTGTCGCGGTCCGAGCACACGCCCACAATGAGTGTGGTGTTCGGAAACGACTTCTTCGCCTGCTCCAGGGCCTTCGCATGCCCGAAGTGGAACATGTCGAACACGCCTGCGGGCACAGCGGACCGGTTCGCGCCGTCAGCGCGCGTCCTCGGCGCCGTCACGCCCCGCCCCGGGCGCTCAGACACCAGGCGGGCACGAGCCCGCGCCGCAGGGCGCGTCCGCGCGGCCGCGCACGCGTTCCGCGGCCCAGGAGCCTTCCTACTGAGACGGAGGAGGACGGAGCGGTGCGGTGCGAGCGGCGGAGCGCGTGGCGCGGCCGGGGCGGCTCCCGCGCCCAGCGGAGGTGATGTGTCCCCCCGCGCCGCGGATCTCCCCTCGTGCGCGCAACTGCGCTCGGAAACGCGCCATCTACGCTGCGTGCCGCGCGGAGGGCGCTCGCGGGGCCCGCGCCGCCGCGGCGGCCGACCGTCGCGCGCCTGTGCTGCACCCCTGTGTGCACCCCCGCGCGCCGCACCGGGGCCCCGGCGCGCGCTCTCCGCCGCGGAGAAACCTCAGAGAGCGCGCATGCATGGCGCGCAGCGGCCGCATGCGCCCGAGGGGGCGCGGCCGCGGGCGGCGCGCGCTCCGTGGGCCGGCGCCAACCGCGCACCAGGTGCGAGCGCAGTGCGTCGCTGGGGCGCGGCGGCCCGGCGGCGCGCCGGATGCCGCGCAGGCCGTTCTGGCGCGTGCGGGCGCGCCGTCCGTCGCGCACCGCGCCCGGCCGCCCCGGCGCGCCGCAGGGCCTGCGCTGTGCAGTCCTGGGCGGGCGCGCGCGCTTACCGTCGGCGTACACCCTCACGGGGCGATTCGAGGGGATCTTGTAGCCGCCGAACATCGTCGTGGGCTCGTCGCTCGCCCGGCCCGTCGCCGGCGTCGCCGTCACGTCGTCCGGTCGAAGGCACGTCCGCTTCTTCGCCCCCTCCGACGCCGCGTCCTCCGCGTCCATCCCGGCATGGGACCGCGTCCGCCGCACCATCGCGGCACGGCTACCGCGCCGCGGGTCCCCGAACCCGCCCTGTCGCCCGCGCTGACGACGTGCCGCTGCTCGCTCCGTTTGCCACTGCTGTGTCCGCGTGACGCTGCCGCTGCGGGGCTTCCAGAGACGCAGCTGATCGTGGCGCGTAGGCACCGTGGGTCTGCGCGCGGCGCGCGCGCACGCGGGCGCACGGAGGCCCGGGCCGCGGCGCAGGTGGGAGGTAGAAGTTTCGTGCAGTGAGCTAGCCACGCACAGGGGGGTCCGCTGTGCGTCCTGGCCGCCTCGATGCGAGGGCTAGCGCGCGCCGCGCGCCATACTTGGCGAGCTCGAAGCGCTGCGGGACCGACGAGCGGCGCTCGGCCTGAGATAGGAGAGAAATCGCGCGAAACTCAATCGGAAAAGCACGACTGCTGCGGTTCCGGCGCAACCACCGCTCCAGGAACGCTCCACCGGGGCTTTCTCGCACCGCAAGGGCACACCCCGCGTCCTCCCGCGCTCTGCGCCGCGACACGATGTCCGCAGCCGCCTGCAACGCCCTCTCCGCGCGTGGACCTTCCTGCGCCAGGAGCGCTCCGCCCGTCCGCCCCGGCGCCCGCAAGGCCCCGCGGGCGCCCGCGGCGGCCCCGCGCTGCTGCTCCAGCGAGCACGAGTGCCGCACGGAGCCCCTCGGCGCGCGCCAGGCCCCGTCCGCGGCCCCAGTCGTCGCCGCGCTGGCCGCGCTAGCCCTCCTGGCCCCTGGCGCGCCCGCGCTGGCCGACGAGGCGACGCTCCGGGCCCCGGCGCCTACGATGGACGTCGCGGAGGCCGCGCAGGGCGACGCCATGCCCACCGCCAACGGCCCGGCTCCCGGTGGCAAGCCCTACACGCCAGGCACGGCCCCTCCCGCACTCCCCCCCGCAAGTTATGCACCGTATTTCGCGCACAACGCTCTGCGTTCTACCCCTCTACGCTCATAAAAAAAAAAACAGATATATCCTTCGCCGTTGCTCTTGAATCGCGAATTTCCGACTCACAGCTGCACACAAGGCCGCCCCGCCGCGTGCGCGCAGGCCAGTTCGAGCCCGTCGCGCCGCCGTCGTGGCAGATCTGGTTCGGCGCCGCGATCGGCGTGTTCCCCTTCATCATCGCGTCCTATGAGTTCGGGAAGCGTATCCTGATTCAGCGGCGGTGTCAGCGCTGCGAGGGGTCCGGCCTCGTGCCGTCGAGCCGCGTGAAGGAGCGCCTCGTCAAGTGCCCCGAGTGCGGCGGCTTCTTCCCGTGGCAGTCGTGGAGCCGCTTCTTCGAAGCGAACGCGCCTGGGCAGGTGGGCAACGGCGGGCCGCTGCTGCAGCCCCGGGGGCAAACGTCGGTGTTCTACAAGGTGCCGCCGAAGCCGGAGGAGGGCGCGAAGCGCGAGGTGAGCGCGGGCGCCGGCGGGGACAAGTCGGAGAGCAGCTAGCGGCGTGAAGGTGTGTGCTTGCAGCGGGGCGCCGCTGGCAGCGCGGCAGGGCGCCGTGCGCCGCGGGAACGGGCCGCGAGGGGGCGCGGGGCGCGAGTCCACGCCCTCGGCTGCTCCAGCCACGTTTGTGAACATCAGTTACTTACGACAGTCGTGAAATTATGAAACTGTACACGCGTCACACAACGAAGGGGGGTGAGGTTTCGTTTGCTGCCCGCGCTACTGGCTCGAGAAGCAGCTCGGGCACGCGGCTCCGGCGGGCGGCGCCGCGGCCACGCACGCGCAATGCGCGGCCCAGCACTGGAAGTGCCACGCTCGGCCGCACCAACACTGCACGCTCAGGAGCGTAAACACGCCGCACGAGACGCACAGCCCCGCGCCGCAGCCCGCCGTCCACGGCGCCAGCAGCACCGCGCGCGCCTCGCCGCCAGACACCCCCCGCCAACCCTCTACATCTCCTTCCTTGTTGTCCTGGATACTACTATCCCGACACCACCGGGGGGGGACTGACACCACCGAGGGGGGCTCCGGAACCGCCGCCGCCGCCGCCTCGTCCTGCGCCTTCCCAGGCGTGTCGGCATCGGCGTCGTCCGGCCCGACCAGGTCCCCGATGGCCGCGCAGGCGATGTCGGACAACACCTGGGGACAGCTTTCCTCCGCAGCGCTCCAGTACGCACGGAGGCAGGCCGCGCGACGTCCTTCGTCGCGCAGGTCGACGCCGGGACACGCGATCAGCAGCCGCGCGACGTCCGCGCGCCCGCGCTCCAGCGCCACCCGCAGCGCCGTCCACCCGCGGCGATCCTTCGCGTTCAGCAGTTCGTTGAACATCGAGGGCACCTCCGCGCCGCCCCGCAGGACCGCCGCGACGACGTCGACCGGCGCGCTCTCCGCGGCCGCGTGCAGGCACGTCCGCCCGGCCGCGTCCGCGGCCCCGATCGCGGCCGCGTGCAGGCACGTCTGCCCGGCCGCGTCCGCGGCCCCGATCGCGGCCGGCGCCCGCGCCAGGATCGCCTGAACTGCGTGTGTGTTGCCGTGCCGTGCCGCGTACAAAATCGCGGTGGCGTCTTGCTTGTCCCGGGCGAGCACGTCCGTGCGCGCGTCGTGCACAAGGAGGTCGACGGTCTCGAGGGCGCCCGATGCGATCGCGGCCATCAGCGGTGTGGTGCCGTCGTCGGCGTCCGCGGCGTTAATGTCGACCCGCGCGTCGCGCACGAGGTGCACGACGGCGTGGCGGTGGTCGCGGACCACCGCGTGCATGAGCGCCGTGCGTCCGGAGCTGTCCCGCGCGTTGACGTCGAAGTCCCGTTCGTGCAGGACCAGCTGCAGCACTACCTTGCCGCGGCCGTCCTTGCAGGCCGCGATCAGCGGCGTCATGCGCGGATCTTCGCGCTGCAGCGCCGCGATGGCGCAGGAGCCTCGCTGCGGACCGCGTGCGCCCGCCGTCGACGTCCGTGCTACCGGAGCGGACCCGAACTGCGTTCGCAAATGCGGCGAGGGGCGTGTGTTTGTATTGCTCGCGATCGCGGACGCGGAGTGCCGGCGCCGCGGCGCTCCGGTCGAGCAGGCGCCGGCCGGTCGCGAGCACGAGGCGGCGCGGGCGATTCTGCGCCAATCGAGGAAACACGAATGCCGCTCCGCGCGTTCACTCGACTCGACGCAAACACACACACTCGCCTGCGCGCGGCGGATGGCCGCGGCACCGCGTGGCCGGGACGCGGGCGCGCAACGCCGGAAAACCTTCGCGCAACAAGTGCCCGCGCCGCCCCGATCCGTCCCCTGTTGTTGTAGCCACCGGATCGTCCGCGGATGATTCCCTATTATACCCTATGGTTATACCCTGACGTTCTACCCAGGTTGTGGTGCCGAGCACCCACGCCCCCCCGACCGCACACTCCGCACGCAGAGTAGTAATTGACCACCCGCGCACGAAACGAAATGCGGGTGTGCTATCGTCCTGATCAAGGCGGCAGCGTGCTAGGAGTACTCGCGCGAAATGCCATGTGAGCGTGCCATCATGTGCCAAGGGAAGGCTCTGACCTGCAATCAGTTAGAGTGAGTGGCGGGCGTCGTCAGCAACAACGCGGCGAGCCGCGCGAGTACTGGACGACGCCCGCCAGCCGACGCGCCGAAGTGCTGGTCCACGTCCTAGGCTGCTTGTACCAGGGGGTGTCGGCAGCCGGCTGGGTGACAGCGGTGACTGAGTCTGCGGCATTGTCCGCGTTGTGTGGCGACGCGCCGACGGCTACTCAGCTCTCCTCGTCATCGCCGTCCCCGCGCGTGGCCTGTCATGCGAAAAGGGATCATACCTCGGTCTAGCGGCCACGGAATACGCGCATGGCCAACATGTCAACATCGGGGGGGTAACAGAGTGCGTCATGTGTGCGGGCATGGCTGGATAGTTCCGAGCCAGCTTCGCAGCGCCGGGATCATGTATGAGGGTGACGAGTTGCAGGGCGCCGGGCACGCCCTGTCAGCAGGTTGGCCAGTATGGTCTGCAAACTGCACGTGGCGACGCACGAGGGCAGCCAGGCCCGCCGGCGTGGCAGGGCCAAAATGCGGGCTCGGGTGCGTCCGGCAGGCGGCGCGGTGGATCGCCAGGACCTGTCGCATGCAGTAACCTCGATGCGTACGCATGTAGCGCATCATGGCCGACATCTTGGCTACGTAGCTGTCGCGGTCAGTCACCTCGCTGGACACGCGGATGTGTTCGGTGCGGACGATGTTGTAAAGGTGTCGTCGCAGCAGCGCACACGAAGCGTGGGGGTACTGTATGAGGTGAATGTTCTCAGGAAACAGACCGCGTTTGTCATAGTGCGAGATCAGGAGGAAGCCCTGATATTCGGGATGCGGACGCACGCGGAGGTCTAGGAAGGAGACACCGTCGAGCGGGTTCGCTGGGGCGTCAAATTCGACCTCAAGACAGGGGGGGTACATGTTATGTATACCAGAGATGAGATCTACGATCGACGACGGGGTTTCGGGGGGCGGGGTGGGGGGGCGGGGGTGGGTGTTGAAGTAGCGGTACAGTGCGTTCGCGAGAGAGAAATTGTCGTCGATGTAGCGCCTGGAATAACGGAAAGACCCCAAGACCTTCAGCCAAGCGACGTCGCCAGTGCTCAACCAGCGGTCGCGAAACTGGCAGAGGAACGCGAGCTCATGCCGGAACATGTAGCAGTTCGCGAGGTGGGGGGAGGCCGAGAGCCCCATGGGCACACCGCAGGTCTGGTGATATACGACGCCCCCGAACACCACGTAGGCGCGTTTGACGAGGATGTGCACGAGACCATGAAGTTGCTCGATGCTCGGTGCCCATTTCCCAACCATGCCGTCCGCGTCCGGCAGCTGCGCCACCCACCACCACGTCTCCCTCGCGTCAAACGCGGGTTGCAAGTCGATCAGGAGGTGTTGCCCTGGATGCAGTGCAAAAACAGCGTCGATGTGTTCGATGACGCAGTCGATGAGGCCGGTCCCGTGGTCCGCGCTCGTCTCGTGCCGGATGTGCGTGTAGAGCCGCTTGATGTCGGCGCCCAGCAGCAGAGGTGGTTGTTGAGCATGTATCGCTGAGCGTGGTGGGTTGTCATGTAGATACGCGGTCACCATGTCACGCATGCCGCGGCTGGAGTCCACCAAGAAGGGCGCGAAGCTGCTGCAGAGGTCCTCCGGGACGCCGTCGAAGATGGAGCTCCAGACCTCCACGAGGGTGGCGTGGCACATGAGCGCGCCGAGGGCCTTCGTCAGCAGCTGCGCTGCGGGGCGCGTGATGTCGCTCGAGCAGTCCGAGATGTACCGCACGTCCACCTTGGCCTTGTGAAGCTTCATCGTCCCGTAGTAGTGCGGTAGACCACCGCACTCGCGTTCGGTGCGTATTCCTGGTAGCTGCAGGTTGTCCAACATAGCCTCCGTCGTGTTAGCGACGTTCACCACGTGCCTGGCATGCGTGATGTTGGCATTTGCCGGCTCGTTGACAGCGAAAGCGTCGTTGCTGTGCAGGTCGTGCAGGAGGACCTCGATGTAGGCGCGCCGACACACGAAAACCAAATTCCCGGCGTTCTTGTCCATGGTCGTGATGGTGAGGCGTGTCGCGTCTCGCCGCAGAGCCACGCGATCGTCGGGCTGAATGTCCGCCAGCGGCGGGGGCCATGGAAGGCGGAACCCGGGTTGAAGAGCGGGTTGGAGTGCCGTTTGCGTAGCAGCAAGTATAGCATCAATGTACGGCATGCACGCTGCCGCGTCCATGTCGGCGGCCTTGCTGACGCGTTTCGTCCACCCGAGCAGCGGCTTCTGGTAGGCTTCAACGATGCTAGCTACGGTCGCGCTCGTGGCTTGGTGCAGCTCCGGGACGTGTCGGTGCTTGGCACCGCCGACGGCGAACAAACGGCGGTACGCGGTGCTCTGGATGCCCGCCGCAGCAGGGTCCAGCGTGCAGAGGTGCCGCACAGGCTCGCCGTCGATCTGCCAGTAGGGGTCCTCGAGCGTGAAGTGGCGTCGTAGGTCCGGTCCTTGGTGTTGCGCACAGTCGCACTGCGTCGCCATGATGTCGTACAGGCGACTGCGTGCAAACTTGGCAACTCCGCTGTGCGTGCACACCGAGCGCGACAGCGGTGGAAACCTGACCGAATAGCGCGGGGCCACCAGAAACAAGCCATCCATACCTTCGCGGATACGCTCAGGTAAGAGGTTGAGAAAGTCATCATTATTGACGAGGGTTTCGAGGGGGGCGAGGCTAGCCAGGGGGGTAGGGAAGTCGTGGATCATGAGGGTACGGCTCCCGAGGTCGATGTCTGCGACGGGAGGGTAGTGGTGGTTGATGGCGGCCTGCAAAACGGTGCGGGCACTGTCCAACATCTGCTGTGTGTAAAAGGGCTCGTCGAGACCCAGGTTAAGCGCATCGGGATGCATGTGCGACACGCAGTGATGGAGGGAGAAGAGGTATTTTCCGATGTTCGCTGCCGTGCAATGGTTCACCGCGCGTCTCCAATGATCGTGCTCTGTGTCGCCGGCGCGGCGGAACAAAACAACGTCAAGAAGGAGGCGAGTCTGGTAGATATACTCGCGTGTACCGAGGCGCGGAGACATGCCTGCGATAGCGGGGGGCAGGGACAACGCTGGTGCCGTAGTTGTGAGGCAGTTGTCAGCGTCGAGGTGGATGGTACGTTGATGCGTGGAGGAGATGGCAAACGTTGGCTGGAAGAGGGTCGCCAGCGCTGGGAGCCCACTCGGGCCGGGCGGGACGGGGAAGTCGTTGTGGGGGATCGCTACGGGGTGGGGGTCAGCGGCGATTTGGAACGCCAGGGGGGATAGAGGCCATGGGGCAGCATCAGAGTGGCCAGCTCCGTAGCCGAAATTCCACATGCCCTTGCAGTAATTGAGGCCGCCGGGGTATGTGGAGCCCAGACAGCGTATCATGGTCTGCTCCCAGGCCAGGGAGTAGGTGCGGAACTTGTGGAACCAGGCCTTCAAAGCGTCCGGGCTAGTCGCCGGCGGGATGGGCACCTGGCGTGCGAAATTGATGCGAAAGAGGGGCACGATGGTGAAGTCGCGCCACGGGACATGGCCGTTCGGCGACTGCGCCCACACTCGTCGCATAAACTCGTAAAGCGGGGTGTGCACGGCGTTCGGATGGTGCGTGAATGCTGCATCAAAGTGCTCCTGCAGTCGTTCGATCGCTGTGCGGTATGTCTCCCCGACATAGTAAAAGAAGGGGTATTTCCGGCACAAGAGGACATAGACAACCCCGCGCGCCGCAAGCGGGGGGTTTGCCGTGACCGATGGTAGCGCGGCGAGGTCCGAGAGCGCCGGCGGGGGCGGTGGGAAAGGAGCGCTCGGTGGGGGGCACGGGTGCGGGTATGCGGGCGCCCGTTCGTCGCGGGGCACGTAGTCCCAGTAGGGTCGAGGGGCTAGTGCGGAGGCGGGGTGGGAGGGTGTGTGGTGGGGGCTAGGAGGGGGCCAGGCACGGGGAGATGCCTGCGGAGCAATAGCGGCCGCGATGCGGCGTGCGTGCGTGATGCTGGGTCGAAAGTTCGGGTCGTGGTCATTTAGATTTGCGACATGGTGGAACAGGGTGCCATTCGAAAGGTGGCCACGCAGCGTGCGCGCCTCGGCGGTGCCGGCCTGGTCGCTGAGACGCAACGCTGCTTGGAGCCGTTTCCTCCGTCGGCGACCGATTGGAGTGCGCATGGTGAGAGGTTTTGGGGGTGAAAAGAGGGTGGTGTGCGGAACTAGACCGAGGATGCAGTAATCAAGCCACGACGGGAGGGCGACGATGACGGGGAGAGCTCTACCTAAGTTGCGCGTTCCTAGCACGCCGGGCGGTGAGCCACGGACGTGAGACGGCGGAGTCAGTTAGCCGGAGGCAGGCTCGTCTACGCCGACGGTTGAAGGCCGGAGTAGGGAGGTAGCTCTCAGCTGGCACTGCGCCAAAGCCCCATGTTCGAGGCCCGGCGCAGCACAACACGACACACAGAGTAGTAATTGACCACCCGCGCACGAAACGAAATGCGGGTGTGCTATCGTCCTGATCAAGGCGGCAGCGTGCTAGGAGTACTCGCGCGAAATGCCATGTGAGCGTGCCATCATGTGCCAAGGGAAGGCTCTGACCTGCAATCAGTTAGAGTGAGTGGCGGGCGTCGTCAGCAACAACGCGGCGAGCCGCGCGAGTACTGGACGACGCCCGCCAGCCGACGCGCCGAAGTGCTGGTCCACGTCCTAGGCTGCTTGTACCAGGGGGTGTCGGCAGCCGGCTGGGTGACAGCGGTGACTGAGTCTGCGGCATTGTCCGCGTTGTGTGGCGACGCGCCGACGGCTACTCAGCTCTCCTCGTCATCGCCGTCCCCCGCGCGTGGCCTGTCATGCGAAAAGGGATCATACCCCCCCGACCGCACACTCCGCACGCACACCCGGCTCCACGGACCAGTAAACTCACACCCGGCCCGCACGCACGCACGACGACACACCACCGCACATCGGCTACGCAGCCAGCAATCCCGTCTCGGCCACAGAGCGCACTCGCCGCGCCCGCCAGCGCGCGCCCGCCACACTCTGGTATCGTTCTCCGCCCTCACCGCGCGCTTCTGCGCGTCGATTCCCCCACCTAGCCGCGCAACAGCCCCGTACACGCCGTCGCTAGAAGCCCCCGCCCCCGCGCGCCGCGCGCCCGCGCCGTCACGTTCCGCTCAGCACCAGCGACCCGCCGCGCTGCGCGGGGTGCGGCGCGGACGCGGCCACGGCCACCGCGGTCGTCTGTTGCTGCGACGACATGCACGTGAAGTGGAGGAGCTTTCCGTCGGGAAACGCCGCGAACGCCGCGACGCCGATGCGCTTGTTGCAGCGCCAGCACGCGCGCTCGGAGGTGAGGCGGACGTGCTGCGCCTGGAGGCGCGAGCCCTCGGACTGGGCCTTGAGGGCGAGGGCGCGGCGCAGACCGAGGACGACGCCCATGTTGCGGCGCTGCTCCGCGAGGCCCGTGACCATCTCGTGGAGGAACGGGAGGACGCGCTGCGGGGCGGGGGGGCGGGGGGCGGCGCGTCGGCGTGCAGGAGCTCGGCGAAGGGGGACGGCGAGTCCTTCATTATATCATATCGTGCAATGCAATATCATACAAATGGTATTCTGTGATGTTGTGGTGTTGTTTTGATGGGCGTACCTCGAGCGGGACCTCCCGGGGCAGCATTTCCACCACCTGCGCGGGGTCCATGAGGTGCGCGCGGTGCCGCACCAGCTCCACCGCGCGCGCGACCGCCTGCTCCGGCGCCAGCCGCCGCCCCTCGACCCCCGACACGCCCACGCCTCCCGCAGGCCCCCCCTCCCCCACACCGCGCCGAATCGCCTCGTCCGCGGGCTCCAAGTACACCCGCAGCAGCGCCATGTGGATCCGCAGGTCCGGGTCGGACCCCACACCCCGCTGAGACCCCCCCCCGGTCCAAACCACGGCGCTGCGAGCACGGTATCCCGCCGCGGGTCCAGCTCGACCGGCGCGGGGCCCACGAGCAGCGACGGCGCCACGCGGAGGACCTTGACCGGCGGCGGCGCGGGCCCGATCGCGCCGTTCCGCCGCGGGACCTCCGCAGGCGACGCGGGCGGCGGCGCGTGCGCCAGCACCGGCATCGTCGTCGCGGTGCCGCGGACCATCCGGTGCAGGTACTGCACGTTCGCGGCGGTTGCGTCCGCGACCGCGAACGGCTCGTCGGGCAACACCCCCCCCGCGCGAGCCGCCCGCGCGCGCGGCGGGGACGGCGTGCGCGGCGCGTCCGCCCCGCCGCCGGCCCGCGCGCCGCTGTCGCCGCCGCGGTGCCGGAGCACCGCCTGCTGGAACAGCACGTCCGCCCAGCGCTCCGCGGCCCGGGGATCGCCGAGGCCGTACACGAGCTCCTTCAGACCCTGGTCGTGCCGGCCGGTGCGCAGCAGCACGATCGCGCGCTCCTCGGCCATGCCCGGCGCGTGGAGCATCGTCATCGTCTGCGCGAGGTCCACGTGCGGCGACGCCATCAGGAGCGCCTGCAGCCGGCGGCGGGCCTCGGGCGCGTCGACGCCGCCGTCGGCGTCGCCGTCGCTGTCGCCGTGCGGGCCGCTGAGGCGCCGGACGTACAGGAACGCGAGCTCGGTGTCGAACGCCGCGCGCGACGCGGTGCCGCGCGCCACCGCGGCCTCGAGGTACGGCAGGCACAGCGCGGGGGCGTGCGCGCGCAGGTGGAGCAGCGCCTCGGGGGGGGGGATTTCCGGGTCCAGCGAGAGCAGCATCTCGAGGCCGGCCTCGCGATCGCGCTGCGCAGCAGCAAAGCAACGGAACCACGCGCGTGAGGAGTCGCATCGCACCATCGCACACGCACCATCGCTCGGCGCCCAGCGGCGCCGCACGGCACACACAGCGACGGCACTACCTGCAGGATCCACGCAGACGCGTCCAGGAGCTCCCGCCTGTGCAGCTGCCGCCGCACCGTCAGCACGTACCGCACCGTCGCCCACACGCCCGGCATGCCCGCGAGGCACGCCGCGGGCCCCGTCGGCGGCGTCTCCAGCGCCGCGGGCTCCTCCGCGAGCGTCCGCAGCAGCGACAGCGCCCGCCGGTGCTCCCTCCGCTGCCGATACACCTCTATCAGCTCACTGTACAGTCCGCGGCCCGCCAGCGCCGCCACGCAGTCCGCGGGGCTCGCGCAGTTCGGCCCGCGGACGAACCGCAGGAGGCCGCCCGCGTCGCCCAGGTCCAGCATGATCCCGAGGATTGCGGTGTCCACCAGACACGCCCAGCCGTCGTCGGTGCCGAGCAGGTCCCCGCGCGACAGCTCCTGCTCGAGGGCGCCGAGCGTGAAGGTCTTCTCGAGCAGGACGGGCCGCGCGGCGTCCTCGCCGCTGCGGCCGCTGTCGGACGCCGCGCCGCTGCTGCTGCTCGCGGAGTTGTACCCGTCGAAGCGCGCCTGGGCGAGCTCCTTGCACTTCAGGCGCGAATTGAAGCTGTGCAGGTAGGGCAGGAGGCGCCGCAGGAGCTCCTTGTGGTCGTGCGCGGAGAGGGCGCGGGCGAGTTCCCACACGGGGGCGTTCGGGGCGTCTGGAGTCCCCCCGGGGGTGTCTTGGGGGGACTTTCCCGGGCTGCGGCGCGGCGTGCGGCCGCGGAGCACGCGGTCGAGCGCGGACGGGTGCTGCGGCGGCGTCGACGGCTCCGCGGGCGACTCGCTGCCGGCCGCGGGGGGGGCGTGTTGCGGCGCGGGCAGCGACACCCTCTGCGCGGGACGCGCGCGCTCCCGGCGACGCCGGCCGGTCGTCGACGGACGACGCGCCCGCGCCCTTCGGCGCGCGCTCCGCCGCGCCGCTGCTGCGCCCGCGCGCCACAGGCGTCCGCGGCTCCGCCTCCGCGCCCGCAGCGCAAGTGAACGACGCGAGCGTGCCGAGGCCCTCGAGCATCGAATCCACGACGGCGACGAGGTCGCTGTGGATCTCGTCGCGCATGCCGGACGGCAGCAGCGCCGGAAACACCGCCAGCAGCGGCCGGGGGTCCGGGAGCGATGCGGTGCACAGATGGTGCAGCCCGAGCTCTCGCTGGTCTTCGGGCGACCCCGCGCCGTCGCTCCGGTCCGCCGCGCACAGAAAGTGGTACCCCTGCATCATCTCGAGCGCCTTCTCGAGCCGCCCGCGCGCCCGGACGCCCGCGTGCACAACGGCGCCTGCGGGGCGCGCCGCGTCGCCGCCCGCCGCGGGGTCGTCGCCGTCGCCGCGGCCGTCGGGCCGCAGCGGCCCGTGCGCGCCGTCGTCGCCGGCGTGGAACTCCCCCCGCGCCACTGACTCAGGCCAGTCGAGGAACGACAAAAAGGCCCGCGCGAGATCGAACGACCGGACGCGCGCGAGGTCGCGGACCTGGTCGATCGCGGGCCGCGCGTGCAGGTGCAGCGCGCCGCGGAGGCCCGGGAGCGCGACGCTGACCGACAGCGTCCCGGCGTCGGCGCGCGACACCGCGGGCGGGGCGTTCGCGGCAGTCCCCCCGGGGAGCGGCACGGTCTGCACGCGCGCGAAGTTGAGCGCCGGGTCGCGGTTCCGGACTTCGACCGCGCTCGCGGTCACCGCGAGCAGGAACGGCCCGCGGCACGCCACTGCGAGGACCGGCTCCGGGAGCGCCGCGCACACCCGCAGGAGGCGCCCGCGCGGGGTCATGGCGTAGACTTTGTCGTCGACGGCGACGTAGAGGTCGCCGGCGGCCGAGACGGTCGTGGCGGAGGGGCTCGAGGGCGCGCGGTAGTTTGGGACGCGAACGGCGCGGGCGTGCTTGGTGCCCAGGTCCAGGAGACATAGCTCGCGCTTGAGAGCCATGCAGACGGCGTCGCCGGTGATCTGCGGGCGGGGGACGCGGGGCGCGGCGTGGGGGGGGGCGCGGGCGGCGAGCCGGAGTTCGAGCGCGGCGGGAGATATCGGTTTGATATGTGATGGCGCATCGTTGGGTCTCGATCGATCGACCGTGGTGGACAGCGCGCGGTGTGGCGCGCGGCGCGCGCCTCGATGCCGTAGATCCAGTCCGGCGCTTCGACCACCGCGCCGCGCTGCGCCCACGTCCAGTTCTCCGTCAGAGGCCCCCCGCTCGGGTGTGCTGCGTCTCCCGGGGCTGCCGGCTCCAGCACCGCCTCTGGATGGAACACCAGCAGCGAGCGCCGCACAGCCACGGCCAAGGTCTGCGCGCACGAACCGGCGCACACAGACAAGACCTCAGAGCGGGTCGCGGCGCGCAAACTGCGGTTGTGCACCAGCGGGCGCGTACTCGCAGCGCTCACCTGCCGCTCGCGGTCCCACGCGATGCACTGCGCGCCTTTCGTGCCCGGCAGCGCGTCCGCGCAGTCGAAGCGGACGTTCTCGGCGGATTCCCGGCGCCGCAGAGGCAGCACGCCGTCCGCGGTGAGCGCTAAGACCAGTCCGATGGTGGTTCCAGCACACACGAGCTGCCGCGCGGGTCGCCGCGTGGCGGCCTTCTGCGTCGCTCGCAGGCGCCACCGCGGCGCGCCGGGCAGGTCCGCCGGGCCGCGCCATTCCGCCCACCTCGCAGCGAGCGCGCGGCCGCCAAAAGGGATGTTTGCCGGCAGCGGGGACTTGTCCGGGGTGGTTGCTGCGGGCGAGACGGCGTCTGGCGTCTCCCCCGGCGGAATCCGGGAATACAGGGCGAGCCCGCAGTCCTCGAAGGACGCGAGGAGGTCCGGGCCCACGCTCTCGATCGCCAGCGGCTGCGGAACGGAGAACAAACCACCTGGTGCGTGGGAACCCGGCCTCCGCGCCGCGTCACGCGTGCGTGCAACCAGCTCCAGCATGCCCCACGCCGTCATCCAGGTACCCTCCAACCCAGCACCGCCGGCTCCGGCACGGCGCGTCCCCAGTTGCGAGCAGAAACGGCACATCAAGTCCTTCGGAGCAGTCTCACGCACCCTCAGGCTGCTGCCCTGCGCAACCTTCTCCGGCTCGAACGCCCGGTGGCTCTCCATGCTTCTCCCCCTCTCAGCGCTACGTCGTCGCCGCCCCGCCTCCCCTGCACTGCGCCACTATCGCACCTTTCCTCTTCCTACGCAAGCTCCAGGCCTCCGAGACGCGTGCCGGAATCGCCCGTCATGCCGCCAATCACACCGCCTACCCGCCCTGAACACATGCATGCATGGAGTGCCCGCGCCGCTGCTCGCGCGCCCGCCACGTCGCACAGCACCGCCACAGAAGCCGCGCGCCAAAAACACCCCCCCGCACTCCCCCCCTCGCGGGCCGCCCGGCCCCGGCCGGCCCAGGCCTCCGCGCTCTGTCCGCGCTCCGTCTGCGCCGCGCGGTCACCTCCAGTTCGCGCGCCCCGGCGGCGTGGCGTCGCGCCCGTCAACGCGACGCTCCGGGCTGGGCGAGACCGCCAGGCGGTGCCGCGCGGCGCGCGCGAGGCGGTCCGCGGCCTCCTTCTCGCGCATGCGCCGCGCGTCGGCCCGCGCAGCCATCGCCGCGTCGCCGCCGGCCCGCACGCGCAGCAGCGGCGCCGACGGCGACCGCTGCGCCCTCTCGACGTCCACCGCGCGCTCGCGCATCTGCCGGGGCGTCCGGACGGGGCTCGGGCTCGGGCTGCGCGACGCGAGGCGCCGCGCGTCGTCCCGGCCGGGCGGGGGGGTGTTCCGCCCGCCGTTGATGTAGTCAGACACCGGCGAGCGGACCCCCCCCCCGCGGTTCGGCGTCGGGCTGCGCGCGGCGCGCGGCGACGGCGGCGGCGACGGCGAACCGCGTTGCGCCGCGCGGCGGGCTCCGGGCGCGCACGCGCGACGGCGACGGCGCGGCGCGACGGGCGGCTGGGCGCGCGGCGCTCCGCGCGGCCGCGCGCGACGACGGGCGCGATGACCTTCGCGGGCGCGACGAGCGGCGCGAGCTCGACGCCGACGTCGGACGCGCGCGGCGAGGCCGCGGGCGACGCGAGCTGCGACGGCGTGGGCGACTTCATGTCCCGGTAGCGCACCGGCGAGATGGAGGGCGAGCGCGCGGGGGCGTCGGCGGCGACGATCTTGCGGTCCTTGCGCACGGGGGCCGGGGAGAGCGGCCGCAAGGGCGTCGGCGACGCGCCGCGGGGACTCATGCCCCCCGGCGCGTGCGGCACGAGCCGCGGCAGCTTCTCTGCGGGCGCGGGCTTGTCCGACTTGACGCCCGCGAGGATCTGGACCGCGAGGGGGATGGGCGGGCGGCGTGAGGCGGCGCCCGCGGCGTGCCCGAACGAGCGTGTTCTTTTTACGTTCAACAGAGGTTCGTGGCGTTTTGTGGTTGCTTTTGAACATCGATCACGGTTGCACGCGCGGGGACAAAAGAACGCGCGTGCGCGGCATGGCACGGAGGCGTGGGACCCCGCGTCGGCGCGCGGGGGCCGGGTCACCGGCAGCGGCGCAACAAGCACCGCCTCGTCATTACTCACCCGGTCCGACGCGGCGGGGTACGACTCGCGGATCATGGTGACGACCTCCTTGCCGAGGCGCGACACCTGCTTGCCCACGTGGCCCGAGACCTCATCCTCGAAGCGCCGGATGGTGCCGTCGGGGTCGAGCGGCGCGGGCACGTCCACGGGCAGCGAGGAGCTCACGAGCGCCTCCGCGACGTGGCGCAGGAGGAGCGGGGAGCTCAGGAGGTCGCGCGCGGACGGGCGGCGCTGCGGCGGGACCTGCAGCATCACCGCAATGAGCTTGCGCAGCGACCTGCGAACACCGAGAGCCCAATCATGCACGCTCAACCAAACAATTTCATATTTCATGTTTCATTTCATATTTGATTCAATTCAATATGATACACAAAGAGAACACCATGGCGACGACGGAACGTATGAGGCCGGAACAAGCTCGCAGCAGCACTTTGTCCGTCTGCGTGCTCGCGCTGGGCCGAGGCGCGACAGCGATGACGGAGCGGGCGGGCGGCGCACTTCGAGTACTGCTCCCCGACGGGCGTGTAGTCCGCGCGCACGATGCGGTCGTGCATGTGCTGCCACGAGCGGCCCGCGAAGGCGTGCGCGTTCACGCACATCTCCACCGCCACGCATCCCACGGACCAGATGTCCGCGGAGCTGTCGTACGACTGCCCGCGCAGGACCTCCGGCGCCATGTACAGCGGCGTGCCCACGACGGAGCTCGCGAGCTGCACCGTGGAGTCCAGCTTGCGCGCGATGCCGAAGTCGCCGAGCATGACGCGGCGAATCTGCCCCTCGCGCGGGTCCTGCTCGATGAAGATGTTGTCGGTCTTGATGTCGCGGTGGAGGACCTTGTTGCTGTGGAGGTACTCGACGCCGAGCAGGAGCTGCGTGAGGATGCGCTGCGGCGGGCGCGGGAGGGGGAGTGTTGCGGGGTGTGAGAGGGGGGTTTTGGCGCGGGAGCGGGGGGGCTGGCGACGGCGGCGCGCGGGGGGCGCACCAGGACCGTGTTCTCGGAGAGGAACTGTCCGGAGCGCGCGAGGCGCTCCGTGAGGCGCCGCAGGGAGCCGCCTTTGCAATAGTTGAGCACCAACCACATCTTTTTCGTTCCCAGGTCACGGTCCGGCGACACCGAGAAGTCCCTGCGCGCGGACGGAACAACGCGGCGTGCGCGCTCGCGTGCGCGCGCCCGCTTCGGCCCGGCCCCCACCGACCTCGCGGCGGTCCCGCGTTCCCATCTCCCGCGCCATCCGTCCGTCCGCCGGCCCAGCGGACCCCGCACGCAACGGCCCCGGCCGCGCGAGCCGCTCCCAGCACAGCGAAGCGCTCGCGCGGCGGAAAACACGCCAGCGGCGCCCGCGGGGCACCTGCCGGGCGTGCGCGAGAGCGGGCTGCCTGGCTGCGGAGGTGCAGGAGGGTTGCGGGGCGGCGCACCTGCACCAGACTACGAAGGGGTGGCGCAGGCGGTACTGGATCTTGACCTCGCGGTAGATCACCTGCCGCGCCTCGCGGCTCGCGGGCAGCAGCACCTCTTTCATCACCCACGGCGTGCCTGCATACGGGCCCTTCACCTCAATGGCCTTCCACGCGCGGCCGTGCGCGCCTGCGACGACGCGCGGCGCGTTCCGGGTCGCGGGCGATAATTTTTTTCGATGCGCGGAACGAGTCGCGCGGAAAAGCGCGCGAGCGGCGCGCGGGGGGCGGCGTGTCCGCTCGCAGGGCCGAGCGGACACGAGGGGCATCGGGGCGGGTACCCGCCGGCAGCGGCCATCGGAGGCGCGTCCGAGCCGCTGGGAGGACTGCCGCTACATAGAGGAAGGGTGCGATGGCGGTGGTACGCGAGATTTGCGGTTTCGTGGCGCGCAGCGGTGCGGGGGCGGTTCGCGCTGGCGGGGGGGTATGGGGCCGCGCACGGGGCGCTCACCCTGCCCGATGATGCGTTCGGGGCGGTAGTGCGCTTCGACGTCGCGGCGGTCCTCTGCGCGCGGGCGCGCGACGGCGGCGGCGGCCATGTCGCTTCGGTGCGGCGGTGCAGGCTTGGGCCAGTCTTTGGTGAGTGAACGTGGCAGCGACGACCTCGATTGGCGCGGCGGGGAGAGCTCGGGGACGGACGGCGGAGCGGCGAGCAGTGCGGGGCGGCCGCGGGCCCCCGCGCCCTCGAACTGTGCCGCCGGAGCCGCTCCTGACGGGGGGAGTCGCCCCCGCCAGTATGACAGGGCTGGAGGCGGCGGCGTGGCCTCTGCCGGGCTTTACGCGCGCTGAATCTGCCAGTGCGTGACGCTTCGGGGTCACAGTTAGGCCGCGCGGTGACGTTCGAGATGGTTGCGGCCGCGGTGCGCCCGTGCGGGGAGGTGCTTCTAGGGGCGCGGGCTCCCAGGCCGGCGCGCCCCGCTGTCCTGCGGCGGCGCGGCGCGGGCGTGCGGCGGGACGGAGGTGGCGGTGCTGGCCGTGCGCGGGCGGCGGCGGCGCCGCGGGCGGCCGCGCGGGACGCGCTGGAAGCCGCGAAGGTGCGCGCACAGGCCCTCTCGAGCCCGCGCATTGCACCACCATCCCTCTCGAGCCCTACTTTCTCACCGCGATCTACGTTTCCGGTCATGAGCAAGCCGCGGGTGGCTCGAACAACCGCTGAAACGGCGTTCATGGCCCGGATTTCCCCCCGAACAATCCCGGTGATCATGTTCGCGCGCCCCCCGGCCCCCTACGCGCTGCAGGCGGGGGACGCGCAGCCGGGCGCGGCGGAGTACGACGCCGCGGTGCTCGAGGCCGTCGGCGCGGGCGACTGGCTGTGCGTGGTCGAGCTCCTGGCCGAAGTAAAACTCCTGAAGTTCAGGCTCCCGGACACAACCGTCATGGCCGCGTCGCGCGCCCTGTGCGAGGTGAGGGGCCCGCGACGCACGCAGGGCATCTGCTGCCGCGCGCGGGGCCTGAACGTCGCGAAACGGGCGTCTACAAACGGCGACGGAGCTGCAGATGGCATTTTTGCGCCGCGGGGTGGATACACACGCACACGAACGGCGCGGCGCCGTGGCAGGAGCTCTCGCGCGGGCGCGCGCGCGTGCAGATATAGACACGTGCACTTTTCCACATGGGAATGTCTATTTGATTGATTGATGTCTATTTGATTGATTGATGTCTATTTGACATGTGTGTGCAGGGCGGGCAGTGGGGTCGCGGCGCGGGCCTCCTCGAGGACGCGATCCTCGCCGGCGCGTCGTGCGACGACGCGACGCTGCGCTCCGTCATCGGCGCGTGCGACGCCGCCGCCACCGCCGTGGGCGACGCCAGCACGGCCACCCGCGCGGCCAAGGCCGCCACGGGCATCCTGGACGCGGTAGCGAGCACGGACGACGAGGCCGAGGCGCCGGGGTGGGCGCGGAACGCGGTCGCGCGGCTGCTGGCGCGTGCGGGCGACTACGACGGTGCGGAGGCGGCTCTGGACGCGTTGATGCGCGAGGAGGTGGCGGTGGAGGGGCGGACGTTCACGGTGATCGCGGCGGAGCTGCTGCGGGCGGGGGAGGGGGACCGGGCGGAGGTCGTGCTCGAATGCCGGGACTACTTGTGACACCGCGAGATATGAAATCCATATTTAAGAGCGATTGATAACACCGGTTGCCGTGCGGTGGTCGGCAGGTAGTCGTGCGTCGTCCCCACCGCACGTGCGTGCGCCCCGACGCCCCGCGGCACAGCGGAGAATCCTCGACTCCACGTCCCGCGCAGGTCATGTCACTGACATATGGCATACTAATGCTCATACTAATGCTTCCACGGTGCGCCCCCCGCGCGCTCTTTCGCGGCCTCCTCCCGCAGCTTGGCCACCACGCGGTCCACGAACTGCTCGAGCGCCTCCCGCCCGTTCACGATGCGCCGCGCCGCCTCCTCCGGGTCCCGGACGTGGCGCCCCGCCTCGAACTCCTCCCGGGCACTCCTCAGGACCGCGTTGCGCCACGGCTCGCCGGTCTCGTCCGGCCAGACGAGGAACCGCGCGGCGCGCAGCACGTCGCGGTACAGCGACAGCGCCTCCCTGCGGGCGGAGCGAGAACAAATAATATGTTGCATCGCTGTTGTTACGTACCAGGACGCGGCGCGGGAGCGGCACAGGCGGCTGCGCGCGGCGCGGGGCGCGGGGCGGGCGGCGGGGGCGCGGGGGGTCGAGGTCGGGGCGGTGGCGCGCGACGGGGGGGGGTGTGGCACCTGCGGTGTGTCATAATACGCATAGGGTTGGGATCGAGGGGCTGCTTGGGCGCGAGGTGCTGGCCGAGGATCTCCTCGAGCTCCTCGTGCGTGGCGTCGAACTTGAGGTCGTAGCCCGCGCCGCGCTTGCCGCTAGCGAACCCGCGAAGTGTGCGCGGCCAGCAGGGGGCGCGCTGCGGGGCCGCGGCTGCGGACGGGCGCGGGGCGCGCGTGTCCCGGAGAGGCGCGGGAGCGTGGATGGTGGTCGCAGAGCGGCTGAACGACCGCGCAGGCTGCGGCAGTGGGCGCTCAGAGGGCGCGTCTGAGCATTCGAGGCGCAGAGCGGTCGCGGTGACGGCGTGCTGGGCGTCGACGCGCGTCGCGACGCGCGAGAGGCTGCGCTGCATTGCGGCGAGGAGTCGAAACGAAGCCTGGAACCCGCGCCCGGTGCCCCAGGACCGCACGGTGCGCCGTGGAGACGGGAGTTCGAGTCTTGTGGGAAATACGGAGGCTTCAATTGGAATGTGACGGTGTTTCAGGGCGCACACGCGACATCTGGCAGTACGCGACCCGTTCAGCACACAACGACCCCCCTGCCGGCTCCAGGCGCGCCAATAGGCCCCCGAGTCCTCCCCTGCATCAGGCGAGTTTCTCCGCGCGCACATCGCCGCGTCCGCCGCGCCCTGCGCCCCAAACCCTACCTGCTGCACGTACCTGCGCAGCAGCGTGCGTCTACGCCAATACGCGCGACGCAAAGCGCCGGGCCGGGCTCTGCTACCAGCTGCAGATGTGTTCTCGAGCCTAGCCGGGATGTCGACACGTCCGCTCCTCGAGCGGAGCGGTCCCGATGGCGACGCGGGCGGGAGCCGCGTCTGGCGGATGATCCAGCACCCGATCGAGTCCATGCGCGTCCGCGAGGCCCGGAAACGTGCACTCGCATCCATCCCGCGCAGGCCTGTTCTCGCAGGTGACCACCTCTTCGCGCCAGGACGCGCGCGTACCGAGACGACGCGCCAGCGCACCTCCCGAGCGCACCCCGCGCCGCTGTCGCGCGCCGCGCGGCTCCCGCGCGCCCGGCTGTGCACTCCCGCCGCTCCGTTCGCCGCCCGCAGAGTCCATGGACTACGAGCCGCTCCAGAACGAGTTCTTCATGACGAACCAGGCGAAGAACAAGTCCCAGGCGCGCCACTTCTACGGCTACAGCGGCCTCACATTCGCGAAATTCCTCGTCGTATTCGCCACCGGAATCGCCACGGGCCTCGTCACCGCGGCCATGGGGGCCTACACCGGCAAGGTACCGCCCTCCCCGGCGCGCCACCTCGCCAGCAACCCGCCGCGCCCGTCCACCGCCACGCGCCGCGCGTTCCCGGCCCGGGGCGCGCGTCAACGCCCTGCGTGCGCAGCTTCCGCGCGCGCCCCGACCCGCCGCGCGCGCGTCCCGCGCCGAACTGCAGCTCACGGACTACAGGAACCGCGCCATCACGAGCGTGATCCACACGGACGCCAACCACGGCGGCGTCGCGATGGGCTTCGCCGTTTACACCCTGACGTGCCTCTCCCTGGTCACGTTCGCGTCCGTGCTCGCGGAATTCGTCGCGCCGCAAGCCGCGGGCGCGGGCGTTTCGCTCGTAATGGCCTACCTGAACGGCAACCACATCCCCGACCTGCTGCGCGTCCGGACGCTCGCCGTCAAGTTCGTGGGGACGCTGTGCGGGTGCGCGTCCGGGCTCGCGGTGGGCCCGGAGGCGCCGCTGATCCACATGGGCGCGTGCATCGCGTCGAATATGACGCACTTCAGCTGCAAGTGGCTCGGGAAGCTGCTGCCGTGCTGGGGCGCCTGCAGTCCGAGGGAGGCTGCGAACGAGGTGCGCCAGGCCGCCGTGCCGCGCCAGGCCGGCCGCGCGAGCGGCGCGGGTGCTGTCGGAAAATTGCGCACGCGGCGCAGCGGCGCGCGGGCGCGTCTCGCGCGGCGCGCGTTTCGCGCGAGGGCTGCAACGTTGAATGCTTCGTCGTCGCGCTCATGGCGCGGGTTGCGGTGCGCGCGCAGGTCGGCGACGGGAGCGAGGCGGCGAATTTCCGGAGGCGGTGCGCGCTGGGCATGCCGGCGTTCAACGACGCGGACACCCGGGAGTTTGTGTCGGCCGGGGCAGCTGCGGGCATCAGTGCCGCGTTCGGGGCGCCCATCGGCGGCGTCGTGTTCGCGATGGAGGAGGCGTGCTCGTTCTGGTCCAGGAAGGTCGCCTGGCGCTGCTTCCTGGCCTCGTCGATCGCGGTCCTCTCGATCCAGCAACTCGACCGGAGGTCCAACCTGGGGCTGCTTTCGTTCGACGGCGTCGCGGTCCTGGAGAACAACGACTGGCTCATGCAAACGCCCTTCCTCGTGCTCACCGCGGGAGGTGCGCCCGCGCGTCCCGACGCCGCCGCGCCCCGCAACCCGCCCGGGCTCGCACCGTCCACGCCCGCGCACGCGACGCCCACCGCGCGCCCGACGCTTTTTCCGCCACGATTAATTCAAAAAATGCTCAGCGACGAAGATCCGCCCCGTTTCCCGCGCAGTCGCGTCCTGCCTGGGCGTCGTCTTCAACTTCCTGCGGCGCAAGCAGTGGGCGTACCGCGCGCCGCGGTCGCGGCACTTCCTCCGCATCCTCGAGGTCATCGGCGTCGCGGTTCTCTCCTGCTCCGTCTTCTTCGGCCTCTCGCTCGCCTTCGGCACCTGCGTCCCGCGCAGCCAGACATGGCTCGAGGACTACGGCATGCGCCTGACCTGCGCGCCCGGGTTCCACAACGACATGGCCACCGCCACGCTATCGATGCCGGAAAAAACAATCCGCGAGCTCTTCTCCCTCGGGAAAAACCTCGCGCGCGAGCAGCGGTGCACCCCGGACAGTTGCTTCTTCTCGGCCCGAACCATGGCGCTCCTCGCCGCGTCCTACCTCCTCCTCATGGCCGCGGCCGTCAACACCGCGCTCCCCTCGGGCATCTTCATGCCCAGCATCATGGTCGGCGCAGCATCGGGTGGCTTCATCGGCATGTGCCTCCAGCAGGTTCTGCCCCATAACTGGGACATCCAGCCGGGCCTCTACGCGCTGGTGGGCGCGACCGCGATGCTCAGCGGGGTCTTCCGGTCGCCGATCTCGCTCGTCGTGATCGTCGTCGAGGGCACGCGCGGCATCGACTTTATGTTTGGAATCATCATCGCGGTCGTCGTGTCGTCGTGGATGTGCTACCACCTGGACTCCGAGGGCGTGTACGAGTCCGAGCTCGAGCGCGACGGCAACGTGTTCTTCCTGCGGCACGAGCCCCCGCGCCGGCTGCGGACGCTCCTCGCGAAGGACATCATGGCGACGGACGTGGTGGGGTTCGAACCGATCGCGAACGTGCGGAAAATCGTGCGCGTGCTGCAGCGGACGACGCACAACGGGTTCCCGGTGCTCGCGAACAACGTGGACCCGCTCGAAGAGGACTCGGAAGGTGAGCGTGGTGTTGGAGGGGGGGTGTTGGAGGGGTGTGTGCGGGCCGCGGCGGCCAGCGCGCGCGCCGGCGGACAGAAGCCTTCCTTCGCGTGCCGTGCCGTGCTGTGCTGTGCTGTGCTGTGTTCTCGTATGGATACTCATGCGCTCCTGCGATTTTCTACTCCTGTTTCAATATCTCACGTCCCGTCGCTCGTTTGGCTCATGCGCTCCTGCGATTTTCTACTCCTGTTTCAATATCTCACGTCCCGTCGCTCGTTTGGCTCCGTGTTCGTCCGCCGACGCACCCGCCGCCCGGCCGACAGCGCCCGCGTCCGCCGCCGACGCCCCATCACCACAACACTCAACACCCCCCCTCACTCCCCCCCTCCCCGCAGACGACTCCGTCGACATGGGCGGCGCGGGCCGCAGCCGCCCGCTGCTCCCCCAGGGCCGCGTCGAGGGCATCATCCTCCGCTCCCAGGTCCTCGTCCTGCTCCAGCGCCAGGCCTTCTGCCTGTCCGACGGCTCCCCAATCGGCCCCGTCGTCGACAAGGCCCCCGACATCGACCGCCAGATGCGGGAATTCTACGCGTCGTCCTTCAAGCACCGCCGGCACCTCGTGAGCTCCGGCAAGGCCGTGGACGCGATCCTCAACTCGTGGGCCACGGGCTCGGGCACTCGGCTGCTCAACGTAGCACACAACATCCGCGCCGCGGCCTCGCGCGCCGCGTCGCGGCACCTCGGCGACGGCGACGGCGACGCTCTGCACCACGCCGGCTCCGCGTGCGAGTCGCTCCACGGCGGCACGCCGAGCGCGGACGTCACCGCCGACGTGCCCGCGCACCGCGCGTCGCCGCTCCGGCTCGGCGCGAGCGCGGTGGAGACCACGCAGAGCGGGTCCGAGCTCGCGGACGCGAGCCCGCCGCCCGCGCGCGGGCTGCGCGCGCGCCGCGACCGCGGCGGCGCTGCTGCGCACCCCGCGGCCGCCGCGCGCGACGGCGACGTCGTCCGTCGCTGACGAGGACATGAACGACGTGATGGACGCGCTGAGCGACGTGTACCTCGACCTGCGCCCGTTCATGAACCGCGCGCCGCTCACGGTCCGCGCGGAGTGTTCCGCGTATCGCTGCCACCAGGTGTTCATCGCGCTGGGGCTGCGGCACCTGTGCGTGGTGGACTCGCGGAACCGCGCGGTGGGGATCATCACGCGGAAGGACCTCGACTGGGCCGCGGGGAGCGGGCGCTGGCGGCGCACGAAGGCGGCGACGGACGGCGTCGTGCACCGGCACCAGACGCAGGTGCAGCTGGAGCCGCACGACCTGATCGATAACGCGGGGCTCGGGAGGCTGGAGGAGGAGGCGGAGGCGGAGGAGTGGGGGCCGGCGCTGGCGCGGCGGGGGGGGAACAGGGAGAGTGCCCCGGGGGCGTTTCCGGGGGGGGCTGGGGCGCGGGGGGACGCGAATGTGTAGGGGGTGTACGCAGGGAGGGGAGGGAGGGCGCGGGGGGCGAGGCGGTGGTGTGGCAGCAGGACGGCAGAATGCAGTATGACGAGAGATACCAATTACTAATTCCTAAATAGCGATAAGTGACAATGGGAGAGCTGCGTGGTGGATGGCGCTGTGACACAGGAGAGTGCGCGCGGCCCCGTGCGGCCGGGGCAGAGTCGAAACTCGAGACGCGTCCTCGCGGTGAGGGTGCTCGCAGGTCAGCGAAGAACTAGCACAGTCGGCCGCCTACTCCCTCAACACCCCCCCCCCCTTCACCTGACACCTACTGCGCACCTCACACCCTCACAGCACGCCCCGCCACGCAACGCGCGACGACGTCCCGCACGAGAACTACCGCGCCCGCGCCCTCACGTCCCGCTTCGCACCGACGCGCGCAACACCCCCCCCCCCCTGACTGACTGCGTCAGTCAGTCAGCGCCGCACGAAGGCTTCCTCGGCCACGTCGATCGCCCGCACGAGCGCCGCGGCCTTGTTCACCGTCTCCTCGTGCTCCGCCTCCGGCACCGAGTCCGCCACGAGCCCCGCGCCCGACTGAATATGGAACACCCACTCCCGACGGCAGTCCCCAAACGTCCCCGGGGGGCCATACGCGTACATCTGGTCGCGCGTGTCCGTCGGCACGATCATCGTCCGCAGCGCCAGCGCCATGTCCATCTCCCCCGTGAAGCTCACGTGGCCCACCCCGCCGCCGTACGGCCCCCTCCGGTGCACCTCCAGCTCATCGATGATCTGCATCGCGCGCACCTTCGGCGCGCCGGAAATCGTCCCCGCCGGCAGCGCCGCGCGCAGCGCGTCCCACGAGTTCAGCCCGCGCTTCAGCGCCCCCGTCACCGTGCTCGAGATGTGCATCACGTGGCTGTACCGCTCCACGTCCATGAGCCGCTCCACCGTCACGCTCCCGGCCTCCGACACCTTCCCCACGTCGTTCCGGCCCAGGTCCACGAGCATGATGTGCTCCGCGCGCTCCTTCTCGTCCGCCAGCAGGTCCTCTTCCAGCGCGACATCCTCCGCGTCGTCGCGCCCGCGCTTCCGCGTCCCGGCGAGCGGGCGGTTCGTCACGACCCCGCGGCCGTCCACGCGGCACAGGATCTCCGGCGACGACGCGACGAGCACGCACCCGCGCGCCTGGAGGTACACCATGTAGGGCGAGGGGTTGACCACGCGCAGCGCGCGGTAGACCTCGAACGGGTCCGCGAACGTGCGGCGCTCGAAGCGGTGCGAGAGCACGAGCTGGAAGACGTCCCCGCTCTGGATGTACTCCTTCGTCTTCGCCACGCCGTCCAGGTAACCTTGCTTGCCCATGTCGCTTTCGGCGGTCTCGCTCCAGGAGGACCGCTCGGTGGTGGAGAGCGAGAGGCGCGCGGACTGGAGCGTCGGCGGCGCGCCCTCCATGCGCTGCGCGAGCGCGGAGAGCCGCGCGCGGCCGTCGCGGTAGGCCGCCTCGACGTCGTCAAAGTCGCCCACGTGCACCCACGACACGCAGTACGCCAGCTTCGTCGCCTGGTCGAACACGACCGTGTCGTTGTACAGCGCGAGGTGCAGGTCCGGCAGCCCGCGGTCGTCCTCCGGCGCGCTGTCGAACGGGATCTTCCCGGGATACACATACCGCACAGTTTCATACCCGGTAAACCCCACCCACCCCCCCGTGAACACGTCCGGGAGGCTCTCCGCGCGCGCGGGCCGCCACGCCGCCTGCATCTCCTCCGGAATCCGCATCGGGTCCGCGACGGTGCGCTCCTCCCGCGTCCCGTGCACGTGGTCGAGAATCGACACCCTGCTGCCGTGGGCCAGGACCTCGAGCGCCGGGCGCGCGCCGATGAAGCTGTACCGGCCCTGCTGCGTGCCGTTCACGACGGACTCGAAGAGAAACGACGGGTGGTCGACGTCGTCCTCACCGACAAGGCAACGGTACGCCAGGACGGGTGTGAGCTGGTCCGCCATCACGCGCTCGACGAGCGGCACGAGGTTCGCGGTCTTCGCGGCCTCGCAGAAGGCTTTGTACTCCTCGGCGCCCGCGGCGCGGTCGGATCGCGGCGCCGACGAGGGGGCTGCGGGGGGGTGTGGGGGGTGTGGGGCGGCGGTGAGGCGCGGGGTGAGGGCGTCCCGCGCGCTGCGCGGGCGGGGTGGTTGCGGCGAGGGTGTGGTGAGGGGGGCCGCGTGAGAGCGTGAGAGCGCAGGTGGTTGGCAGGGGGGGGGGAGGTGTGACGGCGAGCGGTGCGCGCGTGCGGTGTGGGCCGTGCGGCGGCGGGATGCGTGCGGCTGGAGGTGTCGGGGGCCGGGCTGGCGCGAGGAGCCGGGCGGGAACGATGGCGGTGGGCGGGCACGGGAGCGGCGGTGTGGCACGCGACAGCTCAGCGGCTGCCCGGTGCGTGCGAGCGCAGGGATCGTCCGCCGCCGCGGAGATGCACGGCGTGTGTTGCGTGTGCTGCGGCGAACGGACAGCCGCGGGGCCGCCGCGCGGCCAGGCAGATACGAGATGAGGCTACATAGGTGGTTCCGCCGGCCCGACTGGGCCTGCCGTGACACGAGGTGGGCTGATACCGCGCGCAGCGACGGAGGATGGCGTGAGGAAGGCGTGGGAGTGCGCAACAGGGGCTCAGGCGCTCGTATGGCGCGCCGGAGGGTCGCTGCCGCACCTTGACTGCTCCGTACTCGCGCGCACGCCCTCGACGAAGGTCTATCGCGGCGGAACGCCGGGCCGCCGGAAAGCACATGTTTGTTCCCCCCGGATGCGCGCCGCGCGCCGCGCGTCCGCGCACACGGCGCCACGGGCAAGCGCAGCCCAAGGTGCCCCGCCATCTCGCAGCCGCAACCGCAGCAGCAACCGCCTGTCCGGTCCGGCAGCACCCTCGCACGCACAACTACCGCGTCCGCGCCCAGCCGCACCGACATCACCGCGCACAGCACCAGCCCACACACCCCCACACACACCTCCGCGCTTCAACCCCGTCCGCGCCCGCAGCTTCGCGCCCCCAGCACCCACAAGACTGCGACGACCCTAGCTGCGCCCCGCGCACCCGCTTCGCAAAGCCGTCGGTCACACAACGCCCAACCACACCGCGCGCGTGCGTCACCGGTCGAACAGCGACGCCATCGCGGACAAGCGCAGCGCCGAGTCCTCCAGGTACACGCCGCGGCTCGCCACGGTCACCGTGCTGCTCCCCGTGCGCTCCACGCCGCGGCAGACCATGCACATATGCGCCGAATCGATTGCAACCATCACGCCCTCGGCGTCCGCCGCAGCCGCGACCGCGTCCGCGAGCTGCTCGCCCAGGCGCTCCTGGACCTGCAGCCGCCGCGACAGCGCGTCCACGAGGCCGCGCAGCTCCGCCCACGGCAGCGCGGGCGCGCCGGGCCTGCTGGCGTAGCCCACGCGAACGGTCCCGTAAAACGGCAGCATGTGGTGCTCGCAGAGGGACTGGAACGCCACCGCCGGCTCGAACACCTCCCTCCGCGCGCTCTGCGGGCATAGCTGCGGAGGTGCGGTGCAGTGACGCCACGGCGGGGGCGCAGTGCAGCTAGCGGCCGCGGCGTGCTTGGCCGCTGCGCGCGCGCGAGGGCCGTGAGGGGTGTTGTTCAAGGCGCAGCGTGCACGCACTGCGCGCTGGGAGCACGCAGGGCGGGCAAAGTGCGGCGGTGCCAGCCAGCCAGCTGCGCACCTGGCCGCCCGCGGCCCGTGGCCAGCCCATGTCCGCAGCGCCGCAGCCGAGCGCCGTGCCGCCCCCGCACGCCCGCGGCACCTCCGTCTCGTACCCGCGCGTCCCGGCGAGCAGCAGCGACACGTGTCGTCGGCACGCCGCGCCCGCCTCGCCCTCGCCCCAGCCGCTGCCGTCGCCGTCGCCGGCGGGCCACAGCCCGGCCTCGCGCAGCAGCACGGCGACCGCGCCCTCCATCGCGGCGCGCGTGACGCCGGGGCACCGCGGCGCGAGGTGGCCGTGAGCGTCCGCGACGTCCCAGGGAGGGGCCGGCGCACACGCGCCCGACGCGCTCGCAGTGCCGGCGCTCGCCGAGTCCGTGTCCATCTCCTCCGTGACCTCCGTTGCCTCGCCGCTCAGCGGCCTCTGCGGGGCACGGACGGCGCGGCAACCGGCCGGGTGAGCGCGCGTGCAGCTGCAGTGCCGACAGCGTGCCGCTCCGGCGGTCGCTACGCGGCCTGGATGCGCCCGCGTGCATGGTGTGTGTGTAGGCGCGTGCGGGACGGTCGGGGAGGCCGCGTGCGCGGCCCGGGAGCGGCGCGGAGGCAGATGATGGGCAGCGGATGCTCACCTGTGCAGTTGCGCGGTAGAGCGAGCCCGCAGAGGCCGGCGCGGCGTCCGAGAGGTCGCTGCACTCCGAGTTCGCGAGGTCGGCGGCGGACCCGCCGTGGCCCGCGGCCTTGCCGTCCCGGCGCGCGGCCACGGCGGCCACGGCCGAGTGCTGCGGCCCGCTCGCGTCGACCTGCGCGGCGCACTGGACGCCGTGGAGGCGCAGGAGCGCGAGGAACTCGAGCCTGAGGGCCGAGGACTCCCGGAACGCCCCGGAGGTGCGCAGCTCGAGCCGCTGCGAGCGCCCAGCGTCGGCGCCCTGCGACAGGTGACGCGCGGACAGCAGCACCGCCGTGCCGCGCGCGCCGATGGCGTCCAGGGCCTCGACGATACCGCGAGCGAGGTCCGCTTGCGTCTGCGCGCGGGCGGATCGGGGCTGGGGCGTCCATGAGCAGCGTGCGCGGTGGCGGGCCGCTGCGCAGCGGTGGCGCGGCCGTTTGCCTTGATTGCGCGCGGGGCGGCGGCGGCTACACGGAGGGGCGCGTGGGTGCCAGCACGAGGCCGCAGCCCCGCGAGAATTGGCCGCGGCGCGCCGGGGCGAGCTCAGCTGCTGAGCAGCTGCCGGTGCGGGGCAGGCGCGGATTTCGAACGTGGCTGGGAGTTCCGAGGGGGAGAGACTCGCCTGCGGCCGCTTGGATAGCGAGCGGACGATTCGGGCGACCTTGGAGAGCCCGACGACGACGCCCTGCGCCGATGGCAGGTAGGCGACGTGCGCACGGCCGACGAAGGGCATGAGGGTGTGCCTGCACATTGCCGAGAAGTCGATGGAGCGGACGAGCACCATCCCGTTGGACCCGCCCGCCACGGCAGGCTCCTGGAAGAGCGCCTCGCCAATGACGTCCTTTGGCTCCTGCTGTGCGCACTCCGTCATGTCGAGGAACGCCTTCGCGACGCGCCTGCGGGCGTCAGGGAGACGCGTGCGGTGGTGTGCGGTGCGCGGGGGCGCATTGCGGCCGCTCGCCCGCGGCGTGGCGCGCTGGAGGGATGGTAGGCACTGAGGGTGTGCGCACTTGGGCGTGTCGAGGATCCCCGGCCGCGCGAGGTCGAGCTCGCCGACGCCGCTGAGAACGACCTTGACGGCCTCCATCATGCGGGCCAGCTTCTCGGGGTCGCGCGCCGCGCGGGCCTCGCACGACTTCCGGCCCATTCCGACGAACGTCCACGCGATCACGACTGCCCCTGCGACGACTCCCGAACGTACACGCGCGGCTTCCGAGCAGCTCGACCCGCAGTGGCCCGCCGCCCGCGCGGCCCCGGCCCTCGATTGCACGGCCCGCCCAGCCGCAGCGAGCTCACGTCAGGCCGCGCCGCACGCGCGGAACAAACACTCCTCGCGCTATCGCCTCCACCGTTCTGATTCAGACCATCCACCTCGCGCGCGCGAACGCCGCCAAAGCCAGCACCGCGGCCGCGCGTGCTGCAGCATCGCCACCTGCCCCACGTGCCCGCGCCCACCAGCGCGGGCGGAACCGCGCCGCGCCGCCGCACGAGGCGCCCCCGCATTCCGCGACGCGACGTCGCCGCGCAACCCTCCGCGCGCCGGCACGTCAGCGCCCACCCAACGCACGCCCACACGCACCCCGACAACCACCGCATGTCCGCGCCTGCGCCCCCCGCCGCCGCGGCCCGCGAACCCCGCCCCCGCACGGAAGATCCCCGCTCTACCTCCCCGGCCGCCTCGCGCCGGCGTGAGGCCGGGGGGGGTCTATTGAACCCACGTCAACCCTAAATGCCATGTATCCCGCTGCGCGCCGCCGGCGCCGCGCCACGCACAGGCCCGCCGGATGCCCGCGCGCCGTTCGGCGCACGCGCAGATCGCGCACGCGCCGAGCTCGTCGTCGCAGCAGCCAGGGGTCCGGCGCGGGCCCGGTGGCGCGGCGGCGGTCGAGAGCCCATCATCTGAGGCGATGGCATCGTTGCTCGACCTTCAGGCTGGCGCGGCGAGGCCGCGTCGCGTCCGCTCGCGTCGCAGCGCCGCCCTCGACGCGCGCCTTTATTTTCCTGCTTCGCGCGACGCCGCCTCGCGCGATTTCCGGCGCGCTCCGCGGCGCCGCGGCCCGGAAGGGGAGGAGTCGCGACGAGCGCTGCGCGACGCGAGACCGGCGCGCCAGGCCCACATCGGCCGGCACGGCCCCGCGCCCCGGCGCACTCCGCACGAGAGCTCCCGCCTCCGCGCGCTTCCAGCTCCAGCCCGCCCCCCGCCGTCCCCGCACGCCCTCTGCACCACTGCCCCTCTCAGCAGCCGCCCCAGACCGGATCCTCCGTGCCCCCCGCGCTCGGGAGCCGGAACCGCGCGAACAGCAGCTCGCCAAGGCGCCAAGAAAAACGCTCGAAACCCTCGCTTTTCGTTCGGGCACGATGGACGCCGGCGTGGACGCCCGTCCTCCGCAGCTTCAGGCTGCGAATCTGTCCGCGGCGCCCGACGGGGACCCGCCGCCGAGCAGCAGCCCGGACAGCCCCCTCGAGATCGACCACATGCCCGTCGACGGCATGTAAGTTGCGCGAATGCGCCACACACGCCGCGCCCAGGCGGCCCTGAGCCGCAGGACCGTTAATCCGCCCCCCGCGCAGCCCCCGGCACCAACCCGCGCGCCCCCGCCCCGCCCCCCCGTCCAGGGACATGAACTTCAACGAGGACGAGCCCATCACGGTCGCGGTGCTCCAGGAGCCGGAGGAATCCGCTGTCGAATCCTACACGGTGCGCCGCCCGCACGCCCGCGGCCCGCGGCCCCGCGCCGCGCAAGCGCGCGCGCGAGCCGCCCCTGCACCCAAACCACCCACGAACGCCCTCGCCGCGCCCTTCCGCCCCGCACAGCGCCCCCTCCCGCCTCCCGCCCGCCCTCGCACCCACCCAGCGCCTCACCGCCGCGTCCGCAGGTGATGTTCATCCCCGAGGCCGAGGACACCATCGACGAGCCCGCGCTGAAGATCATCCGCACCGAGGACGTCGCGGACGCGGACGTCGGGCGCCGCGAGTCCCTCGGCCGGCGCCCCAGCAGCCGCGTCAAGCACTTGCGAGAGCTCGGGCTGCACGTCAACACCACCGAGGCCGAGCTGCCGCCGGGCGTCGTGGACGTGCCGCCCGAGGAGATCCTCCCGGAGATCGAGTGGGTGCCGGAGAGCTACGAACACACCGCGAAAGTCCTCGTCGAGAAGTTCAACGCCGTCTTTCTGGAGTCGGGCGACGAGAACGCCGTGACGCAGTACGCGGGGCACCTCATCGCGAAGGACCACATGGACAGCAACTTCTACGTGTGCGACATCGGCTGCGTGTTCCGGCTGTACCAGGTAGGGTGCGCGACGCTGCGCTGGCGACGCTTGCGTGCTAGGGCGACGAGGCGCGGTGGCGCGCCCCGCGCGGGGACGCGCTGCGCGCCGCTGCGCGCCGCGGCGCGCGGGTGTCTCTATTTCGCGTCGTGGCTGCGTTGCGCGAGCTGCGTCGCTCGCTCGCGGCGTCCGAATACGTTTCTTGAACGAACGAACAGACTTGAACCTCCAACTGCGTGTGCGTCGTTCCGCGCACCGGTCTCGCGGGCAGCCGCCCGGCCTCCGCGACCGGGCCGCGCACCCCGCGGCCCACACACCCCCCGTCACACCCCCCCTCGCCCCGTGCGCTCCGCTCGCGCAGGCCTGGCGCGAGGCGCTCCCCCGCGTGCGCCCCTTCTACGCGGTCAAGTGCATGCCGGACCGCGGCCTCGTCAGCACGCTCGCGGCGCTCGGCGCCGGGTTCGACTGCGCGACGGCGCACGAGATCGAGCTGGCGATGCAGTGCGGGGCGGGCGCCAACCGTATCATCTTCGCGCACCCGCAGAAGATGCCCCGCGAGATCAAGGCCGCGCGGGCCAAGGGCGCGCACCTGACCACCTTCGACACCGCCACCGAGCTGCGGAAGATCGCGCAGCACGACCCTGACGCCAAGCTCGTGCTGCGCATCCGCGCGGACGACCCGAGCGCCAAGTGCCAGCTCGGGAACAAGTACGGCGCGGAGGAGCACGACTGGGAGCAGCTCTTCGCGACCGCGGCGCGCAACGGGCAGAAGGTCGTCGGGGTGTCGTTCCACGTCGGCTCCAACGCGGCCGACACGAACGCGTACGCGCGCGCGGTGCAGCAGGCCGACAAGGCGTTCAAGATGGCGGCCGCGCACGGGTTCGGGTCGTCGATGAAGCTGCTGGACATCGGGGGGGGGTTCCAGGCCAAGTTCCGGGAGGACGGCAGCGTGGACATGTCGTGGGCCGAGGTCGTGCGCGACGCGATCGACGAGTGGTTCCCGCCCGAGCGCGGCGTGAAGATCATCGCGGAGCCCGGGCGGTTCTTCGCGGAGGCGCCGTTCGCCATCGCCACCACAGTGTACGGTCGGCGCGTGCGCAAGCTGCCCAGCGGCGGGCAGGCGATGGACTACTGGATCACGGTGCGCGCGATTCGTCGCGGCTCGCTTTGCCGTTCCGGCGCGGGGCGCAGCCGTGACGCGCGCGCTGAAGAGCACCCGCGCCGCTGCCGGCGCGTTCGCGCCCGCCGGCACGCTGCGATGTCCACACCATCCTCGACCCGCACCTGCTCATATCACCCAGCACTGTCTCACTACAATAGTAGCAGATGTGTCGCTGCTGTCAGTCTTTCGCGCACACACATAGATAAAACATCAACACGACTTGTTGTATATACGCAATATTGATATTCACATGCACAACCCGCGCCCGTCGTCCCTCCGCGCAGGACGGCATCTACGGCTCGATGAACTGCCTCCTCTACGACCACGCCGACCTCAAGCCCGCGGTCCTCAAGAACCCCCTGGAGGACATCGTCAAGTCCCCCTCGGGCGACGTGCGGCCCGCGCAGCCCGTGGCCACGCGCGCGCTGTACCCGACGACGCTCTTCGGCCCGACGTGCGACGGCGCGGACAAGGTCGTGGAGGGCATGATGATGCCGGAGCTCAACGAGGGGGACTGGGTGCTGTTTTTCAAGTTCGGCGCTTATACCTTGGCGGGCGCGGTGAACTTCAACGGGTTCCAGGTGGACCAGGACGCGATGCACGTGCACTACATCTTCTCGCTCGAGCCCGGGGAGACCCCGCAGGGCGTCGCGGCGGGGGACGAGGTGTAGGTGGACCAGGGCGCGGTGTGCGTGCACGACATCCTCTCGCTCGAGCCCGGGGAGACGCCGCAGGGCGTCGCGGCCGGGGACGAGGTGTAGGTGGACCAGGGCGCGATGCGCGTGCACTGCTGCTCCTCGCGGGGGCGCGGGGGGACGGCGCAGGGTGTCGCGGCCGGGGGCGAGGTGTAGGCGGTGGGTGGGGCGCGGGGGTCGGGGGCAGGTGGACCAGGGCGCGGTGCGTGTGCACTGCTGCTCCTCGCGGGGGGACGCTGGAGAACGTCGTGGGTGGCGACGAGGCGTGGGTGTGGGCCGGGCGCGGCGGGTGCTGTGACGAGACTGATTTGAGCTGGGCGGGGAAGCGGGGAGCGATGGGAGCGGCGCTGCGGGCGCCAGGCCGCCGTCGCGCGCCGCGATGACGTCAGGGGGGGGAGGAGTGAAAAGAATCAGCTTTCTACCGCACGACTCCCCCGCGCCGGCCCGAGCTCGTTGCAGCGCCGCGCGAGAGGCCCGGCGCAGGAGCGTGGCGCCGCGCGGCCCGAACGCCGTCGCGCCCCCATGCGGAGCGCTCTCCCGTTGTTTGCGGGCACGCGGGGCAACGTCCCGCCAGACCACGCGGCGTTCCGCGCGAGCTTGCTCCACAGAGAGGGGTCCGCCGCCGCCCCGTGCGAGCCGCGCGAGCCCCCGCGCGCCGCGGAGGCGGCCCCAGCGACGTTCGCGTGCCCCCGGTGTGGGCGCGTGCTGCCCAACGGGCGTCTTATGTCCATCCACGAGGTGCGCGGGCCATCTGGCTGTCCGCAACGGGCGCTAGAGGATCCGTGAGGCTGGTATCTGGCAGCAGGGGACAGTTTGCACACGGGCGCAGCTCCGCTTGCGAGTGCAGGAGGAGGCACACGACCCGGCAGTTCTTGTAGCGGCCGCGCGAGGCGCGGGGCGCTTCCGCTGCTTCCTCGAGGGATGTACCAAGGTCAGCGCGTCGATGGTAGCGCGGAAGGTGCGCGGTTCCGCCTATCCTGCGCGGTGCACCCATCGCATCGGCGCGGTATGTCCGCGACGCCGGGCTAGCAGTGCTCCGCGCCCGCAGGACCACATGCGGCTGGCGCACGAGGTGCCGAAGAAGGGCGTGAACCTCGAGGCGACGTGCTTGAGCCGCGAACACCGCCGAGCGCTGTACCGTGCGCGACCGCGGCGTGGCGATGACGATGCACGGCAGCCGCCCGCGCACGACGGCGGCGGCGACATGGAGGTCGGGTAGACGGGGCCGGGAGTTCCGCGCGCCCGAGAGCCGCGGAGACGTGCGTGCTTTTGTGTTGAGGACGTGGCATAGTCACAACAGCATATTTTTGTTCGAGATTCGATATTTCAAGCTCGCATTCCGGGAGACAAGCGCCCCAGGCGGCGCCCGTACGTCCCAGCGCCCCTTCGCCCCCGTGACAAGCGAGATACAGGCAGACATCTGCGACACTTGTTGGTCAACATGGAATGTGAGTGCAACACCTACGCTGACCGAAATCCCGCGACTCGAGCGCCGCGCCCCCGAGATACGTGGCGCACGGCTCGGGGCTCGCGCGAACTAGTTTGCGGCCGCGGTTTCCGGCAACGTCGAACGCTGCGCGCTCGCGTCGCGCGTTGTGGAGGGTCGGTGCGTGCACGTGGAGGTGACCAGGGCGTCCCGCTCGGTGACGCGGCCGCCGCCCGCTCGCACATGCGGCATGTGCTGGGGAGCACGCGGGGCCGGTCTGGGGCGCCGGGGCGCCGTGGCGACGCCGGGGAGACATTATGTAATGAGCACATCGTGTCGACCGGACGCGTGAAAGCGCGAGGAGAGCCGAACAGCGGCGGAAGGGGCGTGAATGAGTTTGTTGAGCGGCCGCGGAGGCGCAGGGCGCGCAGGAGCGTCGGGCGGGGCCGTTCGCGTCACGAATGAGTAGGGGCCATTAGCACTGTGCTGCACAGGGGCCCCAGCGGAGGCGGGGCCAAGGGCGCGGGGCGCGCGCGCCGCAGCAAGCTCGACGCTCCGCGATATTCGAGTGAGATTCGCTCGAACAAAGACCTGTCGTCCTCGAGCGGCCTCAGACCGGGAGAGGGGCGTGCGCCCCGATTCGGCAGGCTGCCGAAGGCATAGCGGCTGGCGGCTGGCGAGACCGAGACCAGCTTAGGTTGATGATTCAGAGCGCCCTGAGCCCCGCTCACTTTGGGTTATATCCGGGCCTCATGGACGCGCGGCGAGGCGGGGACGCAGAGGGAGCTCCCGACGCCAGCGCGGGCCCCGCGCGCCTCGATTTCGGCAGCAACACCCGGGAGCTCATGGAGTACGCCGACGAGGTGCTGCGCTCGAGCGCCAGCAAGGACGAGGACGCCCCGCCGCAGCCGGTGACGTCCACGACTCCTTTCCTCGACTCCCTGGTGAGCCGACGGCCCGCGAGGTCCTTCCCGCCCATCGACGTGGCGCGACCCAAGGCTATTTCCTCCCCAGCGCCCGGAACACGCGCGGGGCCGGCGGACGGCGCGCGTTCTGCCGAGCACGCGCTCACAGCCTCTTTGCCCGTCTCCCACGGACTCGGCACTCCCTGTTTTGGGCGACCCCGCCGCGGCACCGCGACGACAGCGAGCCCCGCCGTGCGACGCCCGCCCCGGGACGCCCGCCCGCCCCCTCACCCGCTCAACTCCGTCGCCCACAGATGCCAGCGCCTTTGCCGCCCCGCACCCCTCGGCCGCGCGCGCGCACGTACGACAGCAGCACCCCCCCCTCGCACGTCGCACTCCGCACGCCCGTGGCGCCCCCCACGCCTCAAGGCCCACCCAACGCCTCGCACGCGCCAGCGCACCGTCTACTCACCGACAGAGAGAACGTTCCCGCTCTCCAACGCGTCCGCCCGCCTAGACGCCCCCACCGCGCCTCACGGCCTTCCCCCATCCCCCTCGCGTCCCGCGGCGCCTCCGCGCCGCCCTCCCGCCCCGCCACGGCCACAAACGCGCCCCCACCTCGCACCCCCCCTCTTGACCGCCCCGCCCCGCCCTCCACGCCGCCCCTCCGCAGGAGCCCGCCGGCCGCACGGACTCCCAGACCGACACGGTCTCGAACCCCATCGAGATCGGCGCGGACCAGTTCTCGAGCGACGAATTCCGGCTCTATAAGTGCAAGGTCATGCGATGCCCCAAGACGCGGCCGCACGACTGGACCAACTGCCCGTACGCGCACCCGGGCGAGAAGGCGGCCCGGCGCGACCCGCTCGTGTACAACTACCGCGGCTGGGCGTGCCCGGAGTTCCGGCGCGCGGGGTCGTGCCCCCGCGGCGACGCGTGCCCGTTGGCGCACGGCGTCTTCGAATGTTGGCTGCACCCGTCGCGGTACCGCACGATGAAGTGCGTGGACGGCGCGGCCTGCACGCGGAAGATCTGCTTCTTCGCGCACAACGAGAGCGAGCTCCGCGTCGTGCCCCCTGAGGACCCCGCGCGTATTATGGAGCTGCAGACGCTGCTCGGGGAGGGCGGGCACGGCGCGGGGGGCGGCGGCGGCGCGTGGGAGACCGGGACGCAGCCGGGGTCGGGGCAGGCGAGCTTCTCGCACGGCCACGACCCGTTCTCGCTGCCGCCGGGGGTGACGGCAGAGCACGTGGGCCGCAGCGCGGAGCTGGCGTCGCTGCAGGCGCTCCTCGCGGACAAGGGCCGCGAGGTCCGCGAGATCCGCGCGAAGATGGTCGCGATCGCGACGCGGATGCCGCTCGTCGACCGCTCCGACGGGTCTGCGGCGCGCCTCCCCATCACGCAGCTCCAGGCACTGGGGTTCTCGGCTGAGGCGCGCCTCGGTGCGTCGCCCGGCATGAACAGCGCGCCGTCGAGCGACATGATGCGCCTGCAGCACGCGCAGACCGAGGCGGCGGCGCGCATGCGCCGCGGCGTGCGGAAGCAGCAGACGCTGCAGCAGCAGCAGCAGCAGCAGCGGATGCAGCTCGCGCAGCAGATGGCCGCGATGGGCGGCGGCGACGGCATGGGCGGGCCGCCCGGCGCGCAGCACGACGCCATCCTGGCCATGCGCGCGCACCTGGCGCGGCAGACCGCGATGGTTGGGAGCGCGGCGCTGCAGGGCCCGCGGCAGCGGAGCTTCGGGTCGCCGGCGCCGCGGCGGGGGTCCGCGCAGGCGGGGCCGACGTCGATGATGTGGCGCGTGGACAACGGCGCGCCGCAGGTCGGCCACCACGCGTCGGGGGGGTCTTTTACGGCGCAGCGGCACAACCTGGGGGGATTCTCGGAGACGACGGGGACGCCCGGGCAGTCGACGCTGCCGATCGACAACCTCCGCGCCATGTCCGAGTCCGTCGCGAGGGTGCGCGCCCGCCCACTGCCCCCGCACGCTCCCCACCGCGCAACTCCCCCTGTGCGTCTCGCTGCCCGTCGCTGCGGCACGCCACGCCTCCTCTCACGCACCACAACACTCTCCTGCACCTGCGCCATCACCAGCCACACCAAGCTCTCCCAACATCAACAACAACGCCGATCACTCAATACCCCCCCAACACCCCCCCTCCCTCTGCAGACTGGCGGCTCGCGCATCTCCCCGCTCGACCTGCACGGCCCGTCCGCCGGCGACCACGGCTTCGCGCCGTTCGACGCGGGCGCGCCGTTCAGCGACGCCGACGTCCACGCTGCGTACATGGCCATCATGTCGTCGAGCAGCGCGCTCGACGCCGCGGGCGCCGGCTCGCCGTCGATGCCCAAGCCCAGCGAGAACGCCGACCGCGACGCCCAGTGACGCCGGGGCGCCGCGTGCTCTGCGGCGGGCGCGGCGCGCCAGGGCCACCCCCTCGGCGCCGGGCGCCCGGCCGACGGGGCGAGCATGCTGCTACACGCGCAGGGGAACAGGCGCAAGTGATCACGCAGGCGCTGCGCGCGGACGCGCCGTGCTGCGTGCCGCGAGGACGCTGCCGGCGCCAGCAGTCTAGGACCACCACCACCACCACCGCCCGGGCGCGGCCGCACCCGTCGCGGCGCTGCCACAGCCACGCAGTTGTGCAGCAGTGGATGCACCGGGGAGGGGGCACAGAAGGCCCCGCTTCCCGCGGTGCGCGGGGCCCGCATGCGTGCGCCCTGATAGCTCGCACGCCGCGCCGCCGACGACGACACCCACGTCCCGCGTTTGCGGCGGGCTTGGGCGCTGCGCGCGACGCAAGGGGGGTTGGTTGCTTTCTTCGCCTTCAAGGAGGCCGGAAACTTCCCCTACCCGCCCTGAACCTCCACCTTACCCCGCCCCTCACGACCGCAGCCCAGCCCCCCCGCTCTTCACTCCCCCCTTCCCACTCTCGCTTAAGGGGCGGCGTTGGCGACGGCCGTCGCTCGGAGAACGGTCGCCCGCGAACAGCCACCCCGGCACGGCGTCGGTGCCGTCGACGCCTGAAGAACGTGCCCGCTCCAACCAACGAACCCCGCCCGACGACCCCCCCCCCTCCGAGGGAAGTCCCCCCCTCTACATGACCCTCTCGCCTCATCTGGCTGATTCTCTCTCAGGGCTGCATTGACGACCTACTATCCTCGCAGCCGCGTGCGCCCTCATCGGCGCGCGCACTGCTCCGCGGCATCCGCACTTGATGGAGTGTCCTGGCAACCCCCGCCCCGGAATTTCAGGTTCCGCAGCCAGCCCGCGTTTTTATCTCTCGACCGAGCGACGTCGGCCGTCGACCGACCGGGAGGGGGACGCCGCGCGCCCCGAAGCGCAGCGCAGGAGTGTGTGCTGCCGCGGTTGGGACTAACGAACCACGTGCCGCGTCGCAGGTGACGCGGCGCGCCGCGTCGCGCCCCCGCCCCGGTCTCCGTGGACGTGGCTCCCGTCCGAGCCACTGCCTGATGACGCCTGTTCACGGTGTCGCGCCTTTTACCCCCCCTCCTCTACTGCTGGCACTGCGGACGTGCCACTCTCGCAGGTGACGCACGGCCGACGCCTCATGAAGCGCAACCACCCGCGGCACCATCGCGGTCCCCGGGCCTCGAACGACCCTCCGCTCTCGACACCAACCCCATGACACCAACCCCATGACTCCAACCCCATGACATCGTTCTAGCTCCAACCCCAATCCCAGACCGACGAAAAAGCAGACTCCCCCCGGCACGTCGATGCCGGCGCAGATGGGGGCCGGCTCACGGCGGGCGCTCCCGTTTCCACGCGGCGCCAGCCGGGAGAGATTGTGTGCCCCTGATTACTCCCCCCCACCCCCCCCCTCGACACCGGCTCGTGACGACGGCAGGGCTGCATCGCATCAGCGACAGGCGCCAAATCGAAGAAGACCTGCCGCAGGAGGATGCACATACTACAGACCGGGCAGGCAGCTGCGACGCCAAGGATTACGCCCGCGCCTTACTTGGCCCGCGAGGCTTGCTCGCTACACACCCCCCCCACCCCCCTTCCCTCCCGAGATGCGCTAGCGCGGCTGGCAGTTGCGCGGCACAGACGCGGGGACCGCGCCGGGCCTGACTGGCCGCAGACGAAGGCGTCGGTGTCGCGTCATGTGTGCGCGTACGTAGCGCGGCGCGATGCGCATGGGCGGACATACACAGGACGGGCGTGAACGCGTCGGTGACGTTCGATCCTTGACGTTTGAGACATCCCGCCCGATCCATTGCTCTTGACACGAACAACGCGGCTTGAATTCCAACACCCCTCCCCCCCTTCCCCGACGACTGCCGCCCTAGACCGAACCGCTCCACGGCGTGTGACGGCAGCCTGCGACGACGTTCGCTCTGCTTTGCGCTCTCTCACGTGCGGGTACTCGTTCGCGCTGTCTTGGTTGCCACGTCTCTCGAAGCAAAACCTAGATGTCGCGCACAGTGTAGCAATCAGTGACTGCTTTCACGCCACGGAGAGCCATGTTCGAGGGCCTGGGAGGCGTGTCGGGCCAGGTGCGAGACGCATCGGTGTTGCCGGCGCCAAGACGTCAACCAACGACGCCATTAGGCTCCGAGAGCCCGCAAACGGACAGCCCTCTCGCGCGCACCGCCAGCACACTGCCTCCACCCTTCCCGCACCAGCGACGACGACGACGACGACGACGCGCGCGAGCATCACACCCCCAGGCTCCCGCAACACCCCCCCCCTTCCCCGCACCTCCGCCGCGTCACTCCACCTGCTCCAGCCGCGCCGCCTCCCGCGCCCCCGCCGCCGCCTCCGCCGCAGACAAGCTCGCCTGCGGCGTCCACCCCGGCGGCCCCATGCTCTGCATACGGCTCACGTTGCTGCGCCAGCCCGGGGGCCCCTCTGAGAACGTCGTGTCCGCTCGAGCCAGCGGCCGCGGCCCCGGCGCGCGCCCTGCGCCGCCGAACGCGTCCCCCCACACCTGCCACGTGCCGTTGTACGCCACTCCCCCCCCCGGGGCCGCTGCGTCAACTGCCACGCCGCCGTCCGCCCACCGCACGCCGTACACGCCGTCCTCCTCCTCCGCCGGCGGCCGCGCAGCCTCGGGCGAGTACCGCAGCAGCTCGCGCCCGGGGTCGCGCCGGTCCCTGCCCGGCGTGTGGCTCGGGTGCGCTGCGCCGGGCGCCGTGCGCACGGTGGTGCGGTCGAGGTCGCGGTACGGCGGTGTGGCCTGCGGGGACGGCGCGGCGTAGCCGTCGACGTCGCCGCGCCGCGTGGTTTGCCCGTCCCAGACTTTCCCGCGCTTCGGCTTGCGCTGCGGCAGGGGGGAGTTGGGGGCAGACCCCCCCCCGGACGCAGCCCCGCCGCCGAGCGGCGCGGGCGGCGCGGCGCGCGGCGCGCGGCTCCCCGACCGCGGCGCGTCCGTCTGCCGCTTCCGCTTCGCGTCCGCGCTGTCCCTCCGCTGCACGCGCGCCCCGGGCGCCGCACCGGCGCCGCCATCGTCGCCCTGGTCGGGGTCCCAACGGTGAAGGGCGCGGCGCCACTTCTTCAGAATGCCGTCGAACGCGCGCTTGCTGACCTTGAGGTGGGCGTCCGGGGTCACCGGGTGCACTCGCGGCTTCCGTTTGTCCTTGGAAACCAGTTCCAGGTATCTCTGATATCCAAGAGTGTTCTTCCCATAGTCTATCTGCTTCTGCCGCTGCTGGATGCGCCGGGGGTCGGTCTCGCGGTCCTCTGCGATCGGGAGCGCGGGGCCGAGAGGGCGGTCGGCGCGTGCGGGCCGGCCCGGGCGACGTGAGACGCGCAAAGCGGTAGTGGCGAAAGACTGGGACTCGGGACGGCATCGGGGCGGGGAGGTGCGGGCGCGCGGCGCCGCGGAGAGCATGGTGGCGTGCGTAGAAGGCGCGTGGGAGGGCTGTTGGGGGACCGCGGGGGGCCGGGCGATCCCGAAACGGGCTGCGAGGCGCAAGGAGCGGCGCCACGTGTGGTGCCGCTGGCGACGCATAGCGCGGTCGAGACGCGCGGATCGGCGCGGAATCTGGTCGATTAGAGCGTCTGTGGTGCTGTGAGGTGCCTCGTTTCCGGGATGCCGCGCGGTGCGGCGCGAGGAGCGGGCTCTGGTGATTGCCGTGGTACGGGGATGAGACCGACCCTTTTTCGCACAATTGGGAGCGCGGCAAGCCGCGGACTGCGCCGCGGCGCATGCAGGATATGAAGGTGCGCGCGGACAGCGCCCGTCGGCGATCGACGAGAGGCCCGTGCGAAAACAGCGGCGTGGAAACAGCGCTGGCGGATGCGCGGGGGACTCGGCGTGCAGCGCGGGCGCGCGCCTCGCGGCTTTCTGGCAGCTCATCGGAACGACAGCACGAGGCGTTCGCGCCCGCGGCGCAAGGGATGCGCCGCGAGGTCCTGGCGTGCCGGCACGCCGCGCTTCCCTGGCACAGAGGGTCCGTTGTCGCGCGCCGCGACTCGCTCACCGGTCATTTCCACGTCTTCGACGGCGAAATCGTCCGTGTAGTCCACCGCATCCTCCGCGAAGTCAAACATGTTGGCCATCGTGCCCTCTCCTCCCGGCTCGCAGCCAGGTTCGATGCAGGCCAGGTCTGTGCTCGCCGCTCGCAGCACGGCGCGTGGATCCTGACGGAACGTCCCCGAAAGAATGCTCGGATCTCCTCTCTTCGGTGTTCTGCGCGCGCACGGGCGGCCCGCGCACTCTCGACGCCGCACCACCGTCCCACCCTGTCTGCCTAGCAGACGGACACCCCTCAGACCCCCCCCCCTTGGCCGCCGCAGCGCCCAGCCCGTCCCGAGCGCGCACGCCGCCGGCCCAAACGCGCACCGGACCCCCTATCCTCACAAAGCCCCGCAAGACCTGAATTCCCATCTCTTTTGCACTCGCTCACACAAAGCCCCGCACTCAGAGTAGTCATTGAGCACCCGCGCACGAAATGAAATGCGGGTGTGCTATCGTCCTGATCAAGGCGGCAGCGTGCTAGGAGTACTCGCGCGAAATGCCATGTGAGCGTGTGCCAAGGGAAGGCTCTGACCTGCAATCAGTAAGAGTGAGTGGCGGGCGTCGTCAGCAACAACGCGGCGAGCCGCGCGAGTACTGGACGACGCCCGCCAGCCGACACGCCGAAGTGCTGGTCCACGTCCTAGGCTGCTTGTACCAGGGGGTGTCGGCAGCCGGCTGGTACACAAAGCACCCGCACTCAACACGCAACACGCGCTCACAGCTCCCCGTCCTCCTTCTCGCTCTCCTCCGCCCGCCCCCTCTTCTCCGCGCCCTGCGCCGCCGGACTCCCCCCGCTACGCCCCCGCTTCCTCGAGTCACCCCCCCCCGCCGGGCTCCGACTCCGGCTCCGCCGCCCGCGCCGCCCGCGCCCCCGCTCCCGCTCCCGCTCCTCCGCCCGCTCCCTCGCCCGCCTCCGCACCCGCTCGAACAGCTCCTCCCGCTCCGCCTCCTCCTCCACCGCCTCCGCCGCCGCGTGCCCCTTCACCCGCGCCCACACCTCCGCCCACTGCGACTCCGGCCCCACGTCGCCGCGACGACGCAGCAGCGACATGAACTCGTCCCGCGCGCGCCGCCGCCGCCGCTCCGCGCGCTCCTCGCGCCGCCGCGCCTCCGCGACCCCGCACTCGAACGCCAGCCGCAACGTGGGGCCGTCGAGCTCCGCGACGACCTCCGCGAGGGGCCGGCCGAGCGACTCGGCGTCGGACGTGCCTGCGGCCGCGCGGCGCGCGGCGTCGGCGTCGGCGGCCGTGCGGAGGGCTGCGCGGAACTCTTCGAAGGTGGTGTCGGCCGTGGGCGCGAGCGAGGCGGCGGACATGGCGTCGGCGATGGTGCGGCAGCGGCGGTCGAAGGCGGCCTCGAGGCGCGCGAGCTCGTCGAGGAAGAGCTGCTTCGGGCGGGAGCCCTGCGCGAACGGAGAGGGTGCGACGCGTCACGTCTATGGCCGGAGCACGGCGCGGCGCGGCGGGAGGTAGAGACGGCGCCGCGCATGCGTGTCGTGAGTGTTCATGCGTCATGCACGCACACATTGCATCTTCATACTAATGATCACCACTCGACGATTGGTTTTAAACAGATATGGTACGAAGTGATGTTGTGGCCGCATTTTACGTTATTTGACGTTGTTGTGGTAGTTCATCATAGCATGTGTGATGCGCGCACCTCGATGTTCAGGCACAGCGCGGTGTACTGCGGTTTGAGGTCCACCAGCGGCAGGAACTCCTTCCACCGCATTCGTGGCGTCAGCGCCCCCTCCTCCACCATCCCGCGCAGCAGCTCCCGGAACACGTCCCGGGCCTTCCTCTGCGCCGCGAGGTCAACCAGCACTCACCAGTCGGCAACGCTCAATAACTGATCACTTGAGAACAATCACGGTTGAATAAATAATAAAAAATAAAACAAAAACAACAACTCAGACCGCCACAACTCGGCCGCGAGCACGACGAGATGCAGCCCGGCCCGCACGCCCACGCCTTGCTCCATCGCGGCGCTCCAGCGCGCAGCGAGAAAGGGGGGGGTGATTATTATAAATTGGTGTCATTGCGCGCGCACCTCCCGTCGCTCCCGGTCCCGGCGCTCCTTCTTCCTCCCCTCGGCCTCCTCCGCCTCCCGCGCCGTCATCACCTTGACGTACTCCTCCAGCACGTCCAGCTGCGTCAGCCCCTGGGCCTCCGGGAGCGCCAGCACCTCCCTGCGCACGCGCGCCCACCGCGCCGTCGTCGGCGCGAGCCCCGGCATCGCGCGGATCGCGTCCGCGAGCGCGCGCCGCCGCTCCTGCGCGCGCTCGTACCGCAGCGCCTCCGCGCGCCGCTCCCGCTCCGCCGCCCACTGCGCGTGCATCTCCCTCCGCTCCGCCTCCGTCGGCACCGCGCGCCAGCGCTCGTCGGCCGCGTACCGCACCGCCGCGGCCGCGAACGACCCGGGCGCGGCGGCCTCGTCGCCCGCGCCGTCGTCCAGCATCGCAATGAACGCCTCCTTTATCTCTTTACTCCTCGTTCGATATTCTTCCTTCAACTCCTTCTCTCGCTGGTGCCGCCACTCGTGGAACGTCGCCTTCTTGTCCGACAGCGACCGCAGCGCGCCGTACCGCTTGTCCGTGCACATCACCTTCAGCGCCCGCTCCCACGACCACTTGGTGTCGACGCCCGTGTCGGTGAGCATCTGCTTGAACGCCGCGCGCGCCTCCTCGCGCGACGCGTACCGCACCGCCGCCGCGTCCGCCCCCGCCGCCTTCTCCGCCTTCTCCGCCGCCTCGCTCTCCTCCTTCTGCTTCAGCAGCGCTGCCGCGATCGGCGCCGCCCGCTCCGCCGCCGCGTCCCGCGCAGGCGCCGGGCCGGGCGGGGCGGGCCCCGGCGGAGCCGCGGGACGCGCGGGCGGGGCCGGGCCGGGCGGAGCCGCCGCGGGCGGCCCCGGCAGCGCGGGGGGCGCGGTCTGTTGTTGTTGCGGCACCGGGGGGGGTCTCGGGGGGGCCTTGCCCGAGTCCTGGGAGGCCACGAGCTGGCTCGCGATGTCCTTGATCGCGGCGTACTCCGCGGGGCACTCCCACACGGACTGTTTCGTGACCTTGTTGTAATAATAGCTGCGTCCATCGGGCCCCCTGTGTTCCACCCAGGGGGAGCTGCTCTTGGCGATTTTGAGCGCGCGCTCCTCGGGCGTCATGAGCGCCTCGGGCTTCGTCCACGACGACGCGCGCGTGACGCGGTTGTAGTAGTACGTCGTGCCGTCGGGGGCCTTGTGCTCGGTCCATTCCGGCTCCTGCGGGGGGCGCGCCAGTCGAGAAACAGAGTCTGAAAAAGAGTCGAGAAAAAGAGTCTGGGGATTCCTCGGTGGAACCAGGGCGGGTGTGCGCGCGCGGGGCGCGCGGGCGGCGTCGCTGGGCCGCGGGCGCGCGAGCGCGGACCTCCCCGGGCCGCCGGCGCGCCGGCGATCGAGGAATGGTGTCTTGCGTTGGCACGGAAAGGCCATGTCGCGCTCGTGGTCGGCGGGGGGACTCACGTCTTTGCCCGGCCGCGGCGGCGGCACCCCTGGCGGCCCCGGCAGCGGCCCCCCCGGCGCGCCAGGGGGCGGCTGCGCGCCCCACGGCACCGGCCCAGGGCCGCTATGAGGTGGCCAGGGCGCGGGGGGCATGCCGTGCATCATGTGCGGCGGCGGCGCGCCCCACGGCTGGCCTGGGGGCATTCCCTGCGAATGCATCGGAAAGTGGGGCCCGGGCGGCATCCCGGGAGGCCCGAATCCCGGCCCGGGAGGCACTGCACCGCCCGGCAAGGGTGGCGGGCCGCCTGGGCGCGGAGGGAAGCCGCCCGGCGGGGGGCCTGGTAGGTTGCCTTGATTCATCGTCGCGGGCGGGGCATCCGTGGACCTGGGGCGCACGTGGGGGCGGAGCGGAGGCACGTTGTCGGTGCAGACAGCGAGGCCGGGCGTCGCGCGCTGCACGCGCGCATCCGGGCCCGTGGAGCGACCGCGCGCATGGGTACGCGGTAGAGGAGGCGGCGTCAGCTGCGAGCGGGCTCTGGCGCGCGCAGTCGCTGCTGGGCGCGCGCTGAAAGAGCCGTGCTGCCCACCTGCACTCGATAGCCGCGCTGGGCTCGAACACGCGACCTTCTCGTGCAACGCGTCGCCGCGCGGGTACTTCCCGCGGCGGGCTCCGTCGCCAGCCCATCAAAGGAGGAGTCCGAGGGTATAACGCGCCGTTCTGGCTGTCGCACTCTGCCGCCTGATGCAGGGAGGACCCTCGCGCACTCCCCGGGGCCCTGCGGCGCCGCGACGGCGCCCCCGTTGCCGCGCCGCCGCCGCCTCCGCCCGCACTACCCCGCGCTGTCCACGCCGCCCTCCCGCGCCACGACACGCAGCGAGCCTGAACGCATCCACGCCTGCGCAATTGGTTGATTTCTCCTGAGACGAGGGACACGGGCGCGGCGGCGCGCGCACGGGCAGGGGAACGCAGTGGCTGGCGGCAGCGATGATTTACGACACGGGGAGTATTCTATTTCGGTCCTTCTTGGCGGTATCAGGAGGCTCGCGGGAGCACAGGTGCGCTCCGGGCGTGTTTCCGCGTCGTTTCGGGCTCCCCGCCGCCGCGCGGCCGCGAGCAGCTCCCTCACGACCGCCCGGACCGGCTGCCTGGCGCGGCACGGCTGTGCCGGGCAGCCCGCGGACGGTTGCAGCAGTTGCGGGGGGTGCGCCGTCGCGCGGCAGCGGGGGCCTCGCTGCGGGCGCGGCTGGGCCCGTTCCGCTCGATTTTATGCGGATTGTGCCGTGGGCTGGCGGAGAGGGCCCCTGAATGGGCGGCGAGGGCCCGCGACGTGATTGTGGGCGGGGTGCTGGCTTCTTCGCGCGTCCGGCCCGCGCAGCCCCGACGTGGCCGCTGCCCCGCTCCGCGTGAGCGTCTGCAGGTTCGAGAAGCGGCCACGGCAGGTCGGGGAGCGGGCGTCGGACAACAAGCCCGCCATGATCGAATAATGTCTGACACTTGCAACGCCTATTCTCCCCCGGGCGGACGAACTAGACCAAGGGCCCGCCGCGAGGCGACGCAGGCACAGACGCGCCGTCCAGCATCGACCGCGGCGACCTGCGCCGCCGCGCTGGCGCCGTGTGACTGCGCTGCCTAGCTCCTGCAAGGTTTGCACCCGCACACGCCGCCGCAGCGCTCCCGCGCGGCAGCAAGCCGGCGCACCCGGCTCCCGTGATCGCCGCGGCCGGCGCCGCGGCCCGTGTCCGCGAATGTCCGCGCGCACCAGCCCGGGCCGGCGCCGCCTGGTCACCGCTGTGCGGTCCGCGGCGCGCCCCGCCGTCGGCTGGCGAGCGGGCCGGCTCCACGCACGGGGCCCGCCACCAGCAGCCCAGCTGCGTCCCTGGCTGGCGTAGGCGACACTGATTGTCCCTTACTCGAAGATTTACACACACACACACACACACACAACATGCGCCTCATTCACCAAGAAGCAAGAGTGATTCAGTCATGACGTGGATGGATGCACGGAGGGCGAATGTACGTGTGGTGGAGGCAGATGCGCCAGCCGTAGCTCGCTCGCTCGCTGCTCCGGTGCCATGCGATGCCGCGGCAGGTCGTGGCGCGGGCCACCCCTATCTCAGCCCCCACATGACCACTCCTGTGTTCTCAAACATGTGCGCACGCTCAAACATCCACTTTCATGACAAGCCAGGGTGCTTGCAGGTCAGCGAATCACAATACCTTATTATTATATCACCCACAACGACGCGCAGCATCGCCGCGGCCAGACGCGCGCCGCTCACGCTCCGCCCCCGCCGCTCTCCCTCTTGTCCTTCCGCCCGGGCCGCACCCAGAAGTCCCGCGGCGGCAGCTCGCACCGCACAGCGTCGCACAGGTGCACGACCCCCGCCCCGTCCGCCGTCTTCGGCGCCCACAGCACCTCCAGCGCCTCCTTCGACAGCCCGCCGGCCTCGGCGCCGCGCGTGCCGCCCGCGCCGACGTCCGTCGCGCGCACCGCGTCCGCGCCGGGCTCCGCAGCTGACGCAGGGGGCGGGTGCGACGCCGCCGACGCCAGCTCCGAAGACGCGCCGTCCCCGGCGTCCGTGATGCGGCCCGCGGGCACGCCCGGGTCCTCGATCGCGACCCTCGCCGCGCGGGCGATCTGCTTGCCCGCCTGCTGCCACGACAGCCCTGCGTCATCGATGGCCGCGCGCCCCCGTCCGTCGTACACCTCGCGCGCGCCCTCGAAGATCTTCATGCCAGCTGCAGCCACGCGGCGAGAGCGGGGCCTCAATCAGGAGCCGTGATGAGCTCCCAAAACAACACAATAATGATAATGACGCAATAATGATAATAATGATTGATTTATATTTATACTTATATTGTCTTTCATATTGGATTCATTCATTCGGTTGTGCGTTCATCACGACGGCAGATCCCGCCGCGGCCCGACGCGCGCAGCCCGCGGCCCGCCCCCCTGCCGCTGCCACGACCACAGCAGTCGCTGCCAAGCACACGCTGTCGACTGCGGGAGGTGCGCGTGCAGGTCGCGAGCGCACGCACCGACGGTCTCGAGGCTCGTGAGGGGGACGTTGTACGCCGCGAGCGGGGTCGCGGGGTCGATCGCCTGGTTCGGCATCACGAACGCCGCCACGTGCAGGGGGGGGTGTCTCCTGCGACCCCCCCCCGGGCGCCGGCCGCCCGCGGGCGCGCGCGCGTCGCGCGGCACCGCGAGCACGGCCTTGAAGAAGTGCGTCGGGACGTGCACCATCGCCGGCGGGTCCCCGATGCACTCATACCGCATTTCCCACTTCTTCCCCCCGGGGGACTTTTTCGGTATAAACAGCGGGCCTGCGGGCGCGGGACGCGGACGCGGAGCTCCTAGGCCGCGCGGAGCGGCTCTCGTCGCAGCGGCGACGTGCGTGTGTGCGCCCGGACGGCTCTGGCTGCGCGCGCGACGCGGGAGCACGCAGTTGCAGTGGCGCGGAGCGCCGAGGTGGCACGGAGCGCGCGCAGCTGCGTCGGGACAGCTCGGGCGGTGCACGGGACCAGATCGACGTTGCGCGTTGTGTCGCGGTGGCTGGCAGCTGGCGCGGCGCGGGAGGGGGTGGCGGTGGGCGCGGGCGGGGGTGCGTGCGCGCAGGAAGGGGGGCGTTCGCGGCGCGTGCGAGGCAGGCAGGGTGGCGTTCGTCCCTCTCTGGGCGTGTTGATCAATTAATTAATTAATTTGTAATTTGTAATTTGTAAAATGTGGTGGTCCGTGAGGGGACGCACGAGCGCGGTTCGCTCGCCGGGCGGCGCTCAGAGGCAGCCGCCTTGCTTCGCGGGTGGTTTGGCGCGCAGCGCGCTGCCTCTGACCGGCGCGGGCGCGGAAACCCCCCAACAGGAAAGCCCGAAATATGATCAAATATCAAATATGATTTCCATATCTAGAGTGTCCATCCAATCATGTCTCTGCTCACCCGTGAGAATGTACACGTCCTCGTACTGCCCGTCGCGCGCGAGGCACCGGCAGAACCACTCGAAGCGCCCCCAGTACTCCCGGTTGAACGCCCCGACCTGAGGACTGACATTCGTGAGGTAAAACGTCTCGTCCATGTCCTTTTGCGAAGACTTGTGGTTCATTGCAGGAGCCATGTGGCCCCTGTCGTACCCCGAGCCGCGATAGTCGTCCAGCCGCGCCCGGAACCGCTCCTCGAACGCCTCGTCCTCCCGGAACGACGACCGCTCGCGCGTCGCGCCGCTGGGCGTGTAAGGCTCCTCGCTGTTCCACCCTTCGAGCTTCTCCAGAACCCACCGCGGGTTCCTGGAGCGCGGGTCCCACGCCACGGCGAACTTCTCGAAGTAACGGACGTGCTCCGTCGTCGGGAGCCCGAACGCCGCGACGGCGTGCGCGCTGGCCTCGGTGTCAGTACTGCGCTTGCGAGCGCGCCGCTGCGCGCGCGCGCCGCGGCCGGACCCGAGCAGGTGCGGACCTTGCAGGAGGAGCGCGGTCACGCCCGCACCGGCGACGGCCCCGACCGTGATCGCTACGACGGGCCGCATCGCGGCCTAGACCATGTGCAAACAAACGCAGTTGCACGTCACGGAATAGACCCCAGATCGCGCTCTGCGACGACGCACGGAAGCCTTGCTGCTGGGCCTTGCGGCCCGGATTGCGTGATCGAGCGCAGGCCGCGTCGCGCGCGCTCTCTGCGCAACGCTGGCGAGCCTGTGCACTGCGGCGCTCGTGCTGACGAGGACCGACGCCGGCCCGAGCCCGCGCGCGGTCCGCCGCGATGCGTACGAGGCGTTCTACCCCGGGCGCGCGGCGAGGGTCGCATGCAACGCCCCTGCTCGCGTGGAGGAGTCCCGGAGACACATCCCAGAGACATTCCCGGGCCGCTGCGCACGAGGCCGCGGGGCGCCTCCCTCCGCGCGCACTTCCCGGCTTCGCCGTCCACCGCGGGTCCCTTCCAGGACCGTCAAATCGGCGTGGGACCTCCCTAGGACAACGCGGGCGCGCCTTAAGCTCGAACTCTGTCTCCTTCGAGCCTGAAAGGGCGCAAGGGGCCCGTTGTCCGCGACACCGCGGCGTGCGCGTCCGCGGCAGCATGGGGGACTACTGGGTGGAGACGCAGGCGATCCTGCAGGACCCGGCGAGTCCGCTCGTGCGTCGTCCGAAGCTGAAGGATGCTCTTCTGCAGAAACCGCCCTTCAAGTTCCTCCACGACGTCATTTCCGAGGTCCAGCGCAGCACGGGGTTCGCGCAGGGCCTCTTCGCCGACCACGAGCAGGAAAAAGACCTCATCAAGGACAAGGAGAGCAAGGTGGCCTATTTAACCAAGGCCATGCACTGCGTGGGCATCGCGCTGAACGAACACATCAACGTCAACCCGCTCAAGGTCGTCGCGGGCCTCGAGCCCGCGAACACCAACGCCTTCCTGCAAGCGCTCGGCCGCGCGGCCACGCAGGGCGACGGCGCGGCGGCCGTCGAGGCTGTGCTACAAGGTGCGCAGCCCCTTCCCGGCGCATCCACGCGCGCACGGGCGCGGAATTTCGCAACGCGGCGCATGAGCAGACGCACACGCTTGCCCCCCGCCCTCCCCGCCGCGCCACGCCGCCCGCGGCCCCTCACACCCGCAGCCAGCCCCGCAGGACGCGTCCGCCAGCGCTGGCCCCCTTTTTACGCGACCTGTGCCTCACACGTCGGCTCACACCGCCTCAGACGCCGCGCCCTGCGTTGCTCATCCTCTGCGTCTACAGGAAAGACGATGCCGCCGCCGGCGATGTCCCCGTCGCCGCGCGGACAGGCGCCCCCGCTCACGCCGGTGCCGGAGGCCGCGCCTGCGCCGCCCCCGCGCGAGGCCCCGCCGCCGCAGCCGGCCGAGGAGGAAGAGATGCGCTTCTTCGGCAACTCCGAGGTCATGCAGATGAACGACAACGCCTCCCCGGAGCCGCAGCCCGACGCACCACCGCCGCGCAGCGAAACGCCGCCCATGTTCGGGGCGGACACCCCCCCGCCGGACACCGAGGCCGCAGGCCGCGCGAACGAGCCCCTCGACGACCCCGCCGCCGGCGCGATGCCGGGCGAACCGGACCTGCCGCCCGGCGCGCTCGCGGGCGACGCCGCGGGCGGGCTCGCGATGCTGCCGCCCGTGCCGCCGGGGCGCCCGATGACGGCGCGCAAGGCGCCGCCGAAGGTCGCGGGCCCGCCGCCGAAGAGCGACCCCGCGCCGGCGGACGCGCCGGCGGCCGAGCGCGGCCCTTCTCCTGTGGTGTTTTTGGAACAGGCGGAGAGCGACTCGGACAGCGACGTGGAGATCGTGGAGGACGCGCCGGGGCCCGTGGAGGGGCTGGACGACGGCGCGAAGGGCGGCGCGCTCGTCGAGAACCTGCGCGCGGCGCACCGGGACCTGGGCGCGGCGGACGAGGCGGAGGTGCGCGGTTACAGTGTGTGGGGTCTGAGCGGCGGCGCGGTAGATATGGAATCTATACGTGTTTGGGCCGCGGTTTCCTCGACTGACGTCGGCCGCGGCCCGCGCAGCCGCCGCGCACCGCCGCACCGGCCGCGGCCCCCCGCGCCACGCCGATGTCGCGCCCGTCCACCGCTCCCCCCCCAAACCTCAACACCCCCCACCGTGACACCCTGCCCTTGCACGCCACCGCACAACGCCGCACACCCCCACCTCCTTCGAACAACGCCAACGCCCCCACACCCCCCCCACACGCGCGCACAACCCACAACCAACACCCTCCAAACACCCCCCCGCAGGACGAGATGGCGGGCGTGATTCTGGGCACGCGGTCGAAGAAGCAGGGCCCCGCGGACCTCGAGCAGATCAAGGCGACGGTGCAGCAGCTGTGCAAGGCCACGGAGCCGCTCGGCAAGGCGATGGACTTTTTGCAGGAGGACGTCGACGGGATGGTAAAGGAGTATAACTACTGGGCGGAGGAGTCCCGGAAGTTCCAGCAGGAGCTGGGGTCGATCCAGGTGCGCTGCCGGACGGTCGTGGCCGCGCCGTTTGCCGATCGTGGTCCGGCCACCGTTGTTGTTGTTGTTGAGGGAAAACCACCACGCGCGTTGATTCGGTTTGTCAGGGTTTGTGGATAGTGTGCGCGTGGTTGACTGGTGCGCTGTGCGCGGGCTGTCGAGCGGCGGGCCGTCTGAGGGGCGCTGCGAGTGCTGCGTTGCGTCAGCCGCGTCCAGCGCCCCGCTGCGCCGCCCGCAGCGGCCGTTCCTTCTGCGCTCCCGCGTTGCGCGCGACGGACGTTCTCCCTCCGCCGCAGTGACACGACAGCCGAGCAACGACGAGCAGCGCACCCGCAATCACAAACATACTGAAGCAGCAAACATACTGTTGTGTGCGGTGTGTTGCAGAGCCAGGCGAGCGGGTCGGAGACCAAGGTGAACGAGCTCGCGCGGCTGGACGAGGAGCTGGCGGGCAAGCGCGCGGAGCTGACGGCGCTGAAGGCGCAGGTGCTGCGGAACGACCGCACCATTGAGCGCCTCCTGGCCGTCGTGGCTGAGGGGTGCCGGTGAGAGACGGCGCACGGAGTCTGGCGCGGCGCGGTAGAACATAGGGGCGCCTGGGCGGCCGTGGGGCGTCGCCGGCGGCTGATCGGCGGCGCGCGGCGTGTGAACTGGCCAGCTGCGGCGCGCGGGGAGTGCGTTCGACGTTTCACGCGTAGTTCCGGGTCGCTGCGAGGCGGGCGCGGACTTGGGAGCGTGCAGATAGCGTGCTTGCTTTGGGGCGCACATCCGCGCTGGAGACGCCGCGACGAGCGACGGCGCGGGTTCAAGGATGAGCCTGTGTAGCGCAGCGGCGAGGCCGCGGCTGGCGGCGGCGTGCGGGGAGCCCGTGCGCCCAGCGTGGGCGTGCCCTGCCCGGGCGCGGGCGGCCAGGCAGCAGCGCCCGGCGGCGTCGCGCCGCGACGCGGAGCCCGCGCCCGGAGTGTCCAGACACGAGCTCCTGCGCGGTATCGTGGCATCGGGGCTGCTCACTGCGCTTGTGCCGGCCGGAGCCGTCCGCGCGGAGGGGGTGTTCAGCGAGCTTAAGAACGACACCCTGGCATACTCGTTCAAGTACCCCGTGGCTGACGTGGACGGCAACGCCATCCCCGTGATCTTCAGCAGAAAGCCGGAGAAGTACTCCAGCGCGGCGCCGCTCACCGCAGGTGCGCATTCGCCCCTCTTACACCCCACGCAGCACCTACCACGCCCCCGCGCGCCGCTGGACCCCCCTGCCTCCGCACGCCGCCCCGATGCGTCGCCACAGTGTTCCTCTTGCCCGCACGCGCGCCCGCGCTGCGCGAAACCGCCACACCGCCGCGATCTCCCTCGCTGCGTCACGTTCACGCCGCGAGCGCCGGTCCCGCAGACGCGCGGCAGCGCATCGTCGCGGAGCTCGTCGACCTGAAGGACTCCATCACGTACTCGATGTCCGTCGGCCCCGCGTACGGCGCTCTGGCGCGCAAGGAGCAGGCGGCGTGGACGGCGAAGGACGTCGCCGAGGCGGTGCTGGCAGACAAGTCGACGGCGCGCGTCACGACGGGGCAGCGCGTGTCGCTCGCGACGATCGAGAGCGCCGAGGCCGTCGAGGAGGGCGGCGTGACGTACTGGCGCTACGAGACGGTCTCGCAGGGGTCCCCCAGCCAGATCAATCGCTCGAAGGAAACGTACCGCCACGCGTACCACGTCACGGCGGCGCGCCCAGGCCTCGCGAACACGCCCTTCCTGTACACGCTGTCCTTCTCCGCGCCCGAGGTGCGTGCGCGCGGCCGAGCCGACTGCGTGTTGCTTTTCTCGCTCGCTGCGGCGCGCCGCCGCGCGCCCGGGCCGGCTGCGCGCGTCCGTGCGCTGCTGCGATATTCTGCGAACGGCCGCGCCGCGCCGCGCGCCTGCAGGACGTGTGGGTGAGGCTGGAGCCGCTGCTGCTCGAGGCCAGGAACTCCTTCAAGATGGAGGCTACGGGGAAGGGCTACGTCCCGCCGGACAAGGACCCGTGGCTCTTCTTCTGAAAAAATCAGGCAGCGCCCTCGCGAGACCCGCGGCCGCCTTCGCGCTCACACGCGCCAGCGCGCCAGTCTCGAGCTCTGCTCGCCCCTGTGTGATACGGCTGCGGCCTCCGCCGAGCGCCCCCGCCCGCAGCTCGGGTCTCTGAGCTCGCACGTGGATTATTCCAGCCGGGGACGAGCGGTCCTTCAGCCCTCGCGCGCCGCCTTGGCCTTGGCGCGGTTGTCGGCCGCTTGCTGCATCATGTAGCGCCGCTTGCGCTCCTGCTTCGCCACCTGCTCCCGCGCCTCCTCCTCGCGGCCCCTCTTTTTCGCACGCGCCTCCTGCCGCCGCGCGTCGGCCTCGCGGCGCTTCTTCGCCTTCTCGTTCCGAATCGCGTTCAGCTGCTGCAGCAGCGTCGCCATGCGCTTCTCCTCGGGCTCCAGCACGACCGCCCGGCGCTGCTCCAGCGTCTTCGTCTTTCGCTTCGGCTCCAGCTTCGGCTTGCTCTTGAACGGCAGCTCCCTCTGCGCGCGACGCGACGACGACAGGCAACCACCGTCTGCGCAGCTCGCGGCCGCCGCGCCGCGCCGCGAGACGGCGGCGACGGCGAGAAAAAATCAGAAACCGCGACGGAAGCGCGCGGCGCGGCCGGGCGCGGCCGCGCGACGCACCTGGAGCGAGGCCGGGATGCGCAGGGGGTTGAACTTGCGCTGCGGGGGGCGCTCGATCTCCCTGTACAGCGAGTCGTAGTTCCGCGGCGCGCCCTCCCCGCGCTCCCGCCGCAGTTCCGCGACGCTCCGCATCCGCACCCAGCCCTCCTCCTCCTCCTCCTCGCCCCCCGCCCCCTCGCCGCCTCCCGCCGCAGCTACGGGCGCTGCAGGCGCGTGCCGCGGCGCAGGGCCGGTGTCCTGGTAGTACCCGAGGCCCTGGTCGCCCAGCTTGAACACGTAGCCGGGGCGGCTGCCCACGAAGCGCGAGTTCGGCACGAACGCACGCCCCGCGGCGGCGCCAGCTTCTATGGTGGCACGCGCCGCAGCCTCGGCCTCGAGCCGCCTTGTTTCCTCTGCGCAGCACGCACGGACAAGCAGCACGTCGCCTCTTGCGGGCGACGCGCACTGCAGCGCGACGCGCCTCGCGTGCGGCGCACGCGAATGCACACGCAGACACGTGCACGCAACGCCCCCCGCGCTCGACGCGACACGCGAGCTGCGGCGCCGCACCTTCCGGCGTCGTCGCGGGCGCCTCGAGCTCCGGCGCGCCGCCCTTTGCCTTGCCCCGCGGCGCCACCTGCCGCACCAGCCCCCGCTGTCGCTGCAGGAGGTTTGTGACGGGGTTGCAGAGCCGCGGGAGGTCGACGGCGATCCACGCGCGCAGGAACACGATGTCTGACATGAGCACCTTGTCCTCGAACGTGGCCCGGAAAGACCCCTCCCCAATAGGCCCCTCCTTGGACGCCCCCGGACGCAGTGCCTTCTTTACCGTGCCTCTGCGGGGGCGCGCAAGTCAGCGGCGGTCGAGCGGGGCGGGCGGCGCGTCGCAGCGAGCGCGCGCGTCGGGCCACCGAGCTCGCGCTGGGGCGTGAAAGTAGTAGCGGGAACGAACGACGCAGTCTGACTCCGTCCAACTCGGAACGCAGGGGGGGGTGTGGAGGGTTCGAGCTCTGCTCCACGGAAAGCGAAACTACGGCCACGCAAGCCAGCAGCCGCGCTGCGTCCTCGCAGCCCTCTGTCCACAACGACCACCCAACACACTACCACCATCTCATATGGAAATCATTATCATATCATATCATGCACGGAAGGCGGGCTTGCGCGCGCGCACCTGATCCCGGAGACCGTCCGGATGGCCGCGCCCTCGAACTTCGCCGCCTCCTGCTGCGACGTGAACATGTCCCGCACGAACGCCGTGTGCCGGTGAATGCGAAACGGGTACCCCACCAGCTTGAGCTTCTTGACGACGCGGATCGCCGCGTCCTGCTGCAGCACCACGCCCGTCCCCGCGACGCCCCACGTCGCGCGCGCGCCGTCCAGCGCCTGCACCGCCACCACGCCCGTCCCCGGCGGCACCAGCGGCCCGTACACCACCGCCATGCAGTGCATGTGCTCGGGGGTGTACTTCAGCATCCGCAGCCGGCCGTTGTCGTCCCGCGTGGCGTACACCGGCACCGTCTGGAACCGCCCCCACCCGCAGGAGAGGATCAGCGGGTCGCGGTTCTTCAGGAGGCGGCCGTGCCAGCGGTGGCGCTTGATACGGAGCTGCAGGAAGCCCATGCCCTGTTCGGCGGCGGGGACGCCGCCGACGAGCAGCGGCATGCGCGGGTCGTGGAACTTCGGGAGCTCGCACGGCACGCCGCGCAGCCGGAGCCGGACGTACGCGCCCGGGCGCACGCCCTCGAGCGCCAGGCGCGTGCGCGCGTCCAGCGCGTCCAGCGCCGCGCGCGTCCGCGCCTGCGCCTCGGCCATCTTGCGCTTGACCTCGTCGTAGTACGTCTTGTCCTCCTCGTCGCCCTCGGCCCCGCCGCCGCCCTGCTTCTTGTCCTCCTTCTTCAGCGCGCCTTCGTCGAACGCCGCGTCGAACGCCGCCTTCTTGGCGGCCTTGCTGAGCTTGCGCTCCTCGGCCTCCGCGAGCGCGATGGCCTTCTGCGCCGCATCGGTCACCGCGTCGCCGCCCGCGAACGCTAGCGCCTCGCCGCCGCCGTCACTCGCCCCCTCGACGTCCTCGAAGTCCCCCGCGGCGTCGTCGTCGCTCCCCGCGGCGTCCTCCGCCCGCGCCTCGTCGCGCTCCGCGCCCTTCCCCCAGTCCCCCGTCACGAACCGAGCCTCCTTGAGCCCCGCCACGTCCCCCTCGTCCAATACCCCCCCCCCCGCCTCCGCCGGCCGCGACACGTCCACCGCGTCAGGCCCCTCCGCGCCGTCCGGCCCCGCCCGCCGCCGCGCCGGCCGCAGAAACCCGTCCCCCTCGTCCTCGTCGTCCGTGCTCGCCCCGTCCTCGCGCGCCGCCGCCGCCAGCGGATCGAACGCCGCCCGCTCCCCGTACACGTGGCGCTCCAAATCGAGCAACCCCGAACCGAACTGCGCCCGCGCGCGCTCCAGCATGCGCTCCTTCCACCGCGCCGCGGCCCCCAAGCCCTCGTCGTCCTCCTCCGACGCGCCGCCGTCCGACGCCCGCCCGCCGTCGTCGTCAGACGCGGAGTCCTCCGCATCGCTGTCCGACGCGGCGTCGACGGCGTCGCTGAACACCGCCGCGCGCCGCGTCCGTCCCGCCCGCACCTCCGCCGCCGCCGCGTCGTCCGGACCGCCCCCCGCCTCCTCGTCGTCGCTCCAGTCCGACCCGCTCTCGTCGTCGTCCTCCCCGCTCTCCCCGCCGTCGCCACCGCGCCCCATCAGCGCCTCGAACTGGTCCCCACGGATCGCGCGCGCCCCCGGAAACATCTGAATCCTCGACTTTGCGACGGCCTCGTCCACCGCCGCGCGCCCCGCGGCCAGCTCGCGAACCATGCCCTCTCCGTCCGTCCCAGCGGCATTACCCCCCCCCGCGCCGCTGTACGCGACCTTGTGGTCAGGAATGTCGATGTAAACAGCGTCCTTGTCGTACATGAGCCCGCCGACGTCCGCCATGGGGCCGTAGATGAGCCGCTCGCGGTCGTCGAGGCCGCGCCGGCGGCCGGAGCCCGGGAGCGGGCAGGGGTCCGGGATGGCGTCGAGTTCCGCCACGTCAAAGGTGCCGGCGCCCGCGACGTGCACGCGCGCGCCCTCCTTCATGTTGGCGCCGCGGAGGTACCCGTAGATCGTGATCTCGCGGTCGCACGTGGGGTCTGCGCACGTGACGGTCGAAGCGGGGCCGCGCGGTGAGGTCGGATGGTTCGCGCTGGTACCGTCGAGGCGCGAGACACGCGGGCTGCTGCCGGAACGCGGAGAGCTCGCGCAGGGGGTCGACGGCGACCGCTGCGCGGCGCTGGCGGCACCGCAGCAGCAGCGCACGCAACGCACCCCCACCGCCGACGCAACACAGTTTGCGACGTTCTGGACCGCGGCGCGCGCGCGCGCGCACGCACGCCGGCGCCCGTGCGGAGCCCAAGCGGGGCCGCGCGCACCTTTCCGGACCGCCTCCGCGGGCGTGATGTCCTCGAAGCGGTCGACCAGGAGATACGGCCGCTGCGTGCGCCACGACAGGGGTCGGAATTTCTGGATCGAGATGAAGCGGGCGAGGTTGAGGACCTCGCGCTTGAGGTACCGGCCGTTCTTGAGGCCCGAGAGGTAGAACAGCTTGGCGCCGTTGTAGATCTCCGTCCAGAAACGCTGCTTCAGAGCCTTCTTCGTATTCTTCAGCGTCTTCCCATCCTTGAACGAATCCTGCGACGAAACTCGACCAAACCGCGGACGAAACTCGACCAACCGCTCACTCAGCGCGCGCGCTCCCAGGACGAACGGCGTGGCGTCCGCGCATCGAGGGGCGTCCTCCCGCCACACACAGCCACGCAGGAGCATGCGCGCGCAGCTGCGGCACGCCAGCGCCCCCGCGCGCGATGCGCCGCGCGCAGAGACAGGTCCGACTTGCTCGGGCGCGTCGCAGCGGGGGGAGCGGCGCCGTGGGGGGTGTATTGCGGCGTGACGCACCAGGTGAGTCAACACCCCCATAACCTTGGGGAACCCGTGCGTCTGCAGGAGGTTGAGCATCTCGAAGGTCTCCATCTCGAAGCCGAAGCTGCCGTCGACGACGAGCAGCACCAGGTCGGCGTACTTGGCGGCGTCCATCATCGCGGCCATGCCCTGCGGGCACTCGACAAACGTCAGGCGCCGCTGCTTGCCCGACACGACGGTGATCGGCCCGAGGATCTCCGGCACGGACTGCTTCGTGTAGTGCTTGATCAGGCACTTGATCAGCGTCGATTTCCCGACGCCGGGCGGGCCCTGCGCGCCCGGACACAAAAGTTGCCGCCGCGGTGTTGTTTTTGTCAGACACGCGCCGAGGCGCGGGACGCGCGGCGTAGGGGCGCGCGTGCGGCGCTGGCGCAGGGCGTACGTGGACGAGGACGACGAACGGGGGCGGGTCGTCGACGATGCGCTCCGCAACGGGCATGTGCATGCGGCGCTGCTCCTTGTCGGCCGTGCGGGCGCGTTGGCGCGCGGCGGCCTTGGTGGACCGCACGGTGAACGCCTTGACATTGTTGCTCTTCTGGGACGCTCGGACCTGCGGAGCGCGGGAGCGGCAGCGTGGGAGTGGGCGCGGGCGTGGTAGGGTTGTTGAGGCGACGTTGGGGCGCGCGTGGGCTGAGGGGCGCCGGACCTCCTCCTTGTCGATGCCCTTCTTCGCGAGCTCCGCCTCGTGGCGCTTCTTGGCCTTCCTGCCGGCCTTGGCCTTCCTGCGAGCACAAGTGTGTGTATGCTGGTGCTCAGTTGCGACGCCGCGTGCGACACGCGGATGCCTCGCGCCACCGTGGAGCCGGTACTTGCAGTTGTTCGCGTGCATGACGGTTCTTGGGTCTCAACGACGGCCAGGGTGCTCGGGCAGGCCGCCCGGGAGGGTCTGTGTGCACTCAGGGAGCGCGTGCGCCGCTGTCTGACGTGACTCGCGCGCCGCATGCGTACCTGTGGCTCTTTCCGGACTTGGTCATTCCCGCAAAGCCGTGGAACCGATCTCACCGGCGCTCCCAGGCGCGTGCAGGGAGCAGCCTCCAGCTGCTAGCCGGCGACCGCCCTCGCCTCGACAGCCACGAACTCAGGCGCCCTACGGCGGTTCCGGTTCCCACCGGACAATCTGTCCGGGGTGTTCTGTGAGTGCGGAACAGAAACACCCGCCCTGGCTCCGTATGGGCTCAACCACAGCACCGGACGAGTCTGCTGATGAGTTCACCGCAGCCGTGAGTCCGTCATGGCGCAAACGCTGTTCGACTCGACCGCGGCGCCTCCCTGGGGCTCCAAACTGCACCGCGCGGCACCCGCGCGGTGGCCCTGAGCTGTTGTCAGACCGCCTGGGCGCCTGACTGCTCGTTACGCCCCCCACGGCAGTTTCCACCCTCTCAGCGCGTGCTCGATGGTCCCCGGGAACCACGGCGCGGTCGAGATCGCGCAGTACATGGTTGACTTGGCTCGGGGGGAGCGAGACGCGTTTCGGAGTCCCTGAGACGGCTGCTAGAGGCGTTGTTTTGTAGCAGTTCACATAAAACGTCCGCGTGCTGGCCGCGTCGGGCGCGCAGGAGGCGTGGGGTGGGATGGCGGATGGCGGGAAAGACGGGTCGGGCGTCCGGGGCAAGAGCTACGTGATTGTGCACAACGTGAGCAAGAGGGCGAACGTCGGCACGCTGGCGCGCAGCTGCACGGCCTTCGGAGTGGAGGAGCTGCTCATCGTGGGGAGCTCGAAGAACTTCAACACCTTCGGCAGTCACGGATCATGCGACTTCGTGAAGTTCCGGTGAGCGACCCGGCCCGCGGAGCCCCCCCCCGCTTCAGGCAGCTGCCTTCTGCAGCGCGGCCCTCGCCATATTCAATTAGATATGCACCGTCCACGCAGCAGACGGAGAGGCGATGCAGCACCTCTCGGCTGCGCGACGCCACCCCGGCCCCCGCGCCCCGCCGCGCAGGCACTTCTACACCCTGGAGGACTGCGTCGCGTGGCTCAGGGGGCGCGGCACGCGCGTCCTCGGCATCGAGATCTGCGACGGAGCGCACAACGTCGCCTCGCACCCCTTTCACGGCGACACCGCGTTTTTGCTCGGCAACGAAGGCGACGGGCTGTCCGCGAAACAGATGGCCCTGTGCGACGGGTTCGTGTACATCGCGCAGCACGGCGAGGGCACCGCGAGCCTGAACGTCACGGTCGCGGGCTCCATCGTCCTGCATCATTTCGCGACGTGGGCGCGGTTCCCGGAGCGGGAACGCGAGGGATTCAAGTTCGTGGTCGGCGACAGGCCGCCGCGGACCACCAAGCGCGGCGTCGTGCCGCCAACAGGCGCGCAGCCCCTTCCTTCACGACCCATGTCGACACTGCGTGTTTTTTTCCTGCCGGTCGCGACAGCGGTCGCTTCGCGCCGAGATCGCGACCCCCGCGCCGCGCAGCGGCAAAGCGATCCGCAGCGCGGCGTCCGCGTCGCTGCGTCTTCTGTGCGCGCAAGCGCCCAACATATATATATATATATTGTGGTTTTGTTACATATCTAGCAGTGGCTGTATTGTGTGCGTGCAGAGGAAGAGCTGGCGGAGATCAGGGCGCGCCGCGCGGGCGCGTCGGCGCAGGACGACGGCGAGACGTTCGGCGGCGACCTCTTCGACTAGCGCGCTCGCAGCGCCGCCTGGGCCTCCTGCAACCCACCGGCGACACACTGCGGTGATCGAACGAAATATCTGACAGCGCACACTACGAACAGGACAGCCTGTGAGATCTCCCTCGACCTCGCGATCCGTCCACCATCGCACCGGGAAGCCGGCCATCCCCAACAACCAAAACACCCCCCCCCGACACCTCCTCTCTCGCGGCAAGTCACAGCCGTGGCCGCAACGCACGCGCCGGCCGGGCCCCGCGCGTCACTCCGTCGCGCCCTGGCACCCCGACCCCGACCCCGCCGTGCACCCGAAGCAGTGGTTGTCCACCAGGATACCCCTCCCCTCGAGCTCGCCGAGACTCCCCAGGTCGAACACCGTCAGCCCTGACTCCCCCGACCCCCCCGCGAGCGTCATCTCGAGCTGCTGGTTGAAGTCGCAGTCGTACACGCGGCCGTCCCACCCGACCGACACCGTGTCGCGGCACATGAGCCCCTCCGCAGCCCCGGGGTTGAACCCCTCCAGCAACAGCCCCATGTACTCCTCCAACCCCCCCCGGCGCTCCAGCCAGTCGTAGTAGCGCTTGATCGGCATGTTGTTGAGCGCGAGGAGCGAGCTGAACTCCACGCCGAACGCCTCCCGCAGCTCGGTCCGGTACGCCCCCTCGAGCGACTCCTGGGGCGGCGCCAGGAACGGTCCCCCGGGGTTGTACACGAGGTCGAGCGTCAGGCCGGTGCCGGGGACGCCGTACCCGACCGCGTTGAGCTTCTGCAGCCCGCGAACGCTCCGCTCGAACACGCCTGCGACACAAATCATCTAATTATCTAATTATCTATCTATCTATCTATCTAATCAATCTATCAATCTATCAATCTATCTATCTATCTATCTATCATCATTCCAGCGGGCGTCGCGCCAGCGCGCGTGGCGCGACCGGGCGGGGCGCGCGGGCGCGGCCGCGGCGCCGCGGGCGCACCTGAGCCGCGCTGGAGGTCGACGTTCTTCTGCGAGTAGCACGGCAGCGACGCTACGACGCGCACGCGGAGCGCGGCGAGGAAGTCCGCCAGGTCCTCCTGCCCGGGCTCCTCGAGCACGGTGAGGTTGCAGCGGTCGATGACCTCGCGGCCGCGCGCGCGGGCGCCCTCGACGAGGTGCCGGAACGTAGGGTTGAGTTCCGGGGCCCCCCCGGTGAGGTCGAGGGTGGCGACGGAGGGCGCGTCGTCGAGGAGCTCGAGGCAGCGGTTCGCGACCTCGAACGACATCATCTCTGCGGTGGTTGGGCGGGGGGGCGGGGCGGTGGGTGTGAGAGGTGCGGTGTGATAGAACGATATGACATGATATGATATATGTCCATTGATGTAATGTGATATGGTTTTCGTATATGATGTTCAATACGTATGTCGTGGTGGTGGGGCGCACCTGTGCGCTTCGGGGAGGACTCGACGTGGCAGTGCGTGCACGCCTGGTTGCAGTAGAGGCCGATGTTGAGCTGCAGGATCTTCGCGGCGCCGCGTTTCAGCGGCGTCACGCCCGCGTCCGCGCATGCCTGCACCCGCAGCGCAGCAAGCACGTACCACGTCGCGGGCGCCGGCGCGGGCCTTCTCCCGCGCAGCGCCCGCTGCAAACAGCAAGAAAGCGGTCGTTCGGGCTCGAACCTTGGAGAAATTCGGCATGTTGAGCTTCTCCAGGGATCTCTGCCGCCCGCGCTGCTCCCGCTTGGTCAGTGCCGCCTGCCCCTCCTCCTCGATGCTTTTCAGCACCGCCTGCAGCTCCGCGTCCCCCTCCATCTCCTCCAGCGTCTGCGGAACGAGCGAGTCGAGGCTCACGCCGTCCTTGCGCCTGCACCCACCAAGAGAGAACCTGCCTCGTGTCAATAACACACAGCCGTCCCGCGCGCCGCACGCGACCGATCGCCGCGCTCGCGGCCGCTGTCCGCGTCACCGAAAGGCGTCCGGTGGGGCCCGGCCCCGGAGCACTGTCGTCGCCTGCGCGCACCCGGCCACACAAGGCACCCAGCGAGCGCCCGCACGCGGCCTACACGCGCACGGCGTGGCGCCGAAATGCGGCTGCCGCACGCCGCTGAACCTCGCCATCATCCTCCCGCCTCCACGCCCCCCGTCTCGCGCTCGCTCGGCAGCACAGACGCTCCACGTTGTGCTACTGGACGTGTGTTCCGTGTTTCCAACCCCCCCGACCAGGACAGATCTTCGCACGACGACGTCCGAAAGTCCCGAGCAGTCTGCGGCGCGCCGCGCCGCGCCGCGCCCAAGGCACCGCGGGAGAGAGGCAGACGACGCCGGGGAGTGAAGGTGACCTCGTAGGGCCCAGGTGGTGTCAGGCTGTTCCGGACTGGGTGGGGGGTCTCACGGGCGCGAGGGCCGCGCGGCGTCGAGCAGTTCCCCGCAGGAGCCTATCCTGGTGTGATGCAACCCATCACCCGCCCCCACGCGGGCGCTGGGGCGCCCGCACTGAAGTGCGTGGGCAGCGGCGGCCCCCGCACGGGGCGCAGCGCGCGCGCCGTCGAGCGCGGTGCGCCGCGGGCGGTAGTCCAGGCCCGTACGCTCGACGACGGCGCGCTCGCGGCGGACCGCGCGCGGTGCCGCGTCCGGTGCCGCGCCCTCTCCCCTGCGCGGGAAAGTCGTCGCCGGTCCCGGTCCCGCAAGGGCATGCGGAGACACAACAACGTGTTCGAGGACGACTTCGCGCTCGACGACGGCTACATGAGCGACGACAACCAACGGTGCGCCGCACACGCCGCGCCCGCACGTCTCTCACCCCACCACATCCCACGCGGGCCCCTGCCCTCCCAAACCCCCCCGCGCCCCGGAACCTCGCCCCCCCGGCTACACACGTCACAGATACACCACGCAGACCGATCCACGCACGCCAATCGCGCAGCAACCGCCCATGCAGAAAGGTCCTGGGCCCTGCGCAGCCACTACTGAACAGGTCGTCGCCCCTCACTCACTCACGGCCCGCGCACCGCCCGCCGCGCACCCCGCAGGACCTCCAAGCGCGACGACGACGCCCCGCCGAAACCCGACAGCCACGCCCCCGTCGCTTTCCCCCACGACGCCCCCCCCGCGCCACCGCCGGTGCGCAACGCCCCGTCCGCCAAGGTCGGTGCGGCCGCCGTCGGCCTGGACAGCCTGTCGATGAGCGACGACGACGGCGACGACGTGTCGGACAGCGCGTATCTGGAGGAGCCGGGGCGGCCCCGGGCGGGGCGGGCCCTCACTAGCAGCACAGGGGAGGACTACGTCGAGGGTCCCGAGACGCTGCGGGTGGTTGACGGCTTCCTGGACCCGGCGCTGGCCGCGGAGCTGCGCGGGACGTTCGACGCGCGGTTCGAGGACCCCCGCGAGGTGCGCGGCGCAGTGCCTGCGTGCGTGCATGTGTCACAGCATGCGTGCTTGTGTGCGTTTGGCCGCTCATCGCCGTGTTTCGCCCGCGTGTTGCGGTCCGGGCGCCCTCGTACGCCGCGTCCGGCGCACGCACGTGGCCTTCTTTTCGCCCCTTTCCTGCGAATCAAATCAAATATATGAAATATGAATATATGAAATCAAATCAACCGATGAGGGAATGAATGAACGAAAAAATCATGGCGCCACCTCGCTTCGTTCCGCTCCGCAGCTGCACGAGAACCGCTTCGTGTGGGACTACTGGCGCGTGCCGCAGCAGTACGACCTACACCGGACCTTCGCGGCGGACTACTTCGGCGACACGGACGCGTACGACCGCCTCGAGGACGCGCTGCTGGCCTTCGGGCAGCGCGAGCTGGGGTGCGCGGCGATGACGCCGGTGTGGCTGTCGTACTACGTCGACGGGAACGGGCAGGAGCTGCACTGCGACAACCCACACGGCCCGTGGGCCTTCGTGCTCAGTCTGACGGAGTGGGACGACGACGTGGCGCGGCGCGCGTTCGAGGTGCGTGGCGCCCCGGCTCGCCGCGCCGCGCACCACGTCTGCGCCGCTCCCGACCTCCGCGTTCACACTTTCGCCCGCGACCCGCTCCCTCGCGCAGGGCGGCGAGACGATGCTCCTGAAGCAGGCCGTCCTCGACTTCTGGCGCGGCTTTCCCGGCGGCGCGATGGAGTTCGGCGACATCGTCGATCTCGTGGAGCCCCGTTTCAACCGACTGACGGTGTTCGATCCCAGGATACCGCACGGTGTTCGGCAGGTGCGCGGTACGCGCGACCCGCGGCGCGGCCGCCTGGTGCTGCACGGGTGGTTCACGGACCCGGAGCCGTTCTTCGACGACGACGCGGGCGTGGACGGTGCGGAGGCGAGCGACGCGCTGAACGCGGCGCTGGGGCCGCTGTTCGCGGAGCTCGGGCAGATGCCGCGCGCGTACGGCACGCTGACGGTGCGGCTGACGATCGACGGGGGCACCGGGGAGGTGGACGGGCTGGAGTGGCTGACGGACACGCTGATGCCGGACAGGGGGGAGTGTTTGGATGTGGAGGACGTCAGGGCGCAGGTGCTGGACGTGGTGGAGGCGCGGCTGATGACGGCGCAGATGCCCGCGCGCGAGGACGGCTCGGACGAGTCGTGGTGCATCACGCTGCCGCTCGTGTTCGATTGAAGGACTGAGAAACGACGCGACAAATGAGTTGACGATTGAAATGATCTCCGCACTCCTGCTCAGCGCTGACCGCCTACGCGTCTACATTGCCGTCGGAACCACGCACACTGCACGATCGACTGCGGCAGACACACCGCCACCCTGTAACGCCAACCTCCGCGTCGAGGCGAGACCGCGGTCTCCGCAACCGACAACGACCGCCCCCTCTACTGCATCGCACAGTTCTCGCTGAGGTCGCCCTCCAGCGCCTCGCCGTGCGCGCGCGCCGCCGCCGCCCGCAGCCGCTCCGTGAGCGCCCGCAGCTCCGCCACCCCCGCACGCAGCCGCGGCAGCGCCGCCCCGGTCTCCCCGCCCGGGCGCGGCGACGCCGCGAGCGACCCCTGCAGCGACCTGCGCGCGACGGACGCAGGCGACCGCGGCGGCGCGCCCCGCCGCGGGGTTCCAGACGCCCCGGGGGGGGGGTATCGCGCGCTCCCCCCCGGGCTGCGCAGGAGGTCCGCGCGCGGCCCCGCGGCGCCCAGCCCCCCCGGCGCGGTTCCGAGGGGCGTGCCGCCGTCGGCGGCGGCCTCGATGCTGGAGACGACGCCCTGCAGGTCGCGCACTGCGGCCTCGAGCGCGCTCACCTCCCTGTGCACGAGCGCGGCGCGGCCCTCGGCGTCGTCGCACCTGGAGCGGGAGGCAGCGCGGGGCGCAGACGTGATGTTATATGGTCAGTAAAACATCCAAATATGGTCTATAAATCCAAATATGGTCAGTAAATCCAACAAATCAGTTCGTTTGCAAACAGGACGGGGCGAGCGAGCTGCCGAGCCCCCCGCGCACGCACCGGTTGACCGCCTCCTCCAGCAGCGCCTCCGCCTCCCCCAGCTGCTCCCGCAACGCTCGCACCTCCTCCGCCCGGCCCCTCTCCCTCGCTGCACCCTCCTCTCGCTGCCGTCGCGCAGCCGCCGCGGCCCCGTCCTCGGCGCGCGCCTCCCGCGCCGCGTCGGGCCCCGGGAGCGCGGGCGGCGCCGAGCCCGCGGCGCCCTCGCCGCCGCCGTCGCCGGCGGGGAGGGGGGGGGTGTTGCGTTTGAACTGACTCAGTCTGTCCTCGTGCTCCGTGAGGGCCTCGGCGAGCGACGCGTTCTCCGCGCGCGCCGCGTCCGCGTCCTGCATCGACGCGCGGGCGTCCTCGCGCGCCGCCACGAGCTCCCTGGCCATCTCTGCGGCGCGAACAACAAAGGTGGGAATTGAATACCGTGTTCCAGATCCATGGTAGATATCATACGATATGATATGATATGATATGATATGAAAACAACGTGACTGTTCGACTCGATTGATGGTCGACGCACAGACATGGGGGCAGTTGCGAGGGGAGCGCGACGCAGTGCCGGCGCACCTTCGCGGTCCGCAACCGCCCGCGCCGCGCGTGCCTCTGCGTCGGCCAGCCGCCGCGCCAGGTCCGCCACCACGTCCCCGGCCTCGCTCCCCCCCTCCCGCGCCAACGACACCGACCCCTCCGCCGCCCTGCTCCGCGCCGCCCCCCGCGACGCGGACGCACTCGACGCAGCCGCCGCGCCGCGAACGCCCGCCTCGTCCCCCTCGCACACCATCCCCCCCCTCGCTCCCGACGACCCCGACGCCGGCGGCGCCGGCGTCCCACTGTTCGACAAGGCCCCTCTCTCCGCCCCGCGCAGCGACGCCTCCGACGCGCTGCCCTCGGCCCCGCCCCCGCCCGGCGGCCCCTGCGTCGCCGCATACGCCATGCCGCGTGGCCGCCCCGTCGGCACGGCCCCGCGCCGCACGTCCGCCAAGTACTCCGCCGCGCGCTCCTCCGCCGGCCCCAGCGCGCCCGCGCCCTCCCTGCCCGCCACGCGCGCCGCAGTGACATCACTCAGCACCCGCGTCGCCTGCAGCAGCTCGCGCCGAAACGCGTCCCGCTCGAGCTGCGTCTGCGGGTCCCCGGCGCCGCGCGTCCGGTCGTCGAGCTGCAGCATCGCCTCCGCGAGGCCCTTGACGCGTTCCTTCAGCGACGCGATGTCGTCGGTCACGCGCTGTGCGGCAGCGCGCGTCAGCGGGGGGGGGCGGTGCGCGCGGGCCGCGAGCAGCGCGGCCTCGCGCTCGTACTCGCGCCGCGCGTCCGCGAGCGACCGCGCCGGAACGGTGCCGTGCGTGGCGCTGGGAAACAGCGGAGAGTTGATGCCAATGAGAGACGTTGCTGCGGCGCCGGTGCCGGGGTAGGCGCGGGCGTAGGGGTCGGCGACGCCGGTGGAGAGGAGGAAGGACTGCGAGGGCGCGTCGGCGTGGAGGGTCCGGGCCCGCGCGGCGCTCGCAGCGGCATCGATGGCGTGCTGCCGGGCGGCTTGAGCGGCCGTGGCGCGCCGCTTGAAGCCGTCGAGGAGGTCCGCGGCGGTGTAGCGCGACTTGATGGCTTCGACATCGCGGTAGAAGGTGTCGGGGCCGCTCTCCGGGCCAGTGACGCGCGTGGGCGGGAAGACAACGGGTGGTGCGGTGGGACGAGGAAAGGTGGAGTCGGCGCCGACGTGTCCGAGGGAAGTGGTGCCCGGGACGCGGACGGGGTTGCCGTGGACGTGCTTGCTGTGCACGATGAAGGTGTCGTAGCCCGGAACGTACACCCCTGCGGCGCAGGAGAGGAGGAACGTGGAGGCGTTTGCCTCGTTTGCGTCGCGTGGGGCGCGATTGTGCAAAATTTGCGCGTCTCTGGAGGCGAGATGATCCAGGGAGAGGTGGACGTTTGCCAGAAGTGTCGTTGGGTTTCTCGTGATACGCGGGCTGCGCTCACCTCTCTCCGGAGCAGCGCTCGCGCCCGCGGCATTCTCGGGGCCGTCGTCCTGGGAGGTCATCGTTGAATTCCCAGCCTACTCACGTGTCAGGCTATCCACAGCCGACAGGTTCGTATCCCTGGGGTGCCCACGCACTCCTCCCGCGCGGTGCCTCGACAGCCTGTGCTGGCGGTGAGCACGCCTTGGGCCACAGCCGCGTCAAACGATCCCTCCCGGCCAGTCACCGCACTCTACACGCTCCCCGACGCGCCGCCGTGCATCAACGACGCCCTGGAACCGCGCCGCGCGGCCTATGGGCGGGACAGACCCCGCGGGGTGTTCAAACAAAACCCCCCCTCCTCCGCCGCCGGGGCGTCGCCGACACATATCGGCCCCTGCACGACACGGCCAGGCCCATGCGTGCCGCGCGCCGTCGGGGCCGCACGCCGCGCGGCTGCGGCATCGGGCGCGTCGCTCGCATGCCGCTCTCTGCCCGTCACGCCTGGCGGCGTGTTTGACCACGGCCCCTGCCTCACCGGCCCCGCTCCCCTGGTCGCCGCGGCCGGTCCGCCCTCATTGGCTCACCTCCCAGGGTCCCACGGTCACTGCCACAGGGCACTACATTTAATAGTGTGCTGCGAGCTGCAATCTGCGTCCCGGGACTACCGGGCCATGGGCGCGCGCGCGCCGCGTCGCTGTCGCGCCACGGGCCGTGACGGCCGCGCGGTTCATGGACGCTCGGGGGCAGGGTTGCGGACTTTGAGAGGTGCGAACAAACAACAAGCTTGCTGTCATGCGTGGGTCGCAGGAAAGGCCGCTCTCGGGACCCGTCGGGCAGTCAGGCTGCCATCAGCAGGTCGATTCGATCCGCGCAAGGTTCGGGCTGTCCAGCAGCAGCGAGGATGCGTTACATTGCTTGGCAACAGAGCCAGATCCCTGCGCCTGTACCTCGAGGACCTGCACGGTGCTGCAACACTCGGCTCGGAATCTGCTCCCAACGCTGCAGTGCGTTATCTTCTGAACCTGCCGAATCAGCGAGGCATGGCGATCTTCGCTCGTGGCATCGAGGATCTGCTCCAGGCTGACTCTGTCACAGCTGCTGCACCTGTCGCTACCATAACGTTGGGGGGTTGGCATGACTCGCCACCTAGTCGAATGATCTTTTCAGGTCCCAACGCCTTATGGCTGACGACGCGAAGACTGTGACACCTCACCAGTGACGCTGCGGTCAGGTCACTGTTGTCAGGCCTTGGTGGCCGAGCTGCGCGCTCATGTTGGGAGCGTGCGCGCTCCAACTGTAACTCTACTGGCTTACGGTACAGGCTCTGCATCATCTGCGGGGCTCAGCTGGAGTCGTGTGCTTAGGTATCATCACCTCACCTCACAGGGGGCTGCTTGCTCTATTCGCGCGCTCAATCTCCTACAGTCCGCGCGCAGCCCCCATCGCTTCTAGCCGCGGTCATGTCGCACTGGCCAGCTTGCTGGCAGAGCGGTGCGCTCACGACAGGGCCTTGAATGCCGGATCTGTGACTGTTCCAGCACTCTTCGTCGCCGCCACGCTTGACGCTTCAGTTCGTCAGCGGGAGCAGCGCAGACTCTTGCAAGCTACGCGCGCGACGAATCCTGCCGACCACAACCGCCGCCGCTAGGCCGACAATGACGGCAACACCGCCCAACACACCCAGCACAATGGCGGCCACCGGGGTGCTAGACGACGCCGCGGGCGCGGACTGGCCTGTTCCGCTCGTCTGTCCGGAGGAATCCCCAGGCGTCGCGGGCGGCGCTGTGGTCGCTGCCGCCGACGTCATGGGCGCCGCCGTGATGGACGTGACGGAAGCGACAACGCCCCTCTGTGCCATCGCTGCCTGCAGCTCGCCCGTTCGCGTCTCGAGGTTCGACATTGCCGCCTGGGCCGCTGCCTCGCCAGCTGCCACGCGCACCACCACCTCCACCTGCACTCCTTGTAGCAGCCCGCGTCGCGCAGCGCCCGCGACCCTGGCCTCGACGTCACTCCGCTGCAGCCCTGGCATTGTCGGAGAGAGCTCCTGGAAGAACGCATCCGCGATGCTGTTGAGCGCGGAGGGCGGCACGCTGGGTGAGTCGACAGTTACCAGCGCCCTCACTTGCGCAGGCGGGACCGCTGTGGTGGGAGACGCCGCCGTCGTGGGCGCCGCTGTCGTCGTGGGCGCCGCCGTCGTGGTGGGCGCTGCTGTCGTCGTGGCCGCTGCCGTCGTCGTGGGCGCCGCTGTCGTCGTGGGCGCCGCCGTCGTCGTGGGCGCTGCCGTCGTCGTGGGCGCTGCTGTGGTCGTGGGCGCCGTCGTCGTCGTAGACGCCGCCGTCGTCGTGGGCGCTGCTGTGGTCGTGGGCGCCGCCGTGGTCGTGGGCGCCGTCGTCGTCGTGGGCGCCGCCGTCGTCGTGGGCGCTGCTGTGATCGTGGGCGCCGCCGTCGTCGTGGGCGCCGTCGTCGTCGTGGGCGCCGCTGTCGTCGTGGGCGCCGCCGTCGTCGTGAGCGCCGCTGTCGTCGTGGGCGCTGCTGTGATCGTGGGCGCCGCCGTCGTCGTGGGCGCCGCCGCCGTCGTCGTCGTGGGCGCCGCCGTCGTCGTGGGCGCTGCTGTCGTCGTAGGCGCCGCCGTCGTCGTGGGCGCCGCCGTCGTCGTGGGCGCTGCTGTGGTCGTGGGCGCCGCTGTCGTCGTGGGCGCCGCTGTCGTCGTGGGCGCCGCTGTCGTCGTGGGCGCCGCTGTCGTCGTGGGCGCCGCCGTCGTCGTGGGCGCCGCCGTCGTCGTGGGCGCCGCCGTCGTCGTGGGCGCTGCTGTGGACGTGGGCGCTGCTGTGGTCGTGGGCGCCGCCGGGGTCGTGGGCGAAGCGCCGCCCGTCGTCGTGGCTTCGTCGTCGTCGTGAGCACCGTCGTCGTCGTAGGCATATCGTCGTCGTGGGCGCCGCCGTCGTCGTGGGCGCAGATGTGGTCGCGAGCGCCGCTGTCGTCGTGGGCGCTGTCGTCGTCGTGGGCGCCGCCGTCGTAGTAGACGCCGCCGTCGTCGTGGGCGCCGCCGTCGTCGTGGGCGCCGCCGTCGTCGTGGGCGCCGCCGTCGTCGTGGGCGCCGCCGTCGTCGTGGGCGCCGCCGTCGTCGTGGGCGCCGCCGTCGTCGTGGGCGCCGCCGTCGTCGTGGGCGCCGCCGTCGTCGTGGGCGCCGCTGTCGTCGTGGGCGTCGGAGCATCGTACACGTACGCCGACCCCGAGGCCGACCCGGCGTCGTCGTCGCCCCACGCGCCCACCACGACGTACTCGCCCGACGCCGCCACCGCATACCCGAAGTTGTCATCCGCCGCAGCGTCGCTGGCGGTCAGCTTCTGCTCTTGTGTCCACGTCCCGTCCGCGCTGCGCTTGAACACGTATGCCGACCCCGAGTTAGACCCGCCGTCGTTGTCATCGGCATGTGCGCCCACCACGACGTACTCGCCCGACGCCGCCACCGAACGGCCAAAGTAATCATTCGCCGCAGTGTCGCTGGCGGTCAGCTTCTGCTCCTCCGTCCACATCCCGTTCGCGCTGCGCTTGAACACGTATGCCGACCCCGAGTACGACCCAGCGTCGTCGTCGCCCCACGCGCCCACCACGACGTACTCGCCCGACGCCGCCACCGCATGCCCGAAGAAATCGCCCGCCGCAGCGTCGCTGGCGGTCAGCTTCTGCTCTTGTGTCCACGTCCCGTTCGCGCCGTGCTTGAACACGTACGCCGACCCCGACCCTGACCCAGCGTCGTCGTTGAGATATGCGCCCACCACGACGTACTCGCCCGACGCCGCCACCGCATACCCGAAGTTGTCATCCGCCGCAGCGTCGCTGGCGGTCAGCTTCTGCTCTTGTGTCCACGTCCCGTTCGCGCTGCGCTTGAACACGTACGCCGACCCCGACCCTGACCCAGCGTCGTCGTTGAGATATGCGCCCACCACGACGTACTCGCCCGACGCCGCCACCGCATACCCGAAGTTGTCATCCGCCGCAGCGTCGCTGGCGGTCAGCTTCTGCTCTTGTGTCCACGTCCCGTTCGCGCTGCGCTTGAACACGTATGCCGACCCCAAGTTGCGCACAGGGTCGTCGTCGTCGCCCCACGCGCCCACCACGACGTACTCGCCCGACGCCGCCACCGCATACCCGAAGAAATCGAGCGGCCCAGCGTCGCTGGCGGTCAGCTTCTGCTCTTGTGTCCACGTCCCGTTCGCGCCGTGCTTGAACACGTATGCCGACCCCGAGTTACTCCCGCCGTCGTCATTATCACGTGCGCCCACCACGACGTACTCCCCCGACGCCGCCACCGCAGACCCGAACTCATCGTCCACCGCAGCGTCGCTGGCGGTGAGCTTCTGCTCGCTCGTACTGAGGACGCGTCGCCCGCGAGGTCTCGCACCCCACGCTGGCGGCGGCACTCCTGCAGGGGGCGGACAGTGAGCGGTGCATCAGCCCGACGTCAACGGCGATCACGAGTACGCGCGACGCCACTGCTGCTGCATGCCACTTCCATGGAGGCTAGGATCGAGCAGTGTGACTGCTTCGTTTCCGCAGTGCAGCTTCGTGGCAGGGCAAGCGCCGCGTTTCGGGCAGCGGAACGCCGAACGGGCCGGCGCTGGGCGCCTGTTCCTGACTGGACCAACGCAGCGCCGAAAAGGAGCGATCGCGCGTTCGGGCCGCGGCCGGCAGTCGCGCCCACCGGGGCAGTGGAGCGGCGGGCAGCCGCTGTGCGCAGGCGGGCTGTGCCCGTGCCCGCGCGCGCCGGGGTCGCACTCATCGTGGCGCACGCGACAACGAGCCGTTGCGACGGGCCAGGGCGTCCCGGTCCGCGTGCGCACCTCCCGCCGCAAGCGCGTGAGCAGCCCCGCACAAGATCGCCAGGATCGCCGCGAGGAGCACGAAGCGCGCGCGCCGCAGCATCGAAACTCCGCCCAGAGGAACCCTGTCGCTCATCAACGCGGAAACGCCGCTCGTGAGCGACGGAATGCCCGCGATCGCGCCGCGCCGCCAGTGGGAATTCCTGGCCACAGACTCGTGAACTAAGGGCACCTTCCCTCCGATGCCGGGAGACCGCCGAGGACGAGAGGATGCCATCGTGTGACGCGAACGGACCTCGATGGAAGCTCCCTCGGCCGTGCAGAGTGCGTGCTGCGCCGTCGGGGCGCACACCTGTGTCGTGGCCGTACGCGGAGGCCACTCCAATATAGTGCCCGAAAACTCCCCCATCCCCCTGACCTGGCTGCTCGCCGTCTGCCGGGTTCGCCGTTCGCGATGGCTACTATGCGTCTCGGGCCGCCTGTCTCGCCTATTTGCTCCCCTCTGCGCCGCCGGCGTCGCCCGCGCGCCCCTCCTCTCCTAGCTCGCCGGGCCGATGTCGCTCGCGGGCCTCCCGCGCTACGCGGATGGCGGTCTCCGCTCGTTCCTCCGACGCCGCTTGGGCCTGCGTGTCGATTTCGTGGCCCTTGGCTCTGGCGCCGCCCCGAATTTCGCGCCCGTTTCGCGTTTTGCTCGGCTCGGCTCTGCCGACGTCAGGTCGCCGCACGCGTCGAATGGCGCCGACTGCAACCTCGAGCTCGCGATACTTGGCCGGGTTTCCCAGGAATCCTTCGCCGTTGGTCCGGCGGTCCCGCGTGGGCGCCGCGGTTGCGGTTGACTTTGTGGGTGTGCCTGAGGCGCTGTGGCGTGCTGCTCGCTGTTTGCGAGCGCCGGCTGAGAGGCTCTCAGTGCTGTGGATCGTGTGGTGTGCCGATGTGCTGCCTGAAGAGGACGATGTTGCCCTGCCGGGCTCGCGCGCGGCCCGTGGGTGTTGGCGGTGGGACAGGTTTGCTCGTCTTCCTGTGAGGCGCGGAGCTGACTGCCACCACTGGGCGTGCGAAGAAGTGCATGATCCTGTGTGCGCCCACGTCTGCAACGCGGCGATGCTCTGGCGATGTACTCCGTGACAGTGTGGCCTGGTGGAGTGCGGGATGTCTCGTTATTCGGTGTCGCGTGTTCGGCGGCGTTGGCAGGACCACCGTCGACGTCGGCGGGTCGTTAGCTGCGCTGGCGAGACGAGGCGAGTCGCTGGTCGCTGGTGCCAGACATGTTTCGGCCTGGTTGCATTTCACATCGATTCCATTTGCTGGCGCATTCGCTGCAAGGCCTCGCGAATGGCCTCCAGCGCTCGGTGGCTGGGCCGGCTGGCCTCGATGGCTCTCCTGTACGCTTTGCGGTCCCAGTAGACCATGCGCAGCTGCTTTGCCTCCGCGCCCGAACAGTGCGACGTAGAGGTGGCCCGGGGCGAACGCCGTGCTCAGAGTAGTAATTGACCACCCGCGCACGAAACGAAATGCGGGTGTGCTATCGTCCTGATCAAGGCGGCAGCGTGCTAGGAGTACTCGCGCGAAATGCCATGTGAGCGTGCCATCATGTGCCAAGGGAAGGCTCTGACCTGCAATCAGTTAGAGTGAGTGGCGGGCGTCGTCAGCAACAACGCGGCGAGCCGCGCGAGTACTGGACGACGCCCGCCAGCCGACGCGCCGAAGTGCTGGTCCACGTCCTAGGCTGCTTGTACCAGGGGGTGTCGGCAGCCGGCTGGGTGACAGCGGTGACTGAGTCTGCGGCATTGTCCGCGTTGTGTGGCGACGCGCCGACGGCTACTCAGCTCTCCTCGTCATCGCCGTCCCCGCGCGTGGCCTGTCATGCGAAAAGGGATCATACCTCGGTCTAGCGGCCACGGAATACGCGCATGGCCAACATGTCAACATCGGGGGGTAACAGAGTGCGTCATGTGTGCGGGCATGGCTGGATAGTTCCGAGCCAGCTTCGCAGCGCCGGGATCATGTATGAGGGTGACGAGTTGCAGGGCGCCGGGCACGCCCTGTCAGCAGGTTGGCCAGTATGGTCTGCAAACTGCACGTGGCGACGCACGAGGTCAGCCAGGCCCGCCGGCGTGGCAGGGCCAAAATGCGGGCTCGGGTGCGTCCGGCAGGCGGCGCGGTGGATCGCCAGGACCTGTCGCATGCAGTAACCTCGATGCGTACGCATGTAGCGCATCATGGCCGACATCTTGGCTACGTAGCTGTCGCGGTCAGTCACCTCGCTGGACACGCGGATGTGTTCGGTGCGGACGATGTTGTAAAGGTGTCGTCGCAGCAGCGCACACGAAGCGTGGGGGTACTGTATGAGGTGAATGTTCTCAGGAAACAGACCGCGTTTGTCATAGTGCGAGATCAGGAGGAAGCCCTGATATTCGGGATGCGGACGCACGCGGAGGTCTAGGAAGGAGACACCGTCGAGCGGGTTCGCTGGGGCGTCAAATTCGACCTCAAGACAGGGGGGGTACATGTTATGTATACCAGAGATGAGATCTACGATCGACGACGGGGTTTCGGGGGGCGGGGTGGGGGGGCGGGGGTGGGTGTTGAAGTAGCGGTACAGTGCGTTCGCGAGAGAGAAATTGTCGTCGATGTAGCGCCTGGAATAACGGAAAGACCCCAAGACCTTCAGCGAAGCGACGTCGCCAGTGCTCAACCAGCGGTCGCGAAACTGGCAGAGGAACGCGAGCTCATGCCGGAACATGTAGCAGTTCGCGAGGTGGGGGGAGGCCGAGAGCCCCATGGGCACACCGCAGGTCTGGTGATATACGACGCCCCCGAACACCACGTAGGCGCGTTTGACGAGGATGTGCACGAGACCATGAAGTTGCTCGATGCTCGGTGCCCATTTCCCAACCATGCCGTCCGCGTCCGGCAGCTGCGCCACCCGTGCTCATGTGCAGGAACACCGCCCGCGGCGCCGCGATCGTGTTGCCCTGCTTTATGTGCACCGTCGTTGCGTACGCAGCGTGCAGCGGACATTGGCTGTGCGAGCACACTTTCATTCTGCTGTGCATGAACTGTCATGAACACGTGCTAGATGCTGCTGGTCATGTAGTCGAACTTCACCCATTCTCCGGTGCCCGTTGGTCGTGCGAGTGTGACCTCGACGCCCACGTCTCCTGTGACCTCGTTGCGCACAAAGCGCTTCACGGTGCCAACGGACCTCGCCCTTGCCACCTAAATCCAGCAGCCAACCGCACCACCTCACCCTAATTGCATTTTCGTTGGACCTGAGTCCAATGCTCGGGCCGAGGCTCGGCCCGTTGTCTCGGCCTCCCCTGAGGGGTGGCCTCTGGCAAAATACCCCGGTGCGCCGTGCCGCCGCCGCCGCCGCCGTGCGCCGCCGTCCCGGCGCGACCACCTGCGTCGCAGCGACCCTGCGGCTCCCCTGCCCCCTCCTTGCCTCCATCATGGCCTGCGCAGGGCCGCGCGGGTTCAGCCGGGGTTGTGCGAGGGGCGGCGGAGCACGAGGCACTGCGCCCAAGCGGCAGGCGTGACTTGCGGCGTGTGCGCGCGAAGGCGTGCGAGGGGGGCAGCGCGCCTTCGCTTCACTTGAGCGAGGTCTTCGCTCTCTCGACGTTCCTGCGCGCGGGCACGGGCTCGGCTGTGTGCGGTGTGCAGCGGGGGGGGCACACAAGGCGCGGGGCACGCGCGCAAGTGGCTGGCGGGCGAGCGGGGACGGGGGCGCGCCTGCCGCCGGCTCCCACGCTCGTCCCCTGCGCACGTGCAAGGGGCTCCGCGAGAGTTCAGACGGTGCCGACCCGCAGCGCGTGTGTTGTTGCAGTTGCTCTGATCATCATCGACGGCTTGCGCGCCGATCGCTGCGCGGCGCGCCCGCGAGCCTCGAGACGTCCCGTAGACCGGGAGCGCGCGTCGTCGGGCGTCCGCGGCGAGCGACGCTGCCACGCGGCGGGGCGTGCACGGAGGCATCTCACCTCGCGGCCCCTCCGGCACTGCAGGCACCGCCCGCGCGCCTCACCTGTGCCCCCCGCGCCCGCCCCCCCGCCTGGGCTTGGCCTTCGGCGCCGCCCTGGGCTTGGGCTTCGGCGCCGCCGTGGGCTTGGGCTTCGGCGCCGCCGTGGCCTTCGGCGCCGCCTTGCGCTTTCGCGCCCGCTGCGCAGCTTCGGACGCCAGGTGGTCCTCCAGCTTGAAGAGGGCCTTGTTGCCCTTGCCGCCGCGCATGGACTCGCACCTGCAAGGGCCGGTCGTGCACTGTGGTTGTGCGCGACGAGCTCGTCGGCAAGGGCGCGCGGGGCATGATGATGTGTGACCGTGCAGGTACACCGGAGCGCGACGCTGCATGGTGTCGCGCCGTCGAGGAGGTCGCGCGCGCGCCGGAGGGGGGGGGGCGACGACGTACACAATGCACTTCGAGAGGCTGTCCACCTCCGTCCATGCCATCCGCGTCGTCACCTTGTCGCCCTCGGCATTGACGTAGATCTCCCGGGCTTTGTCGAACAGCTGTTTGACGACCTCCGTGACCAATGCCTCACGACAAGTGCGGTGAAGACTGACGCCGCACTTGTCGCAGACCTCTGGCTCGGCCTCGGACGTCCCCGCCGCGGCCTCGCCCTGGCAGAGGCGGAAGTCGCATGAGCCCTCGATGCGTCCTGCAGGCGTCGGGGGGGCTGGGGCCGCTGCGGGTGCTGCTGGCCCGCCACCGCCACCGCCACCGCCACCGCCACCGCCACCGCCACCGCCACCGCCGCGCTCTGCTTGCGCGAGCTCCAGCGCCGCCGACGCGTCGATGCGCCACAGCGCCCTCCGGACGATCATGGGCGGCGCAGCGATCGGCGCGTTGGCGCACCGCGGGCACTCATCGTCTCCGGCGCACAGGTGGTGGTACCGAAGGGAGCACCGCGAGCACGTGTGCGGCCCGCGTGCGACCTGTCCGTCGCGCGCTTTGCAGTCGCGGAGATCGCACTGCCCCTCGGGGACGTCCTCGCACGCCGGGTCGTTGTCGGCGGTGATCGGCTCGTCGGGCCCCTGCGCAGCAGACAACAACACCACACGACACGTCGGCGGGGTCGCGATCGCCTTTAGGGGAGAGTGCAGCACCAGGCAGATGTGGCGTGGCATCCCCGGGCGCGTAGCAGCAGGCAATCGAGGCGCGGGCGAGCGCCGAGCAACAAGCACAGGCATGCAACAGGTGGGGCCCGCTCACCAGCGCCGGCGCACCCTGCACGTCGCCTCCGTGGGTGCTGGCGAGCATGCGCGCGGCCGGGAAGGGGCCCATGCCGCCCGGAAAGCCAGTGCCGCTCCGGATGAGACCGTTCGGCGCGCTGTGTTGCCTCGCCCAGGCACAGCTCGCGACGACGCGGTTCTCGTCCGATCCAGATTGCCCGCGCCGGGGTCGGTCGCCGCGTGCGATGAATGCACGATCCACCTGCGGCGGCGGACGCCTCGGGCGACCGAAGGGTGTTTCGCGGGTGCGCACATGCGCAGTTGCGAACGCAGCGGCCGATGCGGGTTGCGAGGCCGCACTGCCTGCGCCGCGCACGCACGGCAACGTGCGCAGAGCGCGGCTGCTGTCCTGTGCGCTCGCCGTCGGGCGAGTGGAATGCGCACCTCGTAGTGGATGTGAGCCAGCACGGCCGGCGTCAGTTTCTCGAACGCGTGCTCCCCGCCCCACGACCAGTTCGTGAGCCTCTCCTTGACGTGCTGGCGCACGAACTCCAGCAGGGCGCCCTCGCCCATCACCAGCGTGCCGTCGGAGCCCAGGTGCGCGGTTGTGAACGCAAGCGCCGACGCATGCTTCTGCGTCACGGCCTCCGTGGCCTGGAGCTCCGCCGTCACCTGCTGCTCGTCGTCCTGGTCAGCGTCGGCCTCCGCGTCCAGCGCGACGTGGGCCTTGAGGAGGAACTCGAACAGGGCACCTTCCACTTCGGTGTGGCGATACAGCGCCAGTCCCTCCCGGATCGTCTTCGTCACCACGTGGCGGTACTTTTCCGTCTGGCGCTTCAGCTGCATTGTACGTGCGAGGCGCGACGGGGGGTGACGTTTCGCGGCGGGCTGGCGCAGAGGGGTCGTCGGGCAATTTGAAGCAAGGGGGGTGGTTGACGGGTTCGAACGCACCGACTTGCCCTCTCTGTTGAGCTCCTTGACGAATTGGGGCTCCGCACGCGTGAATGTCTCCGTGGAGACCAGCGCGAAGAGGTTCGGCCACGCGATCCGCTCCTGCAGGTGCGATGCGGCGCTCGCCGGGATCCGGAGCAGCGGCCCGCTGTTCCCGCGCTCGCGCAGCAGCGCGCCGAACGCATCCGCGATGCCCACGTCCATGAGCTGCACGACAAGCTGCTTCACCTCCTGCGCCGGCGGGACGATGGGCGGCGGGATCGGTGCCACGTGCGCTGGTGACATCGCAATTCGCGGGCGCAGCTGGTCCCCCCGAGCAGGCAGATCGCGGTGGTCGCGAGAGCACGTGAGAAGCGAGCCGGTGTGCGATCCGAGTGCGCACCGCGGCCGATACGAGGCAGTCGCAAGCCCGCTGCGTCTGCTTCTTGTTGGCCGCGCTCGCCAGCGCGGCGCTCTCCCTGGCCGCGTTGGCCCCCTTGAACTCCTCGAGCAGGCTGCGCAGCATCGCCGTCTGCGCCTTGTGCGCCTCGACCGCCTCCCGCAGCTCCTTCCGCAGCTCCTGGAGCTCCTCGAACACGTCCTCCACATCCGCAGCCTGCGTGCCCTGCTCGTCGTGAACTTTCTTCAGGAGGTCCAATATGTCTTGATTGTCCTGGCGAAGCAGCTTCAGCCGCCTGGCACTCGATCATTCGGCGGGAACCAGAGCTGCCTCCTTCCGCTTCTTGCGCTCGCGTACTGGCGGCGACTTTGACGGAGAGGCAATCGAGCGCCTCTTGCCGCTCATGTCGTATACGTGTCAGGCTATCCACAGCCGACAGATTCGTATCCCTGGGGTGCCCACGCACTCCTCCCGCGCGGTGCCTCGACAGCCTGTGCTGGCGGTGAGCACGCCTTGGGCCACAGCCGCGTCAAACGATCCCTCCCGGCCAGTCACCGCACTCTACACGCTCCCCGACGCGCCGCCGTCCATCAACGACGCCCTGGAACCGCGCCGCGCGGCCTATGGGCGGGACAGACCCCGCGGGGTGTTCAAACAAAACCCCCCCTCCTCCGCCGCCGGGGCGTCGCCGACACATATCGGCCCCTGCACGACACGGCCAGGCCCATGCGTGCCGCGCGCCGTCGGGGCCGCACGCCGCGCGGCTGCGGCATCGGGCGCGTCGCTCGCATGCCGCTCTCTGCCCGTCACGCCTGGCGGCGTGTTTGACCACGGCCCCTGCCTCACCGGCCCCGCTCCCCTGGTCGCCGCGGCCGGTCCGCCCTCATTGGCTCACCTCCCAGGGTCCCACGGTCACTGCCACAGGGCACTACATTTAATAGTGTGCTGCGAGCTGCAATCTGCGTCCCGGGACTACCGGGCCATGGGCGCGCGCGCGCCGCGTCGCTGTCGCGCCACGGGCCGTGACGGCCGCGCGGTTCATGGACGCTCGGGGGCAGGGTTGCGGACTTTGAGAGGTGCGAACAAACAACAAGCTTGCTGTCATGCGTGGGTCGCAGGAAAGGCCGCTCTCGGGACCCGTCGGGCAGTCAGGCTGCCATCAGCAGGTCGATTCGATCCGCGCAAGGTTCGGGCTGTCCAGCAGCAGCGAGGATGCGTTACATTGCTTGGCAACAGAGCCAGATCCCTGCGCCTGTACCTCGAGGACCTGCACGGTGCTGCAACACTCGGCTCGGAATCTGCTCCCAACGCTGCAGTGCGTTATCTTCTGAACCTGCCGAATCAGCGAGGCATGGCGATCTTCGCTCGTGGCATCGAGGATCTGCTCCAGGCTGACTCTGTCACAGCTGCTGCACCTGTCGCTACCATAACGTTGGGGGGTTGGCATGACTCGCCACCTAGTCGAATGATCTTTTCAGGTCCCAACGCCTTATGGCTGACGACGCGAAGACTGTGACACCTCACCAGTAACCTCACCAGTGACGCTGCGGTCAGGTCACTGTTGTCAGGCCTTGGTGGCCGAGCTGCGCGCTCATGTTGGGAGCGTGCGCGCTCCAACTGTAACTCTACTGGCTTACGGTACAGGCTCTGCATCATCTGCGGGGCTCAGCTGGAGTCGTGTGCTTAGGTATCATCACCTCACCTCACAGGGGGCTGCTTGCTCTATTCGCGCGCTCAATCTCCTACAGTCCGCGCGCAGCCCCCATCGCTTCTAGCCGCGGTCATGTCGCACTGGCCAGCTTGCTGGCAGAGCGGTGCGCTCACGACAGGGCCTTGAATGCCGGATCTGTGACTGTTCCAGCACTCTTCGTCGCCGCCACGCTTGACGCTTCAGTTCGTCAGCGGGAGCAGCGCAGACTCTTGCAAGCTACGCGCGCGACGAATCCTGCCGACCACAACCGCCGCCGCTAGGCCGACAATGACGGCAACACCGCCCAACACACCCAGCACAATGGCGGCCACCGGGGTGCTAGACGACGCCGCGGGCGCGGACTGGCCTGTTCCGCTCGTCTGTCCGGAGGAATCCCCAGGCGTCGCGGGCGGCGCTGTGGTCGCTGCCGCCGACGTCATGGGCGCCGCCGTGATGGACGTGACGGAAGCGACAACGCCCCTCTGTGCCATCGCTGCCTGCAGCTCGCCCGTTCGCGTCTCGAGGTTCGACATTGCCGCCTGGGCCGCTGCCTCGCCAGCTGCCACGCGCACCACCACCTCCACCTGCACTCCTTGTAGCAGCCCGCGTCGCGCAGCGCCCGCGACCCTGGCCTCGACGTCACTCCGCTGCAGCCCTGGCATTGTCGGAGAGAGCTCCTGGAAGAACGCATCCGCGATGCTGTTGAGCGCGGAGGGCGGCACGCTGGGTGAGTCGACAGTTACCAGCGCCCTCACTTGCGCAGGCGGGACCGCTGTGGTGGGAGACGCCGCCGTCGTGGGCGCCGCTGTCGTCGTGGGCGCCGCCGTCGTGGTGGGCGCTGCTGTCGTCGTGGCCGCTGCCGTCGTCGTGGGCGCCGCTGTCGTCGTGGGCGCCGCCGTCGTCGTGGGCGCTGCCGTCGTCGTGGGCGCTGCTGTGGTCGTGGGCGCCGTCGTCGTCGTAGACGCCGCCGTCGTCGTGGGCGCTGCTGTGGTCGTGGGCGCCGCCGTGGTCGTGGGCGCCGTCGTCGTCGTGGCGCCCGTCGTGGTGGGCGCTGCTGTGATCGTGAGCGCCGCCGTCGTCGTGGGCGCCGTCGTCGTCGTGGCGCCGCTGTCGTCGTGGGCGCCGCCGTCGTCGTGGGCGCCGCTGTCGTCGTGGGCGCTGCTGTGTCGTGGGCGCCGCCCGGTCGTCGTCGTGGGCGCCGCCGTCGTCGTGGGCGCTGCTGTCGTCGTAGCGCCGCCGTCGTCGTGGGCACCGCCGTCGTCGTGGGCGCTGCTGTGGTCGTGGGCGCCGCTGTCGTCGTGGGCGCCGCTGTCGTCGTGGGCGCCGCTGTCGTCGTGGGCGCCGCTGTCGTCGTGGGCGCCGCCGTCGTCGTGGGCGCCGCCGTCGTCGTGGAGCGCCGCCGTCGTCGTGGGCGCTGCTGTGGTCGTGGGCGCCGCCGTCGTCGTAGCGCCGCCGTCGTCGCCGCCCGTCGTCGTGGGCGCCGTCGTCGTGGGCGCCGTCGTGGGCGCTGCTGTGGTCGTGGGCGCCAAGGTGGTCGTGGGCGCCGCCGTCGTCGTGGGCGCCGCCGTCGTCGTGGGCGCCGCCGTCGTCGTGGGCGCCGCCGTCGTCGTGGGCGCCGCCGTCGTCGTGGGCGCCGCCGTCGTCGTGGGCGCCGCCGTCGTCGTGGGCGCCGCCGTCGTCGTGGGCGCCGCCGTCGTCGTGGGCGCCGCTGTCGTCGTGGGCGTCGGAGCATCGTACACGTACGCCGACCCCGAGGCCGACCCGGCGTCGTCGTCGCCCCACGCGCCCACCACGACGTACTCGCCCGACGCCGCCACCGCATACCCGAAGTTGTCATCCGCCGCAGCGTCGCTGGCGGTCAGCTTCTGCTCTTGTGTCCACGTCCCGTCCGCGCTGCGCTTGAACACGTATGCCGACCCCAAGTTAGACCCGCCGTCGTTGTCATCGGCATGTGCGCCCACCACGACGTACTCGCCCGACGCCGCCACCGAACGGCCAAAGTAATCATTCGCCGCAGTGTCGCTGGCGGTCAGCTTCTGCTCCTCCGTCCACATCCCGTTCGCGCTGCGCTTGAACACGTATGCCGACCCCGAGTACGACCCAGCGTCGTCGTCGCCCCACGCGCCCACCACGACGTACTCGCCCGACGCCGCCACCGCATGCCCGAAGAAATCGCCCGCCGCAGCGTCGCTGGCGGTCAGCTTCTGCTCTTGTGTCCACGTCCCGTTCGCGCCGTGCTTGAACACGTACGCCGACCCCGACCCTGACCCAGCGTCGTCGTTGAGATATGCGCCCACCACGACGTACTCGCCCGACGCCGCCACCGCATACCCGAAGTTGTCATCCGCCGCAGCGTCGCTGGCGGTCAGCTTCTGCTCTTGTGTCCACGTCCCGTTCGCGCTGCGCTTGAACACGTACGCCGACCCCGACCCTGACCCAGCGTCGTCGTTGAGATATGCGCCCACCACGACGTACTCGCCCGACGCCGCCACCGCATACCCGAAGTTGTCATCCGCCGCAGCGTCGCTGGCGGTCAGCTTCTGCTCTTGTGTCCACGTCCCGTTCGCGCTGCGCTTGAACACGTATGCCGACCCCAAGTTGCGCACAGGGTCGTCGTCGTCGCCCCACGCGCCCACCACGACGTACTCGCCCGACGCCGCCACCGCATACCCGAAGAAATCGAGCGGCCCAGCGTCGCTGGCGGTCAGCTTCTGCTCTTGTGTCCACGTCCCGTTCGCGCCGTGCTTGAACACGTATGCCGACCCCGAGTTACTCCCGCCGTCGTCATTATCACGTGCGCCCACCACGACGTACTCCCCCGACGCCGCCACCGCAGACCCGAACTCATCGTCCACCGCAGCGTCGCTGGCGGTGAGCTTCTGCTCGCTCGTACTGAGGACGCGTCGCCCGCGAGGTCTCGCACCCCACGCTGGCGGCGGCACTCCTGCAGGGGGCGGACAGTGAGCGGTGCATCAGCCCGACGTCAACGGCGATCACGAGTACGCGCGACGCCACTGCTGCTGCATGCCACTTCCATGGAGGCTAGGATCGAGCAGTGTGACTGCTTCGTTTCCGCAGTGCAGCTTCGTGGCAGGGCAAGCGCCGCGTTTCGGGCAGCGGAACGCCGAACGGGCCGGCGCTGGGCGCCTGTTCCTGACTGGACCAACGCAGCGCCGAAAAGGAGCGATCGCGCGTTCGGGCCGCGGCCGGCAGTCGCGCCCACCGGGGCAGTGGAGCGGCGGGCAGCCGCTGTGCGCAGGCGGGCTGTGCCCGGGCCCGCGCGCGCCGGGGTCGCACTCATCGTGGCGCACGCGACAACGAGCCGTTGCGACGGGCCAGGGCGTCCCGGTCCGCGTGCGCACCTCCCGCCGCAAGCGCGTGAGCAGCCCCGCACAAGATCGCCAGGATCGCCGCGAGGAGCACGAAGCGCGCGCGC